CCTTTTAATTTTTAATGATCGCGAGGTTTGAACTGATCAACAGTCGCGCGTTTTCTCAGCTCATTTCACTTTGAGGACAAAACTATTAACCAGTCAAAGTTACTTATCAGGGAAACAATGCCTAATAAAGTTGAAACATTTTACATTTAAATGTACTTTGAGTACTTGAGACAAACGAAAACCAGTTATGAAAACGCTACTAGCAAGACTTCAACAAATTATATCAACTCCGATTGATATCGCTGAGCGGATATATTCTTCACTGAATCGTTGGAGCACAATTCAAACATTTGGCCTGTAGTAACCAAGTTCTTCTTCGCATATCAATAACCGTTTCCCATTGGCCTTGGCCTACGGCACACAATTTTGTTTCTCTCACGTTTTTTGTCACTGACCGCACATCAGATAAGAAAACGGAAGGTAAAAACAGCGCATAATCCAAATATACTTCACAAAGGATGTTTACACGGAAGATATCGATGTTATTGTATAATGATCCTAAAACATCTGACATCTTCAGATCACGCGCGCTCAGCAACTTTGAGTCTAGCGAATTCTTTTTATTTTTTAAACGCCACTTGATGCTCGATATTTCGTGTTCATTTTTAAATATTTACCTCAACAGACCAACTCTGAGCTCAAAGAAAACAACAGATCTCGTTACTCTAATAACAGTCAACAACGACACATTAATTCCCCTTTTGTTGCAGAGAGCTTGCGAACGTTTTTGTGGGATTAAAGGGATCTTTTGTGTCGAAAACCTCCCGTGTAAACTGCAATGTGGCACCTCCTACGCCTTGACATGTGTAAAGTTGTAAAGTAATTAATGGAATGTAAAAAAAACAATGTCGACACCAGTTGAAGTAATGAGTAAAAGAAATTGCGGTCAACAGTGCGGCGTGGTGACACACATGCGCTGAATGTCGATGGTACCGAACTGGGTTCGTTGTTTCTGGTATAAAAGAAGCTGCGAACCCTTTTGAAGATGGCCCCTTAACCGCAGCAATAACCAGCAAAGTTCTGCTTATCGCAGCCTAACTATTTTTTTTTTTACATTACTTTGCAACCAAATATATATTTTAAGTAAAATCATTGACGTAGGTCAAGGTGACTCTATCCTCAACCTGTGTACCTTCTCAGTTTAAACCGCAGGTTTGCAATTGTGAGAGCTTATTGGTTAATGATTTGAGAACCCTTTGGCTTCAGTAAGCAAGGCACACACAATATCTTGAAGATCAGTCAAAAAGAAGATTGTTCCTACTTAATCTATTGCTACTCTAAGTTATGTTTATATCAGTTACAAGAAATTTTTTGATGGAGCGGTGCTGGTGCGCATTCCCCTCTGATGAACTAAACAGACCCTTTCATTCCTTTAGGTATTACACTTGACTTATGAAGAATCTTTGCGACACCTAACGGTTTTTAGATCAGTCCCTTCCTTAGTGGGACACGTATCATTTGAAAGAAAAATCAGCATTCTTACCATTCATTAAGTTTTATGGTAATTGACGTTTCCTAAACAGAAACTCGGTCAGTTTTGGAAACTTTATGTCAAGTGTAAATGACCAAAAAGATACAGAATAGAAGAACCTTTCTTACAACCTCCTTGTGTTAAATCAAATTCAGTACCCCGAAATCTTTTAGAATGGTTCTAAACACAAGATCACCCGAGAAAGAATTTCTTGTAGACTACGGTACCATCTGCATGAAAGTTGCTTACCCATTATATGTATACCAAGGTATGGCCTTGATGGAGCTGTTGTGTCTTTAGCCAAGAAACATAGCAAACTTTAAACCATATAGTCTACTGGAGATCCAACAGAAACCCCGACCATACACGAGTGTGGAAGTAAAACAAAATAGTTTTCTCAACTGAGCTGGTGCAAAGTAAATTCGGGCACTATCATGAAAGAGATTTTGAAGCGCGCATCAAGCACGACGTAGCCATTCGACAGATAACTAGTCAACCGCAGGTCGTGTACAGTACGTTACTGACCTACCGCAACGCTTTTTATTTCTGTGATCAATTTAAACACATCGAATTAACGGTATTACTCAGCCGAGGCCTTACAGTAATTTCCTGGTTATGGATGACAAGAAAGTGCCTTTAATATACACTGCTCCTTAATCCTAAAAGTATCAACAAAGTTGTGTTGTTTCATAACTTATAATGTTACCACACTACGTGGAGACCAAAGGGGGATGACTAAGAGCTTGAAACGAAACCAACTGCTAAAAATATACTTAAGTACTTTTCAGCTAATGCTTTCAACATCCTCGTTTATCTAACCTCTTTAGGCGCGAATATGTCCGCGCATTATGCAGTAATTTCATATTCACGCCCTAAGAAAACAGGAAGTCACGGTTGTATCTTACTACATGACATCTTCTTTCGATGCCCCCTTTCAAGTTAAAAGAGGAACGAAAATCAACAAGAGAAGACTCACGCGAATGTTATTGTATGTTTTCGTCACAAATGAAAACGCGGAACTAGTATTTTTGGCAAAAATAGGTCATGAATAAGCCGTACATGACTATAAACACGGCCAAAATGAACCCTTGGTTCTGCAGTGGTCAAGTACATCAAAAGCCGATAATAAACTTGACTTTTAATTCCATTGTTTCAAAATAGTGGTTTCCTTCTAGATACAACTTAAACTATAATAACGTTGCTTAAGTCGCACAATGTTTTATATCAAAGTTACATAGTTTCGCAAACTGTTATCATATCATAAGTTGCCCTAACCTCTACTCCATGACTCTTAGACCACTGTCAACCATTTCAAGACTGGATTTATTATTATATTAATTATTTTTAAAATTTTCTTTCCCAAGTGCTCACCTGACAGTATTCCGGTGCGACAGATCATTTAGATCGTATTGAATTCAAACTGAAAACAGCCGATTTCGGCTGGTTTGGTGTTTTCGCTTTGTGTTGTAAAAAAATCACTTTTAGTTGGCTCTTCACTGAGCAATCGGTTATAGAAAAGACCGAAAAGTTGCATAGCACCGCTGACTTGATAGCAGACATCATTTTTCGAGTTTGGGACATTGTTGTGAACAAGGGCGGATTAAGATAAATCCGTGAACTGCTCGCGGCCGCGACTCGGGCGTTGAGTAAGTCTGGAATTAACTTTACCCAGTCATAATAACGAAAATCAAACAAAAAGGTAACAGTCGTAATTTTCTACTACTGGCTCCTTCGCGCTGCATGACGATTCACCTCTCCTAAAATAACTCACCGAAGCCAAATTCCATCTTGACCAGAGCCCTTCGGTTTCTCTTAGTCACGTGGCCTTCGTTGGTTACAAAACAACACTGAAACAGTTGAGTGGCTCTGGGGACGACGAGAATTATCTGTGTCCGAGATTCGGGCATGCCTACTACATTGATTTTTTTTTTACCTGAGTCCAATACAACCGAAACACAAGTAAAGTGCACGAACTCACTAACGTACCCGTTACCATTTTCAAAAGCGTTCGCTTTCTTATTTCCTAATCCCGTTACGAAGTGCAGTCATTTATGAACATTCATGGTTGGACATGGTGAGGTACATTTCTCAAGACATTTCATTATTATATACCTAGGCTTGGACCCAGTCACTATTTGAGTCTGGAAAGATTGAAAAGAGGAAGACTGGATTCCATCGAGGCGCGAGGAAGTCATAAGAAGGAGCGAAAAACAAAATACCGTCTGCTCGTCCCTTCCCATGACACTTAGCCTAATATTCTTTCACCTCAAAAATACATAAATAGCGACTGGCTACGACTGGGTACGAGTCTTAAATATACCAGGTATTCTTAGTGGAATACAGCGAGATTTTGTTAAAAAAATGTTTGGCAGTGCCGCCAAAAAAAATACACATTTTCTCATGGCGGTTGTTTCCTTACGAAAGTCTTAAATGCCAGGAACTAAAATTTCAAACGTTACTCAGCATTGAGGGCTATTGTTATTTAGTAAAATCCAACTAGTGGTCTATTATCAATGCTCCGTTCTGATTGGTTGAGCTACTACTAAGCTATATGTTATAGCCTACTAGTAGCGAAAAGCGCGAGCTTTTTGGCGGCAAAAAAGGATTGAAGTCTAGCTATAACTAGCTAAAATTTTTTTATTCTCGACATTTTTGACCAACTAGTTGGATTTTACTAAAACAGTTATTCCTCTCGCCCTCACTGCCTTCGGCCTCATGGGCTATTGACTCACAGGAATAATTGTTAAGTAGCATCTCGTCTTCTTATGTAAGTTCGTACGCTAACACCACTTGAAAGTGCCGTAAAAACTGACGTGAGGAAAGATTCGTCTATGCGAAAAAACGCACAACATAAAGGAAGGTAAAAAGGACTGACTCCCTCCCCTTTGGGCTGTTTCCTTTCTCGTGCCTCGGTCAAATCCCCACCCCGTCCCTCCTCAAATCTTCCACCCTGTCCCTCTTTTTCTTTTCCGCCTCAGAATCAAAGACAACGTAACTTACTACACAACCTGTTTATGCTCTTTCCTTTTGCTTTGCGCACCTGTGAAATTCCTCTTTTTTAAACACCATATATAGGACTGTACAAGTCCTGACTAGGTTTTGTGATTGAGTTTGAAGGCGGTTACACCGACTTATTAACTATTCTTGGCCAAAAAAAAAAGAAACAACAACACGGCATTCGTGAGAAGAGGAGTTCCTAATTTCTTCTAACATCAAAGAACGGATTTCACGTTTGATATTGAAAGGAATACGAAACGCTTGCGAGCGCTTTCTTTTTGGAATTTAAAAGAGATGGAAATGGCAACTAAAACAATGTAATGAAGAGCTTATGTGAAAAAAGGTACATATATAATTAAAATGAAATCAATCGATTAGTAATAACGTAATTGGACGATGGTAAAGAACAAGAGAGAGAGTTTTTACATCTTTTTAGGTGGCAGTTTATCACATAACTCAAACACTGAATGTTCTTGGTTTATATTATGAAGCACAAACGACTTTCTAGGTAAAATAAAACTTCAGTCCATTTCCCTGCCCTTAAGTTTATTTTTTGGTCAAGTTAAAATTTCTATGTACAAATAAAGACCATATTTAATGTAATATTTGTGACAGCCATGTCCAGCGAGGTAAGTACTTAATACATGTAATTGACGAGGATATTAACAGGATAATATATTTAAATTCAAATGAAATTTCCCTTGTCAAAATGAAAAACTGAAAAGAGACAAGATGTCGCCTTTATGTCAGCTAAGATGCCGGAGAAGGTGGGAAATCCATTTTAAAGGGGAAAATGTCCCGGTCTTTTTGCTCTTTGTTGACGAAGGTTGTGGTACTACCTTTGACGATTCCACTGGCTAATGAAATGCGTTCCCAAGTGAATATTACGCGATCGCGCCTACATGATTCATCCCTCGTAGCAACAGACGTCTGAGCGGAAAAAACTCGTTGCAAAAAACCTCTGAAATACTGAGTAATATTTAATGATCTTATTCACATAATCGGTGCTTAGAGAAGCATCAGTTCAATACGGCTTTGGCTCTGACTTCAAATAAAATGTGAAAACGCACATGTTCAGTCTTTTAAACTGACGTTTTGGCGTCTTAACGATCTTCTTCTCTTATACTTGAATTTTTTTTTTCACCGGCCTAAAAAACGTCTACGCGAACATCGTTTCTAACCTTCCATTCTTGTCATTTTTTGACAAATGGCCGTAATTGTTTTCCTGAAAATTGGGTCGATGGCAATTAGTGGCTTTTTTCGACATTAGCGCATCCCGGGCGTCAGTCATTCAGACCCGCGCGCAAAACATTTGATCTAATGAAAAACTCACTTCCATTATTCTTAATTTCTTTGGATCTTCGAATTATTACACAATGTTTCAGTTATTTGGCTCCACTAAAAATTAGCTCAAACGTAAGAGGCAAGTCAGAAATATTATCTTTAAAATTGTCTGACTCGAATGGCGAGAAAAGTGCGAAAACTATAAACGGAAAAAAAAGGACATGACCAACATTTTACATGTGTTATTATCATTATTTACAACGATCTGAACGATATCATTGTTCACGAAAACATTAAAATAACAACCTGTTTAGATTAAAGCCAAGAATATAAGTTAAAGATGGCATTAAAACTGTTTTTCTCTTAGAGTTTGCGTCACTTTCCCATTAATTCGCGGGAAACTGTGTTGTTACATTTTCAATTCATTCCATGGCAAATCCAAATTAAATTCCAGTGACTATAAATTTCATTCACTGTGCCTACTCCCGGCGTCTTTCAGGGTCTCTGTGCTTTCTTCTTCGGTTTTTGTCTCCTTTGTTTCTGACGAGCCTGTCTCTTCATCTTTAGACGATGTCGACGATTCTTGGCCATTCTGGCTCGATTCTTTCTTCCATTTCATTCGCCTGTTCTGAAACCAAGTTTTAACCTGAGTCTCGTTCAAGCCCAGTGTTTGCGCGAGTTTCGCTCGGTTAGAAGTGTCCAAGTATTTTTGCTCCGCGAACGTTTTTTCCAGGACGCGTAGTTGAAGATCGGTAAAGACTGTCCGAGATTTACGGCACCTTCGTCCGCTTGGAGTTCGTAGAGTCGGTTTAACGCGAAAATACACCGGCAATTGGCTTAAGACTTCGGGACTGGGATCTGCAAAGGGCATAAATCAGAGTGAATTATTGAGTGAAGAATGATGGGCGCGATTTTGAGCTTAATCGAGATCACTAATGCTTGAGATGTGTTGACACAGGATTAGAAACAACCAAATCTCAAGAGCAGCTTCGCTACAACAAAAGAAAGTAACCGCTGATCGGTAATTGAAGCCCTTGAAATCTTTGTCCGATTGTCAGACCCGTTTCCTTGCTTTACTTCTTGACAAATGAAGTCCTTAACACGTGTATTTGTTGGAGGAAATAACAAAAAGGTCTTTCCATTGTTGAACTGTTTTAAAAAACATTTCTACTTTGACATTACAAAACGGGAGGTACATGAAAAGCTCGTTTTGTAACCCAATACGCAGGGCAGGTGAAAAGTCTGTGTCAGCTACCGCGGAAGAACAACGGTTTCTTCCTTCAATCTTACTGTTTGGTACTGGTTTTGACATTCTTCGCTATTCATTCTCTTCATAATCTCTCCTTCACAAAGGTAACAAAAACATAAATGCCTTATTTTCGATCTAACCAAAAGTACTGTTTTTCCGTAAGCTTAGCTTCACCCTTGAGATCAAAAAAATTATTTGAAATCAATTTATTTTGATTTAACAAAGACACATTTTCTCCCGTTTCGGCAAACGTCTCGATCGCCTGTCGAAGGTATTTGGTAATGATTGCCGCAGCCCTAACAGTGAACGAATTCATGCCTTTTGGTTTCAACACGCATTAGATTCAACTCTACTGTCTTGCAAGGTGCATGAATCAGATCAAACCGGGAGTTCAGTTTAGATATAACTACGACGGCAATTCATTCTGTCTTTGCCTTATCATGAAGCTGTGAACCAGAAGAGAGAGACTGAAGTACAGTTTATTTGCAAGATGTTTTCTTCATGTGCTTTTTTGTTGGTTTTGTTTTCATTTAACCAAATTGCATCTCGATTTCCTCTCTTTGTGATTTTTTTGTCATTACGAAATTGCTACAAAAAATTGGAGATATATCCTCTTTAAATGTCATTAATCTTTCTCTGTGTTCATTGCCGCATCCATTACATTATCTGTGCGGTGATTCAATAGAGATGTTATGTCTGAAGCAAGCTGGCACGGTTGGTCGTGATTCCGAAACAACACGCGAGAAAATGTATTCCCTTATTTCACAAGTTAATGCCCAATTTATTAAGTTTTGATCTCTCTCATTCGTAAAGCAAAACACCACCCTGGGTGCCAGAGGGTATACACGCTTGCGTTTAAAAAAGAGGATAGCTAACGCAAACGCCAGTTTTTAATAAAGCCTTTTCTCTTTTGTGATACAAGCCTTTAGTCGTAGGCGGACTTCTCTTGTATTACAGTCTTTTCCACTGTCTAGTATTTTCTTTCACGTTGCTGAGCTCGTATTCACTCTACAGAAACCAGCAAGGTACAAGGTACAGAATAAAGAGGAGTCTCAAAATTTGCTGGAAGCTGTTTTTGTAGGTTTAGTGGACTCACGAAAATCACACTGTCCGTTATTTCAACAGACATGCCTCTAGAAAGTTAGCATGCAAGCCAATATTGCAAGTATTCGACGACTGGAGACAATTTTTCCCCTTAGCTTCAAATGCCTCGTGCAAAACTATTGAAAACAGTTTAAAAATCGGGAATTGAGAATAAATAAATAGGTTCACGATTGGCTTTCAGCGTGCAAAAAGCTGCGGTATAGAAAGTGCTTAAAGTTACTTCCTCACCTTGAAACAAGGGCATGTCTTCTCGAGGTCTCTGCGCGAGGATCGAGTGCATGCCAAATTTCAACGGGTTGGCATTTGGTGCAGGCGGTCTAGACTCTTGAAAGCCTGGCTGTTTTGAAACTAGGAAAGGCTGCCTTGGAACCAGGATGTCATCAATTCGGAACGATGATCGATTTTGAGAGCCAGTTCGGGCCGGTGAACTGCCGTGGCAAAATGAAGTTTGTTGGTAGAGCAAGAAAGGGTCTTGGTAAAACATGATGTTGCTGCTGCGTTGAGTTGGGAAGTTTTGCTCCTCGCAGATGTGTACAACGCTTGAAATGTCTTGGAAGCAGATGGCTAACTTATTTGCCTTCTTTGTTACGATTACTGGATGTCTCTTCGTGATTGACAGTTCGAAGGCTTCCCTTGTTTGAATACGCATTCACAGCTTATTGAGTTGATACCTAGCGCAATGCAAGCAGGCGCCCACTGGAAAATCTGCGAGCAAACATCTCAAAAACGATACAACTGACTGCACAACTGGGCACAGGGTAAATCGCCATGATTTATCCCTCCTTGTGCAGTTAAATTAACGGTGATCATTACACAATTAGTTTATATCATTACTCGAAAAGGTGTCAATTAGTAATCATTATCTTAAGATAATCGAAGGTGGAATTCAATTAACTATTAAAACACAAAATACAGAAAAGTCAAGATAAGTCATTTCCTTTGTCGGCGAGTATACTCTCCGCCTAACGAAGATAAAAGGGAAATTGACAAATGGTTTTAGCAGTCCGGATAAATAACAGAAAAACCATTAGCCATTGTTGCACTCCATTAAATATGTACAACTAATTTGCCTTAGTCGGCGAGGAAAACAATAGAGGAAAAGCACTCACCCTTTTGGGTTCAAGACAAAAAAAGCGATCACTCTTACAATGCAAAGAGAAGTGTTATTCACTCGTGATTTCGAGTTTGACACAAACAAAGTTATTTTGTCACCCAACACAATACAAACCATTTATAAGTAAAATTAGTCGGCGGTTACTTATTTTATTTTTATATCTTGTGGATAAACTCATTCACATATCAAATAATGCCGCTCCGGTGTATTTATCGAAGGAACATTAAGTAATTGTCAGCCAATTGGCACGGTCATTTCCCTCCTGGGTATCCGAGGCCTTGGCATCAAAAGTTACATCAAACTCTGGCCGGGCGATTTTCGTTTTAAACCCCATCCCATGAGATTTTGCACTAGCAAGTAAACGTGATCGATTTTATCGATCTTTGTCGCTTCAACCAGAAAAACTCATTAATCGCCGTTCGATAAATCGCTTCAAGTTATTTCAACGATAAAAACCACAATTGTAAAACAAATCCGGTCCATTATAAAACCTAAATCGAGAAATTTATTTGGTTCAGAAGGTTTCGCGCCATCTGAGCATGTAAAATGGAACGAGTGTAAAATTTTCGCAAACACCGAAGAATTTGAGTTTGGCTATCGCTAGCAGAGTATCAAGTTGGGCATGAGCCTACACGCCAATGGATAGCTCTCTATAAAAGCACCACGACCATCTCTTGCGCACTTGCGGATTCTTTGGAATGGTAATTAGCACTAATTGCAGCAAATTGTTTTTGAGGCCTCGCTAATGTGGCAGCTGGCTGTAGGTAGGATCTTATTACACTTCACTAAGAAGTAAGTGAGAAACAAAAAGAAACAAAACGAATTTGCTAGTTTAAGTGGTGCGAGGTAACGCATTTATTCATGACCTCTATGTTCGATATATCGTGCGCGTTCGGATCCCATCGCGCACAAGACGCTAATGGATATTGACCTCCCGGGGTTTATTCTGAGACCACCCAAGAAAACCCCGGCCCATTCGTGAGAGAAGATGGAAGATGGAAGATGACGGATTATATCAACTTTTTGCCGCACAATTAACATGAATAAAGGGAGACAAGAAGATCCGGTGCCTTCAAAGCCCTTATCTACTAGATAACGTCATTAATAAAACAATCCAATGGATATATTCTCTTTCGTTCTTGACCTGTTTTGAAATGATAACCATTTTGGCCTTTCTAGATACTCTCTAAGCACATCAAACTCGCAAATTGCTTAATTTATTAATTGCTTCAAGTTAATTTTGTACCTTAATAGGTCTTGTTTAGTTCTAATTCCATAAGCCTCTTTTTTCACGGATCATACACTTGCTGATAAAGAGCGAAAACACATTCGCTGGCTAGCGTACATGGAGCGCCCCATTTAGTTAGTGAAACACGAGATTCTTAATTCTTTTTAGTTAATTCGTTTTCCATCCACAGTTAATTTCAATAAATTGGCAGCCCGGAAGAAAACGTCCCATTTCAGCAAACAAATTTACGCCCTCGCGCCCACCACAAAACGACTAATGTATCCTTTTATCCACCATTTCATCTTGAGAATAGAGTGTTTACTTAGAAAAGAGGCGAAGTGCCAAATGTAATTGAAAACAGTGTAATTTTTCTACTCGAATACGCCCATGTTCTGTACAATAAAATCCTAACACTGAGGAGCAAACAAATTAACCATCCTTCGTTCAGATTCAAAGAGGTTTGCTTCCAGTTAACTCCAAATTCAATAAAAAAATTATTATTAGCGATGGGTTTGGTCGATTTAGATTCATATGTAAATATCATTTTGGAATTTTTCCATTTCCTGAAGAGGATCTTAAGCTTTTATGGACACGTGGAGTCAATCACTAAATGCGTTTAATTGATCTAAGCAAACTGGGATTAGGGAACACCTTTATAAAGGGATACATATAGATAGGATAAGAGCTATTTACTGTCATAAAAGCACCTTTTATTCATATTACGAAGACCCCAGCAGGTTATCAAAGGAAAACGTGCATCAATTAGTGGTTTTTCTCTTACATAAAAGAGAGGCGTAGAAGCGATTTTCAGATTACATACTTAGATACTGCAGGATTTAATCCATTGTTTCTTAATTTCTTTTGTGGTAAAAAGCTAATTTAATTTAGACCAATTAGTCAGCTAAGTACTAAGGTCACTCCTTGGCTAAACTGAGAGCAAGATCTCCATTTGGGGATATCACGTGAGAAGTCCCGCGCGAGCAGCAAGAGGAGACGCGATGACGAGTACAATGTAGCCTGCGTGGCAGGCGTTAAAAGGGGAAGGGGGAATTTGGGCGCGCGAGAGCGTGTGGAGCGCGAGAGGGAGAAAGGAAAGGAACCCTCCTCCCTCCTCCCTCGCGCGTGGTCGAGCGCACTAATTTCCTTCCCGTTCCCTTTCGAACGCCTGCCATGCAGGCTAAGTACAATGGGCTGGATTTCCACTGACGCGTACTTTTTACGTGCATAAATAAATCGAGACAATGTATGGAAGGTGGCAAATGAACGTTTAGGTTGAACCACACTCAACTTTTACGTTTACCCGCCACCACACATACATTTCCTCTATTTAATTCACGCACATAACTTTCATGCGCGTTCACGCAGCTCGCGTAGCTCCGGCCACTACTTGCTCGCAAGCTACTCCATGCCTTCTTATGACTTCAACCTTTCGAATCGCAAAAGCGCCTATCTCCATTAGAAACTTTTGTACTGATAATTTTTAAAGGTCTTCTTTCTTTTTCTTTGATCAATACCCAACTTAGTAAAAATATTCGATTACATTTAATGTATAATAAGGGCGTGGTGGCGTTTTCAATCCACCCAGACAGCAAATCAACAGTAATCTGCACAATCAGCAAGTGTAAGTCTACTCGGTCACTTCATATTCTTCATATGCACTTTTCTGATGTCGTTTGCGTTATATCTGTGTCCGTGCGGTAATGTCTTTAATACGGATAGTTCATTCCTAAAAATAATTTTTGGACAAAGGTCGGTCATGATGACTAGCCAAACAAGTTTTAGCTCGGTGTTGGCTCTTTTCGGATGGGTCAAAAAATATTGCCTCATATGCATAAAAAACACGTTGCATTTTAAAATAAGGAAATGGGGTTTCGCGAAACGTCCCTAGCGGCGAGGAGCGAGGAGCGAGGAGCGAGGAGAGACGGCTCTATTCACAGGCTAGCGTACGTTATGTTTCCGTTTTATTTTAGCAAACCGCAAATTCGCATTCCCAAAGCCGCAGAACGTGCCCGTCTTATCTGTATTCAGCTAAAATATTCTACGCTTTAACCTTTTTTGTAATTTACAGAATTAATGCGAATAAGTTTATGGTTCCAGTTATTTATTGCATGGTTGCCACAGCCAGTGATTTCTGAAATTTCCTGACTTTTCCCTGACTTTTTCCTGACAAGTGTAAAATTTTCCTGGCCAACTGAATTAAAAGTTTTACAAATTAGTCCTGAAAATGGACTCAACGCTCCCCTCACAGCCATCCCCACCACCCATTTATTCATGCTTTCAGGAAGTCACATGCAGAATACATGAACTGATAGTTCCTTAACATATCGTGCAAAAAGGATTGATTTTCTTGAAAACCCAACATCAGCTTTTTGTTCAATTTCATGAACAATATTCTACCAATACAACACAATTCATGTGTGTAATATGTACAAATGTACTCTTGAAATTTCACTTTTTCTGACTTCTTTCAAAGGCTTAAATTTTCCCTGACTTGACCTGTCCAAGTCTGTCCGGACAAATGGTCATCTTGGCCAGACATTGTCCGTTGATCGGTCTTTATTTTGAGCCACGTAGTTGTACGGCAGACCAGTAGCCAGAGTAGAGGCAACCGAGGCAGTTACATCATCAAATTTCATTGGTCTTGGGTAAAACGACCACACAGAAAAAAATTGTTTCTGATATTGTCTCGGAGAAAGTATTTATCTGGCTACAGCACGAATATCAAGATTAGCAAGATATTTGTTATATCTCCTCTAAGGTTAAGGCTTCCTAATTTAGCGAGGCGTACAGCAGAATATTGCCCAGTGAATTAACCAATCACCGCATGCGTACTTACGGAGAGGTACCGTCATAATCCGGGAATTCCCCCGTGGGAAAGGTCGCTCCTTTGTATGCAACATTTGTGTCGTCACATAACGTCATGTCGGGAAGAGCGTTGAGTGACGAGGAAGCAAAACGGTCGGCAATTTGTAAAATTTCAAAGATTGCCGACCGCAACTGAAAATTAAACGAAACCTTTGGAATACTTTCCTTAATCAAGAAAAGGTAGCAAGGATTAAAAGATAATATAAATCATATTTGGAGTCCGAGCAACTACGATAGAAGCGTGAAGAGATTTCTTCCTCGCAGTGACATAACAGTAAAGCGGCTGATTTATTATATAATCTACTCCGTATTATAGCCTCACAGTCAAATATAGATCATGTAAAAATAACACTTACGTTTTGGTGATAAATTAAATCCGCTGTCATTGATGAAAACTGTGACTATTCTGTCTTGCTTTCTTCCCGGCCACCGGCATCGTCGATATGTCCACCGTTAATAGTCCGGGCGTTAGTGCAAGCGAAGCTTTCACTTACGGCGTTTCAGTAAATACAGGCGCATTATACAGACTCAGTACTAGACGAACAAAATATATGCAATTTTGCCTTTCCACGGGAAAAAAATGCTAGCACAAGATGGCTATCACATGCAAAAATTCGAGACTCAAATTACGCGCGTAAGATCATTGCGCATATTCTTTGAGGTGTAACCGCTTTCAAGACTATCGTGGATGTGACTTAGCAATATACCATCCCTCGAATTGCCCCTCGAATTACTTGTCAGGAAATTAAACTATTATTACTGAGCTGAAAATCAAAATCCTCACTTTTATCTTAGAAAAAGTATCCCACATCATTAGCAATCGGAAAGTAATGTTTAACAGAAATTTTGCGTCAATACTTCATTAAAACAGATAAGTACAATTAACAAAATGTACTGAGGGTCAATACCTCCCAAGTTTGAGAGAAACTAAACAGCTGTGAAAATTGTTATGATCACGGTTACAATTTGCCTAGCCCGAGGCCGAGGCGAGGCGTTTCGGGTCACGTGGTCCGAGAAAGTTTTTGAGGCGTCTCCCGGCCGTTCGTCTAGGATACGTCACCGAAATGCATTGACCGAGAGGGCCTGAAAAGACGCCGTACAGGGACTAGGCAAGGTTACAATGACATCGGAGTTGTCGTAGAAACGAAATGACACTATTACCTTCCTTTACCAGAAGCATATACGGGTTATATGCTTCTGACTTGACTTGAAGCCGTATTTCTCGGCACTGGCTACTCTTCTTCCAAAATCGTTTACTGAAGCTTTTTCTTCCAATAGCCGCCTCGATGTTCGTGTGAAGTTTAAACAAAATCTATAAGACGGTTATCGAATCTTTTGGCATGAAGTTTTTATGGCCAGAAATACGGTAAACCTGGACAATCTTGATATTTGGCCGTTATCTGTAGAAAACGAAGCGCTTTTGAAACGCAATTTCACCTCATAGTAGTTTCAATCTTTTTAAAAACACGTGTGAAAGTTCATGGGGCCGGGGATAGTTTTAGCCGATTGCAAGAAAGAAGGATTTGATTAATATGTTTTGAGACGCTCTTATGAGCGAATAATTTTGAAACCGCTGGATACGATTTTTTTAAAAAATTAAAGGTTGTCGAGATTAACCGACGTTTTATGTGCCCTTTGAGTTTCAAGATAATGGATATTTTGTAAGGCAGTAAAATAATGGCCCCTTTTCTAAATTTTGCTGTCGGAAATTTCCTGTAAACAAAGTAAGAGCCTCTCGTTATTCAAAGGTATTGTCTCCAAGTTTCATTTTCACATGAACAGCAGTAACTAAACAATGCATTTAAAATATGCAGAAATGTCAGCTATTGTTGTCCACCAAATCATTCCAAATTATGAAAAATGGAGACAATACCCCGAATAATTTAACGCTCTCACTTGTAAACTGGAAATTTCGGACAAAAAATGAGCCAGTTGTAGTCTTTAAGTATTGCCTTAAAAGATATCAATGATCTTATGATGTTAATCTCGAGAATCTTTAATTTAAAAAAAAATTGTAGAGCTTTTTCAAAATTATTCGCTTGTTTGTTTAAGTAGACCAAAATGTTTACAAAACCGCTAATAGGAGCGCCTCAAAACAATAATCAAATCCTTCTTTCTTGCAATCAGCTAAAGCTAAATCCCCATGAACTTCCACACACGTTTTTAAAAATATTGAAACTACTATGAGGTGAAATTGAGTTTCTAAAGCGCTTCGTTTTCTACAGCCGCTGAACATCAGGATTGTGCAGTTTTTACCTTACTGATTTCTGACCTTAAAAACTTTATCCTAAAATATCTCGATGACGCTCTAATAGATTTCGTTTAAACATAACGAACATCGACGCGGTTGTTGGAAGAAAAAGCACACGTGAACGATTTTGGAAGAATAGTTCGTAGAGCCGAGAAACATGCCTTCAAGAAAAATAGGTAATGGCGTCATTTCGTTGCCATGACAACTCCGATGTAATTGTAACCTTGATCATTAAAAATTTTCATCGTTATCGAATACAGCTGTGGTGGTAATTTTTCTAAATCTTTGTTAATGGCGACGTAGTTTATGCTCAGTCAAACGTGGGATGTATTGACCCGGATAAAACCCATGGAGCCACCTTAATGTCCACTAAAACTGAGAGGGAACGTACTTCGCAAGAATGGTTTGCTGCTGAGATCAACTCAAACTCATCAATAAGTCGCCGAGATAGCTCAGTTGGGAGAGCGTCAGACTGAAGATCTGAAGGTCCCTGGTTCAAATCCGGAGGGTTCGCATGAGCTCTGAATAATCCCGGGTCTCGGCAACATGGCCTTTTATTTTTTCATTCCATACCTTTGAAAAAAGGGTGTGAAATTCAGGGAAAATCAGGGATAGAGCGCATCATATGTGTTGGGGAATGCTTAGGTCCGTTTAAGGCTGTAAACGCGCAAACTTCTGCATTCAAGGTCTTCAGCAAAAGCCAAGGATTGGAAACGATCACCATAAACGATCTTCAGAGTGGAAAAGCTCGAAAACAAACGGTGGGTATATTTTTCCATTTGTGCGGCTTTGCTTAACTAAGCCACTGCATAGCCATTCCCCTATTAACCCATGTAAGGGAAACCAGATTCCGGAACCCAGGAAATGTTTGCTTTTGGAATCAAAAATCAAGCAAATTTTTGCTGTGGAATCCGGAATCCCACTCATGAGTGGAATCCAGAATCCAAGTTCCACTGACAAAATACCAGGAATCCAATTACTGGAATCCAGAATACATGGCGTGGATTCCAGAATCCAGGACTCAGTCTTGGATTCCCTTTCATGAATGTGGGTGACACCTAGTAGGCTTTGTCGACTCGTGCGTGGGGTATTATGGGAAATTGGACTAATATTTATTCTCTTGCAAGAACAGCCCAAATAAAAAGCCTTTTATGCCTGTATGCCAGTACGCATTTGTTCACTTACCCGAGAAAACCCGCGGTGAAGGGTAGGGTGGATATGGAAAACACTGCGTACCTAAAAAATCACCTCGCTACGCCCCGCCTGCACGTGTCAAACTAATTATTTGAGAAAACACGGCTCAAGAGTCAACCAGGTATTCTTTACATCTACCTCTGTCATTCTAAGATGAAAGTAAAACTTCCTAACTGATCGTTATCACAATTTCTTTCCTTCTCCTTGGGAGAATTCAAAAGTGCGTCAAGACTTTCTCAAAGTGATCAAAACATACTTGGATTAATTCAACCCTTTAAGTCCCAAGAGTGACCAACATCAATTTTCTCCTAACAGTCTCAGTTACATACGGAAAAATTAGGTTATAAGAGTTGATAACATGATCACTGAAGGAAACATGCTTTGAGATTTAAACAAATTCTCTCAGCTTATTATTCAGCGAAATGTATGGAGAACAGTGTTGAGAATTTGTAGTTGGATACTGGGGCTTAAAGGGCTAAGACTGGTATAGCACAAAAAGGGTTTCAGCTTATTCGGCTATTCTCTATTACACAGGGGCGGATCCAGGAATTCTTGATTAGGGGGTCCAAACTTTGGTTCAGAAAGGACTGTTGAACTTTTTTGTGGCAAATAACTTCTCACAGAGACAACCACCTCTTTCTCAATCTGTGAACGCCGGTCGCCGCTGGCGAGGGAAATACTGCTTTGCGAGCAGAGGCGAACAGATCATAGGAGGGTACCCAAAAACAATTACATTTTTGAATATTCCTAGAATAAAAAGCCCAGCCAGTTAAAAAGTGATATACGATCCTGTCCATGTAAGAACTTCAGTCTCAAACAAACGTCAGGTCTGATGGGGGGGGGGGGGGGCCCCCGGACCCCCGGACCCTCCCCCTGGATCCGCCACTGTTATATCTCTTAAGAAATACTTTAAATGAACTCGGCAAAGCAAGACTGAAAATTCTTACTCAGAAGACACGCAATGCCAAGAACATAAAGAATCATATACAAGAGTACAGACAATTTTTCATGACCATCTTGAGACGACATTACAAATTAAACTGCCTTGCAAATAAATATACACAGCGGAAAGTTTGACTCATAAAATGCTTGCCGATATGGTTGAAATTTGCCCAGCAAATATCGCGGGACTTATATCAGTTCGATGTTGGCGTCTCAGACTGCTATATTTTTTCTAACTTCTGCATACATCTCTCTCCTACAAGTGATATTCTATCCACATAATTATATTTTCAGCAACTACCATCACGATACTAAGATGCTAAGAGATAAACGCAGACAGAAATTCTTTCACTTAAGTTAAGAATTGATTTAGAATTTTGTACAAGTGTAAAAGACGGAGAAATTTCATAATAAACCTATGGACATTGATAATTTTTCTCTTTTGGCAGGTGCTGCAGAAAGGGAAATTCCGTATACTTTCAATGACTCGATGAACTGCACCATTTAAAAGGCAATTAAAACAACTAAATGGAACCAATGACAAAACATGTGACGACGTCGTCTTCAGCCACGTGACCGCGAAGAATAGCGTCATTCATACACCACAATCGCGCCTAAACTTCTCTCTCCAATCCATGATACTTTGTTTCTGCCTATACGCAGGCAATGGTAGGTAATTCACATCTATAGTACTGACCAATCATACAACACCTATTTACTACGTCATGTTCTTTGCCACTGGGAAAACAGTAGCAGTTTGAAGCCCGTTCTCTCAAGTTGGAACTCTTTGATTTTATTCTGTGCGTATTTACAGGATGGAAGATGTGCGTGAGAACGATATTTTATCATGGCGACACCGGGCCGTTTTCCTCTTTGCTGTATTGCGTGATGTAACGGTGGCCGGAACTCATGATTTTCGCGCCCGCGCGCATCATGACCTGCGCCTGCTGAAATGACTGTTTGATCTCTTTCATCCATTCTTGGAATTCTGTCTCGGTCTAGAATAGAGGTAAGAAACAACAACAGTAAAAGATTAGCAATACTCATAGCAGTCAATATCCACAGTTCATAAGTGAGTTCTTGTCTTCTTTAACTACCCAACTTTAGGAGATGTTTCTAAGCCGACGACAATAAACCCTTTACAATCCACTAACTGATCTGTGCTCTTTGATTTGATCACGTGGTCCTGAGTGGATAGTCAGATATCAAGGTAAGCTTCTAGGATGATCAATAATTCTCCAAGAAATCTACTGCAGAAATTCGCAGAAAATTTATGCTATGCAAATCATCCTCCGCAGGGCAAGTTTGAGAATATGAATACCGGGAAGCGAGGCCTAACATATCAATGAGCCGATTTCGATACATTAAAATTGATACCCTACTCCGTTGCTTCGAAATCAATTATTTATCCCTGAATGTCGAACTGATTTCTTTTGGTTTATTCCTCCTAGCCTCTGGGCAAAGTATTTATTTTAATAACACCTAAACTGGCCTGACTATCTTGCTTCACAGTAATTTTCAGTTAGTTATAATAACTCCTCTAGTGGGGCTAATTTACCTCCTTACAGTGGAGTTATTTTGGGGGGAGTTATTTTAACTCCAAAAAGGAGTATAAAGCACTCTTTTTCGGGAATAAGTGACCCCCGATATTGAGGAGTTAAAATAGCCCGAAAAAAGGAGTTATCCTGTACCCACAATTTTTACTCCACTTTCAGAGTTACATTAACTCCAAAAAGAGTAAAAATAACCCATGTAAGGAGAAAAAATAACCCCATTTCGGAGTTATTTTAACTCCAGACTGGGAGTAAAAAGAACTCGTTTTTCAGGAGTAAAAATGAACCCAAATTCGGAGTTAAAATAGGATTTAAAGTAACCCCCCAAAACGGGTTATCCTGTACCTAAAATTTTTATTCCATTTTCGGAGTTAAAATGACTCCCTAAAAATTACGGTGTTTCTATCATGATTGTACTTTTGCTACGAGTACCTCTGCTCTAAGGATGTGATCCCTGTTATCCCGGATGTTTGTGCTGATCTTTATACATTTAAAGCCTTTGACTTGAGTTTCTTCAACTCCTGTAATGTTCTCCATACATAAAAGACTGGGCATTTGCTAACGATACAAAGAACAGCATGACCTTCATCAGAAGAGAACCTCACACTTTATGACTAATGGTCCTAATATTTTTCATGCCTGTTAATAACATCTGAAGAGTTCATCAATATCTTGTAAAGAAGTGTGAAGGGACCGGTAAGCCTTTAAGAGAGAAGTAGGGTAGATTAATGACTCTCTAAAACAGCAATCAGAGCTGTCACTAAGAGCAGGTAATTTCCGCCCTGGCTGCCATGAGCATGACCCCCGGATACTTTCATAGGAAACAGAAAACATACCCCAGCCTGTTCGCCTCGCCATTCCAGTCGATTAGGAAAGAGGTGGAAGTATTTTCTCGGCCAGTTGCTCATCAAAGTTCCTCCTAATTTGTACAAATAACCTTCCAACAAGTGGTCACCATCTTCTGCAACTAAAGACGTGAAAAAAGTACGTAAGAATTTGTTAGAAACTGAGTCATGAATTCTGTTATAAAAATGCTGATCAAGGACACTTTCTACGTCCACTGCTAAAAAGCGGACCGAATTTTCTAGGTGGGTATCCGATCCCTCTGAACATCTAGTCGCGCATCATCCTTGCTTGTTTGTTTAACAGACAAACAAATGTCAGTCTTTTTAATACTCCACGAAATCCTCAGCCTCCAATTCCGCATTAAGCCTTTCATTGTTATAAAGATCTACAGAGAAAGGTAACCCTACGGTAACTTTTGAGAAGTTGGACAAAATCCTGTGCACGTGAAACATTCCAAATTCATGTATTTCTTACCCGTTATTGAATTCTGATGTTTTGCCTTCTTCTTGGCTTCCAATTTATCGTGTTCCTCATTGACAACCTTGAATACGGTTTCTGCAATTTAAAACAGATTACACAGAAATAAACATCGTATAAAGGTAAATTCGATATCATCAGTTGATGGTACAGTCGAAACTCCTTGTGCGACCACCTCTCGTAAACGATCACCTATCTACAACATGTACTACGCGACTCCGAGTACACGAAGAACTTTCAGTGAGAACATGTCGCTACATTTGATAATGGTGACTTAGAAATTGCATGCAATAGTCCTTTCCCGCATTCCGCTCCAGTGAGCAAACATTAAAAAATGAGGTCGAGGTTCGGGTGGACAATTTCATACAAATCACTGTATTTGTCCACCCAAGCCTCGACTTGATGCCTTTGTTTACAGGAATGCGGGAAAGGTCTATAAATTCTCTGCCAAAAAGTAGATGTGTCGGGGCCTCTTCTCAGAAGACAACCCTGTGGTTATTCTCGTAAGCGACCATTTTGGGTGGTCAATTACGGGGAGGTGCGGGGAGCAGTGCCGGATCCAGACATTAAGATAAAGGGGGGCAGGGCTGGTCATCAAGACCCTGAGATAAGGAGGGGAAAGTCTCCACAAAGTTTTTTCGGCCCTTCAGGCCTCAGTTTGGTCTAAAAATAAAGGGGGGGCGTCCCCCCCTGGATCCGCCACTGGGAAGGTTCGACTGTGTCAAACTCAAGTTGTTGATTTGATTGACCATTTAGTCGAGATTAAGAGGTATCTATCAAAACATACCAGCAATTTCTTGCTGCCATCTCTCTGACACCGTTAAGTTGAAATCTTTATAAATCTCCTGGTCTTGTTCCGTCATCTTAAAGGAAAAGTAGCCATTTTCATTCGTTACAATATGTGTTTTTTTTAACTCAAGCATCGTTGAAGGTAAAGAGTTACCATCTTTTCCCTTGGTCGCTGAACAAGCCTTTCCGGTAAGCAACTGGACTCTCGTGCGGTGGTAACTGAACAAGACTGCAAAGCAGTCAGTTTTTTCTCAATATTGGTTTTCAAGGCACGAAGCGCTTGCGTCCGATTTTCGAGCGAAGTGCGCGTGCCTTCATATAAACAGGAATTAAAATAAAAGGTCTCATTCAGCCCAACCATTCGCTCTAACCATTCTTTTGTATTACTATTGCTGGTTGGCAACTGAATGTTGGCTGAAAAGACCAAAAGTGCTCCCTCCCGCTAAGAACTAAACTGATTTTCATGCAAATTATGTAAAACAATGTATTGTTTTGTCAACCAACCAACCTCGTTCCCACGGTTCTCTTTCTTCAGAGAGCCATGGAAACGAGGTTATTAACCAACATGGCCGCCTTGTCACGTGGTCATAAGCCAAGAATATTACCTTGATGCCTTTGACGTCATCCTCGTCAAACGAGCCGATATCAAATGCGTCAGCGGCATTAACTTCACCTCTAGGAGGGACGAGTGGTGGCGGGTACTGTGTGAACAGATGGCATAACAATGGTAAAAATGACTCTGTCAACAGAAGTAGTCGTCAGGGACAAGCAAAGTTTTAACCCCGACAGGGCTTAATTCAAAACGTATTACGCAATTCACTCCGCCAAATATTGAGGCGAAAATGTTTTTTTGTGTTTTAGACAAGACGCGTCTTAGTCAAGTCGCGTCTTATTTCAGACGAAAATGAATGTGCCGTTTATAAGGGACAGTTTGCGTCTTATTTAGGACGCGTCTTATTTTTCCTGCTATAAATGGCCCTAGTAAGATTCATTCAGGAAAGTTCACCGAAGACGAAAGTTTTTCCAGGAATGCTCAGTTGATTTGAGAATGGTTGTCACAAAAAACTTAAAAAGTACTTTCTTGACTAAGCGTTTCAGTGACGTGGGAAAAAAACCATAAACAAAAATTTTCGGGGATAGAAGAAAGGTGACATCTGGGCTTAATACAAGAGCGTTTAGCTGAAACTTTTAATCATTCGGCAATAATACGCTTTCATTGATGGTAAATATTTCAGCTTGCCCAAATGGCAAGCTGTAAAAAATGATTTTTTTACTTTTCTGGTATCGCTTTACCCTGAGACAAGACGCGTCTCAGTCAAGTCGCGTCTTATTTCAGACGAAAAATGAATGTTGCCTATCGTGTTTATAAGGGACAGTTTGCGTCTTATTTAGGACGCGTCTTATTTTTCCTGCTATAAATGGCCCTTTGTTTATGAGTAAGATTCATTCAGGAAAGTTCACCGAAACATGACAGAAAAACATAATAATCAAGTTTTTGAAGGAAGGAGTGACCAGGAATGCTCAGTTGATTTGAGAATGGTTGTCACAAAAAACTTAAAAAGTACTTTCTTGACTAAGCGTTTCAGTGACGTGGGAAAAGAACCATAAACGAAGCATTCTGAGATAGAAGTCCTTAAGTTAATTGATTCAGTCTCTGTTGTTTACTTGTTAAGATTCATTTATTGACGTGCTCACGACACACGGAGACGACTAACACTCGCGACTAAGACGATATACTTTACGGGCTGATTTATTCAGATACCCCAGACTCCGTTTCGGCATTGTCATTCGCCACTTCAGAAACAAGAAGGGAGCTGGAGCCGAAATGCGTCCCGCAATTGTTTCTGGGATCGTTAAAGGGGACGCGGCGGTCAGCTATTGGCCAATTTTTCCCCTTTCCTTAGTAACGGTCCCAGAAGCCTTTGCGAAACATAACTCGGACCAGTTCCTTTCTCGTTCCTAAAGCGGCGAATGTAAACCTTGAAGCTTGTAACAACCTTTCCAATCAGCTGTATATGGCTTATAATACACATTACGCCGGCAATTAAGCAATTTCGCTCGCAGGGCCACCATTCCCACCTTCTCCAAAATTTGCACTCCCTACGTACGCTCCCACATCAACAAAAGAACGACTGAAGGCAGGTTAACAGTAGATTAACGTTTTTCGTCCCGCTAAGTTGGTTTCTATCTAGCAACATGGCCTCTTACCTTTAAGAGTTCAACCAGCTTCCAATCCAGTTCTTTAAAAAAAGTATGATCTTTCACTTCTCTTGCTCTGCGAAGAAAATAGAAAAGCAATAAGGCTCTGAGTTCAAAATCCAGACCCTCATATACAATGTCACATACACCGTGTATATGGATGGCGGAGCATTCATGTTTTGAACATTGCTACCTCTTCTTCTCCCTAGGTTTGACTGTACAGTCGAACTTCCACTAACGGCCACCTCTCCACAACGGCAACCACTCAACAAAGGCCACGTTTTTTGCGCGGACAGTGCATACATTGACTCTTGTTTAAACTTCTCTACAAAGGCCACTTTCTTATGTCCCCAACGTGGCCGTTGTGCAGAGGTTCCAAGGTCTGTCCGCCAGAAACAGTGGCCGTTGTGGAGAGGGGACAGTTAGAGGAGGTTCGACTGTATTTTGGTTTCTAGAGTAATTTGTTGGTATAACACTGCAACAAATAGAATAAACCAAGTTACCCTGAGCCTGTGCAGCCAAGCCTGCTGGGGACATCTCGATTGAGAAGTCCTGCAAGTAACGACTTCATGTTCTCTGAAAAGGATTCTGGGTACTCCACATCCTGCAAGAGTAAAAATCATACAACACGTTGAATACAAGTGGAATTGGTCTTCTTCAACTAATTATTACTTATTCGCCATTTGCACATCTCCCATAATGCATCTTGTTTGGCCCCCATTTAGCATTACCATTGTCTTTAATCTTACCAACTGCAATATCCAGGAGAAATGAAAAACAAAAGTTATGCCAAACTTTTGGGGACAAACGAGGTGTTTAATGAGATGTCCAAATGGCGACTATGTGTTTATTTTGACTCCAGTTACAACAATGTTTTTACCAATTGCGTAGCCCGTCATTTCACCACGCGACACAACAGCCTTAACATCATTTTAGTGTAGGTTAAGTGACAATTTCATGGATTAATCCAACCTGAACAAGCACAACAGTCTCCTAGCATGTCATCTATCCACTATTTTACCTTTTTTGAGTTAAACCCCAGAATCTTATTTTGACCGCAAATTCTACATGTGACTGAGGTATTAACCGCGGCAGGATTAGCTTAGTCGGTAGAGCACTTGACTGCAGAGCGGGAGGTCGCGAGTTCGATTTCCGGGGCCGGACCATTCCTCAGTGTCTTTAAATAATTGAGAAATGAAGTTACTCCCTTTGCTCTGCAAATGGCTAGACCTTTGCGTGGTTAGGATGACCACGTAAAAAGGCGGTCCCGTCTCCAAATGCAGACGTAAAATACTGTCGCCAATTAGTACTTAAAGTTGACTTTTTATGTTAACCATACTTACGTAAGTTAGTGTTAATCTATCAATCTCATGCTTGTCTTTTGTTTTGTGCTGTCTGAATGGACTGTGTCTGTAAATGAAAAAGCCAAACGTCACTATTAGCCCGATTTGAGACTGGGTCGGTAGTTGACTCGAATTGAACTGTGGGGCTGTTGTCTGGTCCCCGACGCGAATGAAAAATAAAGGCAAGGCAACAGGAATTCCTTTTACTTGAGACAGACGCGTGATTTCGACAGTTTGTGTTTCTTTTCATCAGTTTTAGAAGGACTTTTGAATGGGCAGTGCTGGTGCCCAGGCACGGTGCCCGAGAAGAGTACTCGCTGTAGGACACTTATGTGAACACACCCTTTTTCAAGTGCCCATGCCCGTATTCGGGCACGGTGCCGGTACCCGAGTACAAGGTCAAGACCTTGTTCTCGTGCACAAAAAAGTGGGCACCGGGTCCCTTTGTGCACACTGTTTTTGCAAGTAATATGGCAGTCCACTGCTTTGTACTCGCTGCTAATTATAAGCTGACGTTTCAAAATGGCGTCTGATGGGGCGAATTGGAGTAACTATGTACGCAGTCACATATCAGGCACTCAAGGTGCGAACACAACACCATTTTGCGCTGGTACCCAGGCACTGGTTCCTGGGCTTTTTTGATAAACCGGTCGCTTGAGATCAGCGCCCAACTGTATTAACTATGTTCCCTCAGAGTTAAGTCATCACTTCAAATCAGATTTGTAAAAATTCCATAGTATACCTACCCAACCAGCAATTTGAAGAGCATACATCCGAGAGAAAACCAGTCCGCACAGGAATCATATGCCTCACCTTTCTTCAGAACTTCGGGGGCCATATAACCATGGGTTCCGCTGCGGAGAAAGAACTGAACGTGTCAAACGATTGGAACATCCTGGGGAGCACGGATGATACGCATGCACACTGCAACGACGACGGCGACGGCTGCGAAAACGTCACTTAAAAAGCGAATTCGCGCTTATTCCATCTCGTTAAATTCGTCAAATGTTGGCAAAATTTTTTGGGAGTTGAATTCTAAAGGACTGTATCAAAGTTCAGGAAAAGAAAACGAAAGTTGTTTTCTTGCGTTCATGTCCTCGACAAAACGTGAATCTAGGCACTTCCTCGTTGTAGTCGTGCAACGACGGCAAAAAAAAAGTACCTATTGATTTTTTGCCGTTCTCGTTGCCGCCGCCGTCGTCGTTGCTTGAGCTCCCTAAGGATTTGGCCTATCCAGTACGGGAGTTTGCGAGGAGTGGGCCGAAATTCAGGCCAGCTACCCGTACAGAGGCTACACTAATCCGAAACCTTACTGCCTTTGAACATTTTTTGATCCTGTCAGATTTTGGCAGCGACCTTTACAGGATTTTTCGAGAAACTTTTCCGCGACGCTACATGTAGCCGGCACAATGTGGGCGTCATCTCTTAAAGATTTCTCAGTTTCAACGGGACATCACAACCCTGAAAAAAGATTTTTTTCCTACAAAATGTACGTTAGCTCCTTAGAAACGGAAACCATTTGAAATGATAATGCGTGAGAAAAAGTTGTGAAGAAGAGAGATTCGTATATAATAAGACCGGCTAAAACAAACCAAAAAATTAATACTCCTCTTAGATACACAGGCGACACAAGAGCTGGGCGTCGATTTCGGTTATTTCATTCATACACTGTCGTACTTACACGCTGGCATGGGGCTTTTTCTTCGAAAAGTCACAAGCAAGACCAAGATCTGATATTCTGACATGGCCGTGTTCATCTAGCAGGATATTGGCAGGCTGTAAACCAAGAGAAAAAAAAGCCACATTAGATCGTTGTTAATCGAATGACACCTATCAAACCGTCCTTGCGGAGTTTAGGGTAAAAACAAAAGACCTCTTTGTTTTCTGTTCATCGGTAAAATCTGTTTGGCTTTGTTTCATGATTTTTGTTCTTTTGTTTTACGTCATCTGTGTCCGTTATCACGAAATATTAAAATGTCGTACTTCGGTTACAACACCCTACTAGCAGAGTCGCTTCGATCTTTCCTTCCTCTTCCCGTCTTATTTAGGAAGATCGAAGGAGACTCTGTTGGCAGGGTACGGTTACAAATGTTGCTCTCGAAATCTGCGTTTTGCAGTTTCAGTGTGTTAGCGGTTCACCTGCCTGAACGTTCATTTTTTTTCTAATTTTCATTTAAAAAAATAATAATAAAAAGTGGACTTTCGGGTTGCCACGCTTTCCTTTTTTTTCGGTATTGCATTTACTGTGTTGGTCTACTCGTGAAAAGGTGTCGTAAAAAACGGTTTTCAAAACGGTTTATATTATTTTGTGGATCAATCTTAACTAATGTAGATTAGTTAAAGTTGAGGGTGCGATTCAAAGCGGTTAATAAGACTTGCTTTGATCAGTTTTTCTAAAAACTAGGACGGAATTTGTGAATTCATTGCCCTTTTTTGATTCCTCCGCCCATTTTCGGTTTTTACCAGCTTTTATTATTTTTTTAAATCTTTTTTATTTCTTCTTTCAAACTTTCCTTTCCATAAGCGTTAAGCCCAACTATATAAGAAAAATTGCTGCAAGAAAAAAGTGAAGCTCTTCATAACGACTTGTTTAATTTTGTCCACATGAGAAACAGACTACAGCTTCCTGCTTTAGTATTAGGCCATCCCCCTTTCTTTTTTCGTTTAGCGTCGAATGCGTTTCCTGATGTTGGGTCGGTCGGTTGGATTGAAAAAAAAAACCTAAGAAAAAAATCACAAGAAGTCTCGGAATAGGAGGCCCTGTTACCCCAGGATGACGTTAAAAGTTAACATTCACAAATTTGGATTAACAAAATGCACAATATACTGTAAAAAATGTTACTGTTTTTCTCTATGCTGTTACTATGCCCATTTTTGAGATTAAAAAAATTATTTCAAGTGGAAAATGGTTTAACTACGTCGTTACTTTTTTTTTGGAAAATGCCAAAAATTTGGGTCGGCCAGACGACGCTAAACGGAGGGGAAAAAAAGAGGATGGCCTTAAACTTCTACCGACAGTGTGACAGCCACGAAGAAGCGTTACTACTGGCGTTATTCATTCTAACCAAATATAGACAAAAAGGTCACATGACACATCATTTTCCCGCCGCCGTCACTTTCAGTGAAAGTCAAGACTTTCTTTTACAAATTTTAAAGAGTGAAGATGTCAAGAATATTGAAAAAAACCAACAAAGACGGAAGAAAGGGTAAGTACTTTTTAATTTTTTTTTTAAGGTAAGATAACAGTTTACGCAAGATTTCAACTATCATTGCATAGGGACCCGAAAAAAAGCCTGGATTTGGTTTTGCCACGTGCAGTTAATAGACAGACATCTGTTAAGTAGTTAAGCCTATTCTCAGGTTAAACAGAATTTTCTTTGAACCTGTGAATGAGTAGGACTAGAAAACAAAGGAAATTCTTTATCAAGTTGGTTCGCTGAGAGAAGATTATACCTACAACATCAGTACCTAGTTTGGCCTTGCAGGATACCTGTTAAGCTGTTAAACTCAACTATATTATGCAACATAAGCTTAACAAGCTTAATCATAGTTAGGATGTATTTTAACTTGTGTCTTTTTACCTTAAGATCCCTATAGCAAATTTTTCTATCGTGCATGTGCTCCAATCCAAGAATTATTTCTGAAGCATAGAACCTTACCTGTAAAAAACAACAAAAGATACAAGACAGCTTCAAGTTAAACTAAGTTCTTTTTATTCTTCTAATATTACAATAATCTACATTCAACAGACCTTAACTAATATTCTGGTTTTTGGATTAAAAAAGACATTAGAATCAGAATTAGATCACGAATCAGTAAAAACTTTTCAAACAAAAAGGTTTTAAAAACTGTTCCACTACAAACTTTAACCAAATGAACAGTAACTAGATTCCTTGCAATTGGCTGACAGGCGAAGCACCTGCTGAAAACTAACAAGCCTAGGGAATCTGGACATAAGATTATTTTACGCGGCTAGCCAAGTTGAAAAAAAGTATCACATGTAACTCATGCAGTCGGACCTTGATTATCCAGACTCATTTCCCTGGTCCCATTTTTTCATGAATATTAATAAAATGTGATCCTTAAAAATTGAAACGAATAAAAAGCTCATTAATCCTTCCAAACGTGTGTTTAAAACACTATTTTAATCTGTTTCAAACATGAACACTTGAAACAGTAACTGTTGTATTTGTAAATACACAATACATAAAGACCGTACATAAATGCAAGTAAGAGCTAATTAAAATTAACTTTTGTTTTTTTACATTATTGTATTCATATTTTCGATTATCCAGACTCTCAATTATCCGGACTGTTTACTCAAGTCCCATGAGTCCAGATAATCAAGGTTCGACCGTATAGTGCCACTCACATTTTCTTCACTAAAGACACCATGCTGTGACAAATGGTAATGCAAATCACCACCTACAAAAGGAGTTTTATAAACATTAATAAAAGTAACAAATTAGTTTTATCACTGTTTAGAATTCCTGTGTGATCACACAAGAACTGTTCCTGACCCGTTATCCCAGAAGTTAGATTAACAAAATCTACCCCTATCCCCTCCCCACCCAGCTAAGGCTAGAACAAAGAGCTCTTATTGTAATTCTCTTTTCTCTAAATTTGTGTTTGTGGGCTACAAAGGACACAGCAATATTTTACTTATCACATTTCCAAGACTCATCTTTGGCTGGTTTCATAAGAAGATGGGAGCTGCGTACCAGAACCAATTTACTCTGAGCGCAGTACCCGCCCTCTTCTCAAACCAACCTTCTAACTTTCCCCTCCTACTCAATTTTGGGAAGCCCTTCTACTGTTAAAAAACATTTGAAAATCCTGGGCCAAATCTACATTAAGGTTAGGGAGGGCAGTGCACATAACATAATGCACAAAAATATAGGAGTGTGGGGAAAAGTGCTCCAAGTGACTCTCAATCTTATAACAATGGTTTTGCACACAAACAACTGACAGCCATGCCAAGCCAAAACATTAAGCCTGACATTATATATAATCACCACTGTACTAATCAGAAATACTACTTCTAATAGATATACAACAGCTGTGAAACCAGCTAACAAGAACTGAGGCTAGCATCAATATTGTAACTATCGCACAACTTGAAATGCTAAAACAACTTGAAAACACATGGAAGGCTTATGGAGGGGGGTGGGGCAGGTAAGACAATGGCCAGAAAACAAACTGAGTTTTCAATGAGTATCTGACATGAAGATCCCTACACACTAGAACACAGTCATACTCCCTACTGTATGTAACAAAAAAGTTACCAGCGTCATTTATTTCTCAGCCAGCGGAAAGCCACACGTACTGCAATACCTACCATTCATTAAGTCCAACACAAAACACAGTTTGTCTGGAGTTTGGAAGGCATATGTCATACACACAATAAAAGGATTGTTGACCTGAAAAAAAGCAATTGAAACAGGATGATTAATGAAAAAACAACAAAAACCATCACTGACATTAAAAACATGAAGGTCAATTTAAAGCTATCGATTGCCTTGGTGGACACGATCAATGAAACTAAACAAGTCTCTTTGAGATACATGGGAATAAAACATAGCAGCTGACTTAAAAGAAATTGGACAGACACCAGAAACAAATGGTGACATCAGAGGCAATTATTTGCATACGAAGAATATTTCCCTTGCCCCAGTTGTTCAAAAAGTGGAGTGGATAACACAATTGGTTTCCTAATTACTTATCCACTGGATAGTGATTATCCAATGGATAGCGCTATACAGCATTTAGACAACCAGGGCCTGGTCTTTTTGGTTAGTGTGCTTATGTACAACTTCCTGTGTTACACCAGCTGTTTACTGAGGGCCCAGCATGTAATCAAGAAAATAGGGGACTTCAGAATACAATTATTATGAGCTTAGTATGACAGTGGCAGGAGGTTTGAAATGGATTTAAGATCTTTCACAAAATACTTACCATGGAGAGCATAATCCTCTCATTTAATGCCAAAGTTTCTCCCTGCTTTAGCTTGATTCTCTTCTTGTCAAGGCATTTCATGGCATACCTTAATGATGCAACAAAAAAGGAATGTTATGGTTCAATGATTATGCTAGGAGATCTTGAAAAGCTCTGTTTACATTGCAAGCTATAACACTTAAGGCAGTCTCAAAACAAGCCACATGACACAAATGACACCTTGCATTATGGAAAAAATTATGATCATAAATTTGCATTTAAATGACAAAAATGTACCATGCAGTTAGTGTGCTGTGCCATCATTTAATTCCTGCTCTACAGTACTAGTTGTGACAGGGTAAAATATAATGACTGGATCAAGCAAATAAAATGGATAGAATTCCAATCGGACCAAACAATAACAAAGTATTTTGAACAATTTTATGCGGAACTGCCAACTCAAAGCATCTCAGACCAAAAGGTGGGTCTCTTTTTTTCCAGATAAGACCACAACAGGCCCAAGCTCAAGTTACAGTTGTTGGTGAACAAAAAGGAAACCCACACAGAAAGACTAAGACTAAGGGAGAGCAGAATACATACCACAAGGTAGGTTTTCTTGTTCATTATAATGAAACAATGTTAAAATTTCACTTTATTGTAAAGAACTATCTTCAAACCAATGAAACATTATTTTGCTTTGTTTTACAACCACATTTTTTTATTAATTTTAATTTAAAAAATTTCAGTGCAAAAAGTTCTCAACAACACCCACTGTCCAAACCGACTAAACACTGATCGACTCACCTATAATTCTGAATTAGGCCACATGTACAATGTACCTCTGATCATAATTACTGGCCAAATTGAGAGTAATCTTAATAAGCCTGTTCAAGTTTCAAATTCACAGGCACTGGGTTAGAACATTCTTGCTTAAGAAGCTGAACCATTCAAAATTACACAATTACTAGTCTTACATTTTTCCTGTGTCAGCCTTTCTACAGCCATACACCTCTCCAAATCCACCACGGCCAATAATTCTATGTACACTAAAATCATTCATGGTTAGCTGAGGAAAGAGCAAAGTTGACTAAATTAGCATATTACATCCTTCAAAATGATAGTGATTGCATTAAAAATATTGGGTGTAAGTATCTTAAAGTACATAAGTTAATATCCTCTGGCTAGATGAGCATCTCATCTTGAGAGTTGAAGTCTCATCTCAAAAGATTAGCATCTCAGCTTTAATAGAGACAAGACTCTTTCAAGTGCCACATTCGCAAATAGCACAACCAAACATCTTCTGTGCCCTAATTACACGTAGAAGCAGATCAAAACTATGACAATTGAAAGGAACACATTTATCTCACTCTGCTCAATACAATGTAAATAAAAATAACAAACTTTATTGATTCTCGCAAGACAAGACCACTTGTCTCACACAATGAGATGCTCACCTCACAAGAAACAAGACAAGACTGGTAGTGTAATTTACTTTTTGACCAGAACTGTAATTATTTAAGACTATATATTGAGTCCTCTAATATTACAGACTCTGCAAGTACATTCTGTACATTGTGTCTTGATTCAAGTACATGTTCACACATTTAAGTGATAGATGCCAACGTACGTTAATATTTAGCTCCACATTTTTCCACTGACAAAATCTGATATATCTGTCACTAGATTGAAAATAAAAGTCATTAGCTGCATTGTAGTGAAATGCAATGTTATAATACAATAAATTATTGAAAACTCAATAAGCAAACAACCAAAGCCACCTTTACCCCGTTCATATAAACCTGTCGCGTGCAATAGGATTTGGGTAGGGAGAAGTAGTATTTGCAGGTGCCTTTTGGCATGCAGCTGTTGAAGGCAGATTAAGCACAAGGTCAGTCAAAGACCACCTTTGGCTTGGATTTAAAATCGCATCGGACACCAAAAACCACTTGTATTTTTGCCAAAACCCAAATGCCAAAAAAGGAAACACCACAAACTGCAAAAGACACCAAAACCTGACAAAAGGATCACGCTTTTAAAGTGCAAAAACTGAAAAACCAACCTAAAAAGGGCCAAAAACCGCAAAACTAACATACCGGTAAATAAAAGTATGAGACACTCACCTTTTCAAAAACTTTTGGAAGATTGATCCTCTTAAACTGTTTCTGATTTCTAACATGTAAGGCTTTAAAAATAAAAATGAATAATATCCAATATCAGCAACTAAAATTACTTATAAATTTTCCTTTTAAATCTAATTATTTTTGGGTACTTATATGTTTGTGTACACTGTCAGGGTGTTCATTTAGCGTTGGAGATTGGAGAATTGTCTGTTTACTATGCAGAATTATCCACCTGATGTTCAGTAGCCTCTATGACTAATTTTTATTGATATGTCGAGCCTCTTTCAAAATATTCTCCTGTAGTGTTACACCTTTCTCCTGCTACTAGAATTCTTAATGAAAACCTTCACTGTACTATCTTCCTGATAATTTTAACAGCTGGAAGAATAGGAAAGAATGGCAGAAGAGGGAGAAATGTAAAGAGAAAGAGAGCTTATGGACAAAGCTTAACTGGACATGCTAAAAGGGATCATGTGAGGGGTGGCGAATGGTACCTCGAAAAACATGGGTCTCGGAAAATTTTGGCAGGATCTCGAAATCTCGGAAGCGTTTTTGATAAGTCTCGAAGTCTCGTTTTTGCATGGTTTGTTTTTACTTTTTTTGAGTCTCTAAACTTTTTCCCAAAGAGTCTCGGGCTCGGATTTCTAACTAGGATCTCGGCGTCTCGGCGAGTCTCAGATTTTACCATTCGCCACCCCTCATGTGGGTTATAACCAGTCAACCCTCATTGGGGAAAATCAAGGGGGGAGAATAGACAGGAGTAAGACAATTCCAGGAAAAAAATCAACAATAGGAGCATCCAGGATTTATGCATTTGCAAAAGACTAATTTAATAATATTCTTTTTCCAGACTTGAGGTAATCAAATCAATCATTGATAGAACCCTTGAAAAATTCAGGAAACAAGCTTTACCCATAATGCACTGCAACTGTATAGTAACCATAGAGCAATGTGGACATAAGAGAGTTCTGTTGATAGGATTTGACTACTAAAAAACTTTACTTAAGCAATTACCCACTTAATGCAATCTTGAAACAAAAAGTAACAGACTTTTTACCATTTTTCAAGACTTTATTAGAATTAACAATTGTATCTTTACTTTTTACACTTTCTGATCTGGACAACTGGATTGCAAATTACAAGACTCTTCCAGGAATCCAAGACTGTGTAAAAACCATGAACATCCTAAACAACCAAGCTTACTGGCTTATTTTCCCTGGACATCAAATAGAGACAAATTATGAAATACTTTATTACTTTCTTACCTCAAATAACGTTGATGGAAGCTCTTTTGTTTTCTTCATAATTGAACTTTGAACTTGTTCCAGAGCACTTTGGGAAAACGACTGTAATATGAAATAATTATACAAACTCTTAATATTTTGCTGTAGGTCAATTTGTTGATAAAGCTGTTTGTCTTAAATGTCTTCCTACAATCCTCAGAATGTCAGTTGATATATATGATGCTTGCCTTGTCTTGTTCTGCCTCTCCATTGATCTTTTAGACAGGTTTAAATTGGTCTCTTATACAGCTCATATTTATCTTAGTTGGTAAATTGTTAGGTACATCAGTTGAAGTTGTACTAGTATCTTTCTGTCATTTCCCCATGTTGGTGTACAGGGATAGTTGGTCTCACCTTTTGCTGCTTTTCACAATTTTAGTCTAGTATTTTTAAGGTTTCTCTTTTGTCCAGTTTGTTCAAACATCATTAGTCTCCCTTCTCTACATGTAGGTGCTCCCCTTTTAAAGGGAACCTCCACTTCAACAAAAAGATAACTTTAAATCACAGGAAATAACTGTTACAGTCAAGTCAATCTAAAATATTTTTAAAGAAAGCGTTTGTATCCGAAAGAAATAACTTTTAGATTCGCCTATTTTTGTTTTCAAATTTTGCAGGCATCGCCATCTTGAATAATTGTGACGTGTAATGGTTGCCCTATTGTTATTAAACAAAAGCTCTTTGTGTCAGAACAATAGAGCAACCGTAACACGTCACAATTATTCAAGATAATGGCGCATAAAAATTTGAAAAAGAAAAATAAGCGATTTTAAAATTCACTTTTTCTGATATAAACACTTTTTTTAAGACAAATTTCGAACAAATTTGTTTATCAACATAATTTTATTCGATTTAAACTTATTCTGTAGTAAGAGTGGAGGTTCCCTTTCAAAAAATGTTTTGTGCACCGTTTGCGTTGCTAGACAACACAGAGCGCCAACAACTTTCTTCATCCACTGGGAAAATAATGGTTCAAGCTCCCTGTTTGCATGTATTTGCCAACTTGAAATCTAAGTGACAGCCCTAATTAGCATTAAAGCCATTATATTATTCTTAAAGGAAATACATTTAGCTGAACTGCATTACTAAACAAATAACAGAACCTACATACATACATAAAAATACTCATAAAAGATCAATTACTTAAACACTTACATGTGAACATGCAAGGAGCTCAATCATGATGTATTTGTCAAATATTTCTCGTGCCATCTTCAACCTGTCTTCCTGAAACTGTAGTTTTTCATACTCTCTTATCTGAAGTAAAAAATGATTTTTTTTTCTAATTAGTTAACACTCCTGGCTTTAGGTTTTGACCACAATACAATGGAGGCATGACTCAAAATATATCCCACAATACTATACTAAAAGATTAAAAAATAAGATATTGTCATCATCATTATGTTATTATTATTATTGTTGTTATTATTATTATTATTATCATCATTATCATTATCATCATTATTAGTGTTATTACATTCTTAATAATTTTATTCTCGATTTGGTACAAAAACAGTCATGTCAAAGTTGATATTTAGAGAGTGCAGTTGCAACACTTAATAAGCTGAAAATACAAACTTCCATACTTGCTAAATGCAAAAGGTTCCAACACATTTGCCAGCATAAGCAGTTGTTCTTTGGGAAAAGATTTTCCTGGAAATAATGGGTGATTCTAGAAAATATCCATACCGTACCACAGAAGGCTACCATATTTTACCGCCCCCATCACTTCAGGAATGACCAAAATGCATCCCCCCTCCCCCCACACCATGTCCCCGGAATTTCAGAGTTGTTAACGCCTCCTCCCATTCAGTTTGGTGAGTCAGTCATATGATACCTCTATGATATGGAATCATAGCAAGTCCTTTGGTTTACACATAATAGTCAAGCTATAGAAGCTAACTACTGATGAAGCATTTTGGTTTTCTTCTGCAAATGAAAATGAACACATGGCTGATCGATCAATGCTTGTCTTGTATCCTGCTTCCATGGTCATTAGCAGTGTCATCAGATCATGCTTTATTTGCTAACTGATTAAGTCCATACAAAAAGAATTTTCAAGGAATACATGTAAACTCCTGTCTGTCTTTCCCTGTAGAAATTTCAGATGTCCACCAACCACATCTTCGGAATTCCAATCATAAGTATCTACCATGCCTTTGGATTTCTAGTTAAAACCACCCTCCTTGCCCTTGGAATTCCCAAAAGCCGTCCATGTTATACGGTATGGATATTTTCCGAAATGGCCTAATCATGCAAAATACACAAGTATAAAGTATAAAGTATTAGTATTTAAGTATAAAGTATTGGAAAGACTCTTATGGCTGTCGAATCAGCAAGAGATCTAGGAGTACACATAGATTTACACCTGACCTATGACACTCATATCTCCCACTTAGTCTCTTCTTGCTTGACTAAACTGGTTCAGATCAACCGCCTGAAATATTGTTTTGATAGAAAGACTTTGGTTTTAATTATTACATCTCTTGTCTTTAGCAAAATGCTCTACTGTTCGACCGTGTGGTCTAATACCTCATCTAAGAACATCCAAAAGCTGGAACTTATTCAGAATTTCGCCTGCAAAATGATCTGCGGTGCTCGGAAATATGACCACGTGACGCCATTACTTGACCAACTCAACTGGCTTCCAGTTAGCAAGATGCTCAAATTCAGAGACGTTGTTATGGCTTATAAGTGTGCCAGCAATTTAGCTCCTGAATACCTATGTGCTAAGTTTAAAAAACGATCTTCTGTACATAATTGCACAACCCGTAATAATGAGAAGTTCGAAATCCCATTATTCAGGTCAGCCACTGGCCAACGTACCTTCGCCTATAGATCAGTATCCCTGTGGAACACATTACACGAAGACCTTAGAAACGCTACAACTGTAAAGGCCTTTAAGAAAGCCTTGAAACTTGTAATGAATGAATGATCGAATGACAGTTAGCATTTAACAATTATAAGCTTGTTAGATATAGCTTGCATTTATATTTGTAAGTAGGTACTGAAAAACCTTTTTTTGGGAGTATTTATTAATGTTTAAATTAAAATTTAATTTAACCTCTTGACTAAAAAACCTGCATTACAAAATCAGGGTTGTACACCTGTCACAATTGATAATTTATTATGACATTAGCTATGTAAATATATCACTGTTATGACAATGATCTGAAAAAAAATTAAGACTTCCCCCAAAAAGTATAAAGAAGGAAAGTAACTGAAAACTATATGTGTAGTGTTTCTGTTTTTTTTTCTTCAAAGCTACACTGTAAACGTTTCTATAAAATACGATGCAAATAACAGTACTACAGGTTGGAAACAACACGTTTAAAAGTGAACAAAAAAAGCAAAACTGTCTTCTTGTCATCACTTAATCAAGCATGCAAAGAACAAAATTTGTCACCATTGATGAGGAAAATATGATATTGATGCTACAAACAATACTTTGTAGTCGTCTTGGTTTAGACGTCTGAATCAGACATTTTAATACAATTGACATTTAATGCATCTGCCTGTGTTATTTCCTGTATTTATACTAGACATGTTATTATGGGAAACAAGGCAGATGAATAAAATTATTACAAGTCTAAAGTTAAGGGCAGGTTTTTAAATATATGACCTGTTAGTTACACATACATTGTTACATGCATGGCTGTTAATTTAATGAAACACAAAAGTCCTTCATACAACTTATTAACGACCATGCTTTGGAAATTTTTTATTAAACTGCCACGTGCATGTCAAATAGACTTCAAAATCATGGTGAAAATTCACAAAGGGTAAGAGAGTGATCAGTTCAAATGTTGTAGGTAACTGGAACTCGCAAGTTTAAACAAGCTAAAATTAAACTCTCAAAAGTGTAATTCCACATGGCTTTCAGCAAACATACGATGTATGATTTAAATGAAAGTTGCATGACATGTATGCAAATCACCTTTTCATGCATAAATGAACCACTTAAAATAATTTTCACTTCATTCTAGCAATTTCAGTGAATAAATTTGATGACCAAGATTTGCCAAGAATAACAATGATATACACTATGTGTTTGCAAACAACATTTGCTTGGGAAGATCTTTTATAATCATGATTACAATACCTGAAAGATCAATAAAATAATTCAATTTTTAATATCTTCGTCACATGGACATCATTAATATTAAGGCAACAGCATGTGCACTAGGTAAAATCCCATGAAAACTATGGTTTGCCAGGCAACAATATCTCTGCTTCTAATTTTATTTTACTGCATTTAGAATATAAAATCGAACCTTAGACTAAACAAAAATATTACAATTAACTGAGAAGAAATCGCTAGATATTACTTTTTACAAAAAAGTTCACTGAGCAAAAAACGACACTTTTTATCTTGTAAATTTCTCGTCCAATATAGTTAAGACTCAAGCACATACCAAGTGAATAATATGAATTATATTCCTTTACTTCTGTTTACCATAGACATTCATTAATAATTTACAAGTTAAGATTTCACTTTGGCAGATAAAAAACTGGGCTGCAAGAGTTAAACGGTAAAAAAATAGATTCATGGGACGATCAAACTCGGGCATAGCAATCACCCTCAAATTGTACCCTATTTCCAATTATCTTGCCTTATAATTTCGGTTTTGTTCTGGTAATGATGTTCAAAGCAACTCCTCGGGGAATCGCATAAAAACAAAATTTCCATGACTTTCTCCCCTTGGTAGTTTTAATTTTTATGAACAGGTAGATCGTGCGATAGAGAAAAAAAAGTCAAGAGGAAGGCACTTTTAGTGAATGAAAGACTCAAAGAGAAACAAATTTGTGGTTTAAGAGCATAACAATTGTCACAACTGATTTCAATGCACCATCGTGTTGACCAGCATTAAATTTGTACATGCGAGAAGAACAAAATGATTATGGACGTGCTAATTTTGGCGCCGTGAACGCTTAAATCTTCTAAGAGCACGCTGATCGGACTAAGAAACGCGGGAGCAAACACAGACTAAACGCCCGTAACGGTGTTTGTTAAAAGCTGTTTCGTCGAGTCGTGTTTCAATAAGCAGCGATTGAGAGAACGGGCAGGGTGTCGATTTCAACTATGTTTATTCAAAAGCAACGCAAAAACATTGAAAATTCAACTCGATGTTGCTGAGCTTTTTCGAAAACAATAGTTGCACGCATACGAAGAATAGATAAAATCCAAATTATAGCTCTCAAAATTAAACCTATTTTGTATTTGCCACTTGCAGGATCACTCTACCGGTGATTTACGACCCATGACAACAACTCAACGGCAAAACAAATGTTCCGAGGGCACAAAGGGAACATCTTTATAATTCGTGCAAAAAACGAAGCAATTAAAGTTCCCAAACTCCGAGAAATTAGTTGGTTTTCATTATTTAGCGTAGGATCTAGTTTGGCGCATTAAGTATCGTGCCAGTTGAATATAAAGGCAGGAAGTGGAATTGTGTTAGTTGTAAACCGTGGCTGACAATTCCAACATGCCCTCTTACAATACACCCTTGCACTTCCTTTCCACAGTCACTGGGCAGTAAATACGAGCTTTCAAAAAAAAGAAACACAGCAAATACTGTATATTTTCTAACGAATGGCAAGCTCATTTTGGCGACCCAGAAAAAAAAGTCTTCTAGTAGGCGAAAAAAGCTGCCACAATTTACAGCTGACTCAAAAAAATTCATTGCTCGCGAATTGCAGCAATAAGTTGAGCTAACAACCTGGCTAGGCTATCTGAGAAATTTTTGACGACTATTTATCACGCTTCTCCAGTTAAGCTTGCACAACAAGCACCCGCCCACTCAAGAAAATATTCTTGTAAACTTGCGGCTGCTTAGCAGCTTCCTGCACAAAGTTGGGAAAATACAAAGGTAAATAAATAAATTAATGTAAGATATAAAAGCTCGCTCACTCACATCTTCGTAAAATGCCAGCTGAGGGACCGGTTCGTCGCATTGGGTTTCGCAAAATTCCTTGAAGACCAGATAACCTTGAAAATGAAACAGAAGATTACATCCGTCAGAGCGTCGTCGAAAAAGCATAAAAGCTAAATGAATAGCATGGTTTACGAGGTATACTACACTGATCATATATAGTTTTCGAGAAAGGAAGCGCGTTAGAAACACGACAGCAGCCTAACTATACATTACTTTTGGAACGATTCGCTTACCTATCCTTTGATCGAATATTTTGTCGAATTGGACCTCTCCTCTTTCGCTTAAATACTTGTGCATTACATGGTAAACACTGGAAATATAAAGGCAACAAGGTCGTTGATGGAACAGACCTAAATTCTCAGGTTAACAAACTCAATCCTAGGGATATGAATTAAAAGCGATCGTAATAATCTACATACGATGGATCAGGCAACACTATTTTCTTGCTCGCACGTGCGGCCGGCGTGGATTTCGATTTTTCCATCGCCATTAAATAGGAAACATCAGCCAAAACCGCCTCGAGGTCCGCCATCTTGGCTTGGCAGCTTGGTTTATGTTGCAAATTTCCTCTCGGCGATGAACATTTGCGAACTCTTCATCACAGTTTGTCGGCTGCTGATTGGTCAGAGGTAATAAGTCACGTGACAATCCATGATGGCGGCCCATTTGATGGCTATACGGGCAAAAGTCAATTACGGCTTCCTCTTAGTAACTTCGGCATGCTTTCCCGACGATGTTATCTATAACTCCTTAGATAACTGTGAATTCTTTTTTTAATAAAATCAACGTTATGGTTCTTTAGTTTTCTATCGCTTCGGAAATTTTTTTTTGTCCACTGTCACTGGTGATAACACGGTGACAGACATTAGGGGAATGCGTTTAAAATCTCTTGAGAATGTTTGTTTTGGTAATATTGGTAAAACCGAACGTTTGCATAATTCCTTTTACTGAGATATTGGCACTGTAAGTGTGGCTCGAGTCTCTTGCCTTTTAGTTTTTTTTTTCTTAGACTGCTATACAAACAATTGATTAAGTAAAGGAGAACATTCTTTGAAAAGACCTCTTTGAGGCAAAAAAAACTTTTATCGGTGCAACACAAAACGAGTATTGTCTTTACTTCTTAGGTATTTAGTTTTATTTTTCTTGTAAAATGAGTTGATATAAGATGTCATTTAACACTTTGCTGAGGCACGCGCCTTCGCAACTTTAAGTTAAGCACGACATTTGGGTAATTATGGGGCACTGTTGTATTAAAATCAATTCAACTTTAAAGGTTGGCGATGTGTCAGATTCGTTTGCATAATCTGGATTACAAAGGAAGATAATCAGGCTGTTGACGACAAGTTCAAATTTACAGATGTAAGGTCCGCCACTTTTTCGAACAAAACCAATTTTTTCTGCAAAAAAAATGCTCATGGCCACCTGCTGGACCCGACAGCTAAAAGATGGATCTCCGTCATCAGCTTCGTTTTGAACAATCAGGTAACCTTTCCAGCTTCTTGCCATCTGGAACTTTTCAAAACATCGAGTTAATAAAGAGAAAAGATTTTCATTTCTTTACTTCCTCAGAATCGTAATACCCACCCAAGAGGACCAAGAAGGGCGGATAAAAGGCGGAGAAGGGGAGCGTCTCTTGAACTAGAAATTATCGAAAATGCAAACAGCCCTTGATGGGGACTTTCAACAAATCGACAAGTTTTCATTGTTTATTCTCTCGACACCGTTGCAGATGAAAGAGAAGACGTCATAATGTCTAAAATGTCATAAGATAGCAGGTGTACAAATTCGGTCCCTGAAGATATCAAGTCAACTTTGGAAAAACTTATGGCGTAGACTTTCGAAAAGCCCTTTAAATTTTTTTCTTAGCCTGGGCGACCTCGTTGAAACTCGCTTTGCTCGCTTTTTGGAACTTATGAGAGGTCGACGAGTAGCAAGTCTACTTATGACCACTTGAACATTTAAATCAACTTAAAACGCAAGATGAATCATCCATATTGGCCGCATTGAAAACCTCAAGCTGAAAATAAGCATACCAAAACAGGACGTCAAGTACTCTTGAAGTTTATCTAGCCTGGCTGAAAATCTCTAGGAAAAGTGTCATTACTATCTCATGACTAAACCGTTGACTGTACGTAAGATACTCGTGACTGTCATCAGAATTTCCATCAATAGACATGATGGATCATGATACGTTTTAGGAAACTACCCACCTACTCCACCCCCACCCCTCCACAAGCCAACATTTTGCCCTAAGTGAGAAGTACCTGTTAATGATGGCTTAGCGGAGGGGCTGGTGGGCAGTTTCCCAGAAATATATAAGGATCAGACCTAATTATTTAGGTCTCGAAAGGGTGGGTAGAGGCGTTTTTGGCCGAACGGTTAACACCTCGAACCCCGGATCTGGAGGTCCGGATTTCAAGCGCTGTTTCCGCAGGCAAGGAACTTTACTCCCACTGTCTCTCTTCATCCAGGGCCGAGTTGTTCAAAGCTGGGTTAAGATTGCCCAGGGTTAGTGCGAAATTTGAAATCAGATTTGAATGCTTAAAAAGTAAATTCGGTTAAATTTTTTCTGTCAACAAGTTGATGATTGGATGCTTTTAGAAATAACAGAGAAAATTGTCGGAGAAAATGCTTTTGAACAAAAGAAAAAGAAACCTGGGTTAAATTTAACCCTTGGGTTAAGCGCTAATCGGCCTTCGAACTACTTGGCCCAGGTGTATAAATGAGTACCGGGGACATACTGCTGCGGGCAACTCTACGATGGACCAGCATCCCTTCCAGGGGGAGTAGCAATACTCCCACGCATGCTACATGCTAAGGAAACCGGGATAAGCTGCCGTCGTTTGGGCCTTTGGTGAGTGTGCGCCTTCACCTTCTTTACCTGGAAAGAGGGTGTCAACGGGTGGTGGCTTTTACGGTTATCGGCTAAAATTTTGGTTCTTTTACGGCTATCGGTTAATTTTTTTCAGTTACGGTTAACGAAAAAGTTAAAAATTAACTTCTTTTGTTTCAAAAAGTTCAATATTAGTAACATATATTTTTTTGAATAAAGGTCTTCGGATCATCTCCGGATGAAATAAGCTATTCTTTTCAAAAATTTTAACATTTGATAGATCATACTTTTTTTAAAGTATTCCACTTCTAATATTATTTTACACTTAGAAATGTCAATAGTCAATTTAAAAATAGTCTTTGTGAAAAAGCAAAGGCAGACACGCGAACGCCCAACTCAAGGCCGGGGCGCGACATTCATTATAACAGAAATGTCCGTTTTCATACTAAAGAAGGATTATTCGTGTGAGATGGGTTATCCGTTTGATGATTCGCGTGAGATAGGTAATACGTCTTAAATTGAAAATGAAATAGTTTAAGTTTTGAATGAACAATCCGCCTGACTTTTGAAGACGGGATTATCCGTTCCAGATAGCCTGTGTACAGCCGCCCCCTCCCCTCAGAAAAAATCGGAGAAGGGGTGTCTGTGGGGAGGACGCGACTGTCTGACAGGCTAGTCTCAGACGGATGATCCATTTCTAGCTCTGGTGTGAAAACGGCCAATAACAAAATTCCCGTGTCCATTGTTTTTAATGATAGCGAAGGACTGTAAGGAACGACTGTCTGCCGTTGCCTTGTCCGTAGGCCGCATTATTCCGCGCGGCAAATGCGTTTCGGGCCACGTGGTCCGAGCGAGTTCGCCATCTAAATGCCTTGACCGAGACTGCGTGGGAAGAGGCCGCACAGGGACTAGGCATGGCAATGTCTACTGTAGCGTCAGAGAAAAACAGAGAAATGTTGTTTGTCGGCAACGTGTTTTACAAACAGTGACATCTCTGCGTGTTGTTTTACTCGTGTTTTGAGGGCACGACCTCCGGAAAATTGCAAATATTAATCCCCAGCAAGAAGCCACACTTTCAGGTCTTGCTTAAGGCGCTTCGCCTAACGTGCGTACGGGAGTCACACTAGCCGGGAAATAAAAAACGCAACCATAAGTGAGTTTAGTACCTTCCTTAAAAGTAGCAAGTCTAGGGAACACTTTCTTTTACGGTTAACTCTTTTTTCCCCTTTTTACGGCTAACGGTTAAAATTTTTCAATTTTTACGGCTATCGGCTAAATTTTGGCCGTTTTACGCCTATTGGTTAAACCCATTGAGACCCTCTGGAAAGGGTGGTGCTGAGCGCGCATTCCCGCTCCTTTTCCAAGATAATCCCGCATCCCGAACTTCAGTCATCCCTATCCCGAATATCGTTTCTTTTCAAATCCCACATCCCGTGCCCATTAAATTTTAGCCAATCCCACTTCCCGGGTAGCAGTCAAATCCCTTACCCGTAAACTTCTCCCGAATCCCGCACTGTATTTTGGTCAAATCCCGGATCCCGGGAACACCCTTCCAGACCCGAATCATTGTCCGCCAAAGGAGTTTTCCTATTTGTCTTGGTCGTTTCGGTGAGAAACATCTTATTTTCCTAATTACAGTGGATACAGCAATGCATTGGAAGTCAATACACCTGTCATTGTCTAGTGCAGGAGGTGTCAGGAACAATAAGGGCTATATATCTCTATTATTTGAGGAATTTTCACTACTTAGTTGATGGCTGGGACTCTTGCCACTTGTTGCAGAATTTTGCTCCGTTTCTTAACACGAAATGGAAATATTTGCGTCATAATTTACTACCATTTTCTGTTCACCCCCAATGGTGAAAACCTACCATGACCATGCTAATTCTTAGTAAGCTAACTATCAAGGAATGATACCTCCGATGGTCGGTTGTCCATCAGTCGATAAACCTTGTGGTCCATTTTATGGTTCTCATTGTAACGTTGTGTCTACATTGCTGAAATAGAAGTTATACGGTCCAAAAACCCAAAGGACTTGCAAATTCATAGGCCGACATGGTAACTGCCAGACAACACGTTTTTAATATTCTAGCAGAGAAAGGAAGCCCAAATGTTCAACTGGGTTCAAAAGGGGCTATGCAACTAGGATGTTGCTGTTTTAAGATTCTGTGAAAAAGTCAATAATATTAGTGTCTTTACTCAAACACAAAATGCTCCTGCATTTAGTTTTATGAGGACGATATCAGCAAATTTCATCGGGAGCACTAACCACAATTATTTTTTGCTCAGTGATTTTTTACCTCAGGCATAGCATTAAAACTTAAAAATGTTAGCCCAGCTTTTTCAAGTTTCAATCCATCTCAATCCTTGCCATCCTTTACAAAAGACGCTACAAAACAGCTTCAGGGCTTAAATATAGCCTTCAATAACAAACCTTGGCCGTTATTTTTGGAATTCAATTGATGCGCTTAAAGTTTTAACCTTTTAAAAAGATAACAAATATAACAAATGGCGTGGCAGGTTGGGTCTAACTTAAAAGTGTTGAACATTACCTCATTTAAATAGGACTCTTCATCAGAACCGGGTTTTCAAAGGGCTGTCAGTTACTTCAGTAAGATTCAGTAATGTATATGACTCTTGAATTCTCACTTTGGAGTCTCCAAAGCGCCGGACAATCTTAATAGCTAAGTCCATCATAAACGACCAACTCTTATTGCGCCGATCACTTTTATGAATTCCCTAGATTTTCGAGGCTTGACTGTACCAAGTTTATTCGAAATATAAGGCTTTGTCTTGAAATCGGTTGTTTCTAAAACTTGTGTTTTGTTTTTTTTCTGCTCTCGTTTCTTCCCTCCTTTTTCTTTCTTTCTCTTTTTTTGGGGGGCTTGGGAGGGGCTTACAAACTTACAAATAAAAAAGCTTTTCTGTCCTAGGTTTCCCAGGAACCGGCTAACGTTCGACAAGGTCTTCTGTATAAGTGTCTCAGAGGCTGGTGGCATATCTCCGCGTTCAAAGATTTCTTCAGTTCATCGGATAAGACATCGTCACGGTCTGCTTTTCACGACATTGCGTCGTGTTGGAAAGAATTAAATTCATTTTAACCCTTTCAATCCCAGAGTCGACCCAGAGCCTTGAATGATGAAGTCGCAGTGCATGTAAGGTACTTGTAACTTTCAACACTGTAGACGAAATCCTATGGTGTGGCCATTCGATAAAACGTACGTCGACTTACGTGATACCCGTTTGTTTTTCAGTATTTTAGAAAATGAAAGTTGGAAAGTTTCTTTTAGTTTTGGTTCGGTCAATTTGGGGAGATAATTTAAAGCATCGATCATACAGCGGCGTTGTCAATAATGGCTCTCGCAAAAGCAGTGTTTCACATAGATAGAGTGAACGATAACTTTTCTTCAATCTAAGTATATTGTTATGTTTTTAAATATATATTACACATGGGCGGATTTAGGGGTGAGGTCGAGGAGAGAGCGGCCACCCCTTTGTCTGTGACATTATTTTTTTAAAATAAAGATTTCTTAGTAAAAGAAATAGTATCTATATAGTTGGCAAGTGTCCCGGTTTTCCCTTTCTAAAGTTTCTGGATCCGCCCTTGTTGCACGTAATGTATGTATGCGAAATCTGGGATCAGATGCTCGCATGAGCATGGCTTGAACCGTAGGCGTCTGCTTATCATAGCGTGAAAGAAAGTGCTCCAAATATTTCAGTCTGAAGCCAGTGGTCCTCAGATCGATAAGTAATAAGATCTCGGTCCAATCCATTGCTTCGTTTAGGAACCTTGATTACTACAAACTCTTTTCCTGGTTTACTTATAACATCACCAGTTCAGTTGTGATTATAAATTCATTATTCAGAGGCACCCAACGACCGTTTTCTGTGAAATATCTGCTCGGAGAAACAAATATTGCCTAGAACTTTCTAGTACTTGAGGAGGGCTAAACATTTCTAGATGACCGTTGCACTCACGTACAATTTTCGAAGCTTATCTAATAAATTTCCACGAGTTTTCTGCTGTTTATTTTCACTTTTCACTTCCCAAGTTAGGCTATTTTTCGCAGAGTGAAAGGAAAGCGAAAATTTTCGGATTCAAAAATGCAATGGAGAGAGAAATCAGAAAATGTCTGATACGTCAAATTGCATCTAAAATTTTCGGGAAAATAATACTCAAGCCCTTGTAATTTCGAAAAGACTCAAGTTCCCCTACGATGACCGAACCGATACAAATTATATAGCGCCGCTTAGAATGCATTTCTAGACATCTAAAAGTTCTCTGGATAGCCTAAAAAGTGTTGCCTGTATTTAGGAGGAAATCGTCGTTGGGCGTCCCTGATTACGAGCATGGAGAATGTTCTATTTAAAAGGATAAAACATATAAAATCTACAGATAACATCATAACATTTAAAATGTTATCTTTCGCTCTCAGAAAGTGCTTTTATTCAACCGAGCATTGTTAACGTTTGTTTACTTGGAGGGCGACAAGTATCCAACGGGTGGAAGGTCAAATATTTCACCAACAAAGACAATGAAGTAAACAAACCAGGCCTAAAATGTCTTTGACGACTAGTAGTATCTCGCTATTGACCCTTCTGTGGAGTTGTCATGTCGCAGCAGACGTTTCTCGAGGAATGCTTTTTCCCAGGGAGTCAGAAACGCGACAGGTTAAATCTTTGGACGGGATGTGGGATTTTAGAGCGGATATTTCCTCTGTCGGGTTTGAAGAGATGTGGTACTCGTTACCCTTGGCAGAGGTAAACGTTCTTCATTGATGGATTATACTATGCTGATTTCACCCTTATTTCAAACCTCGCTGAGGCTCCTCCCAGCGAAAACGATGGGGTTGCCTTATTGGCTTTAGAGTATGGAAAAGACCTTGAACTTGTTTTAACACTAGTGCACTTAAAAAATGTTTACATTAGAGTCCACGATATAGCGAATTCAAGTTGACAAGAAAGCATGAAGCTGGATTTTATTTGTAGGTGCTCGTGCGTTTGTGGAAGAAAGTGTTAGGATTAAGGTTAGGATTCCCGTTAAAGGACCTGTAATCACAGGTGCGCACTTGTAAATCAATCCCCGCAATAAGATGATAACATGCTGAAAGCCCTAAAAGCACTATAGGAAGGCAGGGAATGGACAACTAATCTAGTGAACGTTTTAATCGGATTTTAGGCATTAAAAGTCATAGAATTGCATCATCCCCCTTAAGTTTTGCCTTGAGACGGTGAGTGACATGTTTCCGCCCGGTAATATAGCCAAATGTTATGAAAATGTGTCTGCTTACATTATTGCTTCGGAACGAGGAGGTCTAAAAGCCCTCGATGTCCTCAGAAAGATAGTGATCCGCAGCTTATATCATGAAATAAAGTCCGCGCGCATTTCTTAGCTCGGACTTCTGCAGGCATCACAACGGAAGGACCTGAAGAACACAGGGATCATTGTGAGCAACAGCCTAGCCACTACCTGTGCGCACATGCGTAATCGCCTCTTCTTTGCATGACTGTCATGGGCAACCGTAAGTGCCATCCACTGGAACTCGACATTTTGTTTAGTTTTGTTCGTTTGTTTTGTGTGAAAAATCAGTCCTAAAAGGAACCTTCAATACTCCGTGATAAACATTCAGCTTCTAGACGACTGAGAATGAGATGGTGCCAAGTCGAATTTTTGAAAAATCGGCCCTACTAATGTTAGGTTAGTGGTGTTCCTCGACGCCATTAAGATTCCTTTAATTTCTTTATGGATTCTTTTAGAGAGGAGAAGTCTTGTCGATGCCAGTTCCCTCAAGTTACAATGACATTACCGAAGAGCGCTGGCTCAGGGACTTCATTGGCTGGGTCTGGTACGAAAAGGTGTTTCATGTACCACCGTCCTGGATAACCACCCCCAAAAGAGTGATTTTGCGGTTTGAAAGCGTGTTTTACCATTGTAAAGTGGTAAGTTAAGGGTGTTAGGGAACCCTTTGTGGTTCCTTTTAAGTGGAAGTGCCAGGCCCGAGTGATTAATTAACGAAACGGTAAAGCAAAGTAGATCAAAGTAGAAAAAGTACGGCTTGACCGTATTGTATGAGTTTTTCTATTTTGCAAACTTTCCTTTAGATGGAGAACTTTAGAACTTCTTTATCAACGATGAAAACATAAAAAGTTCTTCATGCCACAATTGCAAGTGTGAGATTAATTAAGAGCATCCAAGTTTCCGATCGCGACTGGATTCGAATCCCTAATGAATAATGACCCAGACATCATTTGGGCGCTCTGATGTCTGAGCTATGACACCATAACTACACCATGGCCGGCTAAGTCGTGCACCAGAAACAAATCACGAAACATATCACATAACACGAGTCCTGTACACTGCTGGGTCCTTGTCCCAAGTACTTAGTCAAAACGTGTTGCAACAACCACACAAGGACATCGTGCAAGTAAGGTAGGTGCCTCCCTCTTCCCTAAAAACAAGAACCATCTCGTTAGAGTCAAAAAGTCCCTGTCAGCAGAAAATTTATACCATGTTTTCCACCCTGAACACCTGTAGTACTACAGTGAAGGTAGCTGCTTATATTAATATCTTTTCAGTGGTTAAACAACAGAGAGATATTAGAGCACGAGGGAGGAGATTTGCCATTTGAGGTTGACATTACCAAAGAAGTGCGGGCCATTAAAAGTCTTCATAGAAACTTTCATCGTTTGACAGTAGCCGTCAATAATACTCTGCTATTTTCCATGCCACCAAGAAAGTTTGGGAGCGAAACCAGCCGGTAAATAAACTATATAGGAATGTACAATGTACCAATACGTTCTAATCTTCCAAAGAGAACAAACTATTATAAAATTTCATGCAGGTGACCGTTCAGGCCTCAGAGATATTTCCATGATCTACAGTGTTGTAATTCTTACAATAGCTGCATACCCGTCTGAGGGAGCCCATAGGCGACCGGAATTCAAACTCCTTAAAAGAGTGTGTCGCGCTGCGCTAAAAACCTCGAATATCCCTTATTTACTTTTGAATTCGTCAAAGTCGTTTTTCGGAGAAGGGAAGGCGTGAATAGTATTTAGTGAGTAGTATTAAGGAGTCTGTTTATAAACATGTGACTGTAAATTCGTTAGGTCATCTTACTGCGACTCATCTTATGAATACATGGTAGATGTGGATTTCGCAGGAATCCATGGTTCGGTAAAGCTATACACTACCCCGGAAGTATACATATCTGACATCACTTACACAACTAACCATGATTACAACAAGGCTTCCATAAAATTCATAACAAAAGTTGACGTAGACGAGCACATGAAAGAGAATCAGATCATTATGAATTACGAGTTACTGGACAGACAGGGGGGAGTGGCAGCTTCTGTTGGAGGCAAAAAGATTTTCAGAGGGGAGATGACAGTGGTTAACCCTACCCTTTGGTGGCCGATTGGTATGAGCGACACACCAGGTTATCTTTATACATTAAAGGTAAAGTAAATATGAAGAGAATTTTCAACTTCCACTTTTCGTTTTAACAAAGTTGCAAAGATTCACTTTTATAACTAAAGAGAAAATCAATAGTCATTTTTAATTACCTACACAATTTCAGTAGCTTTCTTATTTGAAAAATGATCAGAGAGAAAATGTGTTAGGGTACGTTGTTGTTCAGTCTGCTTCATTGTATGCGTTTCTCTTCGTAATCATTAATATTTATTCAGTTTATTCTATTTATTTAGGTGTTGGACATTTTAACTTTATTCAGCGATATATATAAATAAGTCTGTTTTTGGGTCAGTTCGGAAATCAAAAGTTCCACCATATCTCAAATATCTTTTGTTAAGGAACAAAGGATGGTGTTTACAAGCTGTCAGAACAGCTGGACACACTTGAGATTCTACTAGCAAACCTTTGCTGGTCAGTTAAGGCCTTGGCTAAATGATTTTTGCACCGCTCTCTTTGGTGTTGGAATCAATCTAAAAATAGAAGTTGAACGCACGATTAATAGTAGGAAACATCACAAGTGTAGTTTCAGTCTTTCACAATTAAAGGTTCAACTGAGGTTAAGAAACTCCCCTTCAAGCTTATTTAAGAAACACAGAAACAAGTGCAAAAGATAGAAATAGGTAGATGTATTCAGCTGTGGAATAGGAAAACAAGCGTTTCGTGTTAACGAAGTTCGTTAACTTAAACCTGGAGTTGGTTCTCACTTTCGCTTCCAAACTTGAATCATAATCAGATTTCCTTATCTCATTAAAATCTAACCTAAGGCCACGCGTCCTAACACCTTTCGAGTTCTTTGTTCTCAGTTGACCTGTTTTAGTCAAATTTCACTTACTTTTCTGACCTCAAACTAGAATTTCTTTCGACACAATCTTAGGAAAATTTAGTTTCTTTCAAACTATCGTTTTGGTTCCCTGTAAAGGAATTTGGGTATGGAGATACAGTGAAACCTGTATTAAGCGGACACCGTATTTAGCGGACACCCTCCATTAACCGGACAGTAGCCGAGGTCCCCCAATTTTTTTCCCTTATTTACTTTAAATGAAACCTTTATCAAACGCACACCTCTATTAAGCGGACGCAGACACCTAAAAAGTACCTGAAATGGCCATTTCTATCGTTGCCAACCTGTATTAAACGGACACTTGTAATTAAATTCCACCACCCAACATGCCAGACACCGGAAATGAGAAAGATTGCCACCCACAAATTTTTCGATTTTTACATTAAAAAACGTGACTTGACGAACTTAATTATTTGATTAGTTTCGCAGTACAGTATGGTATTCTATTTCGTTTAGTTTGTATAGAGCTTGTTTCACTCATCTGAGTTCTTCAAATTTGAGTTGTAATCTATGTTTATGGTACTACGATCAATTGGTCCTCTTTGATAAAGAAATTAATGCAAACGTATCTCGTCATAGTCCCTGGGAGTATTCTAAACGTTTCCACTGTTCATTTGAATGGCATTTGACACCTCATATGACGTTATCTATCTAAACCTGTATTAGGCGGACACTACAGCGTTCCCCGAGGGTGTCCGCTTAATACAGGTTTCACTGTATTTCTAGTTTTGCAAATTTCTTGCACGTGTAGCGGGAATCAACTCAATCTCAGTTCCTTTTGTTTTCTAAACTCTGACACTTACTAACACCTTTTCCTTGCATATCAAAGCCATGTAAAACTGTAAAAAAATCAATTAACTTAATTGTTCAATATAAATAGAACCTCTTGTGAGTAGCTTCACAGTTACGCCTTGAGATCTGAGATAGCTAAGAGAAGTTTGTAATTTCAACGGAAAGATTAAACCATCGTCAACTGCCAAACTCTGGTTGTGTCACCTCTCTTCACGTAATCCTAAAGTCGGTAGAAGTCCCCCTCTACAAATGTTATGTACAAAGTGGACTATAACATCAACCATGCCATCGCAGTCCACATGCATGAGATTAATGTGATAGACTAGGGCAATTGCGTCACAGTCCACAGAGATCAACACCATGAAATATCAGGGGATATAGAAGCTCAGTCATACCTACGACCCTCCACACTTTCGTAGAACAAATCAAGCTGGATGATAATGGGGAAATCTGTTACACTGTGAGAAAAGAAAAGCGACATGCGGCAAAGAGACAAATTGAAGAACACCAAAACAACCTATAGCTAGCCATTGCAATGCGAACCACACAACTACTATTTACCCAAATGCATACAGCTATTTCGAGAAAGTTGTCGGAAAATATGCACCCGACTATCCCCCGAAAGGTATTGTGGGTGGTCTTGAGTTCAGTGTTCTTCAAAGAAATTTGAAAGAATGGCACAAGAGGCCATAGACGTATGCTTGGGAGTGCTAAAGGAAAGCAACAAGAGTAGGTTCGAAACTTACGTCCAGAAACGGGCATGCAATGGCGAAAATGGCGAAAAATCGGCAGCCTCTGACGAATTGAACTGGATGCCAAAAATGGCTCCTTTGTAGACTGGCGATTTTGCCAAAAATCGACAGAGGGCTGGCGATAATGACGGAAAACGTGCCAGCCCCTTGGAAACTGGCGATCAAGAACAGTCTATTGATCACATCCCATATTACCTTTCGGGATAGTCGCGTGTCCATTTTTTCCGACAACCTTTCTCGAAAAAGCTGTAGTATGTGACTGAAGGGTTGAAAAGTCTAACTGTTTTCTTTTAGGTAACTGCTTCATATAAGGAGATACATGATGTGTATAGGCTCCCAGTGGGCTTTAGGACCGTGCGTGTGGAGGGACCCAGTTTTCTCATCAATAACATTCCTTTTTACTTTAAGGGATTTGGTAAAATACAGGATAGTGAGGTAAGTGATAATCTTCTGTTTGGTCGTTATTGTTTGAGTTCTCAAATGGATGTTTTCTTAATGACATGCTTTACGAAAGTATCACTGAAACAAAAATTCACCGTGGAAATTTAAGGGCTGGTTTTTGTCCTTGATTTATTCCCATGACGTAAGTACAAGCGCATGCTCAGACACAGTAACTTGTTGAAAGTGTGGGTCAAACTTGTTTCAAGGTCTCTGTCTTAATTGTTGAGGGGAAAGACCTTTCTTTTTCTCGAGGAAGAGAGAGAGAGATGACCCTGGAAATAAGGCTGTATTAGGGCCTTTTATCATCGAAGAACTCTTATGATCGACTGGCGTCAATGCGTCTGTGAATGCTCCCTTGCTTACACTTACATCGTATATGCGTAAACTAGAAAATAGTCGCTCAAAATTTGCAAAATTATTTACCCTTGACATCAAAGGTTGCGAAAACAAAAAACTTGGATACATGACGTAAAAGTTCAGTGATCTACAGAGTAATGCGGGTTATGCAGACCCTCCAATTTATGAGATTTCCCTCAAAAGGAGGACTAAAATACTTCTACTATGCTACTGAGGTCTCCCCAATAACTGATAAATTGTTCGGTAGAAAGATTTTTCAACACAGTGTCTCAACGTTTTGCAACTGAAATACTCGCCCTATAGAGTACTAAAGTGATGACGTCATAAAAATGAAATTTCTGAAATTATGGGATTTGTCAGGATATGCTGAAAGAACAATGTCCCAGAGGCCTACTTGCCAAAAATGAGCATTTGGGGGTAAATTGTCTCTGAGATCGTAGCCCAGTTATACTCAGAAAACTCCATTCAAACCCTTCTAATTTTTTTTTGGGTCGACCCAAAAAAAATTTAGAAGGTTTTGTATGGAGTTTTGTAAGCGTAACTGGGCTACGATCTCAGAGACAATTTACCCCCAAATGCTCATTTTTGGCAGGTAGGCCTCTTGGACATTGTTCTTTCAGAATATCCTGACAAATCTCATAATTTCAGAAATTTCATTTTTATGACGTCACACTTTAGTACTCTATACTACTGAGGTCTCTCAATAACTGATAAACTGTTTGCTAGAATGCATGTATCGTTAGAATGTCTCATCGTTTTGGCCATCAATAGATCCGAGGTCGAGGCTTTGATTACGTCACTTTGGTACGGGACTTCAATCTGATGAAGTGGTTTGGTGCCAATGCCATACGTACAACCAAGCACCCACCTCCAAAGGAACTTCTGGAGCTTACAGACAGACATGGTATCGTGGTTATAGACGAGAGTCCTCCAGTGGGACCAAAGGAAATTTTTATGTACGTGAAAGTAAAATTTTCACTCTTGTAGTAGCAATTCTTTTGAATCAACAGAACCGATATCATATAATGCTGAATTTTGCAAGACTGCAGATACCTACCTCAGTCTTACACTGTCTGTCCTTATGTACTTCAGAATGTCTGCTAAAAAACAATAATGGCACCGTTTCCATAAGTGTAACTCGGTGTCATTTGTTTGAATGTTTTGATTCTGTCATTCGGTAGTTCATCCATTTACTAAACTGCTCATTCATTCATTCATTTATTCACTCTTTTTTTTATTTTGTTCATTTTTTCATTGATTCATCCATCTATTCATTCCGGAAAAGTACGTTTTTCCTAATCTGCCAAATTAGAAAGGAAATTGACCATCTATGATCGATTCTTTCGCTCACTCGAGAAGCCCTTACACCAAAACACAGGGAAAGGAGACAGTGCAAAGACACGTTTCAAGATCTTTACCTTCTCGTCTTCTATGCATTAACTGATAATTCGAATTAAATCCTCGTGTCTTTGCTATCGTTGGCCAATAGCTCAATGAAAGTTTGGCTTAGGGACCGGTCATTATTTATCGCCTGGCGGGGGGCGGAGGATTTTAGGGGGGATCCCTTGATTTTTAGGAGAACAAAAGGGGGGATCAATCGTAACTTACAGCCCAAAAGGGGTAATCACTGAAAACTTTGGAAGGATTCAGGGGGGACCACTCAAATTTGCTTCGAAAATGAAGACATGAGGGGGGGAATCGCGAAAGTCATCAAAAGTTATTAGGGTGGATCACTTCAGTGAAGTAACATTCAAAGGGGGGATCAGCTAAATTTCACCTTGTTTAGCCCCAAATCCTTCCCCCGCGGCGATAAATAATGACCGGTTCCTTAACAAGGATTTTGTATTTCTAGGGACGACATATCAGATCACACCATAAACCGACACCTCGACCTGCTAACGGAATTGGTACAGCGGGACAAAAATCACCCCTCGGTGGTTATGTGGTCTATTGCTAGTCATCGGTGGGCGTGGCCGAGTGAAAATATGACGTCACACCTAAAGAAAATGATGGAGTTTACTAAGGAAATAGACATGCAAAAACGACCTGTAACATACGTGGCGTTATCGGAGGACAGATGGTCAGTGGTTGAAGATTCTGCGGTACGTTAATCGCTATTGATAACTTTAATAGAGCTGCTTAAAATAGTTAATATTCAAAAGTTTATAGAGAATGGACGTCATAGTAGTGTCCCGTGCACCCGGCGTAGCGGGCTTTTCCGCTCGAGTTGTTGCGCGAAAATTAGAGCGTGAAAGCGAAAAACAAGTGGACGCGTGGAAACGCTTGTTAAGTATGAGAAAACAGCCAACATTTAAGGACGCCACCAATAGTTTCTCTGAGAAATGACTTCCGAGGAACGAGCTCTGAAATTCTATACTGAGGACGTATCACCACCCAGGTCCGGTTACTGGCACGTCATCAGTATGGAATTTCTGCGCCCATTCCTCAGAGGTCATTTCGCGGGGAAACCAGTGGTGGCGTCCTTAAATGTCGGCTGTTTCCTAAGACTAACGCTTGCTATGCAGCGGGCTAAGTGCATTGGTCTGTTCGTAACGCATGGGCTTTCTAATGTGTGATACCCGTTCCCGGGAGAATTCAACATAAAAAGATATGTAAGACAAACAGAAGGCCCATTAACTCCCTGGTTGGCCCGGGCTATCCAGTGAACTTTACGGCATTTGAACTGTGCTTTTGAGAAACAACCAATGGTATTTTGGTAATAACCATGGCTTCCTGTAATCTTGTCCCCAGCTTAAATTCTGTGATGTTATTTCTTTCAACCGTCATTATGGTTGGTATTGGTACCTAGGCCAGCCCGACTTGATAGCCAAGTCGTTGGAAGAGGATCTGCGTGGCTTACATAACGTGTTTAGTAAACCAGTGCTCATGGCCGAGTATGGGGGTAGCGCTGTAGCTGGAAAGCATAAGGTGAACAGAAGCAGAGGATAACATATTACATTAAAGTGTTTTCCTTTTGATTGAAACGACAGTAGAGCTTCATTTTCTGAAGATGATGCCGAAGGTCGGATGGAGGATAGGGGGCGGAAGTTAAACACGAAATATGATTATTTTATCCACTAAATAGTATATTACAAGATGTCCCTTATATTCCTCGGGAAAGGAAGGACGGAATGAAATAAGACAGTACTTGTGAAAATTGACAAGGTAGAAAGGAAATAACATTGTATTCTCTCTGGGTGTCGCCTGGTCCCTCGTGAGCCTCGTGATGGCAATTTTTCCTCGCCCATGCGCATTTTAGTTAGACAACAAGTACTCAACACCATTCAATCTCTGTCTTTATTATTTATGCTATTCAAAAGATTTCTCAAGTTTAAAAAACAAGGAGAACGTTGCGACTAAATTGTCATTGGCAGTATAATAGCTATTAGAATATACTGATGGTAAATGTGAACGTATTTTGTTCCCCCCACAAGAGCTTACCAACTCTCAAGAAATCGTTCGTAAGCATTCGTTCCTTTGTGAACTAGGGTTAGCACTGAATCGCCTCCCATGTTAGTGAAGACGTGTGTTCTCTCCACTGCGCAACCCATCAACCTTGAATAGATCTAAGAGAGAATGAGCGTTCCAACTTATTGCGAGGATAAATGATAATAAGGAACAAGAAAACACTCGCAGCTAACAGTATTGCAGTTTTTACTTCGTCACTAATCAGCACCATTTTCTTTCCTGTTGCAGCAACCGTCTATGATTTACTCAGAAGAGTATCAGGTAGTAAAAAAAAACCGGTCCATGTTTTACTTGCGCCTTCATGATTTGTGTTTTTAGTAGAGTGTCTACGACGCAGGCAGGTAGTCTGATAGCGTCCAGTGTGTTTGATAATCTCTTTCCGTCACTATCATTATCCTCTTTCGAATTCTTGCTCTCGCAGCCACTACCATCAACCGTCATCGCCATCATTACCATAACATCATCAGTAGTGTGGTAGGGATGTTCTACTCCTTTTTTGGGTAGGAATCTCTTTTTCATGAATAAAATGCGGAGGAATCTAATTAAGATAAGGTCATATGCTATTTTTAGATGGTTTAACCGGTTTGACAGGGTTAACATCGATGAATGTCTTGCTTTTTGAATGGTTGGCTATAAACTAAGAAAAGTATTTATTGTTTGATTCAAGTTGTCGAAGGAACAAGTGCTAACTGGCCTATGACTCAAAATCACTAAGCTATAACGTGCAGTTATGCAAGTTTTATTTCCTGCCGCGTGCATCGTCTATTGCAGACAACAGGTTAATCTAGTTCCGGTTTACTGATTCTTAACAGGCAAATCGTGGTCTTTCTAGCACTAAGGACAAGTTTTTACTTACCACACCCCCTTCCTTTCCCTCCAAAATTCATTTTTCCCTCTTGCTCAAATTTTTTATGTTCCCTCTACCACCACCACCAAGTTGCTATTATTACAACCCACCCCCAGAATCTACCGGGCAGCTCTTCTTACTGGTTTCTGAGGATCATTATAAGCCTTTTGGGGGAAACTGCCACCCACCCCTCCCTTAACCCATGTAATAGGCCTGTCACGTTTGTCACACACTAACGTTTTGTCTTCCCGTTATTTCTGTCGCCCCGTTGGGTAAGCTCACTATTCAGGAAACTGCCCCCCCGAACAAAATCTTTACCGCACTGCCAACAGAAATCAGAATTCATAAAAACTTTAGGTTTTTCTTCAGCCGGCATAAAGTTCATTTTGATTTGTTTTACTTGGCAGGTGGATACAATGAAGAAATATTTTCCCGTCTTTGATAAACTTAGAAAGGAGTTTTTGGTGGGAGAGATGATTTGGACCTTTACAGACTACAGCGTTCTGGAGTGTAAGTAAGACCGTCCAGTGCCTTAGCTAAGTTAGATTTATTGGGGGGGGGGGCGGGGGGGGGCTAATCACGAGCGCCGAAGGCGCGAGCTGCTAGGGGATCCGGGAACATGCTCCCCCCGAAGATTTTGAAATATAGGGTCTCTGAAAAAGCACTTTCAGCCTTCCGTGTAATGATTTTGCTTTGTTGAAGCCATAAATCAATAATTTTCATGCTTTATCGAACCGTAACGAACACATTGAATGGAAAAGCAGCGCGAAGAGCATGGCCGCTGACCAAATTAAACGTGCCTGGCAAAATTATTGGGGGACCCCTTCCCAATGCTGCGGCACTGTTGACAGTCAGTTTTAATGGGTAAAAATGAGACCCGACGTTTTAAAGTTATTCTTTTGTAAAAAATTGACCTTCTTTCATCAAAAAGCAATTTTTAATCGAAAAAATAATACCCACTATATTGGATTCGCTTTCAGTAGTTTGTTCAGGCCCTGTCCACACTACTGCGTTTTCAAAAGTACTCAGTACTTTTTCGTTGTCAACGAAAACGAATCGATCGGCGCGTTTACACGACCGTTTTGACGCCTTTTCGACTGTCCCCACACAAGGATAAGATCGTGATTATGGGCTTATTTAAAAACTGTAATTCATAGGCATCGGCCGGTATGAAGCAAAAATTCGCCGGAAATTAAGGACTGACAACAATGCTCACAAACATTCCATAACCATTAGATTTGGGGATTGAATCAGTTTTTACTTGTTTCTTCAGTACTATTGCAAGTGACTTTGCTGACTGTCTTAATTCATTTACCTACATAGCCTCCGTGGCAGGCGTTCGAAAGGGAAGGGGAAGGGAATTAGGGCGCAAGACCACGCGCGAGGGAGGAGGGAGTAGCCCCACGCGCTCTCGCGCGCCCAAATTCTCCCTTCCCCTTCCCTTTTTAACGCCTTCCACGCAGGCTATTACCTACACTGACTTGGGCATGAATTCAGCGGGGTGGTAGTTATTCGTTTTGCGATGTCTCGGTAACCTTGGAAAGCAAGGTCTAAAAGCTTGATAAAGTTGCAAATGTTTGTGCTTAGTTTAGCACTTACTAAAGCTTATCAACCTGAAGTTGCAATGTTTTGCGTCCTTTTTGTTCTCCTCAGCTTACAATCCTATGTCAGCCAACTCAAAGGGGCTGTTAACTCGTCAGAGACAACCGAAGGCTTCTGCGCATGCTCTACGATTGAGGTACCAAGCCTTAACCATGAACGCGCATCCGAGATTCACTGGTGACGAGTTACTGGACACGTTAATAAGATTTAAGCCTCGCCTTGGTACAGAATACCCAATCATTTTTAAGGACCGACATCGGCTACCTGCTTTGATTCGAGAGGAAAGAGTTAACACCACCATCAGAAAACGCTCTGTTGACCATATTATGGTTTTCTATGAACCATAATTAGCCATTCCTTTCCTACGAATCCTGATTTCAAAACTTGAGAAATTTAGTTGTATAATAAAAGATGTTCTTCATCGTGGTAATATCACTTATTGTTTGTATGTGTGGGGGCTACTGAAACGTTGAAAACGTAGAGTGACAGCGGAGCAAAATATCATTTCATTTTCATTCGCACTGGTTTCATAGAAAGGAAGTCAGTTTGGGAGATTTATTTAAGTTTGAAAATCTCGACATAAAATATAAACGGCGAACTACTAAAAATCCTTACAGCAAGGCGATGCACAAGTAAACAAAAGAACAAAACAAAAAAAATACGCATTTACCGATGAATTTGCCCAATATTTCGGTTTGAAAGACAAACCTTCTTCAGGGGGCTAAAATGAAATATTAGGCAAATTTGTTTAATATATATTTTGTTGTTTTATTCTTTTGTTTATTTGTACATCGCCTTGCCGTAAGGATCAGTTTGCCGTTTTTACAAGTTGTTATTGTGCTGATCCGGGTCTACAACAGTGCTCCGGCACCACTTAACGGTTTGTCGCTGTGGACTCGCTATCTAAAAGTTTCAGTGGTATCTCGACACTTGCTCCCCGGATACCAAAGGGTTTTTCTTGCCTGCAGCGTGAGTTGAACTCTCGACATTTTCATTACACAGTCAGTAATTGCACAGAAACCAAAAGAAAGAGACACACTCAAACACCAATCCACCGTCTGGACCAACCTAGTCCCCAAGGTCATCTCGCTTCCCCTTGGAAAGCGAGAAGAGCCTGGGAACGAGGTTGGGTCTGGGTCTGGACGATCTGGACTGGACAGTACTTCACGGCAACCTCGTCCCCAAGGCTTTTTCCTAGGAAAAGGGCCGCTCCCATTTTCTTAGGGAAAAGAACTGGGGAGTTGAGTACACAATAATTTTCGGGTTTTGACTGCCTCTCGCGACGTCTGATACCAAATGACACACATGGGCAGAGAAAGATTGCTGTACAATGTTTCTTTCTAAATTCACCTCTGATGGACTAACATCTTAAGAAGGCATTTTTTCTGGTTGTTTTTCTGTGTGTGTGTGAGGAAAGGGTGTTGATTTGAGAAGAAAAGCTTTTAGGTCTAAAAAAGGTATAAAGTAGTAACATAAACCAGTTAGTCTACTAATGAGCTAGAAAGCACCTTGTTTTGGTGAAGGACTACATGTATGTGTTATTTGTCTGCTAATTATTCCCTTCACATTTTAATTTTCAACAACCCCCTAATATGATATTTCCCAAGACTAGTCATAGACCCTGATGCCGCACATTTATGACATTGTAACTGAACCGGCCCAACTGAACCTATGTTGGTGGAGCCTTAACTTTGAGCCACTAGTTACATATCATTCCATAATTGTCATCTATTTACATTCGTAGATCGTTTTTAATAATCACATATTTTATTGATAACATTCTAACTATTAAAATCCTATTTACAATTAATTCACTTTAAAAAAAAACTATTTCGTCAAAACACTATTTACAATTTCTTTCGTTTAAAAAAACACTTAGTTTTGATTAATACAAAAAAATTCATTTCATTAAACAAACATTATTCAAGTTAAGAAAATTTCATTTCAATTAAAACAATTCATTTCGAATAAAAAAAGAAGAAATTATTTTCAAGGTCAATTTGCATTCTTACTAAGATAATCACTAAAAAAAACCCTTACTTTTCATGTTTTTTTGTTTTTATGTAGTGTCTGCTTGCGCCGGTTTATTTTCCAAGTAATTTAAAAAACAATTCATCGGCTTCAGCCTTTAAATGCTTAGAATTTTACTATCCTAAAGGCCGATTTAGACGGTTCGATTTTTGCTTACGACTATCGTGCGCGACAAGCGTACGTCATGACTTTTGACCATCCACACGCTAAATGTACGTATTTCGATTTGAAACACAGACGTTTCTGGAATAGAATACACCTTCACCTCGAGGGTCAGTTTTTGTTGTTGTTGTTGTTGTTTTTTGTTTGTTTCTCTATTTTTCTCTTCACGAGGAGCACGAGAACATGCCGTTGTCTTGATGATCCTGTACAGACGTCCCCCCCACCCCTCCCGGACACAGGCTAATCCCGTTTTTTGGTGGTTAAGAATCCATATGATCTCCTGATATGATCTGAGACCACAAATCCATCTTCGGATTCTTCCCCCAAAAAAGCAGCCTTTTAAGACTATTTAAAAAAGAAAAGATGATCGTCTCAAATCCTCTATTGGGGCGGTAGACTAAGGGGCACTCTAGACGCAATGCCCTCGTTGTTTTTGACCAGCGTGAAATGCCATGAGTGGTAAACATTTTGCAGCTGTCTTTTCGCTGAACAGCACAGCGATCGCCGATATTTTTGAGTTACCTGCAAACTTGCTACCTGCAATCGGACCAGTTTTGATACCGGCAAGTGATTGAGTTTTACGTTCTGCAGAAGCGATATGAGTTTGAGGTAAGTTGTGGAGAAAATGTGTACGTTAGGAGGCTAAGGCGACGGTGAACTCGACGTGGCACTGTTGGTGCAATGTGAGGAGTTTGAATGAAAAGGTGTTGTTGAGTCTTTCCGGACGCGATTGTGCAGTTTTTAAAGAAAATGAAAGGAGAAAATTACAAAGAACTGCCTTTTGATATGTGAGGCTTTTTTTACTGAGACATTTTCACGAAGTCCCCTTGAGTTTCATGCCTACACTGATTGTGACTGAAGAGAAGTGTAAGCTTTATTTTTAGCGCATATTAAATTCGAACAATCTGTATTTTTTTTTTATTCCTGGTTTGATTAATGTTACTTTTTATTGCTAAAAAGAGCTTTTTGCAAATGTTTCTGATTACTATATTACTTTGGTTGTTTTGCGAGTTAATTTGGTTGATGCCCGGTCTAGGGCGATGGACACGAAATCGAGAAGGCACAATACCAAATTTTCTATGAGCTTATTTATAGGGCTGTTTAGCTTAAAAATAAAGGATGAATCTCATTTTAAACTTTTATGTTTTTGCTTCACTAACACTGTAATACTTGCAGGCTAAAATTTAAACCCAATGCATAAATTATGCTTCTTTTCTAAACCAATATTTCAAATATTTATATTTTCACTTACGTTTTCTCACAGACCTTACACTGGAAGTAGACATGCCAAGCTTAAAATTGTTTGTAAAAAATATGCACAATTTAATGCATTTGCGTATGGTATAGGTAAATGCCCTCTTGCTAATAAATAAACATATGAAGTTTAAATTTTTCGCTTTAAATAGAAAATTGTCGGAGTCTTTTTTTAACAAATATTATTCAATAATTTGAACCTTTAATTTGCTTTGCGAGTTTTAAGGAACAGAAAGTTACTGTTATTTAATTACAGTTTAGTGCACTCAGCGAGTGAATTATAATTTGGAATTTACCTGCACGAGTTCACTAACAATGAACGAGAAATTTCAATACAGCCGAGTGGAGTATTGAAAATTTCAAATTCATTGTTAGGGAACGAGTCTAGGTAAATCCTGATAATTTACAAGAAATGAGTGCATTAACATTTTTATTATTCAAATTGAATACAATGCGCAAAGCTGGTAAAACTGTTGATAACACACAAAAACACCTCAACTAGCATGAACGAAAAATTTAAAATTCGCAAACTTACCTTTCAAAACAGATATTGTCCAAGCAGTTGCCTTCTTGGTGTTTTTAGGAATTGCATCATCAATAAGAGAATCAGTGTCAACATCTGACAAATCATCAAACTTTGAGTCAACCAAAACCATGGTGTAATGTGTTGTTTTTAAAAATTATCCATACCTTCCACACGGAAGGGATTTTTCCTTAGACCTCCCCACCCCTCTGGAAATTCCAGTCAAGCTTAATACATTTACTTAGATTTTTGGGCCTTTGAGAACCCCCCACCCCCAAGGACTTTCCAATCCCTTTCATGGGAGGAGTATGGATATTTTCTGGAACTGCACAATGACAGTGGTGTGTTGAATTTACACCACGATAATCACGTCAAGGTGGTTGTTTTGTCGCAACCCAGTATCACGTAGTACAAATTAGCCAATCAGAAAACTGGAATTCATACAGTGTATGAAAGTTGAATAATAACAGTATTTAAAACACCAAAATTGACCCTGTCACATTTTATAAGCATGGATCAACAATGATTTTTGGGATGTCCAGTTAGATAAAATTGCACTCAACTCTGTCACAAGTGACAACCCTTGGTGCACTACATAATGGTCACTTACGCAATACGAGAGGTGGTCTTCTACAAGAAAATCAAGAAATTGAGCGCAAACTGAACTGATTAACATACATGTTGTAATAATATAAAGTTATTACCTTAAAAGCTAAAAGTTAGGCAAATAGTCAACTGGCAATAATGTTTCACATCGAATAGAGCTTGGAACTGTTGAAACTTTGTACATTACATTTTGCATCAATATTACAACCCACTTTTTTACCCACAGCTCATATTACAGCTGTCTTTTTTGTAAGTCAATTGCTATAATCTGTCAGCAGGCTTGGTCAGCGCTATCAAAAACTGAACTGTTGTGAAATATATTCAAGCAATAGTTTTCTTACAGTCATACTTGATCATGCCAGGTGGTCGCTTACAGGAAACAGAAAAACAAAAGAGTATGTCAAATTTCTGGTTTAAAAAGTAGTTACGGTCACTAAGAAATTTAAGTAGTGGTCGCTTACTAGACAGTTTTTGAAACAGTCTTTGACGGAGAAACAAAACAGTTATTTTTTTACAAAGTGGTCATTTATTGGAGGTGGTCGCTTACGTGAGAGAGTTGGCTGTAGTGATATTATACTGTCATGCTATATTTTTGGAGGCAGAGAGATTTGGGGAGGGGGGCCTCTTGGAAATGTCCCAGTTAAAAATAATGCAAATCGTCTTGCTTCAAAAGGCTAGGTATATATATCTCTATCCCATTCCACCAGTTAAAATTGGCAGTAGCTATGCACTCAACGCGGAAAGAAAGTGTAATCATGATCTATATGTCTCAAAATGTTAAAACACTGCATCGCACAGTCAGCAGCCTAAGGAACCCCACTGTGGGGGTCTTGTTATTCATGAATTATGGCTGGAAGACAAAGGAAAAATGAGAATCAACCTAGGTTGAAAGATTTTAACCTGAATCTAATTTTGACCTGTAACATATATAATATGGTTGAATCTGTGAGGGGGCAGGATAAAGCGAATCCTGTGTTCGGATTGGCTACCAGAGTGGGCCATAACAACACATAAAAAGGACTTGGCTAATATCTAGCCATCTTGACCAACAAAAAGTGGTCAATAACAAGCAAGGACATGTAACCCTGCTTCAGCGTTCCAGTTAATTCTTTCAAGCAGAGGGTCATGTAGACCATCAGTTCTGATTCATCAGTTTTTCATCATATTATTTTAACTTATTAACATTATTTTATAGTTTATCTGTCAGGTCAGGAAGCCTTCTTTATCAGGTCATAGACCCAAGACCCATCCCTTATCTCAAAAACTGCTGCTTATGTTTGCTTCTGTTAGGGTCAACAAGCTAAAACACATGACTCATAAAAAAGAAAATACCATAAAATTCCGAAAATAAGCCCCTCCATGTACAACCCCCTCCAAATATAAGCCCCCCAAACCGGTAACACAAAAAACCCTCCATTAAATAGCCCCTCCAAATATAAGCCCCCCAAACCAGTAAGGCAAAAAACCCTCCGTTAAATCGCCCCTCCAAATATAAGCCCCCCAAACCAGTAAGGCAAAAAACCTTCCATTAAATAGCCCCTCCAAATATAAGCCCCCCGCGGGCTTGTACTTGGAAAATTGCCCTCAAATACAAAGTAAAACAAAGCAAAAACGGTAAATTCACTTCCAACTATAAGGCTAGCCCAATCGACTTTGAAACACAAATTTCCCTCCGTAGATAAGCCCCTCCAAAAATAAGCTCCTCAAAAAGGGCCTTTGAAAAATATAAGCCCCTGGGCTTATTTTCGGAATTTTACGCTAACACATGTAAATAATAATAATATTGTACATATACCCTTGTGGAATTTTACCACTTTGAACACTGTATCAAATGAAGGCATTTGTATTGAATGATTACCTAATAAACAAGGCCACCTTGATCATAACTTACTGGGTAAATTCATCTTGTTAACTACAATCATATTAAAGATAGCTGTACCGTTATAACTGCTACAATTACATGCATTATAGTTTAAAATGTGTTTTTATTCATGGAAAGTGGGGAGTTAATTTTGTTTCTATTTTTAGTTTCATTTGATATCAAGAATATTTTCAAAAACATTAAGTTGACTACATGCATATTGAAATTTTAACTAAGTTTGTTCTTTGTGTTTAAAGCTCACTAATATTGTTACCTATTGGTTTTAGAGTTCATGTATGCACATGGAATGTCAAAGTTACACAGCCCCCAGATCAAGACTTCAGACCTTTGTTGCATCTTGACAATGATCAAGAACTGCCTGACATTGTTGCCGTAGGGTAGGTTCTTAGACCCACGTACTTAATCACATATGTCTTCATTGGTGGCAGCTGTTAGCTTGACAATTAAAGGGGCTATAGTCACGAGGATATTGCTGTTGTAAAATCAGCAAAGAATACTTATTATTTCACATAAATTATTTCAGTTGAGTGCTACCATTTTGAATACACATATATTGACTTATTTATTTATTTATTTCCTATTATATTATTTATATATTATTTATATTAAGTTAATTTGTTAGTATTTATCTTTAAGTCTACAGGAAGTTGATGCCAAACCACAGTCATTGTTAATTGAATATATAAAGGAAAACTCCTGGGTGAAAATCCTACAGGCATATCTTGGAGCATATGGCCTAGTCAAGGTACAGTGTATCACTTGGTACTTAAAGTGGCCTAAAGTTAAATGCCATTTTCCACTATGACAGACTTAAATTTAATACATGAATTCTAATGATTACATTATTATCAATGTCTGAAATTGAGCAGTAGTTTTCTTAGTTTTTTCCCTGACGGAAAAACAGTACAAGTTTACTGCGCATTAGTATTGAATCAAGTAAAACTAACTGCATGCCCTGGCCCCTTTCAAAAAAACCCGAAAAAGCCCAGAGAGCCAAGAAAAGACCACAGTTCCTGGCTCTCTTGGCCTTTCCAGGCTCTTTTGCACATAAGGAAAAGCCTGGAAAGCGTGGAAAATATTCTCTTGGCTTTCCGAGCTTTTCCAGAGCCCAGCCACTCCTGGCTTTTCCGGGCTTTTTCCTGGTTTTTCTGCATGTACAAAAAAACCTGGATAGGCAGGAATTTTACGCCGGAATTCCCACGAATTCCAGGTGCTCTTTTACAGGGGAATAAATAGCCCATTCATTCTCACCATCTCCAGCATAAACAAGATATTCCACAAGGAAAAATGATTTTTCTATATGACAGCATCTAACATATGTTTGATTGCAGTTGAAGTCAATCCGAATGCTGGGAATGGTACATTTGGTAGCCGTTCACACAAGACATCTGCCTTATGTTCGTGACATTCGGCCTGGTTACTGCAAAACAGCTCTACTTGGACTGTTGGTAAACAATGAACTTCAGTTGTTCTGAAAATAGTGCAATTACATGAACTGAGTTCCTTTCTTATTTCATTTTTTCTTTAAATACTGGGTACTTGTAACTACAAACCAAGACAGAACTCATGTCAGTTTAAACATAATAATGTCTTCAAAACACATGATTTATTGCCTATTAGACTGAATTATTTTTTAAAACCATGCAACTTTGCAAAGTCACATGTCCTTCATTTGCCTCAAAATCATTATATAACAGTAACAGAACATACAAGTTCTCTGTTGCATCAAAAACCAATGATGTGATGTCACAAACCAATTGAAATCTTGGCCACACTTTATCAGGGTTCTCCCAAAGCTCCAGCTAGTAACAAAAGTCTCCATCTGGTGGGCACAGTTGTGTCAGCTACAGGATGTACTGAAATGCTTTCTTCCGGGCCTTCAATCCAATTCTAAATTTTCCCCTAGGAAGGCTACCAGACATGGGTGCCCTTAGATCTAATCTATTTCCACCTACTTAAAATTTTCCCCCTTCTTCTCCTGATTTTCTGGACAACCCTTTTTTATTAATCTGTGATTACTAGTAGCTAGTTTTGAACACTTGAAGCCATTAATGTTATTTTAGTGTACACTGTCAAGTCCTTTTTAATGTATTTTTGTCACATTGTTTCCTTTGTACAAGTAGGGCACCAAAGGAGCAGTATCATTACGTTTTACTCTTTATGGACAAAGCTTCTGCTTCATAAACAGTCACTTCTCTGCTCATGCTGAATATGAAGAACAAAGGAATCTGGTAGTACATCCAGTATGTTTTTTTTCTGCACTAGTAGAGTCAAATGCACAGCTTACAAAGTTGTTGATGCAATCTTGGCTTGGCTGGGTTTATGCCATAAATGGTGGACATTAAACGACTTTGCTTGCCTCAAAAAGCCATTTTTTTTTCCAAAAAAGGACACTACCTTAACTCAGCCATACATTAACCATGATAATGACAATCTTTATAAACAATAAATTGATAATTATTATTTATTATTATAAACAATTACTTAATAAATGAATTATTTACTTTTATAAACAGTAAATAAATAAACATTTATTTATTTATCATTATTATTATTAACAGTAGTTTATGCAAGACTAATAATATTTTAACATAGCATACATGTAAGTTCCAAAAAAAATTTTAAAAAGCGATGATGAGGAGTTACTTTCAGTATTGATGATCTGAAAAGTTTCACTTAAAATGCCAAATAAAAGTAAAAGTAAACAGCTGTCAATCAGTTTAGTAATCTCTCATTAATGTAAATTAAACACAGTTCAGTCCACTGCAAAACAGCATATAAATATGTTATCTTACTGAAATTCAAAAGTAATTCATTTTAATTTTATTTATTGCTTGACTGCACCTTGGTTAGTAACACGCACAGACCCACTTCATCCTGTCTTTTGTGGATGGTTTACGGAGTGTGTGTATTTTTCGTTTTCTCTTTGTGTAGGAATATGAAAGCGTCAGTCAGCACTTGTCATTTGTAAATTGTACACCACAGAAAGCCATGGAACACAGGTACAGTCCTTTAGACTCTAAATTAAAATGCTTTTTCAGAGTCTTACGTATAGGTTAGAGTTTAGTTGTCCTATTTACCTCTGTTTTTCCTTTCACTTCAATTAGCCATCAATGCATTAGTTTTTATAAACTGAAGTTTTTTGTTTAGTTGATTCAATTTTTGTCCCGCAAAGGTCATGTCTTAACTACACTAGCCACTGATTACAGAAAACTATTACAAGTAAACAAGGGACAATGCAAATCGCGAATAATATTTGTAGACTAAAATGGTATTAGTATGAATTCTGATGCAAATGAAGAAAATAACCACCAAACCTCATACAGTGTATTTCTTTCATTCTTAGGCCCAAAATAAAAGAAAAGTCATCGTATTAACCACCTAATAACTTCGCTTGAGCAGGACCATACTAGTGAATAAAACTGGTCCTGGGTCGTTTATAACCTCAGTTCGATAGTCCCCTGTAAAGTCACTAAGATGCAATCATTCTATGTATTTCTGGGCAACTCAATCTCTATTCATTAACCCTCTCCCTTCTACCCTGCGAGCAGAGGTTTCTCTTTTACATGGCTTTTAACATTTGGCTTGTCTGTCACTTAGTTGGTGTTTCGACAGACAAGCCATGTGAAAGACTTTGTAAACACTAAAAGCCATGCAGAGAGAAACCTCTGCTCGTATGGTATCTCCCCTCTCCCCTCTCCCCCCCCCCCAAAAAAAACTACCGGTAATCTCCCTCCCCCCCCCCAAAAAAAAAACTAATTTTACTTGGAGAAGGTGACACTTAAGAGTTCAATCAACTGGAATTTGCAGACACTGGTTTTTGAGGAGAAGGAAAAACTGGAATACCTTGATAAAAACCTCTTGAAGCAAAGGAAAGAACCAATAGCAAACTTAACCCACATATGGCATCAACCCTGGCACTCAAACCCAGGCTAAATTGGTGGGAAGTGAATGAATGCCCTGTGGCATCCCTGCAACCCCTTCAATATATCAAGAAGATATACTGTATTTTTGTTTTTGTCTTGCTTTTACAGCTATGTTTTTTGGTTGGGTGACTTTAACTACAGAATAAATGAAACCATTGAAAATATTAAAGGTCTCTGTGGAAAACAAGAATACTCAGCATTATGGCCACATGATCAGGTATTCAAATCTATTCTGTATATCTACATAGTGATGTACAGTGTACCACTGTTATGTTGTTGGTCATCAACAGTGATCAAAGAAGTTGATCATCACTCAAGAATGGCATAGAGAATTATTTTAGGACCTGTCTTTGAGTAGTCTCTCTTTTTTATCTTTCAAAGACAGCAAAGCGAATGAAACCTGCATAGAAAATCTATGAGGAGCACCACACCCACGATAATTTAATTTAAAGATCCACATTTTAACAGCAGGGCTGATTAGTGTTTCTGTAAAGTGTAGCCTGTTCCATGCTCTTAGTTACTTTTCAACGAGCAAAAAAAAAAGCTCCTACACAAAAATATGGATAAGGACCAAAGCCACTTAGGTATTATTACTTTTGAATTATTTAATTTATTTTTTCGCACAAACCTTTCTCGTTGCTCGTCAGGTCTGACTGAGTGCTTGAAGCCGGCTATCTGTAGTATTAGTGACAGTTTGAAGTAAAGACTTATTTTTGTCTGTTCTGCTGATAAGCTGTTACAGAGTCAGAAGGAGGGCAAATGCTTTGTGAACTTTCATGAAGGTGATCTCAAGTTTCCTCCAACGTACAAGTACAACCCTGGAACAAATGAATGGGACACAGAAAGGTAACTTATAAGTAATGTTACCTTTCGGTTATCACACACAGGACCCTTGCATATGACTTATTATCGTAATCCTGTTGTGTAGTGGCAACAATTTAAAATGATATTATAAGCTTCGTTTGCCTTGCAATATCGGCATCTAGGGGTGTTAATTCAGATTTTTCTTCATGGGCTGGGAGGAATGAGTAGTTCGAAGGTTAACGGTCATCTCGCCACCAAGGAAATCACCGCGAAAAAGTCTACTCGTCACCACTTACTTACCTAGGATTTTTACTTCTTCGTCAAGCTCAAATACAAATCTGTCGATCGTAATTGACCATCCTTACGATTAAGACTACGGCTCATCTGCATCGCTCGAAAGGTGCCAGTTGTTAAAATCCAGTAGCCATTCTTATGAAATTAACGTAACTTTGTCACTTGACCCTTGCCTCATTGTTAAATTTGTGTGAAGGAATTTGTTTTTGGGGACTTGTCCTTTTGCTAAGTGCTAAGATCCATTATTTCTTGGTGGCGAGATGGTTTGGTGGCGCATTAAACTCTCTAAAATCTTAGGAAAATACTTAATTCAACAAAATGAAAATTGCAAAATTAAGGTGTTAATCTTTAACGTTAAAGGGGTTTGAACTCTTTTTCCATAAGATAAAAATCTATTATGGTTTCCTCTCCAGTGGGAAGTATCGCAAGCCTGCCTGGACAGACAGAGTCCTGTGGCAAGTCACTGAAGAAAGAAAAAACACAGTTCAAATGGAATCGTACACATCACAGCAGTCATATCTCGCAAGTGATCACAGGCCTGTTGGCGCTACTCTCGTAGTCGACTTAAATGTAGGCCATCTTTCTGTACTATTGAGGTTCTTGTCACTTTTTAAAGCGGTTTTGCTTTTCTTTCATCATTTTACTGGTTTGGAACGAAGTGATGGTTTTTAAATGGATACAAAGGGAACGCACTGTTGAAAACTGTCATAAATCTTTCGCACTTACCTTACATCTTAAATCTATACTTTTTTTGCCAAAGATTGTAACAGCGTGTAATTTTTTTTTTTTATTAGGATTCGATTTCATCAATGGAGGACCCCATCTCGTGGAAGTTAGATCTTATGAGTCTACCTTGGTATGGAAATGAGGTTAGTCATTGTTAATTGTTTCGCTCGACTAATAAAAGCAGACGTCGTTAATGCAAGGAACCGATCACGTCAAAGTGTAGTGAGCGTCTAGCGTTGTGCAGCGCGAGAAAAACGCCAACTTTTTCCCCAGGGTCCTCTTTCTTCCTCCCTCAAAGAAGACATAAGAGCCACGGAGTTTGGGGGAAATGCTTAATAGTGGGCTGCAAGTCAGTGGTTTGGGTTTTACATGTGACGGAGCACGAGATAGTTTTGTTTATCACGAAGCGTGGCAATGAAAGACCAAGGAGACGCGAAATATTTTACGACACTTTTAAATCGATATAAATAGCAACTTTATGAAAGTTGCCATGACATCGTCATGACACATTTTACTTTTATGGTTTTATGGTACATTTTGTAGATCACAGAGAATGTGCTCTCACAGTATTTAAGTATCGCACTGAGGTTACATTCTCGTTGTGTGCAGAGTCCCTGTTATTTGTCTCATAGGATGGTCTGAGTGTTTATGTAGTGAAGAATTACAAGACATACAGCTGGGATTGGATTGGCCTTTACCGGGTTTGTGTTTTTTTTTTCTGCTTTTGTCGTTGTTGACTTGCGTTTTATTGCCGCCATGTCAAATATTCCTTTATTTCTTTGCCTCCTATCTGTCACCTCTCATTCTCGAGTAAAGTAAACTCCGCAAAATCTTGCCAGCGAAAACAGCTTGCCCACACGACAAAATTTTTGAAGCCTACACGTTTACAGAAAGTTGTTCCGTGGTTTAAAAGTAGGACGCAGGGCTTGAAAAGCTTCCAGTCTGGTTGTCTAGAACAAGTAAATTTTCCCTCAGGGCAAATAACTTTTAAAGCTCACTTACCCAACGGCCCAGGGTCCAGGCAAGTCATCCTCTAACAAAATCATTAACTAAGGCGAGCAAGAAGTGGCCTCAGGCAAGCAAGAGAGCTGCTTGCCCAAAAGACAAGTTGGAATTCAAGTTTTTTTCGAGCCTCAAGGACCTGGTTTAATTTGAAAGTAGTAGAAAAAGAGACTGCTCCTCCAAGGTCAGGGCAGTCGCTAAAATTTCAAGTTGCCGGCTATATGCAGTTAGTAGGAGGGGAATTGTACAGCTAGGAAGTTCTTTTGGTTCTATTTTCTTTTTGTTTTCTTAATGACAGTAGCTGGGGCTCACTGCAAGGTGCAAGACAATTAAGGCAAATGAGAATACCAGTATTACATTACGTTTCAAAGTAACTCAAATTGTCCTCTTTGAAACACGCAGGTTGGCTTTCAGCACGTCTTTGATTATGAGATGTACGAGTGGGCCGTGGGAGACGGGGACGAGTATGGCGAGAATGGTTGTGCCGTGCTATTCGATTGCCTCCCGGAAGAAGCTGGTCATTATGTCATGTGTTATTACAGCTATAAACTGGATTGCATTATCTCCGTAAGCGACCCATTCGAGGTAAGAATAGTGTGTTAATATTGACCTCTAGCAAAGATGAAGGCGAAGGCAACGAGAACGTCAAAAAATCTATAGGTGTAAATTGAATTTGGAAAACATCAACTTTGCACGTACGTCACGCTTTTTTGTACATTCTTTTCTGTCACTGTAAGACTACGACATGAAAATGCCTAATTTTTACGTTTTATGGGCGACGTAAGCAAGCGACGACGGTATTTTCTTCTCATTCTGAACTTGAGTATGGTTCTTAGGAGTTCTGCCTCAGAAGAATTCGCCTCCATTTGACAAAGGGGCTGTTTACATGACACCGGGGCGACTTTCGCTGGAGCGAGTTAACTCCGGTTCCCTCTCATGGCTCTACATTTGTTTACATGATACCACCACAAAATGTCATGCTGGCGCGAGTCACCCCGGCGTAAGTTCACCCTGGTTTTTCTACCGGGGCGAGAATTTCACTCCGGTACGAAATCTAACGCGAAATGACCACACGTTTCGGTGTGAAATCGGTCTGCCGGCAGACTAGAACGGGTTGCGCATGCTTAATGTTTGTGATTTTGAGTCTTACGTGTATTTTATCAACATGAAGTGCACCTTCAAATAACGAGATATGAAATGACCCAGTCATAATGTAAACGCGATGCGAATTAAAAAAGGCATCCCGGTATGAAACTCGCGCCGGTGCGAATGAGTTGGAATAATCGCAACAGAGATTGGAAGAAGGCAAATCCTTTTTTTAAGCGACGTTTTCGCCGCGGTCGCCTTTGTGGTATCTTAAAATCCCCAGTGGTGAGTGGGTCGTGGATGTTGACCACTGTAAAGCTGGAGAAATTTGTAAACTCAAGAAACGCATTTTGTTTTGGACTAACTCTTCAACTAACATCTCTAACAGATTCTTCCACCGCGAGATGAGGACAAAGACCCAGTGGAGGTTCAAGTTGAACAGCCCACAGAGGATGTGTGAACAGTATCAAAGCCAATAAACAATATCATTAACTTTTGAAATCCCCGTTAAGGCAAACAATTGAGCCACCCTCCAAACCACATAAAACTTACTATTTACAGTCAACTCTCTCACTCTCATCGGCAACCATAACAAAGCCACTTACATTTTATAGTTGGTCCTTGCTGTTCTTAAGTCGTCGCTTTTCTGTGACTCTCTCTGTAAGGTGGATTACTCTCTAAAACGGACTCTTAGTGCCCAAGCGGCGTCCGTCTTAGGCTACGTACAAACGGACGCAACATTGTTGACCAACAACCCCAACAATGTTGGATGTTACATGTTGCGTCTTCTTGCACACCCTGTTGAGTGTTGTTGGAAGTTGTCGTGCAAAGTTTGATACCGGTCAAACTTTTAGCCCCGTCCAAACGGACGCAACATTGTTGGGCAACAATGCACGTACGTACCTTTAAAGACAGTTTGCTGCAGTCCTTTCTATCTCTTCTAATCGCCATTTTCACCATTTTCACATCTCCTATAATACACCTTGTTTGCCACCCAAACCTTTGCATAACCTTTGTTATTGATTTCTCCTGGGTATTACAGTGTTCCCAAGAGAAATAAAAGACAATGTTTATGCAAAATTTTACGGGGCAAACAAGGTATATTATGGGAGATGTGCAAATGGCCAATTGAAGCGCACGTGTTACCATCTTGACCAAATTTCACGACCCCTCCCCTCCACATCCCCATGCGCCCACCCTTCCTCCCGCAGTGGCTGCCATGTACCACCACCCGCTATCGTTTCAGGTGCAATTGTTTGTTTTTTTGTTTTATTTTGTTTTGTTTTTTTAAATTCAATTTGGGGCTTTTAAAAAGTTTTCTGGAGCTATCATCAAGCATTGTTTTTATCTTTTCTGTTTGACTAGCAGAACTGGACTTTTGTTGTAAATACATGCACTTTAAATTTAAAGAAGCTATGAACAGAAAAAGGGGCCAAATTAAAAGTATTTTGTTGTATAACAGCTCAATTGAGGGAAATATTAAGGTTGAAAACATAGATACTACCGCGTGGGTATTGACTGTGCTCATTATACCAGTTGCGCAATACTTAAGAGTTGATTTTTCGAAGTATACGCACCAGGCTTTAGGTCGTTGGTGTCTATACAATGAAAAATCAAGTGGGATATTCTCGCTATCTCATTAGGAAGCACTAATTAACTCTGAATTATCCCGACGAGAAATACACTTTTAGAGCGGTATATCAGTTGTAGCGTACACTTCTCTTTCGTTTAGTTTCGATTTACAGCCTCAGGAACCACCGCTGAACATAACCCATGGGATACCGTAGAATACCCATATTTATGGCATGCGATAAATACTGCTACTTTTTTTCTTAGTGTTCAAGCACTAGTGGCTGGTAGGTAGATATTTTTCGTTACGTTTGTGTTTAGCAAGATTGTAGTCTGGCCGTGTAAATAAAGTGTACATATTAAGAGAGAAGGTGACATCTTTATCGAGTTGTAGTCGAACTTCACTTCTTGAAAAAGCCAATTGAGGAAAACTACCACCTCCTTTACATAGTGTACATTTTGCGAACATAATCCTTTAGCCGTAAGAGAATCAGCATTTAATTTCTTGTTAAAATATCACTGCTTCATTGAACATAAGCCGGTAATGAGAACGATCCAGTCCAAAGTCAATAATTTAAAAAAGCGATACTACAACGCAGTTGTTTTCAGTATTATGCAAAATAAAAATTGATAATTTTCGTAAATTTTAAGTTTAAAAGGTCCGAGGAATTCCGTTATAATAGACGTCGGAAGAAAGAGTAACTTACGCGTAAGGACTTCTTAATGTCTTTATTAAGTAATTAAAATACTGAATCCTATGTATCTACGTTTACGAGACTGAAATAAAGGCAAGATATATTTGCAGCTTACGGGTTTAGCTGTTGTATTTGCACGTTGGAATTTTTCATTGTTTCTAACCGTATAATATAAATACTCCAACAGGCAAATGAATTCACCCTTAATTGCACTGAAGGAAGTATGATTTACTTTTAGCAATTAGTTAGGTAGTTAAAATCAGAGAAAATTCGCTGAAATATGAATATTTATTTAGTAGTTCTTACTTATCTAGAAATAAAATGGTAATGGACATACTTTGGTTTCCGCTTCCTCTTTGTTTTGGTGTTTTTCCTAGTTTTTTGTGCGCCCGGTTCCACGACTACCGTGACCCTAATTCCATGCTACACCCTTGGGACACCCTTCATAACTGACACTAGCGTCAGGAAAGTCTGGTTCTCATAGAACGCAGTCGTCTTAAAAAGTGTTTTAAGCTATCTAGACGATCACACGGGAACAGCTAATGGGACGAGGGACGATCCGTACGACTGGGGCGATCGCGGTCGCCTGGATAGAAGTGAAATATGTATTAAGTAGGCTGATTTCCATATGATATTATACGCGTGATTAAACAAATCGAACGCCCGCTACACTGTCGTCTGATTTTGTTTAACGAAAAAATGTTACAGTCTCGCCTGGTGACTGAGAGGGCGAGCGTTTACACGTCGAAGAGAAAACAATAGGGAGCTTAAGCAAAGACGTTTTTGAGCGACGCACGTCAACCGGAAGTGAGGCCTTCTCCCTTTTTATATGCCTGGACACTACCAAATTTATATTGCTGAGTTTCTTGTCTCCTATAAAGACGATTTACCCAACGGTTTCAACCAAACCACAGCCCAATGCTGCAAAAAGTCCACTTCCGGCTGACGTCCGTCGCTCAAAAACGCTGTTGCTTAAGCTCCCTAATAATGCGGGTGTGGAACGGACGTTTTTTTTTCAAAATTCGAGAACACAGCAGAGAATTAAGTCGTTTTCCTCAGCAACTGGTGCTAAGCCGTGGAATTGTATTCCCCTTAATATTCGTTCATTACCAAAACATAAATTTGAGGCAGCAATCCGGCATCTAGCCTGAGAATTTGAGGTTTCCCCCACAAATGACGTCTGAGAAACTATTGCAGGAATTCCATACCGATGACGCGTCACTACCCAGATCTGGGTAGTGCTTCTAATTGGTTGAAACAAATTTCCCACGCGGCACGACTAATCAGAATCACCACCTAGATCTGGGTAGTGACGCGTCATCAGTATGGAATTTCTGCGCTCGTTTCTCAGATGTCATTTGACGGGGAAAGCAGTGGTAGCGTCGCCAAATGTCGGCTGTTTTCTCAGGCTACAATTCATCGACAACTTTACATATTCTATTGTTTGATGATGCTAATATTGACACACTATAACCTCTAGATTTTAACAGCTTTGAAGTCCGTGTTATCTCATTTCGTTTAATATTACATTATATATTTTTTTTTACTTTTTTCTCTTTCAACCTTAATTCTGTTAACTTGTATGTATCTGATTCTATATAAATAATATTTAGCAATTAATGAATGAGGCTGAGTAGGATATGAAGAATTAAGCAGATCGAGGAGGCCCCGCCGGTAATCTAGGTTTCACTATATTTGATTGTTATATTGGTCTTGATGACAATTTACAACTATGGTAGTAGTGAATAGTAGAACTTAGTAATAAAATGTGGAAACCAACGCTTTTTAAAAGAGAGAAGGGCTGGGCGAGTAAATTGTACTGTTTTTCTTTTAACCCCGCTCCGCTGGTTCAAACAAATCAAGAGGACTGTATCTTTCGATGTAACAACACGATTTAATCCAATCCAACAATCTACTGCGATGTACAATTCTCAACGTAACTAAACGATCAACGATCAACTAAAACGTTCTAAGTATACAGTGGTTTTTCTACTATCCTTGCGCAAGGCAGTATTTCTACATTAATCACATATATGTACAGTAAAAGTTCCCATTGTAATGCATCTAAATTAATTGTCTATTACAAAATCGCACGTTCTTTCACCTTATTTAGCCTAAGAAAATGCATGCAGTTACATCATTTTATATCGTAAATATACTCGGACTTTGTCTACATTATTGTGAAATCTACCGTAATGTCACGAAATCTAACTTCTTTGCGCTACAAATGTCAATTTCCAATTAATACTTAATCACAAAATAATAAAGTTAAGCATCACCTCTTTCTCTCCCGACAAATCGTTGTTTGCAGATGATATTCGGTTTGTATAGCTCGTGGTCTGGATGCTTTTTCTATGGGTTACCAGTTTAATCATAACCATAGCTTTTTGACCAATCAGAACGAGCAATAATATCACCATATACCAATATACCTCACACATAGCAATTTCTCCTTTAATCGCTAAGATTTTATTATCAAAAATACAATATTTCGAGAGTCCGTTGTGTGTTCTCAACAGTTACTGGTGTTATGGTCTTAACTACCCACCCCAGCACGACTTTTAACACATTCAAGTTACAATTTATAACCTATTCAAGTTACGATTTAACAAAGCGAAAATTTAAAGTGAAGGTAACACAAAATCGGCGGCTGAGGTCTTGACAGGACTGCCTCAAGGGGTGGGCGAGAGACCAGCAGCAACACAGGCAGCCATACAAGTTCCCTGGGCAGCATTACACGCCAGGATAGCGGCCGGAACTGCAGCACCTCCTGTGGAAACCCCTGCCGTTCCACCAGCGGCAGCGACACAGGCCACCCACACAGTATTACATCCGGTTTGACAGATTGCATAAGCGAATGGACCCGACTGTGCAGTGCTGAACAGCGTGAACAAGATGAAGATCTTGGTAACAGCATTCATCTTAAGTCCTTTGAAGAGTATTTCTCACCTTTGGAGAAAAGAAGAGGCGATTTTAAAATATGCTTCTACTGCAATATGGTAACTGAACTTTGTGGCGTTCTGAGGCCACGTAGCCTGGGCAGCCGCGGTTGTTTTGGTGTGGTTAGTTTTCTTGTTTGACGCCTGTTCAGCTCTCTCGCACGGATTTATCCATTACTTTGGTAACCAAAAGCGAAAGACACACCAAAAAAACGCCTGTTACGCAAGATAAAGGACACAGTCAAAAACGAAATTCATATGGGATTAGCCTGCGAGTTACCCTGGGTGCCAAAGACTTTCCTAGCGCGGTTTCCGGTTTCTGTCAAGTCTTTATAGTGACCCGCACGAAAAGCCTCTGGAGCAGAGCGCTATTGCTTTGATGGCGCCGATCCAATCGTTAGCACGGTTAAATCAGTTGGTCCAGATTTTGGACAAGACGGCTGATTGGCTACTAACGACCACCTTAGGGATTTTGAATCTAACAGACGCTACAATTGGTTGACAAGAATAGACCAGCACGTGAAAGAATATTTTCAACTTTGCTGTTGTTGTACTCGCGAGAAGTGTTGTGATAGCAGTTTTGGAAAGTTTTGAAAGAGCAGGATAAGCAGTGTACTAGAAGGGTTTGACGGTGTAGACAAGTTAAAAGCTATGAGCAAACAAGTGGAGTATTTAATTTTATTCAACGCAATTAAGCTATTATCACCAATTCAGCTTTTGCAGCAATACGGTTTAAGCTTTACTAATTCCTATTTCAAACGATTACAACATGTTTTGAAATAGTTTGTATTGATCGATTAGGAATATAAAAACAAAACATTTATTTTTAGTATAAAAGAGGGGTCAGAAGGCAACACACGACTTTTACCTCATGTTTTTCTCGCGGCTTCGCCGCTCGTGGTTTCGGCCTACGGCCGAAGACGTGTCGGCCTTCGGCCAACACCGAAAATTCCCGCCTCACGCGAGAAAAACCTCTGGTACCCAGGGTACCTGCGAGTAGGCTCACTAATGCTAATGGACAAAATCTACTGTTCTAGCGTTAGGTTCGTCCAGCATGAAAAGTTCGACGTACAGTAGTTGACCGTGGCCTGAGGAGATCAAGGAGTAAAGGATACATGCATGAGAGGCGGCCAGCTGACTCCAATCAACAGTTGTAAATAAGTGACGGAGTTTAGGGTTAGCCCTTCTCCGAGAGACTCAATGGGGCGGTAGCTTTGACGGCAGTTGACGGTTGTCTTTGACATTCACTTTTAAAATTTCGAAATATTTTCAGATATAATCAAGTTGTAAGGTCTTGTAATGTCTATAAAATATGTTTTTGAGAACATGGGAACTGAGGTTCCAGTTTAGAGATTCTTCAGGAGCCCGAAATCCGTGAAGATCAACTGAAATAATGAAATTTGAGATACCCTAAAACTTTTTTGCGGTTAACATTAATTTAGCATTTTCGACGGTTGACGGCTCTTCTGTGGCCATATGCCAATGATCAAAAAAACTTTTGAATGCAGCGGTCCATTCAAAGCGTAACAACCGACTCGGGATCCTTCCCTCTTGCCGGATCTCTGTTAATTTAAATTCAAATTTTAGGAGCCGTTGTGGTATTTTCTTTCATTATAGCTCTGGCCCTAAGGAAAGCTAATTTTGCTAGTCAGTTTTGTGCTATTGATCCACTATTACTCAGGGGCACCCAACGAGAATATAGTTCAAAACCACTTAAACATAGCATTGTGAAACGTATTTTAGTATTTAAACGGTAGATATAGGCATATTTTTATCCCCTAAAATTTTTCATCTGTTCGGATTTCCTAGCGGAAAGTCTAGTGATCCGAAAATTATACGGATCAAAACTTTCCTTTTCGAAAATTTCAGCCTGAAAAAAGGTTCCCGAAAATTCTAGGTGACCTTTTAAGGGTAAAAATCCGTTTAAAATGGGCAATTATACCATTCTTTAGATGTTCGAAAATCCTAGGAGAAGCAGGCAAGCAAGAAATTTTACAGCAAATGTTCCGAAAATTCTAGATCTCAAATCGTCTTCCGAACAGATATTTTCCGAAAATTGTCGTTGGGTGCCCCTGATTACTGTTCTAATAGAGGTACCTGAAGAGACTAGATTTTCTTTGTTTAAATCGGTGAATAGGAGAATTTTGTCCAGAGAAACCGTTGCAACCCCCAGTTCTTAGTAAGTTTGGGAGAAGTCACGTTAATTTAATTTGCCTTTATAGTTATCTCCGCGCACTTTCTACTTACAGTTCAAACGTTGAACTTCATATTCGCCAAATCTTAGCTGAAACCAGGCTCTATATTCCTTTCGTTATATATGATACGAAAAAATGCCTGATAATTATATAAAATCTTCTACGAACACTGCTGCCCACTTTAATAATTGTTTGACATTTGCCAAAACAGCCATTCAAAATTACTTTAATTTTGTTACATCGACACTTTCTTTTCGTTTCGCCTTGCCGGCCGAGAAACGAAAATAGAGCCTGATGATCTCTGGTTAAGATCGACAGTCCACTCATTCGTCGAACTTTAAATGTGCCTAATTTTCTATTAAAATGCATGAATTTGTGCCCACCACTGGCTTTTTCGTCAGTTTATTTTGATAACAATTTTGTATACAAAACACACACGCACAAAAGAAACTAGGTAGTTTAAAGTTAGCTGCAAGAATTTTGTTCTTAGTGGGGAATAACTTCTTTAAATAACCGCGGTGTTCAGTGAAGCAAAATTCGTTGTCCTAAATATGTAGAGAAGTTTGTTGTTTACACCATTGGCGAATATCATGAAAGGGTCGGCAAATAGACTTGATTATATCAGTCTGATTTAATTTGGCTTCGGATCTCAGCACATGTAAACAAAGTACGACGTTTGAAATGACGGATGATTTTCTTTTACCAAGAACACGAACTGAAGGCAACCAAATATTTGCACGCACTCGAAATTAAGCTTAAATATAGTTTTGGTCGACCCTATAAAACAATTACGGGTTTAGAAACCTAGCTACTTATGTATCTAGAATGAATGGCCATAACATGTGCTTACCTTGAACTAAAGACAACCAAACAATTAATAGCTCACAGGCAATACGTGTATAGATAACACAAAACTCCCTCCTTGCAGCTTCTACGAATACAGACGACTGCTGAGACGGGTTTCCGAGAAAACAGACCAGTTTACTCATGCGTGTGATTGGTCGTCCACTTTTCCTAACCGTTGCTCTGATTGGATGTTCACACAGACGTCGTGAGGTAAGCTGATCAGTCATGTCAAAGACAGTTTTCTTGGAATTGCGAGTCGTTGCTAATCTCGTACCCAGATCTCACTTGTCTACTCTATGTTCTTTTTTGTAGTCTTTGTTGTCGAAAAGAGCGATCGAGTAGGTCAGGAGCGAGTATGTATGACACATTTTCGATTTGGCTTCGTTTTGAAACAGCGTTTAATTTGTTTAATTTTAAGTTAACGTTATAGAAAAGCAAGGAAGACATCACTTGAGGAAACTATACGGTTTTTACGTTTTAAATACGGCTATGAAGTCTCTACCTAGATCTGCTGGAAGGCAAATTTTCATTGACTTGCCGCTCGTCAGGATCCGTAAACAGGGACCGTGCAGAGGGAGGGGAAGAATAAAGAATAAAAAAATAAAGAATAAAGAATAAATAAAGAAAGAATAAAAATAAATTTAACAAAAAATAATTTAACAAAAGTAACGGAGTGAAAAATAGCAAAAAATCGTTAATTCGAAAGTGACCAGAGTTACTGGCAAAGACAAAAACGCGCAGATAAATAGACAGAATGAAGCATTAGTCGTTACAATTGTAACATATTTTTTCGCTTTTAACCTAGCAGAGGTAAACGTCTTTTAAATGGCTTCTTTTTCCTGCGGGCCTCTCAGGAAAACGCGTTGTTTTGTAATTGGTCAGTTTCGATCCAAAGTAATAACTGGGTTTAGTTTATAAGGCGATTCTCAAACAAATTGTTTATTAGTTTCAACCTTGATTTTTGGAAGATCATGAAGTTATTGTTTCTCTTGTTATTGTGCGTCCTGATTTTAGCTCGATCAGCGCGAAGTCCGTCTTTTGATGTCAGGCTTCACGGCTCGTTGAGCACTCCAATTGCAAGTTTTGTTGAACGCGGTCTGTTTATAAAAAACATTTTGTCATCGAAAGTACTTAAACCGCAGAATTGTGTATAGTTCTGGTCATCAAGGAACATTCAATCCGGCGGTTATTACGAACAAAGAAGTGCACATGGTACACGGCAACATAAATACGAACGACGAGACTTCACATACCACTAGTAATGAAAAGAAGAGATCTCTTAATCCGAAAATTTGATCGGAAAATTATAAGGATCAAAACTTAGCTTTTCGAAAATTTGCGCCAGAAAAAAGGCTCCCGAAAATTCTAGGTGACCTTTTTAGGGTAAAAATCCGTTAAAAATGGGTAAATACACCATTTTCTAGATGTTCGAAAATCCTAGGAGAGGCAGGTAAGCAAGAAATTTTACAACAAATGTTCCGAAAATGCTAGATCTTAAATCGTCTTCCGAATAGATATTTTCCGAAAATTGTCGTTGGGTGCCCCTGTCTAAGTTCTTTTGAGCTTTAAAAGACCTTAGGCGCGTTAAAACACTGTGAAGACTTTCGAGAACGCTGACTTAACCACGATTGGAGTTGTTTGAAGGCAGATAACACCAAAAAATGTTTGGATAATCCTTATTCCTTGAAACTGCCAATTTGATATCAGGCCCGTAGCAAGGGAGTGAGCAAATTGGCCAGGTCATGTGAAGAAACGAAACTGCATACAGGAGCAAAACCAATTCTACACTACACCGAATAGCTTTTCGTACCGACGTGGAAAGTCAGCTCCAGTATAGTATGAGCGGCAACGACACAAAACTGGAACAAGTCGAACATCGTACCGGAACTGGGTGGCCGTGCCGTGGTTAATTCGATATTCGCCATGAAAAAGGTTCGGCTAACGTTCAACCGTAATATCTGAATGAACAGCCGAATTTCATAGATCATTGCCGGGTCGACCCTAATGTATTAAGCTCTGCACATGCAAAGTTCGACGTTTGAACGTACTCAGAAATGCCCATATAATGCGCTTACCTCGAACTAAGACACTGCCGGAGGTAAATCACAATCTTGCACACAAAGAATGCAGAAATGAAAACCGCGTCCGATGTCTCCGTCTTTTTGAAAGTAGTCAAAATGTCAGAATTGTGTCTTAACTGGTAAAAGACGCTGTCTCCCAATAAATAGGGACCTTAAGCAACGAAGACGGCGACGGCTACGAAAACGACACTTAAAAATGAATTCGCGCTGCCTCAAACTTTATCGCGCTTATTCAATCTCGTTTAATTCGTCAAATGTTGGCAAATTTCTTTGGAGTTGAATTCTAAAGGATTGTGCATGTATCAAAGTTCAGAAAAAGAAAAATATTGTTGTTTTGTGTTCCCGTCCTCGACAGAACGTGAAATTAGGCATTTCCACGTTGTAATCGTGCAACGACGGCAAAGAAATGTACAAAAGAGCGTGATGCACGTGCAGAGTTGTTGTTTTGCCAATCTAAACCTATTGCTTTTTTGCCGTCCTCGTTGCCGTCGCCGTCCTCGTTGCTTAAGCTCCCTAATAGCCTTAACGACCGGTACCGGTATATTGTTGCCGTCAATAAGTGCCTTCCACACCCCGACAAAAACACAGTGTTTATTAGGAGCTTAGCCGGAAAAGTACTAAAATAAAATTGTAAAACCTTGTGTGCGATAAAACCAGCCTCGATCGGAAAACTATCCCATGCCTTTTTTTATCTGTTGCTCCGATTGGATCAACACAGAATGTCCTTTGGCAAACTGACCAATAGTGTCAAAGAAAGGGTTCCTAAAATTAGAAACCATGTAAAGCATTATTATAACAATAGAGTTTATGTTCGCGGGCATAAATATGTTTTGGGCCCGACTCAGACTCATTTTAGCCCGAGGCGCTAGGCTCACAACCACACAAATTCTTGGAGCTTGTCTGGACAGTCATTTGAAAAATACGAGTTCAATTGCTCCATATCTCCAGCTTCAATTGGATTCTTGTGTTGTGGTTTAGGTACCCTGCGAGCAGAGGCTACATTTTCGCGGTATGAGCTGGCGTGCGAAAAGTAGCCTCTGCCGACAACCGTTCAATTTTCTATCGTGGATGCGCAAAATTCGTCACGCGATTCGCAAGCAACTGGTTCGTCAAATCTGCGTGAATTTCGCGGGAAAACTACCTGCGAACTACTCTCCTCGAGCTTCTGTTTTGTTTTTCTGCTTCGCCCCTTCTGGTTTTAACTATTTTAGCTTCAAAATTTCCACGAATAGATCCTTTTGTTTGCTTTTGTTTTGTTGTTTTATCTGGTGTTGCAGTCTTATCAACTGTTAAGCAATGTGGTCAGCGACGCCAATGGCTGCCAGTTGTGTTGGTTCGTGCTCTGTCTGCACGCATCTTCTTTACTGATTTCGGTAAAGGTTTGATTTAGTCGACCACAATATCCTTATCCAAGAAATGGAGCTGCTGGGCGTGCATGAGGCCAATATCAGATGGATCGGCTCGTTTTTAACGGACCGTTCACAAAGAGCGCGAATCGGTCAGGTTTATTTACATCCAGTTACACCGAATGGGGGAATACCACAAGGAACAAAACTCGCGCCATTGCTGTTCGCCATATTAGTGAACAATCTGTGTAGGGACTGGAGATAAAGGATTAAATACGTTGATGACACCTCGGTATTTGAATCTATTCCTCGATGTTCGCCTAGCTACCTTCCATTTATCGCCGCAAATATTAACACCTACGCTTCCATGCGTAACATGCGTCTTAATGAGAAAAAATGTAAAGATGTGGTTATCAATTTTTTGAAGTATCAGCCCACTGTTATGACACCGATTCAGCTTAATGGTATGGTCATCGATAGAGTATCTAGTTATGAACTCTTGGGGGTTACTATCTCTAATGATCTCTCTTGAAACGAACATTGTGACAGTATCCATAAAAAAGCCACTAAGCGATTGTTTGTGCTGCGGACCCTCAAGAGAGTTGGACTGGGCACTAACAATCTCGTGTTAGTCTACGGTAGTATTGTTAGATCCATTGTTGAGTACGCCTCGCCAGTTTGGGCTGCGATCCCTTTATATCTGGACGAGTTAATTGAGTCTGTACAGCGGAAAGCTCTTAAAATAATATTTGGTCGGGTAGACTATACGGATGCCTTGGTCTTGGCCGGCCTGGAGTCTCTTAGTGACAGGAGAGTAGGAGCTTGTAAGTGGTTTATGGCTACTGCACGCCAAATGTGCCCCCTTAAGAACATCATCCCCTCTCCCGCCGCTATTGAGTCTCATTACAGTATAACCAGAAGAATTAATGGCTTTGTAACTTATAAATTTCAGTGAATGTATGTAAATGGTTGTGTATGTGGCAATGACCTTCCCCAACAATTCAGTTATTGCTGCAAGTGGGTGAAATAAACAGAATATCTATCTATCTATCTATCTATCTATCTATCTATCTATCTATCTATCTATCTAATGGAGATTAATTTAACTCATGCAAAATATCTCTCCGTTACTGAATGGCTCAAATCTCCCGGCTACAGGTAATTCTTCATAACCAGCTAACGTTGACCAAATTTGGAGGACGTTTGCGTCATTCAGTAAAAAGACATCAATAGTACAGGATATCGACAGAAAAAGGGACGGCAACCGAGAAGCCCTCGGAACGAGGTTGCAATAGCTCAGTTGTTTTGTAGTAGAGCGGGTCAAAATGGTGGAACATTTCACACGTTTCCAGAAGAGGAAATAGCCCGACTACTGCCATAGCATAACCATCATGCAAACAAGTGCTATTTGAAGGATATCTGCTACACTAAACATCTCTTTCTATACTGAATTTGCCTCGAAACAGGAAAATGAAGGTGGGAACTTACAATTCACGGAAGTAAGCAAGTTTTACTGCTCGTTTTCAAAGTATGAATTATTTTGAATAAAAATGATAAAACAATTATTGAATTCGGCTTTCAGATGACCTGAAGAATTATGCAGAACTCGGACGATAACCTCCATTTTCGATCTACATTATTCTTTAGATCATATAAAAAGGCCGAATACAATATTAATTGCTTTTTAGTTCTTTTAATTCGCTCTTCTTCGCAGTATTTATCATTTTATCATTTCTGTGATAGGCTGTACTCTCCTGACAATCATAGGCGTACGGGCAATGAAGAAAGAAGATATCAATGATACGATCCATGTCATTATTGACTACAGAATTGGCATATACTCTTTCGTTGTTAATAAGTGCGATGTACTTACCCGTTGTTCCCCCATGGTGCTGCGGAGGTTAACTTTTCAATCCACGAAACGCACTGAATGATCGTTCTGCAGAACGCAATATAGCAGGTATCACTCCAAAGATATGCATCATAGTAAAAAACACTGGAAACATATCAAATAGAGCATTGTGAAAGGTTTGAACCCAGGAGTCATTTCAAAAGTAGGTTGAGTTTGATCGTCCGGGTGAACATAGTCTTGAATAGGACTGTTGCTGTTGACAGTGACTGACGTTTCGACAACCTGTGTGGTAGTCATCTTCAGAGTCAAAGTGAGTTGTATCACGTCAGTTGATAGTGTTATACTCTGGTCATATATCTGATTGGTCAATTACATCGTGATGTTATTGGTCGTCTGTCAGTTAAGCCGTGTGTTATTGGCTATGAAGACTCGTAATCAGAATTGGTGCGTTTCGATCCTTCCATTGTCACAGTTAAACAGTCGTCTATTGTTAGTCAAACTGTCAGTTCTCCAGTTGTTCTCTCGTAGTTAGTTTTGCTTGATCTCGTCAATGAAACGTTTGTACGGCGCTGGTGACTGTTGGCAACGATTCAGTGGCTTTTGTTCTAAGTTAGTAAACCAGCTTTTTAAAGTAAGACGTTGATAGTAGTCTGTAGAATAAGTTATACATGATCGCAGAGTCCCAGTCAATTTGATGTTTCGTCTGTAAAGGATGCTCAGCAATGTGATTGCTGACGTCAGCATTCCTTGTCACGGCGCTTTTTTGTGTTCGATCAGTCGCGTGCTAAGGTTTCTGCCGGCTTCACCAATGTAAGAAGACTGGCAGTCGCAGCATTTGTTCTTGTATACTGCTCTCTGTCTCTCCTCCAGTTTGTCTTTTCCGTTTGTCGTTTCTCTTTTGTCCTTGACATTAGTAAGTAGTCGTCGTAAAGTGGTTATCGGTTTGTGTGCAACACGTATATTGTCAGGTTGTAATATACGTGTGATAGTTTCAGAGGTGCCTCTGATGTACGGTATAGTCGCTGTCGTAACATGGCCAGAGTTGATGTTGGTCGTTAGATCATTGTCGTGCATTGTCTGCAGCATTTCTGGAACAGTCATGCAGCCTAATCCGAGCATACGACGAAAACTCGCGTACAGTTTCGGTTCGGCTTCGAGGATCTCGCCGTCGATTTTGTGAAATTTAGCAACACGGGAGAAGCTTTCTTTGTCAGGTGTTTCACTGTGACAGATGTTTCCCAAAGCACCGAGTATTTCCTGATCATTTCCGCTAACGGCCTTAGCTCAAGCTCGGACATCACCTTATCGATCGGACACATAGTAAAAGTTAATACGGTGGTTAGCCTGCGCCACATACGAAACTAAACTCTGGTTAAGTCCGTCTGCGAAACAGCGCTGAAATCCTTGTTCTGGGCCTCCACTTGTGTACCAGGAATTGAGGTACGTGCCATGATTGGCCTTTTAAAAAAGCCATTGTCGATTTGCCAGTCAGGATGAAAGGAAATTTGAAACGCACTTTCGGTAATTCGTTGAGTCCGTTGGGGGGCCAGGACAAGAATATCGGCGCTGTTTCGCAGACCTAACTTACGAACGGAGGGTAAATTACGTCTGTGAGGCAGACTATATGGTGGCGCGGTTCCGCTGTCAGCTGCGTTTGCCTTTGCGCGTGTTCACCTAAAAGGGCTTGAAGGCGGCGCGATGGCGTTTGTCTGAGTGCCCTGGCTTCTCGTAATTAAAATTGAGAATTGGTCAGCCACTTCATTTTCAGACCCATTCATATACTATCTGCTACACTCTGTTGAAACTTTCTTCACTCCGACACTAGCATAGGATCTGAATGGCCATGTCGGCATTTCTACGGGCGGAGATGATTCTAGAAAGTTATGCGGAAATTGATTTTTGTACATTTATTTTCCGTCACTGCAGGACTACGATGTGAAAATGCCTAACTTTACGTTTTATGGACGACGTAAACAAGCGACGACGATATTTTCTTTCTCTCTCTGAACTTGAGTATGGTTCTTAGGAGTTCTGCCTCAGAAGAGGTCGCCTGCATTTGACAAAGTAAATGAGTTGGAATAACACTAGAGATTGGAAGAAGGCAAATCCACTTTTAAGGCGACGTTTTCGCCGCAGTCGCCGTTGTGGTATCTTAAACTCCCCAGTGATGAGTGAGTCTTGGAGGTTGGCCACTGTAAAACTGGAGAAATTTTTAAACTCAAGAAACCCATTTTAAATCTAAGGTCTTCAACGTTAGTGCCATGTTTGTTTTGGACTAACTCTTTAACTAACATCTCAAACAGATTCCTCCACCGCGAGATGAGGGCAAAGACCCAGTGGAGGTTCAAGTTGAACAGCCTATGTGTGAACAGTATGAAAGCCAACAAACAATACCATTAACGTTTGAAATCCCCGATATCGCAAACAATCTAGCCACCCTCCAAATCACATGAACCTTACTGTAACAGTTAAGGTGGCTCCGTAATTAATACAAGAGCATTTAACTGTGACAAATTTTCCGTCATAACTTTTTGGTTTTTAACGCGATGGCTGCGAAACTTGGCAAAGAACAACAGATATCATTCGGCAATAACACAAAATATTCCGATTTCACTGATGGTAAATATTTCTTGAGAAATTAGTGCTTAAAAGGACCCTACTGTTCAAAAGAAAATCGCGTCTAGTAAAAATTTTGCTGATATTTTTACTGAAATTTCTGGTATCGGCTTTAATTGATATAATAAATATGCCAGAGGAATTTCAGAAAAATCGTTGGAGCAGAAGTCCGTAACTAAAAGTCGGTCAAAATTCAGCAGTGAAATTGTTTTGGAATTTCAAAAATAAATTACTATCAGGTAGAAGGAGCCACCAGTTTGAATTTTCGGGACAAGTAAATTCAACGCTTGCTAATTCTTAAAACAAAGCCGATTGCCTATCGTGCCATTCTTTGAAAGGTACTTTTTTAGTTTTAGAAGAACTATAAATTGCTCCAAACCTTGCTCTGAAGTAGAATGACTTGTTCGTCGACAGTTTTAAAATATCCCTTGGAAGTTTTGGCTAAAACTCCTGCTGCATACATTTTGATGTATTGCCGTGCATTTTCAACGACTTTTATTGCCGTTCGTTGCTTCAACTCAGGAAAAAAGTATTGAGATTGGACGCCACCTCGTATCAGAGCTCAGAAAGAACTGTCCAGCACCTTTGTTTATGACTACAAAATGAGCACGAGCGGCAGTTCTGCGTGGAATTCGCACCTCACTCAGGGGACGAACGACAATGATGACCATGCTTGTGAACCAAATAACATCACAGTGCAAAATAAAATTATCGCAAAAATATTGCCCGTGAATAAATTTACAACTCTGAAATTTTTGTCACTCCTTCCTTCAATGAATGGGTATTTTTTTTTTGATTATTATGTTTTGCTCTGCAATACATGTTTATACAGATCGGTTCACAGACATGGGCATCATTGTCACTCGTCCCCTTGGCTGAGGTGCGAATTCTCGCAGAGCTGCCGCTCGTGCTCATTTTCTGGTCATAAACAAAGGTACTGGACAGTTCTATCTGAGCTTCGATACTAGGTAGCTTACAATCCCAATACCTTTTTCCTGAATTGGAAACAACGTAAAGCAGGAAAAGCCGTTGGGGATGCTTTGCAATACATCAAAATGCATGTAGCAGGAGTTTGAACCAAAACTGCCAAGGGATATTTTAAAAATGTCGAGGAACAAGTCATTCGATGTCAGAGCAAAGTTTGGAGCAATTTATAGTGCTTCTAAAAAATGAAAAGTACCTTTTAAAGAATAGCACGATAGGCAATCGACAACTGTTTTCAGAATTAGGAAACACACTGAAGTTGCTTGTCCCGAAAATTGAAACTGGTGTCTCCTTCTTCCTGATAGTAATTTATTTTTGAAATTCCAAAACAATTTCACAGCTAAATTTTGACCGACTTTTAGTTACGGACTTCTGCTCCAACGATTTTTCTGAAATTCCTCTGGCATATTTATTATATCAATTAAAGCCGATACCAGAAATTTCAGTAAAAAATATCAGCAAATTTTTTTACTAGACGCGATTTTCTTTGAACAGTAGGGTCCTTTTAAGCGCTAATTTCTCAAAAAATATTTGCCATCAATGAAATCGGAATATTTCGTATTATTGCCGAATGATATCTGTTGTTAATTGCAAAGTTTCGCAGCCATCGCGTTAAAATCGAAAAAGTTATGACGGAAAATTTGTCACAGCTAAATGCTATTGTGTTAATCACGGAGCCACCTTAACTCTCTCTCTCTCTCATCGGACACGATAACACGGCCACTTACATTTTGTAGTTGGTCCCTGCTGTTCTTTAGTCGTCGCTTTTCTATGACTCTTTGGAAGGTGGATTCCCCTCTAAAACGGACAAGCGGCGTCCGTCTACGTGCAAATAGACGCAACATTGTTGGCCAACAAATCCCAACAATGTTGGATGTTACACGTTGCGTCTCCGTGCACACCCTGTTGCGTGTTGTTGGAAGTTGTCGTGCAAAGTTTGATACCGGTCAAACTTTTAGCCCCGTCCAAACGGACGCAACATTGTTGACCAACAACCCCAACAGTGTTGTTACATGTTGCGTCTTCTTGCACACCCTGTTACGTGTTGTTGGAAGTTGTCGTGCAAAGTTTGATACCGGTCAAACTTTTAGCCCCGTCCAAACGGACGCAACATTGTTGACCAACAACCCCAACAGTGTTGTTACATGTTGCGTCTTCTTGCACACCCTGTTACGTGTTGTTGGGAGTTGTCGTGCAAAGTTTGATACCGGTCAAACTTTTAGCCCCGTCCAAACGGACGCAACATTGTTGGCCAACAACTCCCAACATTGTTCAGGGGAGTTGTTACTTCGGTTTCACGTACGTAGCTTTAAAGACAGTTTGCTGCAGTCCTTTCTATCTCTTCTAGTCGCCATTATTCACCATTTGCACATCTATAATACACCTTGTTTGCCACCCAAACCTTTGCATAACCTTTGTTTTTAATTTCTCCTGGGTATTACAGTTGTCCCAAGAGAAATAAAATACAATGCTTATGCAAAATTTTACGGGACAAACAAGGTATATTATGGGAGATGTGCAAATGGCCAATTATAAAAGTTGTAAAAGACGTTGGAAGAAAGAGTAATTTACGGGTAAGGACTTTTTAATGTTTGTCTTAAGTAATTAAAATGCTAAATCTTATGTATCTCAGGACATTTACGAGATTGAAATAAAGGATATATGAATTATATCTTTATATATCATATATAAATATATATTTGCAGCATACGGTTTAGCTGTTGTATTTGCTCTTTGGAATTTTTCATTGTTTCTAACCGTATAATATAACTACTCCAACAGGCAAATGAATTCACCCATAATTGTACTGAAGGAAATGTGATTTACGTTTAACAAGTAGTTAGGTAGTCAAAATCAGAGAAAATTCCCTGAAATATGAATATTTATTTAGTACTTCTTACTTATCTAGAAATTAAAAAACTAATGGACATACGTTGGTTTTCTCCTCCTCTTTGTTTTGGTGTTCTTCCTGGTTTTTGTGCGTCTTGCCCCACGACTACTGTGACCCTGTGACCCTTATTCCATGCCACACCCCTGGGGCACCCTTTGTAACTGACACTAGCGTCAGTGAAGTCTGGTTCTTATAGAACGCTAGCTCGTCTCAATCGCCCGAGTCGTCACAAGAAGTGTTTAAGCGATCGAGACGATCACAAGGGGACAGCTAATGGGATGAGGGAAAATCCAGACGACTGGGGCGAAGTAGTCGCCTGGATAGAAGTGGAAAATGGAAGTAGGCTGATTTCCATATATTATACCCGTGATTAAACAAATCAAACGCCCGCTAAACTGTCCTCTGATTTTGTTTAACGAAAAAATGTTGCAGTCCCGCCCGGTGACGAAAAGAAGGCGAAGAGAAAACTAAGGCGGGTGCGGAGCAGTTGTGTTTTTTTTTTTTTTTTTTTTTTTCAAAATTCGAGAACACAGCAGAGAATTAAGTCGTTTTCCTCTGCAACTGGTGCAAAGGCGTGGAATTGTATTCCTCTTAATATTCGTTCATTACCAAAACATTAATTTAAGGCGGCAATTCATCTAGCCTGAGAAGACAGCCGACATTCGGCGACGCTACCACTGGTTTCCCCGCCAAATGACGTCTGAGAAACAAGCGCAGAAATTCCATACTGATGACGTGTACTATCCAGATCAGCAATCGTTTGGATTGAACTTAACAAGACATATTTCGGTCGATTGCCGATTGATTCAATCGTCCCAAAACTGGAATCGAGACGATTGTGACAATGATATGAAAACCAGACTAGGGTCGCATGCGTTTACTAACCACAGATATTGTTGAATAAATCTGTGTAAGGCACCATCGAGAGTGCCGCCGCTTATCCAGGTTTCACTATATTTGAGTGTTATATTGGTCGGTCTTGACCATTGGTCTTGATGACATTTAAAACTATGGTAGTAGTAGCGAATAGCAGAACTTAATAGTGGAAACCAACGCTTTTTTATAGAGAGAGGGACTGGGTAAGTAAATTGTTCTGTTTTTTAGCTTTTCCAAATTGTTGTTTGCAGATCGATATCTGGTTTGTATTGGCTCGTGGTCTGGATGCCTTTTTCTACAGGTTTACCGGTATAATAAACCATAGGTTTTTGTTTTGACAAATCAGAACGCGCGCACCATCTCAGTTATTTTAATAATATCACCACATACGAATATAACTCACACATAGCAATATTATTTCTCCTCTAATCGCTAAGATTTTATCATCAAAAGTACAATATTTGTGTGTTCTCAACAGTTACTGGCGTTACGGTCTTAACTATCTAACGCAACACGACTTTTAACCCATTTAAGTTACAATTCATAAGCTATTCAAGTGATGATTTATAACCTATTCAAGTCACGATTTAACAAAGCGAAAATTTAAAGTGATGGTAACACAAAATCGGCGGCTGAGATCTTGACAAGACTGCCTCAAGGGGTGGGCGTGAGACCAGCAGCAACACAAGCAGCCATACAAACTCCCTGGGCAGCATTACACGCCAGGATAGCGGCGGGAACTCCAACACCTCCTGTGGAAACCCCTGCTGTTCCACCAGCGGCAGCGACACAGGCCACCCACACAGTATTACATCCTGTTTGACAGATTGCATAAGCCAATGGACCGGACTGTGCAGTGCTGAACAGCGTGAACAAGATGAAGATCTTGGTAACAGCACTCATCTTTAGTCCTTTAAAGAGTATTTCTCACCTTTGGAGAAAAGAAGAGGCGACTTTAAAATATGCGTCTACCGCTATATGGTAACTCCCGGAGTACTCAATCGATAAAAATCGGTATCGATTTATCAATCGATAAATCTGATTTGATTAATATCGATTGTATAGATCAATCGGTAGAAATCGATGACAGTCGTTTCGTTTATCGATTTATCTAGCTTTTACCGATTCCATCGATTTATATCGGGAAGATACATCTGTTTTTCCGGTTCATTCATAAATGAAAACTGATCTCGTGTTAACAGTGAATTTGTCAACAATTGAGTTGCAATTGAGAGTCGAAGGATCAAACAATTTATTATCACTTTTTTTAAAAAAAAAGTTTTAAAAAATCCTATCTTTTCTTTAAAATCTGCTTTAAAGTTTTCTTCTGACTGCCGATATTGGCCAGGTTTGTGAGAGCCCTGTTTTTGCACGATTTAGATCTGCCACCCTTTCAAAGTAACATCAGTTCCGCGTGTAGTTACTTCCCGAAGTAGCCAATAGATATAAATCGAAATCGATAAAAATCGTTAGCGATCAAGTGATTTATCGATTGATAACGGAAAACAGTGAAAAGCTATCTAGGGAAATCTTTTAGCCTGAATTTCAGACATCCCTTCGACTCTAGAGGATGTCTGAAACTCAGGCTGGGAAGTCTTTTATGTAAGGTTGTATTTCTCGTGGTGGGTGCCTGCGAGAACTGCGAAAGTAATTAAACCGAACGGTTTTTGTTATTATGTACAAAAGGGTCACGGTTTTAGAGAGAATCTTGTGTGTGTAATAGTTTCCACGTTTCTTATTTTTGTATTTAAACCGGTCTTTCTGAAACAGTTTTGGCAGTTTCATTTCTTAAAACCCTTAGATATCTTTATTAGGCTTTTGAAATAAGCGAAAAAAGTACGTCTGCGAAAAAGGTAGCCATGTGGGAGGCGAAAGAGGATGTCGACAAAATCTGTATCGGGGTACAAGGCCTTCTGACAACGCAGGTGGAAAGCCTGCACTGGTTTCTCACTTCAACACAAAACACTACGCCCAAGACTTTGGAACCACAGTAAAGCAATCGCTTAAAAGAACTACGAGTTCGAAGTGGGCTACACTCACGAATAGACGAATTGTCCCGTGTCATTTCATACCTTTGTCGGCACTCTCAACTCTATGTCTCTCCCATAGCTGCAAACAGTGATTAAATTCACCAACTGAATTCCAAAAATAATGGTCCAGTTTTGTTGTTTAAGACTATATTCTGGCATTGATTGTGTATCTCGTCGTCTGTTGCAATGGATTGCAAAGATAAAAAAAGCATTGAAACGTAGGCCAAAAGCAAGATACAGGACATACAGCAACCAGATAAGTACAAGACTGATTCTGATCAAATAATGAAAGTGCCGAAGAAAGTGACTTTTGAGGTAGTTTATGGCAGGACATGCATGACCATGTCGGGAAGATCAGTTCGAGATCATGACTGGTGCGTCTGGATCTATTTTGGTTATACGACTTATATATTTTCAGTAACTTATAAATTGTACTAGTGGCAGAGTTCATGTAAATTTACACCTTGATTTTAGTAGGGCCTACACCCAAAAGTGATTGACTTGATGAAAGAAGGAAAATTCGGGTTATGACGGAATAAAATTCGCTGTTTGAAAGGGAAAGTTAATAGCTAACCAAAATTAGTAGTTAACTGAGAATTGGCTGAAAAATACTAGTTAACTGAGATTTACCCCCATTAGCACCCTCCCATAAGGCTGACCTGTCGCACTTTGTGATAACTGACCATCGCACTTCGTATTTAATTAAGCTGTCGCACTTTGTAATAAAGTTAAAATGGACGTTCGGAGGACAAGTAAACCCAATAATAAGTATCATCATCGACAACAACAACAATAATAATAGCTGTCTTTCCGTGTAGTGTTTATTACTGAATTTTGTTTCCGCCGTTCTACGCAAATGGCTGCCATTCCAAAAAATTGTTCAACTTCTACTTATTCCAGTATCTCTCGGCTAAGTTTATTTTGTTTTGGTTTTGACCTAAACCAATCACAAGGCCCGAAACTGATATCCAGAGATGGTTATGGCCAGGACTGGTTACATAGAGGTTCGTTATATCGGGGTTCCACTGTATTTTAATTCATGGTTTCAATAACCTCAATACTTCCTTTCAATAAGAAAAAAATTGGCAAAAATCCATGTTCAGTATTTTGGCAATTTCATAGCCTGCGTAGCTGGCGGTATTGTGTAGTAGTCGAGTGAGATTTGGCAGCGGAGCCGTTGTAATATACTCGAGTGAGATTTGACGGCGGAGCCCTCACAACCGCCTCGTCCCTACTCCCTTTTTTTGGAACAGGGCTCCGCCGCCAAAACTTTAATCTCGCACCCACACAATACCGCCAGCTACGCAGGCTAGCAATTTCAAGACCAGCGGAGAAGGAAGTTTTATCACACACTGCTAGGCCATGGAAGACAGGTAGAAACTTCGATTAAGATGGGACAAGGGCCTTCGCAAAGAGATAAGTTGCTAGGATGTTGTGGAGTTTTTTGTGCAATGGGACACTCAAAATTCCTTCAAGTCTAAATAGGCTTGTTCGACTAGTCTCCAAAATAGTGGGGAAGACGGAGCGAGAAAAAAAGGGAAAAAGTTCGAATCATGACTCACTAATGATCATTTGCTATTGCATCAGCTACATGAACTATCATTTTCATGTCTGCTTCTTCGCCGTGCGAACAGAAACCTACTCGAGCGTGTGTCCGTTTGCCGCTGTGGATTCCTACAGGCATTTTTCTTTACATCATACGATCCAGTTTCATCCTGTTAAACGGATCGCGACAACATTTATGCCACCGTATAGCAAACGACTTGCTAAAGTGGAAGCAATTCCATTTCCCACGTCAAAACATTTTTAGTCAACTGCTAAACTTAATTCCGCCGCCTCATAAAATGACGTTAAGTCTTCTTCAAAAGTAAGGCATCCAGCACCAGAGGAGGGCGGTCTCCTGTTAACTGGACACTGAGCTTTTTCAGTTGCTTCCTTCTAGCAAATAACACATTTTAACCAGTCAATAGCTTGAGGAAGCGACCTGTTTCTTGCGTCTTAGAACTAACCTATTTCTTACTTCCTCTTTTTAAACCGACAGTTTTCTCTTTTGCATAACATCCACACTTTTACAATAAGATAGCCCAACCTGTTACCATCCAAACAAAGAGAAGGAAGAGAAAAAGTATGTGCAGATAAATCCCAAATTACGGCCTGCATTTATGTAGTGAAGAAAAGTTAGAAAATAACAATTCGCATCCAAATTTAACATCTGTATCGTATTTTTTGTACCTGCATTTTGAAATAAGACGAGCATTAAATCTAAACAAAAAGAGCAAGACAAAGTACTTCGCGGAGGGTCTCGAGTCTGATAATTTCATTTGCTGCTATTTTCGTATCGGTTAACACCCTCTTCGATCTCCATAATTCTTCAGATGATACTCAGCCTCATTCATTAATTGCTAATTTTCAAAACAAAGGTTGTGCACTTGGTCACGTTTTCAAAGTGTGAGTTTTTGGAACTCGGAAATGGCCTATTACATTCATGCCGTAAACACCAGAAATGTTTCTGCAATGTTATTGCGTTGCAAGAAAACAGGCAATCTGGCCAGGGGCACCCAACGTCAATTTTTTGAAAATATCTGTTCGGAAGACGATTTGAGATCTAGAACTGAATTTTCGGAACATTTGTTGTAAATTTCTTGCTTGCCCGCCTCTCCTAGGAATTTCGAACGACTGAAAAATGGTATAATTGCCCATTTTTAACGGATTTTTACCCTAAAAAGGTCAGAATTTTCGAGAGCCTTTTTTTTGGCTGAAATTTTCGAAAAGGTAAGTTTTGATCCCTATAATGTTCGGATCACTAGACTTTTAGCTAGGAAATCCGAACAGATAAAAATTTTTAGGGGATAAAAATATGCCTATATGTACCGTTTAAATACTAAAATACGTTTGACAATGCCATGTTTAAGTGGTTTTAAATTTGAACTATATTCTCGTTGGGTGTCCGTGATCAGGCATGAGAAAACTGATCAACCGCAAGCAAGAACGTTAATTAGGCAAGTTCGCATGTCCTGATCTTTGCTGTGATTGGTCACAACACAATAAACATTCCAGAGAAATTTCTAGTGTTTACGGTTTTCCTAGTTGAACTGTAAACGTTGCTGAAAAAATGCCAAAAAGTTCAAAACGTTGCTGTCTGAATTTCAAAAAATGCTACCTAAATATCTTTCTGTCTCTTGATACATTGTATTATTATATATAACGTTAATTAAGGGCTTTACTTTTCGTTCTTGACGAAATTGCTAACATCGGTCAAGAAAAATAGCTTGAAACTTAGCTTTAAAGAGCTTCTCGGAAACATGGGAGAAATTCAAGGATACCCAAGCTCACTATGAGAGCCAAGAACAACTAACATTATCCTACTTCCTCCTAATCAATTATTCACACAGCAATAATAATAAGACTTTGTATGAGAATTATTCCCCGCCGCTGTAATTAGGCAAAATGTGCATTAAACTCTACATTTAAAGCAAGTATTTTCTTGTGTTTATTTGTGTGCTGACTGCATTTCAGGCTTCTTAGGATGTCGAGAGCCCGTTAGCAACACCGCATTACTAAGCTGATTAATTACTCTTACGTCAAGACATTTATGACGTTGTATTCTTTGCTTTATAAATCTGCAAAATGTTCATTGAATTTCGCTTTTAAGTTTTCTTCTTTTTCTTTTCTTGTGTTTATTTATGTACAGACTGCGTTTCAGGCCTCTTAAGTGAGTGTAAATGCCTTTTCAGACCTGCGAAACGTTGTCAAGTGAAAGGTTGTGTATTCAAAAGGCGCTGATGAATATTCAATAATCCGCCCAAATTGAAGTTTTCAAGGAAATCGATGAGCTTTTGGTGCTTGATATGTCCCCTAAACCTATATTTTACTCATTCTGAATGTGCTCAAAAAGGCAAAACTTGCTCAAGTTTGCTAGAACCCCAAAAAGTTGCTCCCAGCGCCGTAAGTTAAGTTGCTTAAAACTTGCCGACAACAATCTAGAGAAGCCTACGATTTTACTTGTTTGGGTCGACTTTCATAGGCATTAAGGGTTGCTAATCTAAAGTTGTATGTTTAAACCTACTTTTGTTATTAGAAGTGGCCATTTGATGTACTTACCTTGAAGTAAAGTAAACCAAATATTTGCAAACAGATAATACGCGACAGACTGTCTTTAATACGAATACAGAAATCGTTCCGTGAAAACATCCTAGTATACTCATGCATGTGATTGGTCGGTCGTCCGCATTTTCTAACCGTTGCTCCGATTAGATGGTAACATATGCGTGATAAGGTAAACTGACCAATCCTGTCAAAGACAGTTTTCCCGGAAGTGCAAGAGCGCATTTCGGAAATCAGTAAACAGTTTTCTAGCCTGCGAACAGCAGACGCATTTCCGGTCGTCGCTTCTCTCCCTCCGAAAAATATATTTTTCGGAGGGAGAGAAGCGACGACCGGAAATGCGTCTGCTGTTCGCAGGCTAACAGTTTTCGGAATTTCTGGAAACTGCGCTTTCCCGGAAATTTCTGTACCATTTGTTGTTGTTTCCAAATTTTCGAAAGTTTTCGTTGAATGGAAAGCGCCCCAATTCTTCGCTGCTACTCTGGTTCCTTGTTGTCTTTGTTCGAAGCACAAACGGTCACAAACGTCCGAGAGTCTCGGTCAAGCCGCTATTTCTTATCTTAGTTTGTTTTTATCAAAAATCTACTAGTTCGATTGCCGCCGACTACAGTGCCGTAGCATGGGGAGGCCACTTCCCCCCAATTATTTTGGCGGGCACGTTTAATTTGGTCCGCGGCCACGCTCTTCACTTCCTCTTCGGTTCAATGTGTTCATTTCGGTTCGATAAAGTGTCTAAATTATTTATTTATGGCTTCAACATAGGCTTCAACATAGCCCTCTTCGAAGGCTGGAAATGCTATTTCAGAGACCCTATAGTTCAAAATCAGCCCGTCAGGAAAAACCGCCTAACTATGGAGGAACCCTGAACCCTCCCGAAAGCAGAGCCAGACACTTAACAGGAACCTCGAGGGAGAGAGGTTGAACTAGAATACAAAATTATGAGCACATCAACGACCAACAACAATCAATTCAAATGACAGAAAAAGAAAAAAGCATTGACAAATGAAACTCACCCCTCAAGCAGCGATGTCAGCTTAGAATGATCACCTCAGTAAAATCCCGCCCTTTTACACCTGAGTCTCCGTGACCGCTGTCAATAAGCTGGAACCGTGAAAACAATAATTTGCTGTTATTCTTAGAACCGCAGCAAAAAACAAGTTTTCCCTATTCCCTATTGTTGAAACAGTGAACAGTGAAAACAATGAAATCATTCCGTGTTAAATAGGAAAACAGACCGCTGCACTGGATGGAAATACAAAGAAGGGGAGTGAAAATGTAACTTAAATCAAATTCCTAGAGATTTGGTAACTAGTAAGCGATTATCAAGAGAATCTTCTATATGTAACCGTCCTAGGCCGTCTCTGAACGCCATCTACCGTGGCGTTTCCAGCATCTATAGGGACTTTAAGATCCAACGACGCGACGGCCACGAGAACGTCTCTTAAAAAAGTGTGTTTGCGTTCTTTCAGTCTTTATAGCGATTATTCGTACCCAATTACTTTTTCAAATGTAGGCGAACCCTCCTGAAGCTGAATTTCAAGGAACCATATCCAAGCTCAGAAAGAGAAATAAAATTTCGTCGTTGCTTGTTTACGTCCTCCATAAACACGAAATTAGGCATTTTCACGTCGTAGTTGTGCAAAAACGGGAAAGAAATGACAAAAAAAGTGTGATGCACGTGCAAAGCTGTTGTTTTGTTTATAAAACCTATTGTTTTTTGACGTTCTCGTCGCCGTCCGCGTCGTTGGATCTTAAAGTCCCTGAATCGTTGGCTGCTGTAGTAGCTCCGCCTGATCTGAATGAGTGCAAGCTTATGTTGGCCGTGTTGGGCACAAATTCGAGCAACAGCTCGACCAGGGATTCCCTTGCGCGAGTATAACTGAGAGGTTTTACTTTGTCTATAACTTTATATCTGGATCTAACTTTGACTATAGGTTTGAACAAAAAATCTGAAACCTTAGAAGTACTGACACCTGTTAATTTCATGGACCTTTCTAGATTTGAAACAGGACAGGTAACCATGCCGGATCTACAGATCACCACTTCATTCCCCTTACGATATTGATACTCTGAGACACTTTGATGTTTAAATGTGTGTCGCTTATGCTAATGTCACCGATGGTAAGGGCTGCGAGTTCACTGAAACGGAAGAACCACCCAAATAAGAGTAAGGCCATAGAAATGTCCCTGGCTACGTATAGGCAATTCATCAGAATGCTCAATTTTACTTCAACACGCTGAGAGGGCCTCCTTTGAAATGGGAGATTTCTTCGCGGCGGGTTTGTTATTTTGACGCTTGGGCCCTTTCACCATTTTTTTGACAAAGGTGCCACTCATAGGATTGGGAACCCCCGCAAAATCATGAGCCCATTTTAAAGCACAATAACTAGATTCAATCATAGAGGTTGATACCTCATGACACCTGAGAGGTGACCAAGTGTCTAAAATATGGAGCCGCATTAACCACAGAGACGGGGAACACAACTAACTTGTTAGTATTAGCAAACTTAACCTCCTTGTTTGTGATTTCTGCTTCTTTCCTGCGAATAACTTCAACATCAGTAAGAGCTTTTCCTTCACTAGTTTCTCTTAGTTAATACATGACGTTGCAAATGATGTTCTTTCGTGGACTGGAGTTTCAGCCGCCCACCAGCATCCTTCGATCTGGTTCATTTCCCGTTTGATTACGTTTAGATACTGAAACTTGACTTTTTTTGCAACGTTTCATTGTCGTAAAAAAAATAAATCCTTCATTTTTTTGCTTTTGGAAATTCTCTTCGCAATTCCGCCAACAACAATTCTCTTCCCATACCCGCCTTCTCTGCTAAAAATTAGTTGTTCGACCGGGTTTAGAGACCATATTGAGTCTAAATTTCAAATAGGGAAATGTGCATACAAATAAGTTACCCCTCAGACAATTAATGCATTTCCTGATGAGACATTATTTAGCCATTGACTAGAAAAAAACACGGCTCACTCACGTTTTAATAATCTCTTTTAAACATAGTTTAACAGTGTTGTTCATCAAGACAAAGTCTCAGCCGCTTCTCGGCCTTAAACACAGGATAACTTAGACTTCGTTTAAACATATCATCGGCCCAATGTGTCTAACCCTACTCTACTAAAGACAACCAAATATATTTGCACAAAGTTGAACAGTTTAGGCACGTCCAGATTGTGCTCGTAAAATGCTGGAAAGTTGCAGACTGGAATGCCAAAGTTAAAAGTTGGTAAAAAAAATTGCAAGTACAAGAGCGCTTTCCATTCAACCAAAACGTCTGGTTAAAATTTTCAGCAAATTCCAGTAGCCATGGCGTGACGAATGAATGGAATAACATGGCGACTGGAATAGCATTTTCTAAAATATTCGAAAAATAGGACAACCTCGCGAGGAATACTTAAAAGTGATTCCTTAGTAAAAGAACCAAACATAGATTGTAGATGAAACTTGGTACACTGATGTAACAAGTCAAGAAGATGATAAAAAAGTAATAAAAAGTGGGGGTCACCGTGCTCGTTTTGACGTCACAATGCTGACAAATACGGCTATTTAGGACCCTTTGACAAAAACTGTGGGCAGCTCAAAAGTAAACAAAAAGGAGAGATTTTTCGATGATGCATGTGGTATTGCACAGAATTTGATTTTAATGTATTGTTTATCGACTTACGTACCAGAAAAAATGCCTTTTAATGCCCTTGTTTTTACTTTACGCTCCAAAGTAGAATTAAATTGGACACGCGCTTTTCGACCCGTGATAGCTCAATCCATACATTTAGTAAAACTGCCAAAAAACTGAACATACATTTGTGCCAATTTTTTTCTCATCGAAAGGAAGTACTGTCCTTATTAAAATCATGAAATAAAAAATGGGGGTCACCGTACTCGTTTTTGCGGTAGAGCTGCAGAAAGTGCGCACCAAATGCATTTTCTCCGATTTTTGAGAGGACTGGGACGAGTTTCAAAACAGAATGTATGTGAAAGGGGGGAGACAGTATTAAAAAATCCGTTTTAACAGAATTTACATCGAGATATCACATTTAGGACGCAATGTGATAAAGAAAGTGTTTAAAGGAAAATCAAAGTGAGTAAGCTCAAGTTAAACATCCACTATCGAGGTTCTCCGAGAGGAAGTCGAACTCAGCAACACTCGTACTGCTTACGTTATGCACATTCCCAACACATTGAGTCTCACCTCGGCAAGAAACAGCAGCAAGCAAAAATTCCAATAGCGTTTCTCTTCAGTCAACTTCATTTAAATAATGTTACTTCACATGCCTTTTTTTACGGCGGCCATCTTGTTATGCGCAGTAGAGATGCGCAGTGCAAAACCAGGGAATCACCTTAAATTTTTTGAGAGTTAATTTTCCCGGAAGTTTTTTCCATTCAACTTTGCTCCCGGAATTTCTCGAATTTTCGAAGTTGAATCATGTTTCGCATTTCGGAACTTAAACAGTTTTCGAAATTTCTGGAAGCAATTCAGGAAATTTGTACACCATTTGCCGCTGTTTCCAAATTTTGGAAAGTTTTGGTTAGTGAATGGAAAGCGCCCCAAGTCTTCGCTGCTACTCTGTTTCCTTGTTGTCTTTGTTCCAAGCACAAACATCCAGAGTCACGGCCAAGCCGCAGCATTTTTATCTTTGCTTTTATCAAAAATCTACTCGTTCGATCGCCGCCATTTAGATGAACAGTGGAACATAATGGTTTGGGTCTAGGCAATAAGCCGCGATCAGCACACTGATGTCAAGTTCAACGCTTGAACCTACTTTATAAATCAGAAAAAGTCATATGACGTACAGTCGAACCTCCACTAAAGGCCACTTCCACAACAAACACCTCTCTACAACGACCATCTCTCCACAACGCCAACGGCGGCGGCAACCCACTAAAGCGTGTCTTTAACTACCAAAAAGCCTCTCGACAAAGGCCAGTTTTTCCAGTGACTGATGAAAAAGTCAAGAATGGTCATGGAATTTGTTCTGTGTGGCGCGTTGATCATTAATTGCGGCAATCGTATTTTGATTTTGTTTCATTTATACTGCTGCAGAAAGCATAAATTGTCTACCGTACTTATAGCGAATGTTGCGAAGCTTTCTCGTTTTGTCACGTTAACATTTGGATTCAAAATATAATTCGAGTTTTCTGCGTATTTTAACTCTATATCTGATTATTTAAGTAATTGCTAACATCGGTCAAGAAAAATAGCTTGAAATTAGCCTTAAAAAGCTTCTCGCACAGGAGTTCTAAACAACTAACATTATCCTGCTTACTACTAGTCAATTATTCACATGGCAGTAATTGTAACAAGTTGTATGCGAATTATTCTATAATTAAGCAAAACGTGCACTTCACTTTCTACTTAAAGCTTACCAAGATCATTTTCTTGTGTTGTTTGTTCGCTGACTGCATTTCAGGCTTCTTAGGATGCCGAGAGCCCAACTACTAAGCTGATTGATCATTCATACCTCAAGACATTTACTCCATAAATCTGCAAAACTTGGCATTGAAATTCGCTTTTAAGCTTTCTTTTTTCGTTTTTCTTGTGTTTATTTATGTGCTGACTGCGTTTCAGGTCTCTTAGGCGGGTGTAAATTCCCTTTCAGGCCTGCGAACGCTTTTAAAGTGAGAGCTTGTGTATTCAAAAGGCGTTCATGAATATTCAAGAATTCGCTTAAATTGAAGTTTTCAAGGAAATCGATGAGCTTTTCGTGCTTGATATGTGCCCTAAACCTTTTACTCAAAATCTGCTCAAAAAGGCAAAACTTGCTCTCAACTTTGCTAGAACCCCAAAAAGTTGCTCCAAGCGCCATAAGTTAAGTTGCTTAAAACTTGCCGACAAGAATCTAAACAAGCCTACGATTTTACTAGTTTGGATCGACTTTCGAGGTGTTGCGAAGCTTTCTCGTTTTGTCACGTTAACATTTTGATTCAAAATATAATTCAAGTTTTCTGCGTATTTTATCTCTATATCTGATTATCTAAGTAATTGCTAACATTGGTCAAAAAAAATAGCTTGAACTTAGCCTTAAAGAGCCTCTTGCACGGGAGCTCTGAACAACTAACATTATCCTACTTACTCCTAGTCAATTATTCACATGGCAGTAATTATAACAAGTTGAATGCGAATTATTCTATCATTAAGCAAAACGTGCATTTCATTTCCCACTTAAAGCTTACCAATATCATTTTCTTGTGTTTGTTTGTGTGCTGACTGCATGCATTTCAGGCTTCTTAGGATGCCGAGAGCCCAACTACTAAGCTGATTGATTATTCATACCTCACGACATTTATGACGTTGTATTGTATTCTTTACTCTATAAATCTGCAAAACTGTGCATTGAAATTCGCTTTTAAGTTTTCTTTTTTCGTTTTTCTTGTGTTTATTTATGTGCTGACTGCGTTTCAGGTCCCTTAGGCGGGTGTAAATTCCCTTTCAGGCCTGCGAAAGCTTTTAAAGTGAGAGCTTGTGTATTCAAAAGGCGTTCATGAATATTCAAGAATTCGCTTAAATTGAAGTTTTCAAGGAAATCGATGAGCTTTTCGTGCTTGATATGTGCCCTAAACCTTTATTTTACTCAAAATCTGCTCAAAAAGGCAAAACTTGCTCTCAACTTTGCTACAACCCCAAATAGTTGCTCCAAGCGCCATAAGTTATTATAACTTCCTTAAAACTTGCCGACAACAATTTAAACAAGCCTACGATTTTACTAGTTTGGGTCGACTTTCAAAGGCATTAAGGGTTGCACATTTAGAGTTGGATGTTGAACCTACTTTTGTTATTAGAAATGGCCATTTGATGTACTTACCTTGACGTAAAGAAAACCAAATATTTGCAAACAGATAATACGCGACAGATGTCTTTAATACGAATACAGAAATCCTTCGGAGAAAACACCCCAGTATACTCATGCATGTGATTGGTCGGTCGTCCGCATTTTCGAACCGTTGCTCCAGTTGGATGGCGTGACATAGGCGTCATATGGTAAACTGACCAATCCCGCTGTCAAAGACAGTTTTGTCGGAAGTGCAAGAGCGCTTTCCATTCAACCTAAACGTCTGGTTAAAATTTTCAGCAATTTCCAGTAGCCAACATGGCGAATGAAATAGCATTTTCGATAATATCCCAAAAATAGAACAACCTCACAAGGTATACTTAAATTTTTTGAGAGTTAGTTTTTCCTGGAAATTTTTTTGCCATTGAACTTTGCTCCCGGATATTTCTAGAATTTTCGAAGTTGAATCATGGCTCGCATTTCGGAACTTAAACAGCTTTCGAAATTTCTGGAAACTTTTCCGGAAATTTCTACACCATTTGCCGCTGTTTCCAAAGTTTGGAAAGTTTTGGTTAGTGAATGGAAAGCGCCCCAAGTCTTCGCTGCTACTTTGTTTCCTTGTTGTCTTTGTTCCAAGCACAAACATCCAGAGTCACGGCCAAGCCGCAGCATTTTTATCTTTGCTTTTATCAAAAATCTACTCGTTCGATCGCCGCCATTTAGATGAACAGTGGAACATAATGGTTTGGGTCTAGGCAATAAGCCGCGATCAGCACACTGATGTCAAGTTCAACGCTTGAACCTACTTTATAAATCAGAAAAAGTCATATGACGTACAGTCGAACCTCCACTAAAGGCCACTTCCACAACAAACACCTCTCTACAACGACCATCTCTCCACAACGCCAACGGCAACGGCAACGGCCACTAAAGCGTGTCTTTAACTACCAAAAAGCCTCTCGACAACGGCCAGTTTTTTTCAGCGACTAATGAAAAAGTCAAGAATGGTCAACATGGAATTTGATCCGTATGGCGCGTTGATGATTAATCGCGGCAATCGTATTTTGATTTTGTTTCATTTATACTGCTGCACTAAGCATAAATTGTCTACCGTACTTATAGCGAATGTTGCGAAGCTTTCTCGTTTTGTCACGTTAACATTTGGATTCAAAATATAATTCGAGTTTTCTGCGTATTTTAACTCTATATCTGATTATTTAAGTAATTGCTAACATCGGTCAAGAAAAATAGCTTGAAATTAGCCTTAAAAAGCTTCTCGCACAGGAGTTCTAAACAACTAACATTATCCTGCTTACTACTAGTCAATTATTCACATGGCAGTAATTGTAACAAGTTGTATGCGAATTATTCTATAATTAAGCAAAACGTGCACTTCACTTTCTACTTAAAGCTTACCAAGATCATTTTCTTGTGTTGTTTGTTCGCTGACTGCATTTCAGGCTTCTTAGGATGCCGAGAGCCCAACTACTAAGCTGATTGATTATTCATACCTCAAGACATTTACTCCATAAATCTGCAAAACTTGGCATTGAAATTCGCTTTTAAGCTTTCTTTTTTCGTTTTTCTTGTGTTTATTTATGTGCTGACTGCGTTTCAGGTCTCTTAGGCGGGTGTAAATTCCCTTTCAGGCCTGCGAACGCTTTTAAAGTGAGAGCTTGTGTATTCAAAAGGCGTTCATGAATATTCAAGAATTCGCTTAAATTGAAGTTTTCAAGGAAATCGATGAGCTTTTCGTGCTTGATATGTGCCCTAAACCTTTTACTCAAAATCTGCTCAAAAAGGCAAAACTTGCTCTCAACTTTGCTAGAACCCCAAAAAGTTGCTCCAAGCGCCATAAGTTAAGTTGCTTAAAACTTGCCGACAAGAATCTAAACAAGCCTACGATTTTACTAGTTTGGATCGACTTTCGAGGTGTTGCGAAGCTTTCTCGTTTTGTCACGTTAACATTTTGATTCAAAATATAATTCAAGTTTTCTGCGTATTTTATCTCTATATCTGATTATCTAAGTAATTGCTAACATTGGTCAAAAAAAATAGCTTGAACTTAGCCTTAAAGAGCCTCTTGCACGGGAGCTCTGAACAACTAACATTATCCTACTTACTCCTAGTCAATTATTCACATGGCAGTAATTATAACAAGTTGAATGCGAATTATTCTATCATTAAGCAAAACGTGCATTTCATTTCCCACTTAAAGCTTACCAATATCATTTTCTTGTGTTTGTTTGTGTGCTGACTGCATGCATTTCAGGCTTCTTAGGATGCCGAGAGCCCAACTACTAAGCTGATTGATTATTCATACCTCACGACATTTATGACGTTGTATTGTATTCTTTACTCTATAAATCTGCAAAACTGTGCATTGAAATTCGCTTTTAAGTTTTCTTTTTTCGTTTTTCTTGTGTTTATTTATGTGCTGACTGCGTTTCAGGTCCCTTAGGCGGGTGTAAATTCCCTTTCAGGCCTGCGAAAGCTTTTAAAGTGAGAGCTTGTGTATTCAAAAGGCGTTCATGAATATTCAAGAATTCGCTTAAATTGAAGTTTTCAAGGAAATCGATGAGCTTTTCGTGCTTGATATGTGCCCTAAACCTTTATTTTACTCAAAATCTGCTCAAAAAGGCAAAACTTGCTCTCAACTTTGCTACAACCCCAAATAGTTGCTCCAAGCGCCATAAGTTATTATAACTTCCTTAAAACTTGCCGACAACAATTTAAACAAGCCTACGATTTTACTAGTTTGGGTCGACTTTCAAAGGCATTAAGGGTTGCACATTTAGAGTTGGATGTTGAACCTACTTTTGTTATTAGAAATGGCCATTTGATGTACTTACCTTGACGTAAAGAAAACCAAATATTTGCAAACAGATAATACGCGACAGATGTCTTTAATACGAATACAGAAATCCTTCGGAGAAAACACCCCAGTATACTCATGCATGTGATTGGTCGGTCGTTCGCATTTTCGAACCGTTGCTCTAATTGGATGGCGTGACATAGGCGTCATATGGTAAACTGACCAATCCCGCTGTCAAAGACAGTTTTGTCGGAAGTGCAAGAGCGCTTTCCATTCAACCTAAACGTCTGGTTAAAATTTTCAGCAATTTCCAGTAGCCAACATGGCGAATGAAATAGCATTTTCGATAATATCCCAAAAATAGAACAACCTCACAAGGTATACTTAAATTTTTTGAGAGTTAGTTTTTCCTGGAAATTTTTTTGCCATTGAACTTTGCTCCCGGATATTTCTAGAATTTTCGAAGTTGAATCATGGCTCGCATTTCGGAACTTAAACAGCTTTCGAAATTTCTGGAAACTTTTCCGGAAATTTCTACACCATTTGCCGCTGTTTCCAAAGTTTGGAAAGTTTTGGTTAGTGAATGGAAAGCGCCCCAAGTCTTCGCTGCTACTTTGTTTCCTTGTTGTCTTTGTTCCAAGCACAAACATCCAGAGTCACGGCCAAGCTGCAGCATTTTTTGTCTTTGTTTTTATCAAAAATCTACGGGTTCGATCGCCGTCATTTAGATCAACAGTGGAACATAATGGTTTGGGTCTAGGCAATAAGCCGCGATCAGCACACTGATGTCAAGTTCAACGCTTGAACCTACTTTATAAATCAGAAAAAGTCATATGACGTACAGTCGAACCTCCACTAAAGGCCACTTCCACAACAAACACCTCTCTACAATGACCATCTCTCCACAACGCCAACGGCAACGGCAACGGCAACGGCCACTAAAGCGTGTCTTTAACTACCAAAAAGCCTCTCGACAACGGCCAGTTTTTTTCAGCGACTAATGAAAAAGTCAAGAATGGTCAACATGGAATTTTATTCGCATGGCGCGTTGATGATTAATCGCGGCAATCGTATTTTGATTTTGTTTCATTTATACTGCTGCACTAAGCATAAATTGTCTACCGTACTTATAGCGAATGTTGCGAAGCTTTCTCGTTTTGTCACGTTAACATTTGGATTCAAAATATAATTCGATTGTTCTGCATTTTAACTCTGTATCTGATTATTTAAGTAACAATAGCTATAACAAAATTGTCAAATCTGATTGGCTATCAACTGCCCTGATTTCAGTCTTTATTACATCCACCTTGAAATCACTGGCTATCCGTGCAATTTGATTGGCTCTCAGCAGTGTGATTTATTCCTAAATCGCACCATTTTTTGCTCTAAATCGCATGTCTTCCAAATCGCGTCAGTCATGTTCTAAATCGCATCATTTCCGTTTTAAATCGCACCATTTTTGTTCTATATTGCATCATTTCTGTTTCGAATACAAAATGAGATATAAAAGCTTTTTGTTTCGGCTTTTTAACACACAGGCTACTCGATCAATAAAATGTTAGTACTGACTAAATTCTGCGATTTCAAAATGGATGTAATAAAGTGGTAATTGAACTTCGTGTCGTGCAATTTTGGTCTGAAATCATGCTTGTGATTTCAAATCGAACTCGCGCTGCGCGCTCGTTCGATTTTGAAATCACGCGTATGATTTTAGACCAAATTGCACTCCACTCAGTTCAATTACCATTATGAATTGGACTCCACTCAAATCAGTGAAAGGTTCCGACAATTCTGCTTTTTTACAAAAAGATCAACTCTGCTACTTGAAAGGAGCAGAAAAATTAACTTTCTCCGTTTATTTTTCATAGAACAAAATGCAACATTGTTACCTTTTTTGTGAATGCTAGTCGATCAGGTGAAAAGTTAAAAAAAGGTACCTTTTTAGAAAAAAAAGGCGGGTATTTTAAGCTTTCGGGTGAAAATCTTTTAACGTCGATATTGTCCGCTTTCCATGCATTTCTCACTTTACCAAAGAAAACTTTAAAGCGCGAAAAAGGTACCTTTCTTTCAGTTTGAAGAGATCTCTTCAAAAGCGCGAAAAAGGTACCTTTTCTGCGGTTAGAAACGTTCCCATCAATTTTGCGGTTACAAGCAATCTCTTCAAAAGCGCGAAAAAGGTACCTTTAAAAATAAATGACATTTCAATTAAAATCCTACTGATTGAAAGGTGTCAACCGTTGGCGCCCCCAACGAACAATACACAGACGTTTTTAGGGGAATCTATGTCCCGTTTCTACAAGCGAATTTCGCAGTCCTGAATCTAATTAAAACGAGCAAAACCCATCCTAGACTCCCCTAGGAACACCTGTATGGGAGGCTATTCCTCAGTGGCCCCGGCTATTTAACAGAAATGGCTCAGACGCGCAATATTATAACTATCGCGTCGTGCATTATTGGCATTTTTTCCGCCGGACCTACGTACGTAGACGAGGGTCTACTATGGCGAATTATCGGACTAAAAAAAAATAGCTGGCTCCTTTTCGCCGATCAAAGTTGAGAAACTAGACTGAAGAGATCCGAAAATACTGGCTACCATCCAAATGGATGAAATAGCTACTGGTTCTTTCAAACAGGATGCATGTAGAGGACCTAAGCAAGCCCATTTTTAAGCGTAGAGCGAAGACTTAAAAAAAGTCCTATATCATGAAAAGTCGAACCATTTTAATCTGCGAAAAAAGATATATCAAATTCTACGTCGATCTATGACAAACAGCAGAGAAGTGTTTTTTTCTTTTAAGTCTAAACTGAGCGGGTTATCATAATAACTGTTTTGTTTCGTGGGTGCCTTTTTTCACTCCGGAACGGGTTGTTAGAGACTTCAGTCCAGAGGTTTAATAAACTGTTTTGCAATAATGCAAACTAGATTTCGAATTTGACCTCGGGTGACTTTTGAGCCGCAAGCTGAAGCATTTAGTAAAGCCATTAACCGTAAATGTCACAATCCCTTTGAGATCCCCTTACTTACACTAGAGTAACTGAGAAGCTTTTATTTGTGCCTATCACGCCCCCACTCAATCTTTTGGCCGATTTTTATCACTTTTTTTCCCAGCGTGATTCCACTTCGTATTCGTTCAGTCGTCTTATCCCATATTTAGCACAAAACAATCGCACGTTGCTTTCTGAAAAGCCTCTTGTTACTTCTGGAAAGTCTTGTCTGAGAATTTCACTGACATATTTGTCTTCAATGAGATTCCTTATTTAAGTGACATTGCTTTCTATATATTCCGCCATATTTGTCTCTTGACTAGTGGGTCAGTCAATTCAAGCAAAACAAATGGCGCCAAACGGTTGACATCTGTCAATCAGTAGGATTTGAAACGGCTTTCAAATATAGTTTGAAAAGACCATTTATTTTTAAAGTTTCCTTTTTCGCACTTATGAGAACATCGCTTCCAACAGCAAAAAGGCACTTTTTCTGCTCTTTTGATAGGAACGTTTCTAACCGCAGAAAAGGTACCTTTTTCGCGCTTTTGAAGAGATCTCTTCAAACTGAAAAAAAGGTACCTTTTTCGCGCTTTAAAGTTTTGTTTGGTAAAGTGAGAAATGGATGAAAAGTGGACAATATTGACGTCATAATATTTTCACCCGAAAGCTTAAAATACCCGCCTTTTTAATAAGGTACATTTTTTTAACTTTTCACCTGATCGACTAGCATTAACAAAAAAGGTAACAATTTTGCATGTTGTGCTATGAAAAATAAATGAAGAAAGTTAATTTTTCTGCTCTTTTCAATTAGCAGAGTTGATCTTTTTGTAAAAAAGCAGAATTGCCGGAACCTTTCACTGATTCACTCAGTCCTGTTACCATTACTAATTGCTAACATCGGTCAAGAAAAATAGCTTGAAATTAGCCTTAACAAGCTTCTCGCACAGGAGTTCTAAACAACTAACATTATCCAGTTTACTCCTAGTCAATTATTCACATGGCAGTAATTATAACAAGTTGTATGCGAATTATTCTATAATTAAGCAAAATGTGCACTTCACTCTCTACTTAAAGCTTACCAAGATCATTTTCTTGTGTTTGTTTGTTTGCTAACTGCATTTCAGGCTTCTTAGGATGCCGAGAGCCCAACTACTAAGCCGATTGATTATTCATACCTCAAGACATTTACTCCATAAATCTGCAAAACTGGGCATTGAAATTCGCTTTTAAGCTTTCTTTTTTCGTTTTTCTTGTGTTTATTTATGTGCTGACTGCGTTTCAGGTCTCTTAGGCGGGTGTAAATTCCCTTTCAGGCCTGCGAACGCTTTTAAAGTGAGAGCTTGTGTATTCAAAAGGCGTTCATGAATATTCAAGAATTCGCTTAAATTGAAGTTTTCAAGGAAATCGATGAGCTTTTCGTGCTTGATATGTGCCCTAAACCTTTATTTTACTCAAAATCTGCTCAAAAAGGCAAAACTTGCTCTCAACTTTGCTAGAACCCCAAAAAGTTGCTCCAAGCGCCATAAGTTAAGTTGCTTAAAACTTGCCGACAAGAATCTAAACAAGCCTACGATTTTACTAGTTTGGATCGACTTTCGAGGTGTTGCGAAGCTTTCTCGTTTTGTCACGTTAACATTTTGATTCAAAATATAATTCAAGTTTTCTGCGTATTTTATCTCTATATCTGATTATCTAAGTAATTGCTAACATTGGTCAAAAAAAATAGCTTGAACTTAGCCTTAAAGAGCCTCTTGCAGGGGAGCTCTGAACAACTAACATTATCCTACTTACTCCTAGTCAATTATTCACATGGCAGTAATTATAACAAGTTGTATGCGAATTATTCTATCATTAAGCAAAACGTGCATTTCATTTCCCACTTAAATCTTACCAATATCATTTTCTTGTGTTTGTTTGTGTGCTGACTGCATTTCAGGCTTCTTAGGATGCCGCGAGCCCAACTACTAAGCTGATTGATTATTCATACCTCACGACATTTATGACGTTGTATTGTATTCTTTACTCCATAAATCTGCAAAACTGTGCATTGAAATTCGCTTTTAAGTTTTCTTTTTTCGTTTTTCTTGTGTTTATTTATGTGCTGACTGCGTTTCAGGTCCCTTAGGCGGGTGTAAATTCCCTTTCAGGCCTGCGAAAGCTTCTAAAGTGAGAGCTTGTGTATTCAAAAGGCGTTCATGAATATTCAAGAATTCACTTAAATTGAAGTTTTCAAGGAAATCGATGAGCTTTTCGTGCTTGATATGTGCCCTAAACCTTTATTTTACTCAAAATCTGCTCAAAAAGGCAAAACTTGCTCTCAACTTTGCTACAACCCCAAAAAGTTGCTCCAAGCGCCATAAGTTAAGTCAGGGGCACCCAACGACAATTTTCGGAAAAATATCTGTTCGGAAGACGATTTGAGATCTAGAATTTTCGGAACATTTGTTGTAAAATTTCTTGCTTGCCTGCTCCTCCTAGGATTTTCGAACATCTAAAAAATAGTAAAATTGCCCATTTTCAACGGATTTTTACCCTAAAAAGGTCACCTAGAATTTTCGTGAGCCTTTTTTCAGGCTGAAATTTTCGAACAGGTAAGTTTTGATCCCTATAATTTTCGGATCACTAGACTTTCAGCTAGGAAATCCGAACAGATGAAAAGTTTATAGGGGATAAAAATATGCCCATATCCACCGTTTAAATACTAAAACACGTTTAACAATGCTATTTTTAAGTGGTTTTGAACTACATTCTCGTTGGGTGCCCCTGTTAAGTTGCTTAAAACTTGCCGACAACAATCTAAACAAGCCTACGATTTTACTAGTTTGGATCGACTTTCGAGGTGTTGCGAAGCTTTCTCGTTTTGTCACGTTAACATTTTGATTCAAAATATAATTCAAGTTTTCTGCGTATTTTATCTCTAAATCTGATTATTTAAGTAACTGCCAACATTGGTCAAGAAAAATAGCTTGAACTTAGCCTTAAAGAGCCTCTTGCACGGGAGCTCTGAACAACTAACATTATCCTACTTACTCCTAGTCAATTATTCACATGGCAGTAATAATAACAAGTTGTATGCGAATTATTCTATCATTAAGCAAAATGTGCATTTTATTTCCCACTTAAAGCTTATCAATATCATTTTCTGTCTTTGTTTGTGTGCTGACTGCATTTCAGTCTTCTTAAGATGCCGAGAGCCCGACTACTAAGCCGATTGATTATTCCTACCTCAAGACATTTATGACGTTGTATTGTATTCTTTACTCCCCAAATCTGCAAAACTGGGCATTGAAATTCGCTTTTAAGCTTTCTTTGTTCGTTTTTCTTGTGTTTATTTATGTGCTGACTGCGTTTCAGGTCCCTTAGGTGGGTGTAAATTCCCTTTCAGGCCTGCGAAAGCTTCTAAAGTAAGAGCTTGTGTATTCAAAAGGCGTTCATGAATATTCAAGAATTCGCTTAAATTGAAGTTTTCAAGGAAATCGATGAGCTTTTCGTGCTTGATATGTGCCCTAAACCTCTATTTTACCCAAAATCTGCTCTAAAAGGCAAAACTTGCTCTCAAGCTTGCTAGAACCCCAAACAGTTGCTCCAAGCGCCATAAAAAAACCTGCGACAACAATTTAAACAAGCCTACGATTTTACTAGTTTGGGTCGACTTTCAAAGGCATTAAGGGTTGCACATTTAGAGTTGGATGTTTGAACCTACTTTTGTTATTAGAAATGGCCATTTGATGTACTTACCTTAACGTAAAGAAAACCAAATATTTGCAAACAGATAATACGCGACAGATGTCTTTAATACGAATACAGAAATCCTTTCGAGAAAACATCCCAGTATACTCATGCATGTGATTGGTCGGTCGTCCACATTTTCTAACCGTTGCTCCAATTGGATGGCGTGACATAGGCGTCATATGGTAAACTGACCAATCCCGCTGTCAAAGACAGTTTTGTCGGAAGTGCAAGAGCGCTTTCCATTCAACCTAAACGTCTGGTTAAAATTTTCAGCAATTTCCAGTAGCCAATATGGCGAATGGAATAGCATTTTCGATAATATCCCAAAAATAGAACAACCTCACAAGGTATACTTAAATTTTTTGAGTGTTAGTTTTTCCTGGAAGTTTTTTTTTTCCATTCAACTTTGCTCCCTGAATTTCTAGAGTTTTCGAAGTTGAATCATGGTTCGCATTTCGGAACTTAAACAGCTTTCGAAATTTCTGGAAACTTTTCCGGAAATTTCTACACCATTTGCCGCTGTTTCCAAATTTTGGAAAGTTTTGGTTAGTGAATGGAAAGCGCCCCAAGTCTTCGCTGCTACTTTGTTTCCTTGTTGTCTTTGTTCCAAGCACAAACATCCAGAGTCACGGCCAAGCTGCAGCATTTTTTGTCTTTGTTTTTATCAAAAATCTACGCGTTCGATCGCCGTCATTTAGATCAACAGTGGAACATGATGGTTTGGGTCTAGGCAATAAGCCGCGATCAGCACACTGATGTCAAGTTCAACGCTTGAACCTACTTTATAAATCAGAAAAAGTCATATGACGTACAGTCGAACCTCCACTAAAGGCCACTTCCACAACAAACACCTCTCTACAACGACCATCTCCCACAACGGCAACGGCAACGGCAACGGCCACTAAAGCGTGTCTTTAACTACCAAAAAGCCTCTCGACAACGGCCAGTTTTTTTCAGCGACTAATGAAAAAGTCAAGAATGGTCAACATGGAATTTTATTCGTATGGTGCGTTGATGATTAATCGCGGCAATCGTATTTTGATTTTGTGTCATTTATACTGCTGCAGTAAACATAAATTGTCTACCGTACTTATAGCGAATGTTGCGAAGCTTTCTCGTTTTGTCACGTTAACATTTTGATTTAAAATATAATTCAATTTTTTTTTGGATTATTACCATTATTGGAAACAGTAAGCGTGAGTTAGCAAAATAAAAAAGTTGTCATATTACAATCCTATTTCCCCATTACGGCCACCTTGAGTTCTGTCCCCAAGGTGGCCGTAGTAGAGAGGTTCGACTGTACTTACCTTAAACTTAGGGTTAGACTCAATATGTCGGCTTCATCTTTGGCATAATGCTTTAGTTAGAGCGCGAGCACCACCGCATGAAAGTATTGCAATGAGCGTTTTTCCTTTTTTGCACACTGATGCCATAGGATTAATTTTTCATTTATTTAGGTTGCGCTTATTTCCAAATTTAACTGTAGGCTCTTAGCCAATGAGAAGATAGATAATGAGTACCAAGTAAAATAATTGCCAGCTTCGGTCAAGAAAAATAGCTTGAAGCTAGCTTTAAAGAGCTTCTCGCATGAGAGCTCTGAACAATTAGCATTTAAATGAAGGAGGCTGAGTGGGATATGAGGAATTATGCAGGTCAAGGGGTGTGTGTGGATAACACCCTCCGAGATCTGCATAATTCTTTATATCCTACGAAAGCTGAATTCATTAATTACTTTATTATTCATTTAAAATAATTCCTAGTTGAAAAACAAGATAAAACATGCTTACCTTCGTCAATGTTAAGTTCACCTCGATAGCGCCTCCAAATCGCAGATGTCGTCTGTCGAGTTGTCTTCTTGCTATTTTTTTTAGACAATAGTTCGTCGTGAAACAAGTAAAATGTTCCGCCGACTGTTCGGCCACTTTTTTAATTTCACAACCAAAACAACTCAACCTTGTCTCCAGGTCTTCTCGGTTAACGGTGCATTAACCTGCAACAGTGCTGCACTTTTGACGTCATCGGTTGATTAATCGCAAAATTCTTCTAAATTTGGTCAACAGTCGGCTGGTTATGGTGAATAATGTGCGTGTTTTTAGCCAATCTGCGAAACTGCGAAATATTTTGCACTTTCCGCATTTTTCCATCCGCATTTTCCCATCCGCATCCGCCATCCTTAGGTATCCGGTCCGCGGATACCTGAGGATGGCAGATGGTAACACAGGCGTAATTAGGTGAACTGGCCAACTCTATCAAAGACGGGCTTCTCGGAATTGCAAGTCTTCGGATTCGCCCCTAGGCTAAGTCTTTCCTTGTTGTCTATGTTTCCGGCTCAACCGATCGAGAGAGCCAAAGAAAAATAGCGAAATGTCGGCTATTTTTTTCAAGCTAGTGTTCATAAGAGATTTGCAGTTTGCTTTAATTTTTAAACAGTGTTTGTATTAATTAAGGAAGATTTAAAAATGCAAGCAAGATATCAATAGAGGAAACTATATGGTTTACTGCTACTGAATGTCTTTTTTAAAAATCCTTTTACATAGTTTAGTAAATTGTGTCATTGTTTTTTGGCCATCACTGGCACATTCACCCCAAATTTTAGCTTAGCAGGGCTTTAAACGAGCTAATTTGCAGAAATACGAATTAAAATAATATAAGTTACATAGCGCCAACTGGCTTATACGGCCAAGTTTTTTCTTTCGCATTTCTACTGGAGAAATTGAAGCATAAATAATATAATTACATAGCGCAAATTGAGCTTAGGTGTACTTTACTTTGCGCTATCACGATGGCAAAACGCACCATTAAAAGGTCCCTAAAACAGTAAAAACTCTTGAAAAGGTTTAAGTTTCAGTAAAAACATTATGGAGAGGGTTGTATCATTTGTTAAGGTCATGTTCCACACTTTTGGAGCCTACAGCAAGAGCAGAGTCCCTTTGGTGTTTTAAACGCCCTCTGGTCACGCATCGGGGCCGGCAAAAGTCGCTGGAACTATGTCCCCAGCTTGTGGCGTGCGTGTTCTATCCGAGTCTAAGATCCTTGAAATTATAAGTTAGGTGCCGTCATCCCGCACCATTCATAAAACCGATGAAAGCTACTCAGGCCCCATTTACATGGAGAAATCTTTTCCGGGGCAGAGGGGTGACCTGCCCACTCGAGCTACCCCGGGCGGGAGCCAACTCTTCATACATTTCCTTAGAAAACTTTGCGAACCGTTCACATGAGAAACCAGGTGATAGGCTCCTGGAGAAACAAAAAGTTGGCTTAGCTAGAAGAGTGACCCGCCTAGCTGGGTCACCCTTTTTCGATGGTAGGATCACCCTCCTAGCCTGGCCAACCTTGATATAAACACTTAGCTCGCCCAGCAGGGCCAACTCGGTCAAGGCGAGATAATTAGGAGCATGCGCAAGACCAGATGTCGTATAGACGCTTCTGAAAGTTGAATCGTGGGAGGATGTCCCTTTTTCCCGAGATAACTTTAACTACAATGAATTCCAAATTATCAAGCGTTTGTGAATAATAATAAAAAAAGGAACGAAAAAAAGTTTCAAAAAGTTGTTACGTTTCGCACCACCAACGAGATTCCTTTATATGCCTCTACCTGGATCTGCTAAAAGGCAAATTTTGACCCCGTAAGCAAACCAGTTCAAACGATCCCGCTATTTGCTGCAGCATGTGTCAAAGGAATGTTAAGGTCAAGGTTGAAATGGCGTCAGTAAAACTGGGTCTCGCACAACTGAGCGGTGTGTTCCCTAACCCCCAACCTCCACCGCCAAATAGCATGTAACAAGTTTTGGCTCGACAGTGCAGCAAGTATGCATGCAGCGGCTGTAGCATAAACGTGTATCACGTCTAAGGTCACGGTCTTAAACTTTTAAGACCTTAAACCACCGTAAAGACTTTTGAGCACGCTGAATTGACCGCGATCAGAGTTGTTTGGAGGCAAATAACATACAAAAGGAACTCGTGAAGAAAAATCTACGAAGGTAATCAGTTCATATACAGACTTAGTAAATAGACAGTTTTGGGTGTAAACAACTCAAAGAGGGTCCGGGTAAGGGATTGTTATGGTCGCGAAACGTCTATTATTTATGACTGCCATGCCTAGCTCTATCATCTTCTCTGTACGACTTACAGATGATAGGCGAAAACTGGCTGTTAAAGGGATACGGTCGGGTCACTCACTAACGGGCGTTCAAAGAACTGCCGAAGGAAACATAAAGGTGTGGAGGGAGAATCGGACTCTATTACAATACAGATAGCATACGCCATGAAAAATGTCAACGTAGACGTACAAAAGTGTCACTTTATCTCATTCTAGTCATCTTTGGTACCCCTGAAGTTAGTAAAATTTGATGGAAGGAATCGCGATTTACTTTCAGGATTTTGCTTCAGTAATCCCTCAGCACTATAAGCCCCGTTGTAGTTGTGTGGTAGCAGGGAGTTTAGCAACGACGACGGCGACGGTGACGGCAACGAGAACGGCAAAAAAGCAATAGGTTTAGGCAAGCAAATTAACTACTTTGAACGTGTAACAGGCTTTTTTGTACATTTCTCTGCCGTCGCTGCACGACTACAACGTGAAACTGCCTAATTTTACGTTTTGTCGAGGACGGGAACAAAAAGCAACAACTTTCTTTTTCTTTTCCTGAACATCGATGCAGTCCTTTTAGAATTCAACTACAAAAAAGTTTGCCAACACTTGACGAATTAAACGAGATGAAATAAGGGCGGTAAAGTTTGAGGCAGCGCAAATTCACTTTTTAAGTGAGGTTTTCGTAGCTGTCGCCGTCGTTGCGTAAACTCCCTAGTAACGACTACTAGTAAGTAACACGTTGCCATTTTGTGAGTAAAGCCTCAACCGGGTTGCCCATTCAGCTCAAAGGCTGGCCTCAGGGGGGCCCTTTATCTAATAAAACTTTACATTACGAATTTAAATTTTAAAAAGTTGAAAAAAGCCTAAAACACAATAAATTACCATAACAAAATTGAAAACTAACGAATTTTATAAAAGAAAACCTATAATGCAATGAATGAAATACAAGAGTTGCAATCTAAACGACTAACATTTACATTATTTACACTTAAAAGAACAAGATTGTAAGGATGAATCGGGCAAACTATAATCATCACGTGGCAATTCCCAGTCTTTGTTACATACACATCAAGTCAGTAAAGTCAAATTTTCATGACAATAAATTACGATAGTGGAGGTCAAAACAAAACAGAAGTTTATCATGTAATTTCGGTTCTGGGAACACCTTGCTTGGAAGATAAGTCACCAATGCTGCGTTTCCCTGACCGCAAACAGTACTAAAACAATTGGAAGAATGACGTGCCATTGTTTCCTGCGACCAATTAGAAGAGACCTTACGAACAGCTCCTACACTACTCATTCACGAGGCTGAATTCTACTATTAGTAGAATATTTGTACCATTATCTCATATTTTTCGGCGCTTAGAGCCTGGGGCTCTGATTTTTTGGAAGTAATGTCTCGGGCTCGGATTTGGTAAAAACGCTTGAGTCTCAGTCTCGAATTTTGCAACCATGGTCTCGCAGTCTCACAAAGTCTCGAACTTACCATTCTATACCCCTCACATTCACTCCTTCCCAGCTGTATACTAATTTTGATTTAACATTATTTATCTATTTATTACGCTTTTAATTCTATTAGCTCTAATATATTTTGTGTGGCAAAATAAAAAAACAGATAAATGAATTAAGCGTATTTGTGAATTAAAACTTGTTAGAAACTCATCCGTGGATTTCATGCCTCTTACCTTTCCTGAAACTCAGCTGGAAACTGGACACTTTCAGTCTCGGGTTCTCCGCTTTGTTCAGACTTCTATATAGGTGCTGAGGTCTTGTGTACAAATAAAACTAACGTTTTGAGGCTTCCGAGGCTGAAGTTGTCTCGGTGAAACCACCATCTAATTATGTAAATTAAACTTCACAAGCTAATTTTAATTAAAACCATGGCAGGACAAGGGAAGAAAATCATGCAAGCATTTTCGTAACAGCCAGAAAAGGGTAGAAATTAAACTGAAACTTTTTCATCGCTACCCATTAGCAAAAAAATGTCAAGAATTGTAGGAAAAAAACAAAGTCAAGCATCTAGCCTTCAATGTCAAAACAAAACCCATTTTATTGCATATATTTTTTTTCCGTAAACGTTGTTGTTTACTATGATCGCGCCACGCGAATTCAATCACGTGCGGACTAGTGGATGCGTGCACAAACGGAGTTGTTTTCGTGAAAATCTCTCACACACGTGACGATTTACATTTCATGCACACGCTTAACTGAATGACCCAAAAATAGCCTGCCTCACTGAAAAACAAGCATTGAATTATCCTTAACTGAGTCAGTCAAGGAGACACTTCAGACACAAAATACTGGTATGTAAACATGAGGAACCGCAAGGATGCTTCCCAGGATAAAATTGTTTCGTAACTGTTTCCCGACCCTGTCTCATACTCGATCGACATGCGTTTTTGCCATGACAAATAAAAAAAACTGCGAAGTAACAGTTGCTTGTTGCACCACCAACATCAGACAAGAGAAAGTGGTGGAGGGAAAAGGATGTTAAAAGAGGGATGGGTGGGAGGACGAGAGAAACACCCCACACGCCCCGAGTGCCTATTCATTTTCATAGACCAGTCCCAAAGTGTTTTATATTCTAGGTGAGTTCGTGATGGTAGTATACCAAGAGAGAAGAGTATACATAAGTAAGAATGCCGGACATACAATTACTGACTTCAGCTGACTGAAATGATTAACACTGTTGTCTCATGGTGGTTTGCCTGAGACAAAAAAAATTCAGTCATGAAAGCGCTCTTTGTAAGATGTCCACATTCCAAGGGTGCGTCCCAATGGGATGAAGCGAATGAGGACCAGTGATTCCAGATCACTCAGATCATACAACATCAAAGGACGAATCCAAACGGGGAGAGGATACATCGGTTCATTTTATGTACTATGTCAATGTGGTAAGATTCGAGTACGTGATCTTAGATCACTGATCCTGAGCTGGATCATCCCTAAGGAAAACACCCCTAAGTGAGACGTGCACGTGATCACGTGCGTGTGCACGTGATCACGTGCGTGTGCACGTGATCACTTACCACGAGATAACCAACAGTACTTCCGCATGTTTGTAATGCATTAAACTTGTTTCAACAAATCTTCATCGGTGAACATTTTCTCAGTTGATTAATTAAAACCGCCCGCAGTTCTTTTATCTTTTAGTAGGTTTCCACTAAAAGATAATATCCCTTCCATATATTCAGTTGATAAAATCAGTTTTGAATAAATCCGTGTAGGGAAAGTCGAAGGTTTTTCCTCGCTGGTCTTTAATGCCAACATATTTAGTCTACACAAGCAGAACTGTATCAGTAAGAATCTCCGATGAAGAAAGCTCCGACTGCTTGGGTCTGCTTTCTCATATAGTGTTCACTCTTTTGTTCAGAATGTCATATTTTTATCTCTAGCTTTAGGCTAGGGCGAGCGGCCCTCTTTGAACAGCAGTCTCTGAACGTCAATACCTTCAATCTTTCCATTAGGGTCAGGTGCGGATCTAGAATGAATATCGACCGACTGTTCCTAAACGAGCGCCGAAAGCGCAAGCTTCTGGGGGGGTCAGGTGGGGAGGGGGTACATGCATGGATTTGAAATCTTCAAAGTCCCCTTTCCTGGGTTTCTGAGGGATTAAGACAGGATATTTACTGACTGTCCAAACCTTTTTCGAGATTTCTACTTGGAAATTTTGTTATTAAAAATAAATTACTTAGGAGAAATCTGACCGATTCCCTTAAAATGGTGGAAACCGGTGTGAATTGCCTGGCCTCGGTTGTGCCTTGTTAATAGTCCTTGAATGGAATCGCTGTATGTAACCGTTCAAGACCGCGGAGAAACCAAACAAACAAATATCAGAGATTTCCTTCAGATACTGTTTCCTCCTGAACTTCGTTGCAGCAAAATTTCAAAACCAATGTGTCTGCGTTTGAAAATCCTAAGTGGCAGGAAGAGGTCTTTGTGACAAAGGTTACACCATCTTAAAAGGGAGCAAAAATAAGATGTCACAGCACAGAAGGTCCCAATTGTAAGGCCTAATCTCCTAAGCAATATGATGTGATTTCTTTTCCCGTAAAGCACTTAGGAGTTCTAAGAACTTGCTTTAAAATGTGTTGTGCGTTCTAGATCGAATTGGAATTTGGAAGTGTTGGTTTTTAAGGAGAGGCGAAAACCGGAGAACACGGAGAAAAATTTTTCGGAGCAAGGGAGAGAACCAACAACAAACTGAGAACTGCACTTGTCTTCGTCTAGTCCGGGGCCTTTCTCCTGTATTGATTGCCTTATTCAGATGACCATTTCACCAATCGACAGAGTCAAAAGAAACAAAAATTCTTATAACTTTCATTCTCGATAATGTTCTTTGCTCTTTTCCTATTGCATGATGGATGCGTGTTACATGTGAATACCTTCACCACCGTTCAAAACTTTAAAGGCTATCTTTTTCAAAAAAATTGTTTCAACGGCTTTGTTAAATCATATACATGAACTGCGAATGAAAATGGGGCCGGTGTCACGAAAACTATGACGACCTCGAAAACTCAGACCTCCGGAGCTGCGAGATTCCGGAGTGTTTCTTGAGAACTCCGCAGAATGTTGATGTGATGGTCGTATTTCATGTTGAACCAGACTGCTGAAAAAAAATCAGGTCTAACCGGGATTCGAGTATATTTTCATTTATTACAAATGAAACACTTTCTTCGAAGACACTCTCTTCACTGAAAAGGCGTCGACATTTAAAGCGTTGAAGGTTTAAGAAAGTTGACTGACTGGAAGTTGACTGAGTGTTCCATCATTCCAATGGATTTTATCAAATTGTTAGATTCAGTTCTTCCAGTCAGGAACATTCAAAACAGTGTAGTAATTTAACAAAACTGGCAAAGCATTGAAACTCGACTGTGAAATTATTGCATTAGCTTAGGGCTTTTCCTGATTTCGTACTTGCCCTTGTTCTCTTACTGTGGCTCTCTCGGAAACAATTGACAACGCGGCCGGAACCTGTTTTCACGAAAATCTAAAGCCACGTATTACGGGAAGTCGTAAAAGCCTCGCGCTACCCTTTTGAGATAGATATAGGTGGATGAGATTAAGGTTAGTTTCCGATTAAAATATGCTTCGTAAGGGTCGCTGAATGATTCAGTGTTCAATGATTGTTGTCTCGCGTCAAACTGTGGCATCTATCACTGATCTATGCATATTTTAATTTCTTCTTCCGACAAAATTAGGGCAGAATCAGCGACATTTTACGCGAACACTCTACCTCAGAATAGGGCATTTTCGAGTGGAATTTAGGCAGAATATTAACAGAAAATCAGTAAAACTGATGCTGTTCCAGAGAAAATGAAAAACAAGATGTAAGATCGTAATAAAAATAATTCACCATGTTACATTGTTACTGAGGCCTAGGCTTCCTACTATGTTTGCGAAAATAATTCACAAAAGGCCCAAAAGGTCGAATTTTTTTTTGGTTTAACGAGCAGAATTAGAGCAGATTTTAGGTTTGTGTGTAAACGTTCGAGCAGAATAGGCATCGTTTATGAGCATTGTCTACATCAAAATATGTGTACGTGTTCGCGGCAATATGCTATGTTTGGGTGGCATCAAATTACAATCACAAGACAAGCACGGGTTGCGTCAATCCGGTAACTTGTGGGGGCCAGCCGCTAATTTACTTATTTGAGGGGAAAATGGTCTGTAACACAATTTAATGGCTTTAAGGACAGAGAGGATGTGACGTTCCTGGAGGGATACATTTAATTTTTGACATAATTGAAATTAAACTTTAGTTAATGCAGTAAAAGCAAGTACAATGGAGCATAAAAAAGTTTGAAGGTCCACGTACTTGCAGGTATCATCCTGAAGAAAGCGCAAAATAAGTGTTTGGGCTGCCGGGGCGCTTTGCCTTTACGATGTCATTCAGTTTCAACTGTACTGATAGCTAGTCGGGTGTTCGAAACATCGGTCAACTTAACAATGGCAAATGAACCTTATCAATTCACGTGTAGGCAGTGAATGAATGAGTACATCCAAAGCCTTTGGTCTGCTGACCCTTTTGAAAATCGTACCAACGGGCTGGCGGCCAGGCCGTAGTGACCACTCACTATCAGATCATCTCACGTGAGGCTAAACTTCGATTAACTTTAACCCTTGCTCTCTCTCCGTGAACAATGCAGACAGTGGTCAGTCTAACTTTTGTGTCTGTGCATGAAATCCTACGGTGTGACTTTCAAATAAAATCAGTCATCTTTATGGTAGTACTTTCATCTGCTAATGACTACTTTTCAAGGTTGTTTCAAAATGTCAATTCAGGGGGTTTTAATTTGCTTAAAGTTTGATCTTGAAGCTTCCAGTGTTCACTTTGGAACCAGAGTCCATGATAAAGAGTCACGGGCTTATAATGCAGCGTTTTAGGTACATCTCTCGAGCGTTAAAACGAGCGTTAAACCTCTTTTACGACTTTATTTTTTTATGTTTGAGCGATAATGTGTTTTAATAGTTGCATAGGTTTCAGTTGAAAAAGCTAACCCCTGTGACCAGAGTAAACTCATTTTGACCTTCACTGATCAACGGGATATTAACAATGTTCAAAACAAAGTATCGTGTCTCTTGCGGAGATATTTTTGTTTCTGCTATGAACTTCCACCGCTGTAAACACTTTTCAACCACGTGGCATTAAGTTTCATTCCCAGCACAACACTTCCCACTCATCAAGCACGTGTGGTGCATTTCTCACACCGAACTAATCTCGCGATTTTATTGGCGCTTTCCGGTGAAAAAAATTGCTGACTTCACTTAGGTAACTGAATTAACAACGGAATTATGTCAATGTCATGTTATACTTATTCTACCAAAACATTATAGATTTCCTATAAAAGTCTGTGGTTTGTTCTGAAGAGGCAGACCAGTGCGAAGGTGGAGTGTTTTACTTGCAGCTTTGTTCCACTACCTCATTGAAGGATTATGGAGAACGGCATCAGAGCTATCTCAAGAAAAACATTTGGGAGCAAATCAGCTCAAAAACGTCGTCGTTCGTTGCCAGTATTAGGAAGACTGTGGGAAAACGTTGAAGAAGAAACGTGTGCCCACGAAACGAGTATTACTGGTCGTCGCAAGTTGCGGGAGAAGCTGATAAGTGACCCTTCGTCTCTTGATACCTTACGAAATCACCTCAACACACAATTCTCCAAAGTTACGTCCCATTACAGTGAAAGACTGAGTAATTCTGCGACTTCAGTTAAGGCGTTACTGCGTCGAAAGCTTTCACAACCAGTCAGGGCGTGGAAAACAAAACCTGAAGAATACAGAAGACTTCATGAAGATAAAAATGACCCAGACAAAAAATGGAGAGAATGGGGACCATATTTATCCGAACGTCAATGGGGCACAGTACGCGAGGATTATTCAAGTGATGGAAGCTGGTAGGTTGTATTCAGTGTTTGTTTGTGTTCTTTCTTTTTGATTTGTTCAGGCAATTTAGTATGTGCTCTATCTGAGGCAACGACTAAAAATTTCCTATACTCCAAATAGGTCTGCTTTTTTAAAAAAGAAGAAAGCAAAAAAATGTTTTTAAAACTTTGGGACGTTTCGAGAAGTTGCAAATTTATTAAGAAAACATCAACATTTCCATTTGTTTTTCTTGCTCGTTTCTCGATAGTTCCTTCTCAAAGGTTTCTGTTGATGTCAAGTTGAACCACAAGTTTTCTTAAAAATATATTTTTACGAAAACTAGGTCTTTTTATCTTTTTTTAAATTTCATGTTCTGTGCTTCAAAAAACGAAAGCCGATAAAGTCATCTACGGAAATGTAGTACTTAACAACGATATATACCCCCAGATGTCATTGACAGATGTACGTCATGCACTTGAATCCCTATTAAGGAACCAATGACTAGGCAAAACGGTTGTGATTATCACATTGAGAAATGAGCTACTAATTCACGAAGAAAGCATTACTTGAAAAAATCCTCGTCGAGAAAAACTAGAGTCCCCTGATTATCTAGAACGATTAATTAACCCAGGGAATAAACCAATCGAAAAAAACTTTTAGCCTGTTTATATTTACGGATTTCCGGTCGTTGAATTGTAGCTTTAGTTTTTCCTTACGTTTTCATAGGAAACCAAAACTACTCATGTTTTAATTTTGGTATTTGAAAGGAAATAGCTCAGATGTGGGTTTTTTCGCTTGAACCGGAAAGTGACGGGATTGACGTTAATCCAGGATTAATTCTACCGACATTTTCTAACGCGGAAAATTTTTTTCCTTGGGTTGACAGTATTCTGTTTTTTCATTTTCAAGCTAACTGCATTTTAAGACATACCAGCGTCGATACCCGAGAATTCACCTATATAAAGAAATTGCCTCCAAAATTCCACGATTCTTGGGTAATGACTTGATCGTACATTTAGCAACATCAGTGATTTTCGCGTACTTTGCGCTTCAGTTTCCTTCTAGAAGAGGTAAAAACTCGGATCTATAATGTTATTTTTTCTTTGGGTCCACAGTCTCGTCTTTACTCACAATGTATATGATCGTCAGACTCGTATCTTTATCACTATGAGAATGTCCTGCACTATCTATTTCAAACACATAAAAATTCAATCTAATCGACCTTTTTTCCGGTCGATTTTAAAGTACACACGGCGATGTTGTTCGATCTAGTACAGTAAGCCACCTGGTAAGCCACATTAATCTCATCTTCAGTCACTCACGCTCGCTTCCTGCCGAGATGTTAAGTCAGGAAGTGATTCGACAAATCTTCAAGGACAGCAAGCGACTTTGATTCGAGATCTTGTATTCAAAAACACGTGTTGTCACAGTGACAAGACTGTGATTTTACGAGGATGCTACTTAAATATTCTTCCTTTTTCTTTGACAACAGTTAAACAATTTTTAGAAAAAATAGTTTAATTTTCTCCACTATAAGAAAAAAAAAACAGTTAAAAACAGAAAAAGACAGTTTTTCTTCTGTGCAGTCCACCAAAAGCAGCGGGAGTATTAGACATTGCCTAGGTAGAATAAAAACTATTTTTCATCTGACCGACAAAGTTGATATCCATTTAGGGCCGGTCTTTGATCCGAGGGAGGGCAGATAAATTTAATGGGTACATGAGTATATATATGTGGCGACAAATTAAGGCTACATTATTTTTGCAAGGAGTTTTGATATAAAGATGTTGACCGTTGGAATCTTAAATAGCAAGAGTAAGGATTTGTGTTATTAGTAACCAGTGTCACGAATTAGGTATGTCAAGTTTTTTTTTTGTTTTTTTTTTGTTTTTTCTATCAAGAGCAATTTAGGTCAGATTCGGGGTAGGAAATTCTCATATTTTGGTCTGTAATAGGGCAAGAGTGTATAAAACTTGCCGCACACACCCACCATAAGAGTCAAAACGACTTTATTACAAGCATGGCCTCTGCGTTTTTTAACCTTTCTATTACAAGGTCAAGAATTTCATCCAGCAAGATTAACAGGTTATACCTGCCTTACTTGCGAGTAGTTAACACTCAGTATTTAAATTAACTCGTAAGTTGATTAGTGGGCGAGCCAGTAGAGTGAGAAGCTAATCCAGCCTCCCTGACTCGTTCTAATTAATGTCACAGGGTACAAAAAGGACCGAAAATTTTGTTTTGGTGATGAGTGAGCGGTGAAGGGAAAATTAAGTCTGGGTTGTTTTGTGAAGTTCGCGCGCGAGAATCAACGTTTCGCTTCTTGGGAAAAAATCAACTGGTCTAGCATTCTTGCAGTCTTGTTACAATATTTAATGAATAAATAAGGATAAATAATGAATATTTCTACGGTATTATCAATCTTCAGCTGGGAGTATTTCCCGCATGACCACGCCCGGTCACGTGCTTATCGATGGGGAGAGGATGGTTTACTAGGAATTACGGACCGGGAGTGCCGGCTGTGTTTTGGTTTGGCTTTGTGGAATGAAAAAGATCCCATTCTGAAAGAGAGACTATTCGGACTCACTGGTACAGAAGGTAAGAATCACTGTCTTGAAGCCCGTACATACTTGAGGTACTGGCCAGGAAGTATATGTGCCCCTTGCTTTAAGTTTGTCTTTAAAAAAATGTAAACAGTTTACTCAGTTTTGTCTTGGGTAAAAAACAAGTTATCTTAGACTACAAGTAGTCCCTTATTCTTCTCAGAGCTGGTAGAGCGGGCGAAACTACGCCAGTGCGGCGCGTCAAAATCGCCACCAACGAGAAAGCAACACGCGGACGGCGGGGGGGAGAGAGTTTTTTTTTTTCATTTGAGTTCCTCCGTGTCTCACTTCTTCTCGCGCGTGATGATTTTCACGCACGCACGCTCGCGTATTTTGCGTGTTCAACTATCCTCGGGTAAAATGACTGATTTATAGTCTAAATTCTCTTTGTAGTGATATCAATATCAATTGTATTCGTCAGGAAATCATGGTGAAGATGTGAAGGAATGCTATTACTATCTTGATTCCACTCCAACACATTCTTACATGAAGGCCCTGTACAAGTACCCTCAGAATGAATATCCTTATAATCGACTGGTGAATGAAAATAAAAACAGAACCATACAGGACAGAGAGTTTGAGCTGGCCGACACTGGTAAGTAACGGTATTTTTCCTTAGAGCTAAGAATTTGTGTTTGCTGTCAATGCAGTGAATTACCTTTTAACATAAGGGCCTGCGTCGTACACCTTGACGATCTTTAGCAAGAACTTGATGCCTTTTTTATGATTAATGTAATGAAAATAGAAGATAGCAGAAGTTTCAATCAATAGAATTTTTTTCGTGTTTAACGTCGGTAATTATGAAAAAACCATGTTATAAAAAAGGAACATTGCCGAGACCCGGGATGATTCGGAGCTCATGCCAGCTCTCCGGATTTGAACCAGGGACCTTCAGATCTTCAGTCTGACGCTCTCCCAACTGAGCTATCTCGGCAACTGGTTTTTAATAGTCAGATACAAAATTAAAACTAATTATTAATTTTTTTTATTATTTTTGTTCAAGGTATGTATGTAGTCGTGTCTTCACAAATTGTTATTTCAAAAACTCTTTTAATTAATTCATTAATGGGAAAGTTTAGAGGTACAGTTAAAAACACGAAGAGCCAGCCAATCTGAAACCCTAACAATCAGGGATACATACTGTAACCACATGATTGTTTTCTAATACTGTAGGAGTGTTTGACGAGGGACGCTACTGGGACATTTTCACGGAGTACTGCAAGAGCACACCTAGCGATGTCCTTATCAAAATTACTATAGCAAACCGCGGTCCTGAAGAAGCGCGGGTGCACGTCTTACCAACGCTATGGTTCAGAAACACCTGGAGCTGGGGCTGTGATCACGAGGGATGTGACGTAACAGACGAATGCAAAAGAAAACCGAGACTGATGAAGACTAACAAGCCCGGGGAAGTGGAATGTCAACATGAAAGCTTGGGAAGATACATTTTTATGGTTGATAACGACCAGGATGGATTAACGCCAGAGTTGGTTTTCACCGAAAATGAAACCAATTTAAGGGTAAAGTAGACTTAAAAGACTTCAATAAAGTAGCATGCGCAACAGAGGGACTAAGAAGCTAAGAAACAGCACTGAAATCCTTGTTCTGGGCTCCTACCTGGGTTCCAGGATTTGAGCACCCACCATGACTGGTCTGTTAAAAATTCCATTGTTGTTTTGCTGATCAGGTTGAAGGGAAATTTGACAATAGGCCATTTCCGAGTTCCCCAGGGCCTCTGTTTCTAAACGAGAGTAGGTGCTCAGTCTTTGATATGGAAATCATTTTTCATTCTCATGCAAATAAAACTCATTTTCACAAGAAAGGTTGTGCACCTAGCCTCATTTTGAAAGTGAGGGTTTTTGGAACTCGGAAGTGGCCTATTAGATTACGCGTAGAAAGACAGGACCTTAAAAACACAAGATCTGGAGTCCCTAACTTCGATTGCTTCTTTCTTGAATAAAAATGTACTTCAACAGTCCTTCTATAATTGCAGTCCCTCAACTTCAATGTTTTGTAATTTTTAAGCAGCTTCAGTCGCAATTTACATTCCTGCCGCCTTGACAGAGTAAACTGTTCTCTCAGAATCGGACTAACTATACTCTTCTATTTGTTAACAGAAGCTCTACAATACTGCAAACACGTCATCCTTCACAAAAGATGCATTTCATCGTTACGTCATTAATAATGATACAAAAACTGTTAATGCACTAAAGTTTGGCACTAAAGTGGCAGCGCATTATGTTCTCACGGTCCCTCCTGGAGGACAGCACGTCATCCGTTGTCGTCTCTCGGCCCTGCCCAACGCAGCACCTCTTCCACACAGTAAAAAGCCTTTTGATGAGTTTGATGTATTAGTCACACGAGCGAGGCATCAAGCAGATGATTTTTACAAGACTGTTATACCAGGTAAGAGAGTTGTTGTTGTTCTTGTTGGCTGTATTTCTCAAGAAAAGAGGAAACAAATTGGCTCACTGATATCAGAGGAAATTTCTTGTGTGTTGATAGAACAAGTGTCTCCTTAGGGAACTAGCAATAGTAGCAGTCAACAAAACCAGTTAGATACCCCGCTAGTTACGTTAGCCCGCGAAAAGCTGACGAAATTCGTTCTCGCTCGTGAGGGTAATGCCGCGAGAATAGTGTCTCTTCACCATTCTCCTCGCGGCTTCGCAACTCCTCTCAGCCTCAATGCGCGTGGACGTGACGATCCCGCCCGCTACACAGGCTACAGCTGAGTGTACCAAGGCGTTACAGTTTCCAATCTCTTTCGAACGTGATCTTCTAAGTTAGTTAGTGTAGTTCCGAGCTGTCGTTTTGTGAACTTGATTATACGTCTCCATTTTTTGCTTAGTAGCTCCCGCATTGTCTGGATGATAACTTATGTAATGTCATTCTATTTTTTGACAGAGTCTCTTTCAGATGAAGAAGTAGTAGTATCGCGCCAGGCTTACGCGGGATTACTGTGGAGTAAACAGTTTTATTATTACGTCATTGAAGAGTGGCTAAAGGGTGATCCCAGCATGCCTTGCCCACCGAATGATCGCTTGAAAGGGAGGAACGCGGAGTGGAAATATCTACATAATAAGGACATTATATCCATGCCAGATAAATGGGAATATCCTTGGGTATGTAAAGAATTATCTGGCCCCGATTGTTTGAAAGAATTTTAATAAAACCTTAATCCTCGGTTAAACCAGGTTATGGGCTCTTGGTTAAACCTAATATGAAACAATTTTTGTTTCGTTTAGTAAAATTGAGCACATGTAAAACATCGATTAGCCTTTATTCAAGAACCCGGTTAGACCAAAATGAGAATGGTAAATCACGGTCTTTAAGAAAGTCAGCCTGCGTGGAACTGGGGTGGGCTCGAGGCAAATGTAAAAAAGTGATGACTCTAAGAATATCAGAACATCAACCTTAAATGTAGGAGCTTGACTATCGGGACTATCAGATGCCGAGATAGCTCAGTTGGGAGAGCGTCAGACTGAAGATCTGAAGGTCCCTGGTTCAAATCCGGAGAGTTCGCATGAGCTCTGAATAATCCCGGGTCTCGGCAATCTTCGATTGTTTTTTTTTCTCTCTGTCATGGATTATTTTGACAGTGGCCAGTAAATCCTGTGTTTCCAACAGTGGTCAACGATCCTAATGAAGTTCTTATAACAGAAGCAGACTGAAGTATTTTATTGGGTTGTGCTTTTAATTGACTGTTAACGGATTTTCTTTTTAAATAAGTAAAATTCTCTCGAATGCTGGCCTGAGTATAGCCGTTTCTCTTACTTCAAAAATTAAGACTCCACTGCACTGCGTTTTCTTTTTTCCGATTTCCAATTCCCTTTCTTTCGGTTGCTTGAGCTTCATACTTGCAAGTTGTCTCCACACAAGTTCAGAATCATCAGCGAAGGTCATACACAAGGAAACACCACTCGGTGCAGTTAATTTAGGACCTTCCTAGAGACCACAGTACATATTTCTATGTTTCATTTTGTGCACAGTACGCCTCGTGGGACCTAGCCTTTCACATGCTCCCCTTCTGCAAAGTGGATCCTGAGTTTGCCAAAGATCAGTTGCTGCTTTTCCTCCGCGAGACTTACATGGCGCCAAACGGACAGATTCCCGCTTATGAGTTTGCACTTAGTGACGTCAATCCACCCGTACACGCGCTGGCCTGCTACCGAGTCTATGAGCTGACCGGGAGGACTGGGAAGAAAGATACTGTCTTTCTGGCAAAGTGCTTTCAGAAACTCCTTTTGAACTTTACTTGGTAAGAAGAATCAAATAACTAGAGGATTTTTTTGGTTTTTAGAAAAAACATATGAAATGATCTGAACAAATGATAGTTTGACGTTGAATGCGTGTTGCCGAGATAGCTCAGTTGGGAGAGCGTCAGACTGAAGATCTGAAGGTCCCTGGTTCAAATCCGGAGGGCTCGCATGAGCTCTGAATAATCCCGGGTCTCGGCAATGCTTTTTATTTTTGTAGTGCTTCTCTTTTCCTCTTTCTTTAAGTGTTTTCTAAGATTAAAGTTTTGGCCTCCTACATTATTATTTACGACCTTTAGCCTATTAACGCAAAACAACTGGCATTCTCAGCAGTCTTTCCCCAAACATCAAATATTCACCCTACGATTTTGTCATTTGCAGGTGGGTCAATAGGAAAGACCCTGAAGGAAAGAACATTTTTGGCGGAGGCTTCCTCGGACTGGACAACATTGGTAAGCACGGCATGTTAAATCAGATCAATACCGTTGAGTGTCTAGGGTACATCTGGTGCAAACCACGTGGTTCAGCTAACGGATGTTTTGTTTGATTGTAGGTTTATTTGACAGATCAAAACCTCTTCCCCCTGGAGATCGCCTTTGTCAGGTAAAGATTGTGATTTTCTCAACAACAAGCCCCGTTCCCAGAGCTTGGCCTCTCCAAATTTCTAAGGCAAAGTCCGGGGAAGGAAGCTTCATTCTTTGCTATCTGCAAGCATTTATTGTTAAAATACAGATTTTTAAATACTACTGTAGTTTTGAATAAAAATCTATGATTTTTCAAAATAGTCATGTTTTAGCTAAATAGATTCCCTAAACCTAAAAGACTACACACGCTCAGGTTTTCCTAATATAAACTCGTTTTTGGATCTTGCGAATCAGGATTGGATCCTATGTGAATTGATTGAGATTTGTTTAGGAACGACTGGGATATTTTTCAAGGCTTGTAACTGTTGTCCACCCATCCATAAGAAAATCGAATTCAAACCAGCCGCATCCCTGGGCTATTCCCTTGGAATCTAGCGGGTAGGGGAGAGAGGGTTATCCATTTTCTAAAGTCGGCCTTGAAGACAATGTTGACATTCAAACGTAGTACATAGCAGGGGATTGGAATCTTCATCTTTGGTTTCCTCTTGTTATAGGCTGATGGAACTGCATGGATGGCCATGTATGCTGTTGTGATGCTCAACATCTCTTTAGAGCTCGCTCTATCTGATTCTGCTTACGAAGACATGGCCATTAAGTTCCTGGAACATTTCACCAGCATTGCGGACGCCATTAATCAAATGTCGGATGGGTTTGGACTTTGGGATCCACAGGACGGATTCTATTACGATCACTTCCACAGAGGAGAGGACTTCTTTCCTCTGCGCGTGCGTAGCGTGGTTGGCCTGATTCCCCTCATGGCCTGCTTGGTGCTGGACGGAAAATACCTCGAAAAATTGCCCGGGTTTAGAAAACAGTTAAAATGGTTCATGGAAAACAGAAAAGATCTTGCAGGACAGGTTCGTTGATGAGCACCCACAAAGTAAACCCAACGAAGCATAGAAGATTTATCGATTTATCGATCCACTCACGAAATGAAATTCATTTATGAGACGACACATGAAGACCAAAAAATATGAGTGACACTCTCTGAGACAAAACTAATGATGAAAAACCAAAATATGGAAGAATTAAAACAAACATGACTGAGTTTTGTTGAAACCGAGTGACGTTGATAATAACCCCTCGCCAAGAATCACTAACATCAATTTTCTTAAAACAACGTTAATATTTCATAAGACAACAGGTTATGAGAAGTGCTTTTCTGTTGTCAAATTCTCTCAACTAATTACTTAAGGAAGTGTATGGGGATCAGTCTGGAAACTTTTTGTCCGTCTGTCGCGTCTGACTACTTCATTGTCTTCTAATGATGAAATGATAAGCAGTTATTGAATGAAGGCGGAGTGTGATCTGAAGAATTGTGCAATGAACAACACCCTTCGAGATCTGTATAATTAGCCAGATCATGCGAAAGCCGACCCCAATAATTTATTGATTATTCATTGAAAAAGATTCATAGCTTTGAGCCAATCAGAAAACAGAGAAAAATGTTAAATGAATAATAATGTCTCTTATTTCAACAGGTTGCTTCCAAGAATCCAAATGAAGACTCCTATCTCCTTGCAATTCCTTCCCGCGAGCAGCTTCGTAGCATGTTGTCCTACATGTTAGATGAAGATGAATTCCTGTCGCCCTATGGAATCCGTTCAGTGTCGCGTTACCATGAAAAACATCCTTACGAACTGAACTTAGATGGAACAACATACAAAGTGGACTATGTCCCCGGAGAATCGAACACGCACATGTTTGGAGGAAACAGCAACTGGCGAGGACCGATCTGGCATTGTAGTAAGTATTGAAAAACTTTGTTTTGGTTTCCTTTGTTTTGTTTCATCACAGGGTACCCAGGCTGACAACAGCCAACTTTGTATGGAAATTTATCTAAATTTCAATTCCTATTCTGAGCGTGGGGTCCCTGTGGTGCAATCAATCTGAGTGGTCGTAAAAAGCCTGAAGACATATTCGCAAAGTTTAGATATCTGTATCAGAAAAGAACTGAGACTTTTCTTCCGTTTATTTTCAGTTAACTATCTGATCGTTGAAGCACTTAAACGGCACGATTACTTTTACGGAAACAGCTTTAAAGTTGAATGTCCAACAGGCTCTGAAAATCTAATGCGTCTAAGAGACGTCTCCATGGAACTTTCCCGCCGTTTGGTATCAGTATTTCTTCCAGATAAACTTGGTTACAGGCCCTGTCATGGAAATGAGGACCGATACGCAACGGACGAGGACTGGAACCGACTGGTGTTGTTCTACGAATACTTTGATCCGGAGAGCGGAAGAGGATGTGGGGCGAGGTGAGAAAATAAAACAGTGAGCTTCATGTATCATTTGATAATTTATGCTGCCAACCTTTATAACGAAAGACTACTTAGCAATGATCATTAGCGAGGTCGATCAAATCACCTTGATGAAAGTGTCCGCATTCACAGACGTGTTCGTGTGATCCGTGAGTTAAAGCAACCTCCTTCCCAGGTCTTCTCCCTCGCCAATTAATTTCTTTAATTGGAATATTAAGAAACCCTTTTGCATCTAGTTATTCACTTGGTACAAAACCGCCTCGCTGAAGGGCAAGGGATACAATGGGATAAGACAAATCAAAGGTTTAAATCACTTGTCAACCTTTGAAATGGTAATTTCCTTTGTTTGTCTTGTCTTCGTGCTTCTCTTGCTCTCCAACATGGTGCTTTTGTACCACAAAAATGACCAGCTGCAAAGGGCCTACAGCATGACTTCGCTCATCGAATCGATCTTCTTTTTTTCGACCCTTCAAACCTAAGAAATCTGTCTTTCCTCTCTTGATTGATCAACTTGACTTATTTATCAACAAGCTAATCGACGCATCCGCTTTCTTTTATTTCAGTCACCAAACTGGTTGGACAGCTCTTGTCGCTCCACTACTCGATAAAATCGCTGCCACGAGGACCAGAGACGTCATCCAAAACGCGATAAAACGCCCTGACTGTTAAATGGGGGAAAAAAGACTTGAGTCACGGCACATATAGATCGTAAAAGAGGATAAAGAGAGGAGGCCTTGGAACCTTGAATTTGTCCCATCTTTAGCACTCTTAGATTGCGTATTAATGTTCCTGATTGGCTGTTTTTGGCCGCTTATATTATCTACGAAGAGTGAGCAAGGCCAAATCGTTCCATTTTAGCTTCCTATGTAGCCTTCGAACATGGAAAAAAATCAGCCAAAAACGTTCAGAGTAACAAAGAAAAGAGAGGATATCTTCTCTGGAACAATCAAGTTTGTCAAATAAATAATTCCACCGATTGTATTTCGTGATGAACATGTAAATAATAAAATGTTAAGAAAGTTTCAACAATATTTAAGCTGTAATGAAAAACGCATCAATGTCCCTTTGTAACCTGTAAGCTAAGAGATGGCATTGACCGAGTTTTATCAGCTGACGTTCCGTATAGGATCTGTCCTTTTTTTGTAACATACAGGATTGTCAAAATGCAAAGCTTAATCTTTAGGGATAAGGGTTTCTTTTTGCTTTAATGAGTTAAGCCAAGTATTTGATGGAATTAGATACTTGATCGGTTAAATAGGCCGTTGCTCTTCGATGTTCTTGGTGCAATCTTGATGTTGCTTTTGGGCAAGGATAGGAGCAATCGGCTCCTGCAGGCATATTAGAAAACTGTAGATATATACAGTGTATATAAATAATAACTCGGTTACTACTTGTGGATCTTGGGTTGCTATTGACATTAAAAAGTGTTTTCGTCTTAACAAATAACATTTTTTCAAATATATGTACATAGAAACTACTGAAATATATAATGGGCCGACAATATGTACAATAAAATACTGTTTCTCTTTTCCTGGGAATTGTCTCTTACTTTAATTACCCACCATGAAAAGGTAACGTTCAATTTTTTATTCACCCTTGGATGACATGTGTAAGTTATTTCTATATGTGGTAAACCACAATTTGACTGGGTACGAGTCTGGATATGCCCTGCAGCTCACTCATAAAGCGTGAGAGCGTGACGCGACGCTGTGGCTGACAGGCGGGGGTCACAAATGTTTGATCAAAAAATTTTGTTATCACGCGTAGATGCAAATTATCAAAATACTCCTCTACCTTCCCACGGACTGCTTTAAGGCTGCACAATGGCAAAGAAAGTGTCGCTTTTGTTTCTTTTTCTAACATTTTCTGCGGTTACCTCAGCACCTGCAGAACGAACAAAGGTATTAATTCTGGGCGCTGGTGCAGCAGGAATCACTGCTGCAAAGACTCTTCACGATCATGGAATTGATGACTTTATTGTTCTGGAGGGACAAGATTATATCGGTGGACGAATAAAACAGGCATCGTTTGCTGGTATGAAGGTGGAATTAGGAGCCAACTGGATACAGTTTGCAAATGAAAAAGATAACCCACTGATGTTGTTAAGGAACAAGTACAACTTGACCGGTCATTCATCCAATTTCAACGACGTTCGTATTAGGTAAGAAAGAAATGAAGAGTAGCTAACTACGGCTTGTTGACGCTATCCACTGGCAACTGTACAGTTTAATTCTAATCAACTAGAAACACTAAGATAATCTCAAAACGAAACTTAAGACCAGAGTAATCCGCGCCTAAAGCAACATGATATATACGTAGCATTATCGACTATTCGAATGTCCTATTCGGCTTATTAACTGCGACAATAACTCCACATAATTCAACATTATAACAGCGACAGTCTCAAAACAACAGGCTTTTGGATCATGTTTGTGTTTTGGATATCATGTGGTTGAGGAATTCATGCACAGTACCCTGTACGTCATGATCGATGGCGTCATTTCGTAGTTTTAAAGTCACGAAGAGCAGTCAGCTCCTGACGAAGAGTTGTTTTATGACTTCACAGAAAATGGTCCGGAAATCTTTCATCAAGCAGGGTCAGTTGTCTAAAGAATCTTAAGTTACTATTTAAAACTATTTTAAAATCATCACGGGTACAATCCACACATGAAATAGCACAGCAAGATGACATTTTCAGCACCCGAACAAGTTTTTCACACTGTTAATTAAAACGTACTTTGGAAAGGGCATTGGAGCGTACCACTTAGAGAAATAACATCATTGTGATGTGTTGGTATGTGTATAAATGACATTATACTTCGGAGACGATCGGAGACAGCACGCAGATTTCAGCTACACGGTTATGTGTAATTCTGTCCTCCCAGTTCTCCAGTAGTGCTCAGCTCAGTGCCTTGTCCGGAGGGGGGGGAAGGAAGGGGGGATAAGGTGAGGATGGGTCTCTCCAATCCCCACAGAACAATTGTGGCCAAATGTAAGACTAACAACTCAAATACCCTGTTTCCGATCACGTGACTAGCGCCTATGTTGGACAAATGAACGAAAAAAGGACGAGCTTAATATAAGAAGTGTTCAATTGCCACAGAAATGTCTGAATATACCAATATGACCGTTGATTTAACTGTAAGCATTAAAAAAAGTTCCAAGATTTCAAATTCCAGACGGTATGTATGGGTTTTAACAAGCAGTCTTTACTTCGTTACTGTAAAAATTGTGGGGAAGTAACTTGGCTAGACCAAATTCAATTTCTTGAAAATTTGAACTTTCAAAGATTGCCGAGTTCTTATTCGACGTAGATCGAATTTAATATTTTACGTTGTTTTCTTTCTTTATCCTTAGAAATATTCACAATCAAGGAGCCGGCGAAAGGGCTGACATGGAAGTGTTTAACGAATGGCGCAAGAAACGTGAAGAGCTCTTTGAGATGGGAGAGCAGAGAGGTGAAGAAGATGTTCCACCAAGAGATATGCCAGTCTCAACTGCGCTTCAAATGCTTGGCTGGACGTCTGACACCCCCTTGAAAAAAGTTCTTTCATGGCTTGACATCGATTTCGAGTATGGCGAGAATGAACGTGTGACGTCATTGAATAACCTGGGTCCACCTGGAGAGGACTTCTTCATTACCGATCAAAGAGGAATCTGGACTCTTTTTAGTGATTTTTACTCACGTTTTAAAGAGAAAATATTACTGAACAAAACAGTGGTTCAAGTCAAGTATTACAACAATGGTGTGGAAGTCACCACAGCCGATGGCGACACCTTCTCTGCAGACTACGGTTTGTGTACCTTTAGTTCTGGAGTGCTGCACAGTGGATCAGTAACGTTCGACCCTCCCCTCCCAGATTGGAAAAGAGAAGCCATTTATCGCCTTAGGCCTGTTTACATGACAAAGATTTTCCTCAAGTTTCCGAGCGACTTCTGGGATGATAATGAGTGGATCTTGCATGTTTCGGTTCCGAATCCAGCGCATTTTCCGGCCTTTTTTGATCTTGATCGAACCGGGTTTTTCCCTGGATCAACCGCTCTGTTTACAACAGTGACGGGTGATGAAGCAGTAAGAGTAGAAGCTCAGGATGATTCTAAAACCAAGGAAGAAGTGATGGAAGTGTTGAGAAGCATGTATGGTTCAAACGTGACAAACGCAACAGGTAGTTGACTATCAACCTCTCTAATGCACTAGTAATTGACCGACAGAAATGCCATCTCTAGATCTTGTGAAAATGAATAAGATACGAAACGGTCGTCATTAAGTTTCCATGCAGATCGGTGTTAACGGCGTTTAGTATAAAGAAATGATTTTGTTAGACTGACTAAAATAGAAACTACCAATTGATTGATTCTTGATCGTTCTCCGACGGAGTGACTGAATTGATCGTTCCACCAACTGACTGATTAATCGATCGGTCGATCGATCGATCAGTTGACTGATTGACGGATCAATTGTCTGGTTGTTCGACATATGGAATTATTCACTAACTTATTCATCCATTCATTCATTCATTCATTCATTCATTCATTCATTCATTTATTCATTCTTTAAAAGAAAGACTGACTGAATAACTGAATTACTGAATTACCAGCAGGCTATCTGTCTAAATGACCGGCTGGTATGCCATATGCTGACTGCAGTTGGCTGACTGATTGACTGACTGACTGACAACTCAGGGGCACCCAACGAACATTTTTCTGAAAATGAGCCGTTAACTACAGAAAACGAAAATTTAGATGCTTTTAAGGCATTTTCAAGCGCTTTTCTGTGTTGCTGGAAAGAATTTATCTGTTCCTCACTCCCAGCAGGTTAGATGGCTATTCTCCCAGCCAGCAGAGTGGCCTTCTCCATGTTTACGAGCCAGCAGAAAAAAAAAAACTTTATTCAAATAAGCGCCGCAGGGTTGCTTGGAAATTGCGGCGCTGATTCGAGTATATACGGTCAAAATAAATAACACACAGCCTTATCTCTCGCATGTCAACCAAGAATAACAACAACTACAATGGTAATGAAAAAGGAACGTCACTAAGCCTTCCCTAGATGTACCTTTGGTGAACCCTATTCAGTCCAACTTGAATATAATACATCAGGCTGTTTAATAGGTCCTTACCTTTTGCATAAACATGAATCTCATGAATCGTCCTAACCGCCAGTGAACCGTTGCCAGTTATCCAGTGGCGGAACGTAGCCTAATTTCGAATTTCTAACAACGGTGCCCCGGTGCAGATTTTTTGATCAGCGGTAAAAAAATAATCAGCGCGCACAATTCGCGCACATAGACGAGCCACCTGAGAGGAGCCGATTACTCCTGATACCCAGCTGGATATACACCCAAGAAAAATTTCTAACAAATTAGAGGGATAAAATATCTCCAGCAAGAATTTTTGATACATTTGATAAATTATTGACCGCAGATTTAAGACTGTACTTCCCAGAAGAACAGCCGAAACCTCAGTTCCCAGCCAGCAAAAATTTTCTCTGTAGAACAGATATTGTGAGGAACAGATCCGTTAGGTGCCCCTGACAACTGACTCATTGACTGACTGACTGACTGATCGACTAACTGAATGAACTGACTGATTGGCTGGCAGGCTGACTGACTTACTGACCGGCTGAAAGACTGTCTAACTGACTGAATGCCGTACTGACTTACTGACTGAATGGCATCTGAGCTGCATCCTAACTGACTGACTAACACAACCTGCTTATGTGACCTGGTAGGCCATTATTCTTTTAGGCGCAGATTTTATAACAATTAAAATAATGAAATAGAAAAATAATGACTCTTCTTTCTCCTCTTTGAAGAAATTTTGGTGAGCAAATGGTCACAAAACCAGTTCACTTTGGGATCCTGGACAGACCCAGTAATCGGCACTGACGCATCCGTCTTCGCCAACATGGCAGGTCGAGTAAAAACTTTATTTTTCGCTGGTGAGGGAACACATGGAGAATGGTACAGCTTCATGCAGGGAGCGTACTTAAGTGGACGTGATAAAGCCAAGGAAATAGCGGCTTGTATCAAGGGAGGGAAGTGTGAGCCATACCAACCTTCCACAGGACTACCAGTGATAGTTAAAACACAGGACTGCCATGTGAAGAGCAAAGCATCCCATATACAAATGTTGCCTGTTGTCAGTCTTCTGTTTTGGTTCATGTTTGTCATTGGTTGTTCTTAGTTTGATAATTAAGTACCTCAGCAGTAGAACGTTTTAAAAGTTGATTAGCTTAAAACTGATGCTCACTTGATGAATCGACAATGAGTACAAGAAAAAAGGAAAGCGGCTCTAGTGTGTGTTAACTCTGTCTACCGTTTGTCGCACAATAGTCACTTAATTGCTGCTCACGACTTTTCGACTATTTCGACCACCTACTATTTACGTTTATAAGGCGATAATACCAAATGGCAGTTGTCAATCGATGCAATTTCAATTTCATCTTATGATCTGAAGAACTTATTCTTCACTTGAATTTAAATACAATTTTCTTCACTAAAGTGGAGTTGAATGGGGGATTGCTTACCATCGATTCAGAGAAGGATATGCCTACCACAATATTGTAGAAATTCTCTAGGTTACCGCTCTCAGCTAACTAACCGCCCCCGGTCCAACACTTTTAACACAGAGAGAAAGGAGAAGTTCTTTGAAGGATCATGATGCAAGACATGTTGATTTGTAATTGTTATTCCCCAATAAAGACTAGTAAGAAAAATAAGCAGTTGCATAATAATCACAGTTGTGTTTACTCTAATACCCGATTTCTGCTTGACAGCCGTTATATCAGTTTAACTTTTAGTACCATCTTACATTTGTAATTTTTTAAATCTCACCTTCTACCTCTGAAAGAGAATAGCAAGTTTCATCCTCAATCGATAACCATCGATCAGCACCGTGAGTTAACGAATAGCGCCGTTGGAACCGCCGTTTGAAGATTACGGTATACTTCCAACCCCCTCCAGCCAACAAAGAAAAACCAAAAACAAAAACAAAAGCGACTTAAGCTGACTTCCATTGCAGCAACTACACTGAAAAAAAAACATTTTTCTTGGAAAATCATAGCACTGCTTCAATAGGAAGTGAGAAATCAACCATATCGATTGAATGAATTAGTAATTACTAGGATTAACTGATATTACTAACAGACTCGGTATTCTGGAGATGATTAACCCAAGTAACACAGGATCAAACTCAACATCGATAGGAAGTACATCCCAAAACAATAATAATAAGATCTAATAACTGTTTCAAAGAGTTCCCAAGTACTGATCAAGGAGTTCTTGAACTTTTCACTTGTTCATCGAAAGCTCTTTGCGCTTCTTCGGGCCTTCTCCTCATAAGACGCCCTGTTGTGATTATATGCCTGTAGTAGCGCCTGTTCAGCGGAATTCTCCGGTTCGGGCTTGATAAGCAAAGAGAACACAGCACTCAACACATCTCGAATACAGCGAGTTGGTAACCAGTCCTCCTCTGAAAGGAAGCCCAGGCACACGTGACCAGTTGACGGACTTACGTTCAAGTGATATATTGGAGACAGAAAACGAACCTGAAGTGAAATCAAATACCACAAAATTCTATCTCTAGAAGACTTATAATGACAGGGATACTAAGGCAAATCAAAGTTTGATTAAAAAAAAGTCTTCGGAAGATGAAAGAATTCCGTCTTGTAAGCGTAACTAAAAAATGAGTTTATTCCTAGCTTTCGTGAAGTCGTGCATACCCTCCCCCTCATCTAACATGAAAATAGGTGACAAGTCATGATTCTTCCCTTTGCTTTTCCCTTTAGGCAGGAGGAAAGTATACTTATTTTTGAAACTTGCTACAATGATGAGGTTACAACTAACAAATGTAATCCCTTGTAATATTTCAGAATGAACTAAACCATCTGTCAAATTTATTCGCAATATTTCTGATGTAAAAGGGTAAGCGATGGCGCGCCCAGAGACTGAGCGGGAGAGCAAAGGAGACGTAGATTGTTCGCCTGGTACCTTCCTCTCGCGCCAGATATGTTGATTATACCTCATTGAGGTGTCGTTTCAAATCTGAACGTAACATAATATTCTGTTAGTTCCCCGGTATCCTGCTGTAAACAACTTTCCAGTTATTTCAAGCTTACCGTTGGATATCCTAGAGGATAGTTCTCACTGAATAGAGACAAAAGGTCAAGGATAAGAACGATGGATGTATATAGATCGGATAGATCTACGGTGTGTAAGTCGTCCAAAATGACTCACGATTTTAGTTTTTGAATTTTGCAGTTAGGTGTCCTAATTAAATTGGACAGTTTTGGACTTGCGCATTGTAATTTGACTGGCTAAGAAATTTTGCGCCATCTTTTAAAATCGATACTAACTTAAGGTTATTGTACCTCTCGTCAGCAGGTAGACTTTTCTGTTCTCCAGAGGCGCGCGTGGTGTTGTGAGTAGGATGCACTTGCATGCATCCCAGTGACACCCGCGCGAAAGGGGCACCCGCGGGAACAAGCCAGTGACTTTCTTGCACAAGATTTCCCTCGCTTGATCTCTTTCCTTAGGGAACCATTGGGACAATGCGCAAATATTGTCGATTATATTACTTATCAAATATGGTCAAGCCGAAAATCGGCTCCTGGAGACTTGACCATGGTGGTAGTAAAAAGGGAATTCGTTATTGCTGGCTTGAGCTGTAGTTCATCGCTCTTTTGGAAAATACTGCTAAGAAGACTATTTGGAAGAGAAACTAACCTTCATTATGTACGGCGCATAAGGTTACGTCATAGACTTCTAAGGTTATTTTTTATTTCGGGGTCCCAGAGAGAAAAGGCTTATTGATTTTAGTTACCTGCTGTAACTCGCCACTCTGTTAAAAGTTTAATATAACTGACAGTTTGCTAAAGGATACGGTAAATACACTTGAACTTTGAACCGCCCACCTGGAAATAACATACAATTGCAGTAAATTTACAGAAAGTAAGTTTATATTTATGCGCTACTTACCAATCAAAGGCTGACAGTATCTCTGCCAGAAATATCAAATCATGATGAATCCTTAGAGTTATTATTATTATATAATCATTTGAATTAGAGCACGCTCCTGGTGAACCTGATCATTCAGACTAATTGGTTGAGTAACGATCACTAACTCATGCACTACGAGACAACCCTTCAAAGAGTCATATTGTTGTGTTAGATGGTTAAATACTTTGCCTTGAGTAATACAGAGGAAAGTATGGGAAAGAAAAAGAGCGTGGATCAATCCCCTGACATTGTGTATTATCAAGATACAAGTACCTTTGTATGGAGAGTCGTCAGGCCCCGGTACGATAGCTTCCCAAACCTGAAGGCTGTCAGAAGGAATGCTCACTTCAATGCCATGAGGTTTAAGGGACTTAAGCTGTTTTAGCTCTTTCTGCACTCTATGGCAAAAAGAAAAGAAAATAGAACCTTACCTTGCAGTGGACATTAGTTGGTGCGTTAGTGCTATTTTATAGGATATGAATGAAACGAATGGTCAGACAGAAGGACGGACAATGTATCACGATAATAGGCACCTTAAGATGCGAGGACACCGACGGCAGCGAAACGTCGATTAAAAAGGAATTTGCGTTCTTTCACTTCATCGCAATTATTCCAACGTACCAGGGGCCCATAACCCGGAGCGTTCAACTGCCATAAATTCGTGCAACGGCGTTTTTACAAGTGACTTTATTTTTAGATAAGCTTTTCCCGCGAAAAATAACTGTTCCACGAGGCCAATTCCTCCATTTGATCGTCGTTTAGACTGTTAGTAGCTCGCTTGAACCTTGTCACGGTCGGCTATTTCGAAGATGATTTCGATTTAATTCCCTTTTCGTAAATTATGTGTTGTTGCCGATGAAATGAAGTACAAGTCCTGGCTAGGTTTGGCAAATCTTGCTCTAAACTGCTAGTTTCCGCGTAAATACTGAAATTGTCGCTTGAAGTACTGTCAGAAGACTCCTCTGAAGATTCCTTACGTGTGTGTTTCAATGTGAAGGAGTTGTCCTAGTTACGTATTAAAGGTTTATCATTGATGACTAATTGCTAGTGATTGGCTTTTCAAAAGGAATTCGAGGGAAAGGCTTATCTAAAAATAGACCTACTTGTGAAAACGCCGTTGCATAGGCGCAGTATGGAAGTTAGACGCTCCGGGTTATGGGCTCCTGAACGTACTCACTAAGTCAACTGTAAGCGAACTCTCCTGCAGTTTAATTCTTAGAACTATATTCATCATCAGAAACGGAGAAAATTTCGTCGTCGATTGTGTACGTTCACCATAATACGTGAAATTAGGCATTTTCACGTTGTAATCGGGCAGTGATTCAAAGAAATGTACATAAACGTGTGCTGCACGTGCTGAGTTGCTGTTTTGCGTTTTCAACCTATTGCTTTTTTATGACGTAGTCGTTGCCGTCACCGTAGTCTCATCGTCTGCATTCAAAAACTTATTAATAATTCATAAAGTAAAAACAAAAGAAATTAATGTTTAATGAGTGTCTTTATATCTGATAAATTAAGACACGGCAACACTTTACATCCAATTTTTTTACATTGAAATAACCCCAAATTTAAATATTGGTGCAAGATTGAGTTGATCTATATCAGAGATATTGAAGACGTTCAAAAAACTCGCACTCGTGTATTATTACTGTAAAAACTCTTTGCTTCGTCTCGAGTTTTTAAATCTGATAATACACTCCTGCTCGTTTTAGTAAACAGTACATCACCCGCCGGATAAGAATACTGAACTTTCTCGTCACTAATAAAAACAGTCAGTGCCGAGCTTTAATTGGGGGCGGTCATTATTAACACTAAGGAAAGGGGTGTATGACAACAGGGAGGGGTTATGGATCTTTGAGAAGTGCTGAAGAGCTGGAGGGGTTTTGGATATCCACAGAGAAAAAAAGGAGTGCTTTCTAGGTATCAATAAACACTTTATTTATTCCAAGCACTGGGATGGCTTTATTGTAAGAGGGTTGTAGTCTCGCACGAGGAATCGTGGATGCGTGGTGACCACCGGCTAGTCCTACAGACCTAAGAATAACCTTATTAAATCTGGTTGATATTCTTTATATTCTATCTCACTTTCCCTTGACCTTGGTATTCATCCAAATCATTCAGGACCAGGTCCCCCTCTTAGTTCGACCTCCAATCATCATCATCATCATCATAATCATCATCATGATCATTATCATCACAATCGTCATCATCATCTTCATCGCCATTATCATCGTCATCGTCATCGTCATCCTTGTCTGATCTCTTGTTTACAACAGGGACAAGAGGACAGCGTTTGAATTTGTTACTGAAGAATCGATTCCAAGAACATGACTATTATATATGTTACTTTATTGTCCTAATGCTTTCTTTCCGGTAAGGAGATTGAATTTGTCCAGATATTTGTTTACTTCGAAAACTCGTATGATACTTTCAAATTGCTGATTTCTCCTCCAAAAACTAATTGTCGCCGTTCCTAGCTATTTCTCGAAGAGAGGGCCTGTTTGAATGGCTTCATTGTTCATGACAGTTAAACTCTAATGGCTAATTAAAAGTGTTTCTATGTAAAAGAGGGGTTATGAAATGTTTCAACGACTTCAAGGAGGGGTCGCAGAAAGTTACCGTCTGCTAAAGGCTTATAGAGACTTTTGCTTTGGGGGTTTAAAAAATCATACACCTCTCGGCCACAGCCGCTCTTAAAAAAGCCTGGAGCGGCTGGGGCCGAGGGGTGTATGATTTTTTAAAATAATGACCGCTCCCTTAGCAGGCTACTTTTGATTTCTCGGGAATATTGATATGCAGCTTCAAGCTTTACAGAAAGGGTAGTAACTTACATAAAACCTGAAATAAACGTTACCACACTTCATCAGGAGAAATGTAAGAGTCTTGAATTGTTCTTTTGTATTCAATTTGTTACTTTACCTCACTCCTTGATTTTGTGATAATGTGATTCCGTACGAGTCTGTAGTTTGGTGTGGTATATTATACCTATAATTTGCTTGTCAATCTAGCAACTGGCCTGTTAATGATACTTCTTTATGCTGAATTCTAAGGCTCGCGAGGACAGCCTTGCGTGAGTGAGTGACTCACGCTCCGCTTCCGTTCGTGTCACTCTCTTCTCTCTTGCGAACTCCAAAACCTCCCGCTAAATTCTGCTACAATTAGCTTCATTTGAAAGACCTCCCAAATTTCTCCTTCCCACGCTTAGTAAAACATCATCTACTGGTTAGACAATTTAAAAATTGACCATGTTCGTTTTTTTCTCCATATAATGTATAGTGTGCCCGGGGGTACTCCTCGGAATTCTTAGTGGGGATGTGCCGCCCAGTTCTCAGAATCCTGACCCTGTTTGACCACCCGTTTTCAGACCTGGCTTCTAAAATTCATGCCTGTTTTCAGACGTGGAGGTGGTCACAAAACGCACCATACATGTTTACATAGACAGAAATTATGTCATCATTGCTGAGATTCGGAACAAAAAAAGAAAGATTTCAATCTATTTCGAATTGGCATATTACACTTTCTTTCTTATTCATTTGGAATTGAAACGACGAACACATCCATGCACTTAACCGTAGTTCCCTCGAAAACCATACCCGATTTCAGACCAAAATGGGCAAAATATATACCAGTAATCAGACCAAAACGGCGCAAAAACCATACCCTTTGGGGCGGCACATACCAATATGGCTTATATAACGGAGTTTTCCCCCGCCGATAGCGTGTATGTTATTTACTTACTTATTTTGTATTTTTTTTTTTCGTTGCTACTGTTACCTGTCACCACTGTGTAGGCGCTAGCACGAAAAGGTATATTAATTTAGCTTCTATACTAGACATCTTGGTTATCATAATGCGTAATTCTATGTAACAATTTCATCTCTTCTTTTCATTAGCTATCGAAAAAATGTACAATTCTCTATTTGGACGTAACAAATAAAGGTTGTTGTTGTTGTTGTTTTTGCTTGTTGAAGACACGTAGGTTGCCTATATATCAGTACAAGTTTGTTCGCATAAAGAAATAATCCATAAGTTTAATAGTGGTAAACTAGCGAATAATCAGAACGGGCCTTCAGCCCCCTGACAAGTACTGAGTCTAATTGGCGCTAATTTCCTTACCTTGAAAGGAATTCCCTTTGTAGACTCATTGCATCTGCAAGAATTTACCCAAAAAATATCGATTGAGTAGTCAAAGCTTTTACTCCTATAAGCGAATCGACCCACACAAAGGAAGAGATCTTGTCAAATCGGGAAAACCCCTAAACAGCGTTGGGAAATTCCCAAGCCATTTTCGCTTTTCGTTTGTACCTTTCAATTATGCAAAAAAAAAAGACGCTGGAGCTTAAAACGGATTCACAAAACATGGGTAAACTTTTTTTGAACGATACCGAGATGGCCAAAAAGACAGATTTCCGACATTATCAAACTCTCAAATCTTCGATTCGAAGAGAACTGACAGAAGAAGACTGCAGTTTGACAGTAATACCTGGAAATTCACAAGGGAAAAATCCCTTTTCAATTTCCTTGTTTAGTTATCATGACGGAGTGGTTTTTAAAATACTCCGTGGCGCGACGTGACCCCGCGGTATTACCATATGTAAATAAGACGCAGGTATACTCTGCTCTGTATATGAAAATATTTTAGAATTTCTTCCATTCCACAAAACATTTCGTTTCGTTTTAACAAGTAAAAATGTACTTGTTATGATCGTAACTAAAGGAAAAACAAAACACACGCGCACCACGGATAATGATCAGGGGAATCCCCAGGTTCTCCGATCCATCTGCTGTTTCGAGAACACAAGCCTTCAGACTGAGCCATAAGCAATTTCTTTAAATAAAATACGCAATATGCGCCTTGTAATGATTTGAGGAGGAAAGCTGTGTTTAAGAATTAGAGGAATTCTCAAGCTAACCAGAAATCTACACAATTAGTGAGTTTGGTCCGTCTTATAACCTGAAGTTCACATGACAAAATATGGGAATTTTCCCTTCAAATGACCTCGATCTCTATTTATATTGCATGATTGCGATCAAGAAACCAAGTACTCTTAGCAGTGTTCGCAGTTCTGCGGAAGTTATTGTTCTGAGCGGGTCGTGCAGTTCTCGATCGGGCTCATAATTCTCTGCAATCTAGTAATCTGTGAAAAAAAGGTTGAATAGTCTTTCATTGCTTTTCCTCCGTAAGCTGTTGTCGGATAAAAAATATTCTCCTCTGATCATGGCCCCATCAACAATTCAAATCTTCGTGCATGGTGTGCAAGGAGGCGTAACCACTATCAACATTCACAAGGTAAACATTTCTTATAATTTTGCGAGAAAATGGATGGGACAGATTTCGCGATTTCTAAGATAAAACGTCGCAGAAATTTTCCAACAGGTCAGGACAGGTCTTCTGAGGATCGAGAACACAGGTTCTGTACTCGAAAGTAGAGGAAAAAATGGTCACCTTTGATTCGCTTAGTCAGTTTACCTCTGGATTCTTCAAGAGCATTTTGTCTTATTGCCTCGCAGGGATTCGCCCAGAAGGCGAAAATTCCGGCGAGTCCACGTGTACACAAAGGAAACCACAAAAATTAAAATAAGAAGTATACCAGCAAACTTGATCGATTTGCTTAAACATTTTGTCGCACGGAATCGTCGGGTAAAGATGAAGTAATTTGAGTATCAGGCTTTTCTGGGGGGAAAAGGAGAAGAGAAAAGGGCTGATACTCAAGCAAAGAAACGCCTGCAAGTATGAAACGAGTGGTGACGTAAAACAGGAAATGTGCGAAGACTTGACAACCAAGCGAGAGAGTAACAGTAATCCAGAGGTCGAACAGTATTATGGGAAACCGCGCAGGCTGATTTTGTGACAGTCCGTCCTTATCACGTACAGTGATCTTCGAGCTATTCGCGGGGTTGTATGCGGTAGTGTACGTACGATCATTGACATTCTGTGGAACAGCTGCTTTGAGGGTGTTACTCTCAAGTAGTTTAAGGCCTGGGTCTAGCAAATGATTTATTGGTTATGACTTCGGCATAATGGATGGCGTTGAATTAAATTTGGCACACATAATGAAATCATCGTCCTTAACATTTTAAAGTGTATAAATATCGTGTTGTTAAGACACCTGATATGTCATGTGACCCATTTTCTGAAAATTTTAAATAATTGACAAATTGGTGACGAAGAAATCAAGCAATAACATTTTCTCATTTATCACGGTAAAAGTGTCCCGGTAACCGCAATGTATCCTCTATCAGAAACGCTAATTTATCTATCCACCAATAAGGCTACAATTTCCTTTATATATTATAAATTTTTCGTCAAGTGCACATCACGTGAGCATAATTAAACGTTAAGGAACAAGAAGATCTCAGATTAATCTTTTACGTTGAGATCTTAGCGAGAGACATTGCCAGTCGATAATATTCTCCGAACACACCTTTGACCCAGTCGACCAGGCCTTTAAACCCCTTAAGTCGAAAATAAAATTTCTATTTTTTTGTCTCACCGTACTCTCTTATGGCAAAATAAGCATCATGAACTTTCTGGCCGTAAGACAAAGAAGAGAAAATATCGTATTCATAGTTCAAGACTAAGCTCAAGTCCCTCCAGGCTGAGGATTGTCTTAATTGTCAATTTTTGATCAAAACTAATATGCCTAAGTTGTGAGTTTCTAGTCTTGACCTCTTTTTTAAAAAATGAACTGGTGTCGTGGAACACGTGCATATAAGGAAAAGATAACTACCTCTGGTGAAATCGGACAAACGGTCAACTCATTTGCTAGGTATGCCCGGCGGAGGGGAGATCAGGCTGGAGGGGGATCGGGGGGGGGGGGGGGGGGTCAGTGGAGGGGGATCAGTGGTGGGCTACAAAAATGGTCACGGACTCCACCTTAACATTTAAAGCTCATCTTTGTAGGATGCAACCGTGAAGGAATTTTTAACAATGGTGTCTGCAAAGACTGATGGCATACCAATCGATGTAATGCGAGCTGTCTACACCACAAAACAGCTGGAGATTGGCAAACGTCTTTCTGACTACGGAATGCAGAATGAGTCTAATGTGTTCTTGATACTTCGTCTACTGGGTGGCTCAAACCAATCAAGCATACCCCCTGTCAAAGAACTGGATGACGCAGTGGAATTGACGGATGCCCCGGATATGATTACGTGGGATGATGACCCAGAAAATAAAAGGGCCAAAATGCCTTGCGGGCACGCTATAAGTAAGTGGCTAATCAGAGCCACGCTTTGTTGATCCTTGTTCAATTCCACAAAGCTGGTATGCGTTCATGAAAGAGCTGATAGGCTAGAAAGAAAACCACGACATTACATTTTCGTCATTTAGAGAGTTTAAAGCATTTGAGCGACCGGTTTGATGGTAGAGGTGTTGTTAAGTGGCTATTAAAATCTTTGGAACATATGCTTGAGCCATCGGCAAACAACATCGTCAACAGGGCTTTTCCCTTAAGTTCAGCAATTACAAGGGAGGAGGTGGAAAGAGAAGCGTAAAGAGGAGTTAGTTTTTTTCATTAAAAAGGGCTTTGGCGAGTACACGGAGTACCAGAGACTTTTCATGCGCGGTTTCCATATTCGGTCAAGCCTTTCGCCACTCGTGGCCTCGGCCTTCAGCTGAAGATGAGCCGGTCGGCCTGCGGGAACTGAAACATCCCACCTCATGAAAAGCCCTGGGGGAGAGGTTGTGGCAAAAGCGACCAGTAAAGGGGGTCCAAAGAAGGGAAACAAGCAGTTTTATCGCCGGGAGAGCAGGGCAAAAATGTTGTGAAAGAGAAGAGTGGCGAATGGAAACTGCCCCCTTTCTCATCAAACACACTGCAATAATTCAATGCATTGCTAGAACAATATAGCGATTAAAGATGAAAGGATAATCTTGGGAAGGGAACCTGGAGAAGTAGGACCCCCTTCCTTCCCTTCTAAGCAGACAGTTGAACTGGGTAAAAGAAAATAATCAAGACTATTCCGTTTGTTTTTAGTTGATCATCTCTGTGAAATTTTACCATATTTTTGTCATTATTGTATCCCTGCAGCTCCTGAATCCCTGACTATATATTGCCGCAGCCTCTTAGGTGCAGGTCGGTCGCGATTTTTTTGTCCTTACATAAGCCAGGACCAGCCGCCGGTCTATTGCGGTGCGGAATGGGACTACATAGATGTCAGACGCTTGGCCGTTTTGACAGATGCTGAAATTGGGGAGTTTGAGAAGAAGATTTCCAAGAATTACTTGATCAAGGCAATGGGCATTCAGGAATGTCCTAAATGCAACTCAATGGTGGAAAGAAGCAACAAAAAACACATCAGAGTAGTTTGTCCGCTATGCAGCAAAGATAAGAAAAAGTCTTACGATTTCTGCTGGCATTGTCTACATGAATGGTCCAATGACTCCTGCACTACTAAGTGTGGTAGGTTTCTCACCATGAGTTATCAAATACTCTACTCCTTGTTCGTGTAAAAACTGGAAAAGGGGTGAAGAATTGAGTTTCAAAATACAGTGGAACCTTTATTCAGTTGACACGCTCGGGACCAAGACAAGTGTCCCCAGAATGGAGGTCGGGCTTTTTTTTTAATGATTATCCAACAAATAATTTTTTTTCTCCTATTCTACCTTGGAATCTGCTGCAGTCATAATTTCAAGCAGCTAGATAATGTATGAAAAATCATGATTAAATCTCTGCAGTGATGTGTGTTGAATTCCCACAAGTACAGTACATCGGTATTTTTAAATTTGTCACCATTGTGACTAGTGTACACTTAAACTTATCAACAAGTGGTCAGTCACTTTCTGATTGTTAAGGTGGCCCCTGAATGGAGGATAAATGTGGGTTTCGGGACCCAGAAAAAGTGTCCCTTTCTTCTGAATAGAGGTGTCCCTTCAATAGAGGTAACAAATACAAAGGTTATGTGAACATTTGTAAGGGACCAGATTTTGTGTTCCCTGAATGGAGATTTTCCTTGAATAGGGGTGTCTCAAAAAAGAGGTGCCACTGTATATTAAATAAATTTACATCAAGGTTCCGTCCACCATTATTTTCCAAATATACTGCCTTACAAGCTGTACTGACATTTCTCAGTTTACAAAAAAACTGATTTTTTTACTTCTCTTCCAAGGAAACGAGGATTGTTCAGGCGAAGACAAACGCCTCAGGATTCTGCGTAACTGTCAGAGGAAGACCATCGTGGGAGTTGTGGGCTGCCCCTCTCTCCGCGCATGCCTATCTTGCGGCATGCTTATTGAGCACGTGGAAGCGTGCAAGCACATGCACTGTCGATGTGGCAAAGAATTCTGTTTTATTTGTCTGAAGCCGAAAGAAGGTACCTCTTGGTCGTGTGGCAGGTACGACGAAGCTTGCACCGTGGCACCAGTGCAGACCAAGATCCCTGGAGAGGATAATTAACGTCAACAATCCTCAGATGTTCAGTTTCAGACCGCAAAGATGAAAACCATCACCTTTACATTAATTGATGCGAACTCTAGAGGCCCTTTGAGGCTGAAAATTCGCGTTGTCATTTACCGAAGATAGTCACGTTTTAGTATCGAGGTATAATATATATATATAAGCGTTTTGTTTGTGAGGTGCCTTATACGTATATTGCGTGCAAAAGAATGGTCCGGTCATGCAGCCGATCACTGTTGTTTCATGACTTTTATGGCATTGGCTTATGCCTTAGGGTTGATAGATTGTTTTAGATTTTTAAAAGGAAGCTTGTCCAAGTTGTCACCATTGTCTATCGTCGTTTTTGCTGTTGTTGTTGTTTTCAGTTGTAAGTCATAGGTAAAGATAAAGGAAATTTCAATTAAAATTTACAGCAGGTTTCCAGGAGATTAGTGATCTCATTATCTGAACAGCACTTCGTGAAAATCTTTGTCTTTCCAAATGTCTCCTTTTAATGCTTTTTTTTTTTGTTCAACAAAACCTCATAATCAAGAGGGAAACACTAACACTACTTCCCCCGGATACCCAGGGTGAAGCTATTACCAGGGCGAAAACAACCACGCCTCCATCCTAGAGTCTTTCTTTCCCGAGATTCGGAAAAATCGTACCATGGGTACCAGAGGTTTTTTCTCGTGTGCGACGGGGAGCTTCGTTTCGTCGGCCGAAGGCCGAAGACACGAGCAGCGAAGCCGCGCCGGTCACTTTTTAAGGCTTGACCGAAACCGGAAACCGCGCATGAAAAGCCTCTGGCACCCAGGGTAGAAAAACCGTTATTTGTTACCAAAAAAAAGAAATCTTTCATTTTGACGTAAATAAGTGAAACAAAGTTTCCACGAGTCTCTCACGCCCCTTGTTCCCCGAAGAAGAAGAAGGGATCTAGAACCCACTACATTGGAAACTTTCAAAAACAAAAGATTGGTAGTGGGATAAGCTAGTTAAAACTGTCGGGATCGATGCTTTGCTCGAAATGACGGGATTGAAGGACCGTCATGAAAATACTCGAATCGATGCTGAGCGAAGTTTTTACAGACACGTAACCGGCCGATCATCTGGACTATAGCCTCATACCAGGCCTCATACGAAGTACCTCCTGGGAACCTCTTTCAGGTCTTTACACATCCGTTCTTTCCTTCGTCACGAGAAGGATACTCAGCGGAGACTAGCGCTTAGCCCGGGAAAAAAAGAGGAGGAAAGAAACTTCTTTAAAAAGCAGCAGGGTCTCTGTTCCCTTCCATCCATTTTCTTAATTCTTAATTCCCTGGTCGCAATGGAAATGCCTCCATTCACTTCCTCGTACCCATTTCCTCCGCCTGCCCAGTCTAGTCTCCCTACGTTTTTACCATAATTGGATAACGGCACACCCTTGTAAATGTCTTTTCCTTGTCGACAGCGCGATCGTGAAGTTGTTATGCTTTTCTGGCAACGTTTCGTTCTTAGACGTTTTAGGAGCATTTGTTATCCATAAAGAGGTTAAAGTGGTGTTACTGTCGTTTGAAACAAGCCCGCTGATACAAATGTAAAGAAAACAAGGACAATTTAAGAACGATAATCTGCAAAATGTTGGTTGCTAAACGCAACAAACCTGATTGAAATGAAAGTTAAATACTTTTCGCCACAGAGCAGCCGCCGACGGGACCACGGAGCAGCGTCTCCAACAAATGTGCTGAGATCAAAGAAGATGGCGGTGACTTGGTGAGGTGCATGACTGATAATTTTTTAGACACAGTAGAAAGCAAAGCAAAATACTGCGGCGGCGGTGAAAACACAGATAAACATTAGGTTTGTACGGAGGGGAATACTGGACAAATGTCCGAGCACTTAAGCCTTTTTATGGCTAAACTTCAGAATACCCGACCACTTACTTGGATTTCATCGAATAACAAAAGAAACTATGTGGCCGGGTATTCTGGAGTTGCAAAAAGTTGAACCTCGATGAAGCCAGCCACCCTCTATTAAGCGTCCACAGTAATCATGTAGTAAGCAGTAGTTTGCATTTATTGTAAATTAAACCTTTATTAAACGGCCGTGGCCACATTTTGCCAACCCAACAAGAGTTCTTCCATATTGTTGTCACCTCCATTACTCTAAGTGGCACGAGGGAAAGTACAGTCCAAGATGGAAGATGACAACTGATTGTGGAGCAGTAATGCCCACTCCAGTCACTTGTTTGTACTCCAGTACCCCGAGGGTCGCCCCATAATGGAGGTTCAATTGTAAGTTCTACAAAACAGATTCTTTAGAGCATTCCTTCAATGACTCTTTGATATGTCACTATTTCTAAGCACATTGATTAATTGTCATAAAATTCATTTGTTTTTCTCCTTAGAGGCACTTCAACTAAGGAACTTCATCAGCCATGTCAAAACCGGTACTAGACAATAACGCTAGTAATTCAAAAAGCAGCAATGGCGACCCTCCGGAGCTTAGAATTAACTGTTTATCCATGCGTGATGTCAAGGCAAAAACAAAGGACCCAAAAGATGCAAATCTTCCTGTTGATGTGTTATTATTAACAGTCAAGAACTGTGAGTTCTTAGCTTGTTATCATGAGCTACAGGATCCATACAAGTGCTGGTTCGATGGTCTTGGTTATGTTTACTTTTCGCATGTAGATCAGAGTCAAGAGGAGAAAGTGAAAGTCGCATTACTGCGTTACTATAAAAATGGCATTGGTCCCGGGGGTTCTCTGATATCTGTGAAGAATGCGGCTTCCAAACTAAGACCCAAGGCGGTTATTTCTGTTGGAGCATGCACTGGCCTTAACCCTAACAAAACCAAGTTAGGAGATGTTGTTGTTTCAGCAAAATTAACAACATATCAAGGGCGGTCAACCAGCTTGAGAAGTTGTGTAAGCAGAAGATTTCTTGATATCATCAAATATTCCAATTGTGGGTGGGAGGCACCTCTGAAGGACCCAGCAGCACAAGAGATCCAAGTACATTCTGATGGGGAGTTTTTAAGTGGCCCAGAGGAGGTCAGTGCTGCATGGAGACGTCAACAACTTTCTGAACTGCATCCTGATGCAGTGGCTGTTGAAATGGAAGGAGAAGGTGAGTTAATGTTGTTCCCCTTGGTGATTTTTCTCCATTCCTCCTCTCCTTTCATATTTCTTGCTTTTATTTATTTTCAGTAGTACTCAAAGCCTCTTATTTTGAAATTACACTTCTGAATGTTTGTTGGGGTAAAAGGGTACAGATTATCCAGGTTTTGGGGCTATTGTTCACTTTTCACACTTCTCAACAAATGCTATGTATTCTCGGTGCTGCGAGATTATTCTGCTTTCTGTTTAATCAAAACAATCAATCAAATGATATCTAGCCAAAGGTAAAAACGCCCTTTGCTAAACAACATAACAAAAGACACGATGATTTGCAGTCAAAACAGGACTTGATGACATCAGGGAAATTTGAGATGGGGATTGCTTCGACCAATAATTGGCCAATTATTGATAGTACGAAGAATTTGATAAGCATGCATTGAGTTGCTTTCTTTAACATTTTTGTCTGTAATTTAGTCCATGCCTACAAATTTCATGGTAATTTGAAAACTGCCTGATAAATAGTCGTTTAAACATAACAACTTTCTTTAATTTTCCAGACATGTTTCGACGGTACATCCGTCATCTTCAGTGTTACATATTTTGAAATCGCCGTTGAATTTAAAGCGCGCGTGATCTTACAAAATCAATGATCTATCTTTGCATGGGATGTTTATGGTCTCCTTCGATGTTGAAAGCCTCTTCACCAACATCCCTCTAGATGATTGTATTAACCTTGCCATCAAATATATTACTGAGAGTAATCCAGGGTTGAAACTTAGTAAAAATGAGCTTAAAAGGCTGTTTGAGTTTGCTACCAAGGACACTCACTTCCTGTTCAAAGGTAACTTCTATGATCAGGTGGATGGTGTAGCCATGGGGTCCCCCCTTGCCCCTGTGCTTGCCAATCTCTTTATGGGTCACCATGAGAATATATTGTTGGATCAATATGGGGATTCAGAGGTATTATTCTATCGTCGCTACGTAGACCATGCATTTTGCTTTTTCCACCATGAACGGGATGCAACCCTTTTCTTCAATTACATCAACAATCAACACCCCAATATACGCTTTACAATGGAGCGGGAAACTGACCATGTTCTACCTTTCCTAGATGTTCTTCTTTCACAGGTCTGCTCACCAGTTATCTAAGTTTTTGCCCCTTTACCTACAAATTGGGGTTAATCAAAACCTTGATTCATAGAACTTTTAAGATAAACAACACTTGGATGGGGTTCCATACTGACCTTAAAAAAATTGTCTGTCATTCTGCGGAGGAATCTCTTCCCTGAGAACCTTATCGACAAATATGTTTCTAACTATATTCAGACAGCAGTCAAGGGAGGGAAAACACAGCCCTATTCAGGAGTCGAGCCCCACGAAAGACCTAAGTTCTTCTTTAAAATCCCTTACGTTGGGCACTTCTCAGTCACCGCACAGAGGAGTATACGCAAACTTGCTAACCAGTTATGTAAACCTATTGATTTAAGGTTAGTCTTTACTACTTTCAAAGTCAGGAATCTTTTTAATGTGAAAGATGCTGTCCCTGAGGGGCTACGCACGCGTGTGGTTTATAAATTATTGTGTGTAATGCTTGTTTATGTTGGTGAAACCAGCCGACACTTCTCCACACGAGTGTGCGAGCACTTACTTTCAGACAGGTCTTCGAATGTTTTTAAACTTCGAGATCCTGGACTCTGCAGCCACTAAGTACCAAGTGAAGCTTAAGGAATCCATGTTTATAAAATGGGAGAAGCCCGATCTCAACCAGCAGGTGAAACACATTAAAACCTGACTCTCTCCCTGTAAAGAACTAAGCGTCACTCATTTAATTTTGTTTTACTAGGTAATATTGACAAGGCAATGTAATGAACTTTGTAAGATCGTGCGCGCTTTAAATTCAACGGCGATTTCAAAATATGTAACACTCAAGATGACGGATGTACCGTCGAAACTTGTCTGGAAAATTAAAGAAAGTTGTTATGTTTATACGACTATCTATATTGTTACTGCTATCTAGACCTGCGTGATAAATGTTTTAAAAACTTGACAATCCCAAGAATAATTATCATAACAAATTTTCATCTTTATGAACTACACTGCAGTAACCTTTTTCCAATATCTTTGTTAATGCTGACGTAGTAAACATTCAAAGTGGGGAAGTATAGTCCCTAAAAACCCAGTGGAGCCACCTTAATTGCCTTATGGCAGTTTGACTGCCATAAGGTTGATTGCTGTGTGGGACGACTAACCCTATCACTCATACTTTCCAAATATGTGTTTTAGGTATCTTCACAGCTGCATTTGACACCCAGATTGAATGGCTCATTGTGAAAGGAATAGCTGATTACGCAGATTGCACTCAGTTGACATCAGAGCATTGGGAATCCTGTGCCAGTGTGATGGCTGCCTCTCTTGTCACCCACATTTTGAGTGATCCTGTTGTTTTTCGTTCATGGCCTCACTATCAAGGTAGTTTTAGTCGGGAAGTTCTTTCCTTCTTATTATTTGGAGGCTTGTTATCATTTTGCTCTCTGTACCAGAATGTTGATTTTGTTGTGCTTAAAGGATTTCTAGTAGTTAAATGAAAGATAGATAATGATATTGTTGGAGGTAGGGGTTGTGACCTAGGGGTTAGAGTGCTGGACTCCAGATTAAGAGGTATGGGTTCAAACCCTGGCCAGGTATTGTGTTCTTGGGCAAGACACTCAAACTCTCACTGTGCCTCACTCCACCCAGGTGTATAAATGCGTGCCAGCAAAGTCAGGGCTATTAGGGACTATCATCACATCAAGGGGAGTCCAGCCAATATTTTTTTCCTTTTCATATTGTGTATTGTAATGTTAGTAGTGTAGTGATCACACTACAGTTGTTAATTTGCGTATTGTAATAAATGTATTGTAAGAGGTTTGTGGAGTCATTGGTAAAGTCTAACTAAAAACAATTTCCATCAAAGGGAGAGAAGAGATATCTCTAGTTGCCATGGAAACTGGGATAAGCTCTGGCCTGATGGGCCATCAATGGCCCATAACCTGTATGCGGACTCAAGATGAAATAATGCATTTAAGTTGCTTATTTGTTGGCATGGGAAGAAATTTAATCCACGAAGCAGCAAATGTAAATCAAAGAGTATTCATGTTTTCTTTTAATATGTGCAGTAAATGTATGCCTGCCAGATTACTGAATATACGTTTGAGTGATTGAGCATTCAACACCATCTACGTACCAATTAATACGGTTTTTGCTTGTGATTTGTTGTAGACTTGTCGGAGTTGGATTCAGCCAGCAACTTAACGAAACCAAGACTTTCCTGTGAAGGTGCATAGAGTACTATATCATTCCCAGAGTGCAGGAGATAGGGAGTTTATAGGGAGTGTGGTTATTATAACTACCAAAACAGGTAGACCGCTAATTCAGAGATACACATAACAGTTGATTGTGTGGTTAACCACTTTAGGATGATAATGTGAACTGCAGAAATACAAATTTTGAATGAAGATATGATCGCCATTGTTAGCGCTGTAGTGCTCTCACCAACTAAGCAATGTAGACCCATATAACAGGGGCACCCAACGACAATTTTCGGAAAATATCTGTTCAGAAGACGGGCACCCAACGGGAATATAGTTCAAAACCACTTAAACATACCATTTTTAAACATATTTTAGTATTTAAACGGTAGATAAAGGCATATTTTTATCCCCTAAAAATTTTTCATCTGTTCGGATTTTCAAGCTGAAAGTTTAGTGATCCGAAAATTATAGGGATCAAAACTTACCTTTTCGAAAATATCAGCCAGAAAATAGGCTCCCGAAAATTCTAGGTGACCTTTTTAGGGTAAAAATCCATTAAAAATAGGCAATTATACCATTTTTTAGATGTTCGAAAATCCTAGGAGAGGCAGGCAAGCAAGAAGTTTTACAACAAATGTTTCGAAAATTCTAGATCTCAAATCGTCTTCCGAACAGATATTTTTCCGAAAATTGTTGGGTGCCCCTGAGAAGACGACTTAAGATCTAGAATTCTCGGAACATTTGTTGTAAAATTTCTTGCTTGCCTGCCTCTCCTAGGATTTTCGAACATCTAAAAAATGATATAATTGCCCATTTTTAGATGATTTTTACCCTTAAAAGGTCACCTAGAATTTTCGGGAGCCTTCCTTGTGGCTGAAATTTTGGAAAAGGTGAATTTTAATCCCTATAATTTTCAGATCACTAGACTTTCAGCTAGGAAATCCAAACAGATGAAAAATTTTTAGGGGATAAAAATGTGCCTATATCTACTGTTTAACTAAGGGTTATCGGCCTGAAGCGAGGGGTTATGGGATTTATTCCCCTCGTGCGAGGGGAATAAGTTTATTCCCCTTGCATATTAATACATAATCCCCTCACATTTTAACTACCTGTTCATTAGCCCCGCTCTTCCCTTCAAACAATCAAAGCCGCACCCAGCTTTTCAGACAGTTGATTCGGGGGTTATGTAATATACTGCCCCCGAGAAGAACAAAGGAATCCAAGCTTATGTAAAAATAAATACTAAAATACATTTAAGGTATCTGCACCGGCAAATTGTGCTATATTTAAGTGGTTTTGAACTATATCCTCGTTGGGTGTCCCTGATATAACCCAGAGGCCATGGGTTCGAATCCCGTTAAAGTCCCAGCAATTTCTTAAATTGCAATTACCGCTGCGAAGATAGGCCAAGTGGTGTTCTCTGTCAACCAAAATGGAGCAGGCGCAGATCTAGAATGAATACTGACTGATTTCCAAAACGAGCGCCGAAGGCACAAGCTTCCTAGGGGGATCTGTAAGTATACCCCACTGGGAGATTTTTGAATTTTAACTCCCAAAAGTCCCCTTTCCTTGGTTTCTGAGTCATTCATACCGGATATTGGCCAGTTCATTATCCTTGGATGAAGTCTTGCAAATCGGCGTATTATTTCATCAAGGTTAATTTCCATGTTGTATAGGATATCATATGGAGCAAAATTTCAACTTGGAAAGTTTTTTATTATAAAAAAGATATTTGTTATGAAAAATCTGACCGATTTCCGTAAAACCGTGGAAACCGGTGTGGATCCGCGCCTGTGGAGACATTTTTGTTTGCGGAAAGTCAATGGATAAAAGTTCTTTCGATTACAACCTTCTAGCGCTATACATGTATATAAACTCTGCCCACTCTGATGCGCGAACAACGAAGCCAGCAATGAGAAAAGAATGTGACCACATGAGTTCACATTTTGGCTTGACAAACAAATCCACGTGACCTAAGTCGCTGACGTTTGGCGCCAAAATCAGCTGTCACACGTATCATTGAATTCGTGGTCTACCTTTCTCAGTAGTCTCAGTAGTGAAATCTACTGAAATTATATCCAAGGTCGTTTTCCACTACCAGTAAAGGTACATTAATTTTGTTTGCCCTTTGTCCTGATGTGCTGGTGAGGTAAATAGGCCATTTGCACAAAGATGTCATGTGACATCATTTTTATGAAAATGAAATTTATTTGAAAATTAAACAAGACTTACCTGTAAGTTGAAGTTTGATGATAATTCTGCCAAATCATTAGTAGTACAGTAGGGTTAACATGAGATGCGCACGCACCGCCGCAGGTCAGTCTTAAAAGAATTTTGTGATCACTAAAACACAGCCGAAACGACGTAAGGGGTGGGTGTGAACATATGGGTGCTATGGGCATGTTAACCCTACTGTACTACTAATGATTTGGCAGAATTATCATCAAACTTCAACTTACAGGTAAGTCTTGTTTAATTTTCAATTCTACCAAATCATTACATACATCCGGGTTACCATGAGACTTTAACGCAGTGAGCACAAAATGAGAAAACACCCAAACAACTTCACACGCCGACTTTAATTGTACACTACTTTGCAATACAATTTTGTTGTACAAGGCATTAACCTAAGTAAGAACTGCCAAACTCATCTGGTTTGTTACAGCAACTGGCTTGTTGTAAAACTTCCGAAAAGTGGACTCCTCAGTCCAACCAGCTGTTGCTAGAATCACATCAGTGGAAACTGACATAAGAGCTTTACTCGTTGAAGCACACCTAGTGCTATGACCAGAAAATATTTCTGTATCAACCCCTGCTTGTCCCAACAAAGTTTTGATCCAGCGTCCAATAGTAGACGAGGTTACTGCCTTATAGGGCTTTATATACGAAACAAGCAATTTTGAAGAATTCCTGAGCTTTTCAGTAGCCTGTAGGTAATAATCTAATGTTTCATAAACACACAGTTCCCTTTACTGGATACTTGTAAAAGCGTACATTGCCAAACACTTTGCCAGGTTTGTCCTGCTTAATGTGTTCAGTTAAGGCAAAATTAAAACATGTATCATTCTTCTGCATATATTGCTCTGATGTGTCCAAAAGGTCAAAGTCTGACACCTCTGCCCCGTAGTTAAGGCAATCAACATGACTAATTTCAGGGTGAGTTCCTTCAAATTGATCTCGTGCAGGGGCCAAAATAAACTCAAGTAATCAAGGACAGTATCCACGGACCAGATATTGTTATACTTTGGCACAGGCTTGAGCTTGTTGAACACCCCTCTAAGGTAACGGCAAACAAGGAAATGCTTCCCAACAGGTGTGTGAGATGGAGCATCATTATCACTCATACCAATGTTAGAGACTGCAGACCGAGCTGTATTCAACGCAGAATAGCTCAAGCCACTCTTGAAAAGACTGTGCAGAAAAGAGAGTACAGCCGTTACAGTGGGATGCAACGGATCAATCTTTCTTTCACTGCAAAATTGCAACCACTTGTTAATATACACTTTATATTGTTTCTGAGTGCTGTCTCTCCATGAATGCATGATGATGTCGACAATGTCTGGCGAAATCTCAGACTCCTGCAAGGATCGCCTGATAACTTGCATACCATCAACTGCAGGTGTTGGTGTAGGGGATGAGGACCGTCCAGAGTTGGATGAATCAGGTTCTGAACTGAAGCATTGAATACACGTGGCGTTTCTGTTAGTAGGCTCAGTACAGCCGTAAAATAAGGCTGAGTTGTCCACAAGGGAATTACTAGAATTCCTGATGCCTGGTCGTGAATTATTTTCTGTACACACCTTGAAACAAGACAAAATGGAGGATAAGCATAGAAGAAAAATTGTGACCAATCAATGGTAAAAGCATCCACAAACTTTGCCATTGGATGTGGTTTCCAGGAAACATAGTCCTTTACCTGAGCATTAAGTCTACTAGCAAATAGATCTATATCTGGTTTGCCAAATAAAGCTACTATCCTCTGAAAAATTGGAGCGGAAAGCATCCATTCCAGATCCAAATTCAAATTCCGAGATAACCGATCAGCATCAATATTGCTTGATCCTGGAATATGGGCTGCTGATAACCAAATATCTTTGTCAACAGCCCAATCCCAAATATCCTTAGTAATGGAGTTACATTCTAAAGATCTACAACCTCCCATAGAATTAATGTAAGACACAGCAGTGTTGTTATCAGACATAACCCGCACATGAATGTTGTTCCTGGCATCAAGTAGGGAGGACAGAGCAAGCTTAACTGCTAATAATTCCAGGTAATTTATGTGCCTGGATGACTCTGACTTAGACCAGATGCCACTAGTGTTATTCCCATGTTCGATTTGAGCACCCCAACCCATCTGGGATGCATCAGTGTAAACAACTACATCAGGGCTATTATGAAAAATTCTTCTTGATGCTGTTAGAATATTTGCAGACCACCAGTGAATCTCTTCCAAACTGTCATGAGACAAGGTCATGAATGAATCAAAATTCCCCCGGTTCAATTTCAAATTTGCTTCTTTGTCAACCTCAATGTGGCGATAATGTAAAGGGCCAAATTCCACGCCTGGAAAGCTGGAGACTAAGGTCCCAAGAAAAGATGCAACTTCGCGAATAGTAAACCGTTTATTTGGAAGAGAGAACTTTTGGCACAACTGTAAAATTTTAACAGCTTTCTTGTTAGTCAAAGTAACTAACATGAGAATAGAGTTCAAAATAAATCCTAAAAACTCTAAGATCTGTGTTGGTATAATAACGGACTTTTCTGGATGGATTTTAAAACCCAGACTGACAAAAAGTTGTATAGCACGTAATGTGGCTTCTTCACACTCTGTATAACTATCTTCCAGATAGAAAGAGTCATCAATATAGCCCAGACAGGTGTGGCCAAACTGACTCCTCAAGTGGCTAAAGACTGGTTTTAGAACTTTCGTAAAAATCCTAGGGCTACTAGTCAATCCCATAGGCAGGCTAGTGAAAGCATATAATTGATCCCTCCAAATAAATTTTAAGTATTTCTGATGTTCTTCTGCAATAGGGATAGAGTAATACGCATCCTTCAGATCTATAGATGTCATGTAACATCCAGGCCTCATGAGTCTAATAGCTGTCTCTAACGTGTCCATTTTAAAATGATGGTATGTCACTGACTCATTCAGTTTCTTTAGGTTAAATATAACCCTGTGAGACCCATCTTTCTTAGGCCTTGTAAAAATTGGAGATATCACCTGGCCATCCTCATGTGATGATAGCCTTATTATCCCTTTAAGAAGGAATTTTTCTACTTCATTGTCAATGATAGTCTGTTCAATTTCAGTAAAGGAACAAAAAGGCCTAGTAACACTAGTACATACTCCAGGTTGCCAGTCAAATTCAATATGACAGTGAGTAACTGCATCCCAGATAAAAGGATCTGATGTGATAGTCTTCCATACATGAAGACAGTCCCGCAGCCCTCCTGCCTTAAAAGGAGTTTGATTTGCAATAATAGTAGTAGCAAGAGTTGTCTGGCTTACCTCAGCTGGTGATCCTACTGGGTCTTGGTTGCCGAGGTCCTGGGATTCTGGTGGGGCCGAGCATGGCCCCGGCCTTGACCTAAAAAAGAATTAGAGGAGGCTCTTCCCCTGCCAGCACTATGACCGAAGCGGCCACGACCACGTACACCTCTAGAGGCGGGGACTTTGTAAGGTTCCATGCGTCTCTTAGGAGTCACTTTATTGCTGAGCTTTTGTGACTTTGTTAACTCTTCCACTTCTTTGTTTAGGTCATCTCCAAACAAGAATGTTGACACAGCTGTAGATGGGTTGCATAAAGGAGCATATTGCTTGTTTAGGTCAGGACGAATGAGATCTCTTCGTTTCAGATTAAGCTCTCTATTTGCTGACAACAGCAGGACTGCTGTATGGGTCAAAACATTCCTCTGATCCCCATTTGCACTGTTGCACAGCTGAAGTACAGCATATAAACCTGACAAGAGCAAGGACTGTGCCTTCTGGAAAGCTGAATCATTGTTTCTGGTCTCCTGTCGTAATTGTTGCCAAATTTGCTTGTTTATCTTGGGTGCAACCAAATTAGTGCAGTTTTCAGGTCTGAGGTACTTGTTCTGTACCTCGGCCAACTTTTCTTTTGTGAGCTTCTCTGTAAGCAGACTCTTCACTATTTCTGCCAAATTTGCATCTATGGCAGGTGAAGTTTTCTCTAGAACGCTAAATTCATCAGCGAGTGATTTAAAGGAACCGCCATCCGAGCCTTCAGCAGGGTCTGACGTTTTTGGCTGGATAAAATCATTTATTTTAGTTGCAACAGTCGTTACAACAGCTGTATCCGAACACTCAGTGCTCGCTTCACCGCTCTCAGGGCCGGTCTCATAATCTTCAAAATCGGCATAAACCTTCTCGATAGAGTCTTGCACGTGAGCCAAAATGTCTCTTTTGGCATCATCTAAAAGTTCAGCAAACATCGCCTTGAAGTCCACGGGCGAAGTACCTCCAGAATTTGTAATTTTCTGAGACTCCTCAGACATCGTCTGAAGAAATTAAGATGAATAAAGAACACGTCAAGCTTTTTGTACTACAAAATGGCGGACTCGTCCGCCACGTGGTATCAAAACAGTCGGTCCAAATAACCGGCTATGTAGCTAGTCACAAACTCGTTGAGACTTGTAAAGATACGAGGAAAGGGTATAAACGCGTTACACCACAATTGCTTAAACTCTGGACACGTCCAGGAGTCTTCTCATAAAACTATAATTCGGCACAAGAGCCGAGACCGCCTGTGACGCGTCACAGAGCACGAAAAAGGAAAAAATCCAGACAATAACGGCTGGAAAATGTAATGTGGAGCGCGTCCACAATAAAAGAAAAATAAACGAAAAAGTAACTGTAAACTTACCGTGATAAGCAGCTGCCAACGGCGTAGAAATATCGGAGAAAAATACACACGACTAAACCCACGGCGAACGATACATGCACTGACCTGCGGCGGTGCGTGCGCATCTCATGGTAACCCGGATGTATGTAATGATTTGGTAGAAATAATTTTGCCTTCGAAAAACGATTAGTGGGTCATATTTTAAACAAAGTAATGGTGATTTGGTTTTTCAAACCCGCACCATTTTCTTAAAATGAGTAAGTTGGTAGCTGGTCACGTGACCAAAATGTGACTTTTAAAATTAGGAAGTACATCTTCCCGGAACACAAATTTTGCACTTAAAGTTCAAGAAAAATGTTGACAAGATGATGTGGTAACGTTTACAGCACATCTGAGCGTAACTATCAAACGTTTAACAAGATATAAGCAAAAAGTGGTTTTGGCCGCCATGTTGGAGGGCAAGAGTATGCCCTCCAACATGGCGGCCAATACAAATCATACTGCTTTGTTGAAAAATCAAAGTGCCATAAAATACCTCCCTTAATCTTAATCTCCCTTATTTTCATGTGCTCTGTCAATTTTTGGCATCAGCAATATTCCAACTCATCGTTTCTGAAAGAAGTATTGGTCACGTGACCTCTTAGTGCAACTGGCCTATTATATGGTTTAATCAACTCTTAATGTTTTGCAATCGTTTATGGCGATTTGCCCCCATTTTACACTAACAATGAGCTGAATGTCCCACTTGTACTTTTTAAAGCAGATTCTGCCCATGCATTTTTGAAGTGGAGTCAAAGTCAACTGTGCTCACTTTACAATGGCACGCTTGGTCAGGTGATGATTACTCCATGGAACCCAGACAACACCATGGACATGGATGAGGTGTATGTTCAGTTATCACTGCTGAGAGATGAAAGAAAATTTGGTAAGACAACAAAAAAGAAGTTTGAAGATTACAGTGAGATATTTTCGAGCCACGGGCATCATCTCATCCCTAAAAGAATTCTAGTGTACGGAAATCCGGGCGTAGGGAAGTCCACATTTTCAAAGAAGCTTGCCGTGGACTGGGCAAGAGGCGAGAAAGAAATTCTGAAGCAATTTACAGTGTTGCTTTTAGTCCAGCTACGAGATGTTTGTAACACCCCAAGTGTCTGTGCCATGCTAGAACAGGCAGAGCTATTGTCTGCTGAAAACCCACTGGTTTTTAACCAGCTCTACGATTATATTCTTCAAAATCAGGAGAAAGTTTTGCTTGTTTTGGATGGCTTTGACGAATACAGTGCTGAGAAATCGTCGCCAATTCATCATATTTGGAGAGGCAGTTTGCTGAGAGATTGCATGACCATCGTAACTACAAGGCCATCGAAAGAGGACGAGCTACGAAAACCAAGTCATGTTCAGTTCGAGATCAGAGGGTTTACTAATGATCAAATTAAACAGTTTGCCACGAAGTTCTTTTCTCACAGGAGGGACATTACAGATGAATTTACCAAATTCTTAACTGAACGGCAACTGTGGGGTATGGCAAAGATACCGCTTCTTTTGTTGATGCTTTGTCTAACTTGGAAGAAGAGAGGTCAAAGCCATCAAGAAAAGTCACAATCCCGCGCAGATCTTTATGAAAGATTTTTTCAGACTCTGCTGGATCATGTTGCAGCCAAAATGTCAGGTCATAGCTTTACAAGTCTTGATGAATACAAAGATGACCTCACGAAACTGGGTAAAGTTGCATTTGATGCACTTTTAATGGATTGCCTTTATTTTGAGCTCAGCAAAGTGCCCGCAGACATTCGTTGTCTTGTCAAGAAATTTCTCTCCGTGGGTTTCTTCCAAGTTTCTAAGCTTTCGAGTTCATCTCGTCCTGATGAAATCGTACACTTTTTGCATAAAAGTGTACAAGAGTTTCTTTCTGCCTGGTTTATAGTTAAGGAAGTCACAAAAACAAAGACGGCATCTCTCACCTGTCTGTCAAATGTCGATTCGTTTGAGAAGGTCAAGAAGATGCACGAAGTACTGAAATTTGTCTGCGAGATTTCACCAGAATCTGCGGTGGCTGTTTTTCGTCATCTACAGATGATAGGAGAAAAAGAGGGCCTTACGGAGTACAGCTTCTCCTTCAGTCCCTCCACTAACGATTTATGTGCAGATCAAAGAGAGTTGAATCGAATAAGCCTAGACTGTTTCCTGTCCTGTCCAGCCCCAGAAAGACAAATTATCTACCCTTCATTTCTTCACTGTGTTAACGGTGTTGTAGTGATACGTCAAACTGACCATCTATCAATTGTTGCTAGAGAACATGTCTTGAAGTTATTTACTTCACCCAAGCCGAATTATGTATTTTTTTCTGAACCGTACAGAGTACGATTACAAGACTTAGTTAGTAATATGTTCTCCGTTATTTGCGACTTGCAACCTGTTTTTGTCCCCCTTTTTGGTGATCAAGATTCCAAGCTTGTAAATGCTTACGAAGACCTGTTTTATTATTCTCCTTTCGTGAAGAGAGAAGAACAGCAAATGGTGCTGCACATAACTGACCTAACACGGCGATCCCACTCTCAGTTGTACTTAGATCTCCTGAATGACATATCCGAAGCACTATCTCCTTCTCCGCAGACTGTTGATGAAGTACCACAGGATGAAACAAATAATTCTTCTCGTTTGACTCAAGAAAAGGTTGACCAAACTAGAAAACATTCTCTGTCATATCTCATGTATTTTGTGGTTGATTATCCATCACCTGAGGAGCTGTTGGTGGTGGGTAAGTTGTTAAAGTTTGTAAACAGACTTGAAACCTTGCAAATTACACTTGATGACAAGTACTGGCAAGAGGGATTATATGACGTTCAGGTTGTAGAAAGTTTAGTGTCCCATATTTACTGCACTTATATTACTGACAGTCTTCACAGTCTAGCGCTGAGGCGTTTTCGTATGACACAGATAATTAGTGCTCGTATTGTTAGATCACTTTCCCAGGCTCCCAACTTGCGCAGCCTTGACTTGTCATGGAACTGTTTATTGTACTCTGGTATAAAAAACTTAACTGAGAACCTTCACCATTTAAAACATTTGTCGCGTCTGGAGTTGCGTGATGTTGGGATTGGACATCTTGAGTGCCAGCTACTTTCCACTTCATTGAAATATATTGGCAATTTGCGAGTTCTTGATTTGTCTCAAAATCCGCTGGCTCGTGGGATTTTAGAACTCTCCAAACACCTGAACTGTATTCCCCATCTTCATGAACTGGTCCTCTACTACACTGACATGGGTGAAAGGGAAGTCACTTCCCTTGCTCGTGCATTCAAAAAGACTCCAGAGCTGGCAAGACTTGACCTTTCGCATAATCCACTGGGTCGAGGAGTAGGTGAGCTGATCAAACATCTTAAAAGTATTCCTCGTGTACGGTCCTTGGAGCTTTCATCTGTGCCAATGACACGCAAAGAAGTCAGTGACCTCTATACTGCTGTATCGCCTCTAACCGGCGGAATCGTCCTTAACACGGATTACCATGTAAGAGTTTTTCCTTGCAATTAGATAAAGAATACCACACGTAGTACTGCGGTGCACAGAGAAAGGATCGAGTTAGGTTAGAACTGAGTACAGGGAATAAGCGATACGATTTATTAAATTAAGTTCAACGTGAGTCAGAACATAAATCACATCTCAAAGGAGCTGCATGAATTTTTGAAGTTTTAAGCAGTTGATGAAGTTGTTTGAGCAAGAAGGCTGGATGCAGGAATCGTCTGATCGGCCCCTAACATCTTTCAAAAGTAGATTGCAAAGGTGGTTTTTAAGTAGATGATGTACAGCTTTTCTTTTTTTATTTTCAGGCACTCTTTACCCTGAATGGTGGTAATGGCCTTCTAATACAGTAAAAACCCACATATAAGAACCTAAAATTTAAGAACCTGTTAGACTAAAATGTTCATTTTAAACTCCCTTTTCATAAGAACCTATTTAGCCTAAAATTTTCGGTCAACAGGTTCTTATTTTACAAAAATGAAGGCAGAGAAGAAAATACAGCCGGAAAAAAATTGACTCTAGGTTTCAGTCAGTAAGATTCAAAATGTAACACAGCATTGAATGGACAGGGGTACCCAATGAGAATATAGTTCAAAACCACTTAAACATAGCATTGTTAAACGTATTTTAGTATTTAAAAGGTAGATATAGGTATATTTTTATCCCCTAAAAATTTTTTATCTGTTCGGATTTCCTAGCGGAAAGTCTAGTGATCCGAAAATTAAAGGGATCAAAACTTACCTTTTCGAAAATTTCAGCCAGAAAAAAGGCTCCCGAAAATTCTAGGTGACCTTTTTAGGGTAAAAATCCGTTAAAAATGAGCAATTATACCATTTTTTAGATGTTCGAAAATCCTAGGAGAGGCAGGCAAGCAAGAAATTTTACAACAAATGTTCCGAAAATTCTAGATCTCAAATCGTCTTCCGAACAGATATTTTCCGAAAATTGACGTTGGGTGCCCCTGAAGACATGCATGCTAGCACTTTGGAAAGGTAAATTTACTGTATGGTTATCATTTAATCTGTATTCTAGATAATTATTTAATACAGCAATATATTCCATATCACATATGCCCTGTAGTAGTTATCTGTGTCGATCGCTGGTGCCCATATCAAATTAAGAACCTATTTAAGAACCTAAGTAGCCTTTTCGGAGGGAGAGAAACGACGGCCGGAAATACGTTTGCTGTTCGCAGGCTAATTTTGGCTAAGTTGGAAAAATCTAGGTTCTTATACGTGGGTTTTTACTGTAAGCCGAGATATGATTTCCCAGGGTCTGAAATGTATAAAACGAGGAATGTAGTTATCGACAGCAATTTTTTGTAATGATTCAGCTATGGTATAAAGTAGTTTCTTACTGACTGCTGCAACTCAGGAATCTCCGCCCGCCCCAATTAGTTTTCGCCATTTGCGGGCAGGTCCCGGTTCCTCAAAAGATGGTTAAGTTTAACCCAGGATTAAGCCAAATTTTCGGCAAGTTTTTTGTCTAAGAACATGCAACTCGAGCTTACAAAATGCTGTTCAGTCTTTACTCCGAGATACAGTTATGATAACACAGAATGTTACTACAAGCAATGCATAAGTAGGAAAAAGTACAAAAATGGAACGGACTTTTAGTCCTGGATTAGCGCTAATCGACCTTTCAGGAACAGGGCCAAGAACTGTATTTGAATATGTGTGTGAATAAGTAAATAGAGTGAGTGAAATGGAATGAAAGGAAAAATTGCGCAGTCATAGGTGTTGACCACGTTTAGTCATTTATAATTCATAGTTACTGACAACTAAAAAGGGCCTAAATGTGTCCTTCCCTCTTCTTTCCTCTCACACCCTGCCCTCCCCTGTGTCTGACTCTGTTAATTATTTGCGTAACGTCGATGCTGCTTTTTCTTTTACTTTGTCAGTACCACTTGGACCAGGTTGTACTCTGGCCTGAGGATGTGTTGAAACAGCGTGGTGTATCTTATGACGATGAAGAGTGAGGCTGAAAGCACTTTTGTCACACTCAGGAAGTAGGAAAAATGCCTGAGGAGACAACAACGGCGTGACCTCTTCTTCAACGTCTCTCCTGTTCCCGTGCCTCGGGGTCAGTTGCTTTAAACTTCGAACCGCCAACCACCAACGTCTGACTTCAGACCAGTTAAACACTGGGTTTATTTTAACGCCCAACCTTAGCAGTTATGTGAACTTAATAACTTAATAATTCAATAGCCATGTTAATTTAATTTTACATATAGCTTCTTTGTTGCTTGGTTCAGGGCTATGTAAATATGATCACTACTCAGGGGAGAGAAAAATATTTGTCCATTTCACAATTTACGGAGAATTAAAAAGGCCTTATACTGATCACGAAATAAACCTTTGGAATGAGTATCGAAAATTAGAAAATTGCAACACGATGGACAATGCAACGTGCAGGGAACTTGTCAGCTTTACTTGGCTCGGAGGAAAACAAGTTTGCGACTGTGGTAGGTAGACGAAGACATTCTGCGCAGTTTACTCCTGTTTCCTGTCACATGAATAAAAAACAGTTCATTTCTTGCATCACTCGGTTGACGGGGAGGGTTGTACCTAGAGTAACACTTACAGTAACTTTGGTAACGATGGGAGGGCTTGTGCTTACAACAAATGTTGGGTCATATGACACGCTACTGACTTTCTTCAGTTAGCAGATTATCACTCTACATCCTTAAACCCTTACCTCGCGCCAACAGGTCGCCACAAGCTGCTCGCTTTTGACTTTTCATTTTTCCCGGCACATTTAATTCTTAAGTATAAATAGTATCTTTTTATGTGTATTATATAAGTTCTTTTTCATCGTAAATTACTTTATTTTTGGGTATATACATGTATAACTAGTTATATTGCAGATTGTCTATATTTTATTAGGCAGTTTATTCCAAGGAATCTCGTATTCTGATTTAAGCTTACGTCGGCCCTATGCAGTGCAATGTTATTTGGAATTTTAAATTAAAGGACAAAGTTCACAGAAATCATTATTCCTTTACTGGCATTTCCTGACAGACAATCTCGGACAAGACTTGTTGAGACACGTTGCAAAAATGCCTTTATCTACATGTCATTCTGGCAAAAATACAAACCGTCGCCAGATGATATGAATGACCGTTTCTTCTCTTTCCTTATCCAATGTCGGTTAGGGTAACACCAGAATTATACGCGTTGGTATTAATTGGACCAAATTTACTAGCGTTACTTTTGAAAAGGGGGTGGGGATGGGCTTACTTTGTTCTTTTTAAAGGAAATGCATGGTACTAAATGGACCTTACAGTGACAAAGACACTCCCTGGAGGACTTTTAATATTTGGAAGCTTAAGGTGGCTCGACTGGATTTTTTGGGGTTGATACCTCCCAACTTTGAGCATTAACTACGTCGGTATGAGTAAAGATATGGAAAAAAGGTTACCACAACTGTATTATATAAAGATGAAAATTTCTTATGACCTGGGTTTTATTGCAATCGGAGTCGCCATGGCAACGTAATGACGCCATTACGTTTTTCATGTATCTTTGTGTTTCTCTGTTCCAGGAGTTTTTTGATGAAATCGCTTAAGGGAGTATGTACCTGCTATAATTGCCTCCATTATGGCGTAGTTTCAACAAATTCTATGAGAGCGTTTTCGAAATATTTTGAAATGTAGTTTTAAGGATGATAAAAACAGTGAAATAGCATGCTACCTACACAATTCGCTAATATTTTAAGAAAATGATAAGCTTTGGGAACGAGGCTTCATCTCATAGTGGTTTGACTCCACTGGAAACTGCATCCAAAAAAAAGAGGGGAATTGCTCTGGGCGATCGCGAGTAAGAAGAATTTTATTAACTTGCATTCAGCTGCTTTTGATACAGTTTTTGGACGTAATTTGGTCAATGCCTAAGAATTTCGCATTTTTCCAAAAACCGCTCGATAAATTTTTTTATAAATTCGACAATCCCGAGATCAATTGTCAAGAAATATTCCCTGCAAGTTTCAAGAACATTGAAAATAGGGAAGGCTTTTAAATAGGGCCTCAAATATAACCAATTTTCCCCCCAGATTTTGTGTTTACAAGTGAGCGTCCTCATTATTCACTGGCATTGTTTTCAAGTTTCATATGCACGTGCACAACCAGCAAAAGATATAAATTTTCATAAAAAAGAACTCTCGATTACTTTCCGAACAAATATCAGGAATATGCTAATAGTTGGCTTGTCGTCACAGATAGCAGTGAGAGCCGAAACGGTGAACGTCACGGCTCATCGCGTAGGATGGAATACTCAATTATCTTACTCGGGTTATAACATCACAGAAACTATCACAAAGAGTTGCTCTGATGTTATAATGTATCATTAATCTCTCTACCCGGTAATTAGCATATCCCGAAGATTTAACCGAGGGTCCTTTCTGATGCAAATTCTATCTTTTTGCTAAATGTGCACGTGTATATGAAACTTGAAAACAATGCCAGTGAATAATGAGGACGCTCACTTGTAAACACAAAATCTGGGGGAAAAATGGGTTATATTTGAGGTCCTATTTAAAAGCCTTCCCTATTTTCAATGCTCTTAAAACTTGCAGGGAATATTTCTTGACGATTGATCTCGGGATTGTCGAATTTATAAAAAAATTTATCGAGCGGTTTTTGGAAAAATGCGAAATTTTTAGGGATGGACCAAATTACGTCCAAAAACTGTATCAAAAGCAGCTAAATGCAAGTTAATAAAATTCTTCTTACTCGCGATCGCCCAGAGCAATTCCCCTCTTTTTTCGTATGCAGTTTTCAATGGAGTCAAACCACTATGAGATGAAGCCTCGTTCCCAAAGCTTATCATTTTCTTAAAATATTAGCGAATTGTGTAGGTAGCATGCTATTTCACTGTTTTTATCATTCTTAAAACTACATTTCAAAATACTTCGAAAACGCTCTCATAGAATTTGTTCAAACTTTACCATAATGGAGGCAATTATAGCAGGTACATACTCCCTTAAGCGATTTCATCAAAAAACTCCTGGAACACAGAAACACAAAGATACATGAAAAACGTAATTACGTCATTACGTTGCCATGACGACTCCGATGGCAATAAAACCCAGATCATAAGAAATTTTCATATTTATATAATACAGTTGTGGTAACCTTTTTTCCATATCTTTACTCATGCCGACGTAGTTAATGCTCAAAGTTGGAAGGTATCAACCCCAAAAAATCCAGTCGAGCCACCTTAAACTACCTCAAAATGCATATCATTATAGTTATTACTGATTTGCAAGTGACGTCACGGCCGCCATGTTGGTAAAGCATTTCTCTCAGGGAACCCTATTTCCATGTGAATCCTTAGAAATAACTTTTATTGTTCTGACCACCAGCATGGCCGCCAATTGTGACGTGGTTGCAAACTAAGAACAGCTTATAAGAAGAGCACCAACTCACTTCCCTTTGTCGTTGAAAGACCCTATGGTACTCTGTTGGTATCTTTGCGGCCTTAGTTGTGTATCCCTCATATTTTATTCCCACTGAACTCCAGAGATGACAAAAAATGTTTTGCACGATGGTATTGCTTTCATTACCCTGTCATAGGAGACTTCCAAACATCGGTCCACTGTATGCTTTTAGAGCCAGTAGTACCAATTACGATAAACTGTTTGACTGACGGTAAAGATGCCTTTTGGAATGCTGGAATGGCGCATTAGATTCCAAAGGAGCTAAGATATAACTCTGCCAATTCGGTTACAGTAATGGTTAAATGATTGGTAGCACAATTCAAAGAAAAGTTGCAATCTCAACCCTTTGCGTTGAGTCACAAGCGTTGGAAGCACTTGGGTCTTGAATGAGGACCAGAGCAGGGGACAGCAAGCAGACTCAGTAACAAAACCACTAGTGAAGAGAAAGCTTGGAAACTCGATAAGGCCATCCCCTTTTTTCGCGTTCAGCGTCGAATGCATTTCCTGATAATTTTTGGGTCGGTCGGTCGGACTGAAAAAAAAAAACTAAAAAAAAAATCACAAGAAGTCTCGGAATAGGAGGCCCTGGTACCCTGGGACAACGTTAAAAGTTAACTTCCATAATTGGATTAACAAAAGGTACAATTTGCTGTAAAAGATGTTCCGGTTTTTCTCTGTGCTGTTACTATGATCATTTTTTTTATTCCAAGTGCAAAATGGTTTAGCTACGTCATTACTGTTTTTTTTGAAAATGCCAAAAATTTGGGTCGGTCAGACGACGCTAAACGGAGAAAAAAAGAGGATGGCCAAAGTCAGAAATAAGGTAATTAGGACTCAATAGTCAAAAGAATCTAAATGGAAACGCGAGTCAATTGAAAGTAGACAAGTAACTGAGTCATGGTTATGCGAGGAAAGGGGAGTCCGTTAGTAATTTATAGTTTAGAATGACACACGGTGTTTCAGCTTTTTTTCAAGTCTTATCCCGTTTTCAAGGTCGCGAGTTTGATGCAACTAACTTCAAGCATGAACACTACCTTCTTTCTCTCTGGTATTCTACCATTCCTCCCCTTTTTAATTAAAGAGAAAGGGCTTAGAAGCTCAAGCCTGCATGCAATTAAGAAGAGGGAGTAGTGATGACCGTTTTAGATTATGGGGAACAGGAGGTTGTGTACTGATCATCGTATGTTGATGATAACGGGTTAGACCACCATTTTATAAAGCCACCTTTACTTTTGGTCCAGCGTGAATGCGCAAAGAATTCACTCACAAAATTTTTTTCTCTACTGAACCCTATCAAATTCTGTCAGGATGATCTAGGACAGCGCAATAAATTTCAGAGCTTGAAACTTGCGGGCTTCAACAAATTCTTAGTCCCTCTTCGTCCGTGACCGTGACTTCGAAAAAACACTGCGCCCTCAGTATGTCGCATGCCTTTCTGTGTGAGTAAACTGAAGCTTCAGTCACCTGTGAAAAGTGCATGTCGTCGGTGTCTTAAAAAAAAAGACAGAGGCCGCCTTTTATTGCTTATTGGGGGTAGGGGGAGGGGGGACGGGGTCGGAAAAACATTGGAATGTCCGCGTGGTGTAACGACGCCCAAGTGCACACTCCGATAGCGTCTTGTTGCCTAAGGGATAGCAGGGCGAACGAAATACTCGAACTAACCGTCAGGAATTCAAATGAACCTGGAATAACTGATGCATACAGGAAAAGATTAACTAAGAATAGCAGAACCTCTCGAAGCTCATGGGAGAGGGCCCGTTAAATGTTAGGGATGAGTGGAGGGAGAGAAATACAGGTAAATTGTGTAACTAGGCAGGAAGACAAGACTTTCCAACAATACCGTTACAACATATTGTTGAAGTGAAGGGCACAAATCAGTACCGGAAACAGACCTTGAGATAAGGTTGGGGGGTGGGGGGGCGGTCTCCCAAAAAATTTTTTCAGCCCTTCGAGCCTCAGTTTGATCTAAAAATAAGGGGGGTGCCCGGGCCCCCTGGGTGCCTCCCCTAGATCTGCCACAGCAAATGCATCATGCTGGATTGCAGTAGTTTTACCATCATAGTAGTTGAAAGAAAAGCAAAATTGCATTAAGAAATACGGCGCAAAAAAATAAACGTGCTTTACGTGGATTTTAGAAACATAATACATCTGAGCCGCCGTAAGTGCAAGTAAGACTGTAAGAGTGGAGCATTGGTTGAGCATTTTGACCCAGGCCATTGTTTAAGATACTGAAATGTTGACGGTTTTGGTGTTGCCCCTTTAGTCATTCGAATTTTGTGTTTTTATGAATAAATCATAAAAAAGGAAAGCAGGTTGTCCCTAACTAGCATCCCGCAAAGTCACATCATGAGAGAACCAAGTGATCTACTATTTAGACTCTTTCAGAAGGTAAGCAGACCGATAACATGGAAATCTTTAATTTCGAAGTCTTAATCGAGTTACTCAGCTACGACATCTACCGGCTTATGCTGACACACATCAATTCATCTCCTTTTTGGAACCATATAATGTCATCAATAGAATACAACATAATTTCTTCAACAAACTTTCTCACTGTTTAAAACTGAGACTGACCAACCCAACCTGTCCCAAGTGGGTTCACTTTACAGCCCATAGCATCACAGTTGAAGATGCGAAAAGCACCGGCACAGAGCTCAGGGTTTGATTCCTGGCATGCCGGAATTTTTTAAAGCTTTCTTTCTGCAACAGCTTAACTTGCATCTTCAATTATTGTGGTGATCCCCTTTATATTTATTTATTTATCCCACAGTATTCATATATTCATTATTTCACAGCCAATATCACTTACTTTTTTCCATTACTTTATGATATGGGCCATGCATCACTCCCTTTAACCCTTTAAGTCTCAATAGTTATCAACAGCAATTTTCTCCTAACGATATCCATACATTGTCAAGAGAAATGGTCATGAAAATTAATGAAATGATCATCTGAGAAAAATGCTTTGATCTTTTATCAAATTCTCTCAACTAGACTTAAGGGAAATGTAAGGAGTTCAGTCTGGAGAATTTGAATAATGATATTGGAGCTTAAAGGGTTAAGAGCCACGCCCCCCTTAACAGTGCTGTCATTAAGGGCCTAGAACTGGGGATTATACTGGGGATTATATCCAGGCTACCCCCAGCTACTTTCATGGGAAAATAGCCCCGATCCCTATCTGTTGATTCCCCACCTACTTGTCGTTAACTAGCTGTCAATTAAAACTAAGTGGCAGCCTTGCCCCTGCCCTAGCCCTATAGTTGCGGTACTGGTAAGTTGACTTTTACCCCCAATGGAAACAAAATATCAAACGTAGCGGCATAGTCCTCCAACTCAAATATAGTCCGTTTTCTTTACTCCGTCAGTAAAGTGGGAATTTTCAGGAATTTTGTTTCCCCTCAAAAATATTCCAGACATAAAAAATGCCAATGCAGCGACCCCTAAGAATTAACTTTTGAAGTCCTCCTCAGAAAATGTCAGTCAATAGGGAGTGGATGTCAAATGCAATGGCCCGAAAAAATATGCGCGCTGTGAGATTTATACCCTGAATTCCCGCGCTCATTATTACGTAATTCCCAGTGTCAGAAAGTTTCGGTAAACACTTAAACAGTTTTTTAAAATGATTTTCAGAATAAGTCAGCTAGATAAGCCGCTTCTTTCGCCATTTCTTCCTCACTCCTTAATCCTTTATTAGTCGCTGAGCCCGTTTCCGCCACCAAACTATCTTCCTGTTTGTCGTGTTCGTCGAGAGCCTTGTAGACATCATCATTATGTTCAAAATCTCCTTTTTTCCTGGGCAACACGTGGACATGGACATGCTCAATTGTCTGTCCTGCCTCTGGGCCATCCTGTATCGCAATCGAAAGAGAACTGGCGCCATACACCTTCTCCACAACGCGTGCGATTTTTTGCGTACTCGTGAACAAGTCCGCCACTTCTTCCTCAGTTAGTTCACAAAATCTCTTAACAACGCGAAGAGGAGACACAAGTACATGTCCTGGAAGGACAGGCTTTCTATTTACAAATCCAAAGGACAACTGAGAACGGAAAAATACCACAGAAGGCTGAAGAAAAATTCGCCCAAAATTGAAACTTTGACCCGCCATCTTTCATGGAAATTACCATATATGAAGTACCTCTCTTGCGGGTAAATAAATTATGTCGCTTTCTGGTAAATGTGCGGGCGTCAGTCAACTAAAAGAACATGGCCGCCACCACAACACAAGATATCCGCGAAGGAAAGCCGAAAACAATCCCAAAAGGAAGACCTAAATCCGGAAGAGTGTGGAAGAGTGAAAAGAAAAGGTACTTATTGGGTTGATATGAGAGGCTCCCTTAATGGGGAGCGACCATATGTGTATTCTCTTTTAAAGCGAGAGAATCTACGATCCCTCGTACGCGTTTGATTGACGGTGAGCGCTATCAATCAGTCAATAAATCAATAATGTTTATTTATTCTCGAATTGAAAGATAGCAATAAGGTGCTGTGAAGAATTCTTATTCCAACATCAAACTCAGTTTTAGATGATCTGTGTTTTTTTAAAAATCAGTAAAAATACATTGTTTACTAATTTGAGTCAGCGTGCATGTTTATGCATGTGTACATGCGTTTTTAACTAGCTGAATGAGACATTTAGGACCTGTTTACATGAGGTGAGCTACAATGGAGGACAAAAATCCTTGGAACGGTTATGGAAAACCTTCCTTCCACATCCTTAATTTATCAAATGTTCAGATGTAGCATAATGTACACTTCTCTAACCACTTGGATACCGCGACTGGCCCTCCCCTCCCCCCTCCAAACAATGTTGGGATGAAGAAACACTTTTAGGACAGGGTAAAGCGTACAGGGGTGCACAAACTACAACATTGCTTAGGGGAGAGGGGGAAAGGGGGAAAAATTAAGGCAGATAGTGTTAATTGTCCTAAGAATTTTGTCCTCCATTGTAGCCTTAGCCTGGCCCACTTTATAGACCTTGTCACAGTTTTCAATGCCGTCTTGACGAGAAGGCAAACACTTGAGAAATTACAGTGTTTGTATGAGAATCTAATGTCGAATAATTTCTGTGGAACAGCTGTTCTGAAAACAATATGAATTGTAAACTAAAGCTTAGCTCCTAAAGATTCTACTGAAAAAAATTGAGGGAGTTACATTTGCTAGAAGACCTAGAACCACTTTTATTTTCTATACATTTGTCTGTAAGAAAGTCCCGGAAAAAATTACAGACAAATATATGGAAAATCTAAAGAAAGCCTCTGGAGAAATTTAAGCATCTTTTGGATCTTTTATCACCAGGGTTGTGAGACAGTCAAACTAAGACTCTGTTTGTTACAGGAGAGGGACAATAATTATATCACAAGGCCCAAGCTGGACAATCTCTTTGTTAAAACCTGGTTTTTATATGTTAGGAAAATCTCAGGCAATCGGGTATTTCTCTTTTTGCTGACTATTTCAGATTTTTTCTATATATTGGATAATCACAAGAATTCTTTCCCAGATTCTACTGATATTGAATTTGGCAGGAAATGGAAAGTGAGCAAGGGGGACTGGAGCCCAGAAATTTAGAGGATTGGTAATGAGCAAAATCCATCGCCAATGTCCCCGACAGTACAAATTTTCATTTGTCTGGAATGATTGCCCATAGTCGCAGAAATCTGGGATGTGGAGGGAGAATAGAAATGCTCCTGATTCCCCAGATTTGTCCCTGACTATCCCAGACTATCGGGGATATTAGTCGGCAACATCTGGGACTGTCTGGAAACAGTAAAATGGTTGGGATTTTCCCAACGTATGAAAACCAGGCTTAAAGATTATGAATTCAAAGTGTAATAATTATGTTCCTGAACGTTTGTGGCAAAGTGGAAAATTCTGTTTATTACTTGATGTTGTTGTGTTAGGAAATCTGCAGTTATTGGTGTTCATCCCTTGCACACATCTTGGGGCAGAAAACAGCAAGTTAGAATGCAACAGAAATTAATGAAAGTTTATGAAAAAGAACTTAAAGAGGAGGCAAAGAAACAAAAAGAGGTAAGACACAGTCATTCACAAACCCACCATGCTCTAATTTTTTTTCTAAGTTTTCATCTAATATCTTACTGCCCTGATGGTCTAAAACTTTAGGATCACTTTCTTCTAAGCTATGTTTTCTGTTGCCCTTTTCCTGTTACCTTAATGTTTTATAGTCCCTTTTAAATGAATGATTAGCCGTCTTCTACTATGCAGAAATTTATCAGATTGATGATTTTTTTTCCTCCTTTTTTTTCAGGAAAAACGAAGGAAAATAGAAGAAAGGAAAAAGAGAAGAGAGGAAAATGAAAAGAAATCTCAAGTTGTACAAGTGGTAAGGTTCTGTAGGTGATTTTCACTCCAAGTATTCAGTTGACAAGAATCAACTTCATTACCCATCATGTCAGTAGCCACATAAGGACTTGGCTTTCTTTTTCCATTCTTCACTGTCTTTAGCTACCACTCTGCAGTACCCAAGTTGCACTTTCCTTCATAATGTTTTCTCATCTTTTACTTTCCACCTGACTCTACCATGACGAATGAAGAATTATATAATTCTGATAGTAGCACTAACCAATTTATAACTTCCTTTTTAATTGCTTTCAGATAAAAGACACAGCAAAGATAAAGAGAATGAAGAAGAAACAGCTACGAAAAATTGAAACTCGTTGAATGTTTTGTGTAAATTGATTTATTTATTTTGAAATAAACCAGAGTTGAATAGGGTTTTATGATAAAACTTAGTGTGGTGGTTTGGCTGTAGTTTGTTTCAATGTTGATATAATGTTTTACCATGAGAAACACAGCAACAGACATAAAGGCAAAGTCATTGCCAACTTGCCCTGCATTTTAGTTTTTGTTATAATCAGCTAATCTTGTTTTTGACAACCCTTTCTTTGTCCACTGTTGCCGCTGAGGCTTTGAAATCCTGATCCCCCTTAGGACAAAAAAATCCTAAAATACATTCCCTGTTTAGGACAAAGGACAAAGTGTGTGCTTTCTTGGTTTAAAGCCATTTTTTGCAAACATAAATAGAGCAAATTCGTGTTATAGTCATTGCTTTTAAATACTTGGAGTACAAGCAAATTTCATCAAGTGAATAATTAGGACAGACTTGCACAAAATTATATTTTGCTGTTTAGGACAGGGAGGACAAAGACCATACCATATCCAACGGCACATTCCCATATAGGCCATTTAAGGGAGTGCATCCCCTGGGGCCCTTTCCCTCCTAGTACCTGGCCTTTATTCATCCAGTCCCCACTTCTCTCCCAAATTTACACCTTTTAATTCCAGTCTCAGTCCCATTTTCCTCCAATCCTCAATTTTCTCCTAGTTCTTATTCATCCTCGTAGTACACACTCTTTTCCCTCCCAGTTCTTGCCCTATTTTTTTCCCAGTGCCCTTTTCTCACCCAGTTCTTACTCTTCTCTCTTAGCTATTAACCCTTTCCCTCCCTCCTTCTCTTCTCTTCTAGTCGCCTCTTCTCTTCAAGTTATTTCCTATTTTCGTTCACGTTATTACATCTTTCGTTCCTAGTTCCTGCTGCATTATTCCTGCCTCTCTTCTCTTCCCCCTGCTCTCCCTTCCCCCCCTCGTTACTTCACTTCAAGTTATATCCTCTTTCCGTCCCAGTTATTACCAATGTCCCTTCCCATTCCTGTCCCAGGCTTCTGGTTTTACACCTCTCTCTTCAAGCTATTTTCATTTTGCCTCACTTTTTCTACCTTTCCCCTCTCAGTTCCTGCTCCTTCCCTTCCGTTTTCCACCCCTTGTAACCAGCTCCCACCTCTTTCCTTCCCAGTTGTTTGTACCTTTTCTCTCTCTGTAACTACCCACTGACATTTCTCGCCTATTCTTCCCTGCCAATTCTTTCCCTTTTCTCTTCCAATTCATGCCCCTTCTCTACCAGTCCCCCATCTTTTCAGCACTTTACCCCTTTTAGTTCCCAGTTTCCCTCTCACCCCACCCTAGGAGGCAGCATTATATGGCCAAGTGGTTAGAGTGCTGGTTGGCGGGTAATTTTGAGAGTACTGTATCGATATTATATTGTCTTTATTCAGGTAGCTGTAAAATTTTTGGTATGCCATATTCAGTTACTAAATAATATGATGGGGTGCGTGATCCTCCTGATCCTCAAAACCCAATCTCTTCTTTCCCACTCTTTCTTACCCTTTCTCTCTCATCCACTATTTTTGATGGGTCGGTATATTTTACTCGCACGTCACTACAATGCTAAACGGGAAATTCTTTCTGTCCACCCCTGGTGGGGTCTGTTTTAACAATCGTCTGGGGAGCTGGCGGGATTGTTGATCAACACGTCATGCGCAGGCGTACAAATGGGAAAGTCGCCATCTTGGTTGCGAGATGTTGGGGAGTGATTAGCAATTCGTAAGTTTTTGTTATGTTTCATGAAGATTCTTCGGAGGATTTCAAGGAAAAGAAGTAAGTTTGGTGCTTAGAATTTCTGTTCTCTATTTAAAAAGTGAGTTGTCCAGACAAGATACACTGAAAGGTGAACAATTTTAGTTTCACTCGATTTACGTCCGTAGGACAATGGTTTCGGCTGTAGTTTTGGTGCTGCTACGTTCGATCACATGCGTTTGCTCGCTGAAAAGGTTACGTGCTCAAGATGGAGCACTAAATTTGAACTTATGTCAAGATCTGTGGCTCAATTCCTTAAATGAAGGTTCTGTTTTACGTTACTAAGTGTGAGTTTCAACCATAGCGGCTTGTTTGTACCGAGTGCAACTCGTGAAAGTCAACTCCGGACAGTTTGGTTTATCATTGGATAAGGTAAAGTGGGCTCGGAACTTTTCTTTTCTTTCTTTTCTCTCACGTTTTCATGACAATCGAGATCTTGTAGGCACAGGCAACAGTTGTCACTGAATTCATCGCCTACCACAGTTTTTCCCGAATTGTGATCTTTGTTTAGGTTCACGTTCATCGCAAGGAAGTGAGTAAAGCCGAGTTCGGGCGCACCCCTCGTCGTTAAGATCGGTAGAGTTTCAAGTAGCCTTTATTCAGAACATCTCTCTATAAGCGGCATGAAAATTTGTGATCGAACAAATATGACGATGACGAGGGGATTTTACATTTGGATTTGTCGTCCTCGCTCAAGTCAACATGAAAGAGTTGAATCAATAGGGTGATGTATATGCGTTCTTCAATGTCCGGAATGTAGCCACAAATTGGTTTTATCCTTCAGAGGGAGTGCGGTTGTTATATTTGAAGGTATTTTGTCATCAGACCTCTTCCTTTTGCGTTCCTGAGACGTAAATGATTTCATTTTATTAAAGGAGTTCCTACGCTTTTCGCGGGGCTGCACAGTCGCGGCACTTAACGAAACACGAGACTTTGAAAGCAAGAATTTACATCGATTTGCGTCGATAATTTCCGGCGAAAGAGAGCAAAAGTGTTATTTTAGCTCATCAACGGACAATGTATAGTTTAAACGTTCATGTCGTGTGTAAGTATTCTTTTGCACTTCTCTGATTGTGGAAATATTATTATTTTGGCATTTTGATTCCCGTTTTTGATGTGCAATGTTATTGAAATTGTTTCAACGTGTCCGAGGATGGAGCTGATATGAAGCCGCTATTATCTCGTGCCCAATATTGTCCAGGTTTAGCGGTGCCTTGAAAAATTGTTTCGTAATTTCCGAGCACTATATTACTATTTTATGTGTTTCATTGATGTTGTTGTACGTGCTTGAGTTTTGGTTTTGTTTTTCATGAGTTGTCATTGAGTATAGTCGGATCAAAATTATGCACGCCTACAAATTATTATTACACCTATACGTGAGGATATAAAGGTGATGTCATGCTAGAAACGCTGTGAGTACCTTGTTTAATTGGACAATACTACTAGGATCACATTGTCATAGTACAGAACTGAGATTGTAGCAAACTGACTGACACACTTGATATTTTCGTCCAATTTTTTGGGTTGTACATGTATGTATGGTGAGATGTTTTTATTGTTATTAAAAATACAGATATTCCTGAAGAAAACTGTTATACATATACAACACACATATTAAGAAACAACTGTTGTTGTAGTCCATAATCCTGCAAAATATGATCACCAAAAATGAAATTTCCTAGCAACACTGGTGCTCATGAAATATTTTATACATGTTAGCTTTTTATCGGAAAATTAAGGATTCGTTTTGAAAAAATATATATAATCGTTAATTTTTGACCCTTGTTACAAAGGGCTAATTCTTGGTTGCTTCATATTAGACTGTCATATTTAATACTAGTGTGCTAAATTTGCTATGTGTTCATACGTGTATTGATCATTTGTGCATCTGTTGATGTTGTGTTTTAACTTGATAAGAAACTTGATACCCTACTTCCTCTCTGGATTTATTTCTTACATGTATGTTTTAAACCAGAGCTGGGAGGTTCCATTGTGCATGTGGTTTTGCTTTTATATTTCTGTTGACATGCTCTTGGTTTCTAGCTGGTGTACTTGTACTTAATTGCAATGTACGGAAGATGTGTATTGTTTCAAGAAGTAGTTCAGGATCAACAATGTCATTATGTTTAAAGTACTCATTAAAAAACAGCCAGAAACAATGGCTTTGTTTAATAATAGTTTTATGGCAGTCAATTATTGTTTTTGAATTTACTTTGTTAAATTCTAGGTTACCAATAAAATATTGTTTCAAAAAAATGTAGAATAAGATAATGAGTCATGTTTCACCTGGTAACTAGTTTTTTCAATGTCGCTAAATGTTTAATTAATACTGAGAGCTAGGCGTAGCTGTTTAAGATTGAAGGATTTTTAAAATAGTGTTTATGAAAGTGAATTTGAGGTCAAGATGATTATTAAATTAGGTCTATTTTTATTTTTTTTATTTTTATCACATTTTTACCAATGTCTAATAATTAGGGCCAGTTATTTAAACAGAGTTTAGCCGGTGTTTAACAAAACTGCGTTCTAAGCCATTTTCAGTTTGCCAAACACTTTTGTGTAAACACCATGTATCATGAATGGTTTCATGAAAATATTTAGAGTAGACTAGAAAAGTATTTCTCGATTTAAAATAACCCACTGAGGAAGAGACTAGAGGTCCAAAGATTTGTTAGAACGTGGTTTAAGTTAGACTTCATTTAAAAAACTGGCCCTTGGTTTAAAAAACTTTTTCACTTCAAGTTAAGTTAAACTGCAAGACTCCAAGAGAAAACTCAAACTCAAAATGTAGAAATTCACGAAAATCCCCTAATTTCACTTTGTATAATACTGAAAAACAAAGTGGCAACTATGTAAGATCGTTAGCGATTAATGGCGTGGAAACATTTGGAATTTGTGCTCTTAAAATCATGCCACCATTGTACCACACTTAGAAAGCAAGGGTACAGAAATGGTAAGAACATTCACCCTCCTATTGTGACATAGGGTCATATTTCCAGAGAAGATGCCATATGTGGGTTGAGTTCGTTGTCAGTTCTTGAATAGGAACTTCTTCTTGCCATAAGAGGGTTTCCTCCTACTACTCCGGTTTTCCCCTCTCCTCAAATACTAGCATTTTTCCATTCCAAACTGATCTGGAATGTGGTAGACAAAAAGCCACGGCATGAATATTCTCCCACTAAAATCATATTTATTTTATTTAAATTATTGAAGTTGGAACTGCATGTCACGTGCCCTCCATTGATTCGGAAAATAAAGAAAGTTTCTTTTATATCAGGTGAATTTGGGGGTCTATTGTGTGGTAACATTATTTTTCATAATACCTGTGTGGCGTTGCCTACAGTAGTTGTCTGCTGTTAATGATAACACTTTCCTGGTCTTCATATTTCCTCAGGCTTTAGACAAGTGTTCTCAGATCTTTTGTGGACAGGGGGGTCCTGATGCGGCTATGCCCTTAGCCAAGGGTGGACTTTTTAGGAATCCGGAGTATGCAGGTTTATTTGACGAGCAAGACCCGGAAAAGCTTTTTGCCGATCTACGGGAAATTGGTCATGGCAGCTTTGGTGCTGTGTACTATGTAAGTGCTGAGCTCTTTTTTTTTTAAAGTTTTGGTCATTTGCCCTAGGTGGTTTAGAATCTCGGGCTGAGAACTCTAAGCAATCTCTTGGGCAACTTTGTTAGTAAACTCTTTACCAGCAAGATACATTTAAACACACCTGTACTGTGTGCTGGCCATCAGTGTGTCTCAAATTGTGGCTTTCCCTAGTCTAGTCCTTATTCTCTACTGTGAGTCTGTTATATGATGGATTGTGCAGGTGTTCCAATATTCTGCCTGATGATGACTTGCATTTTACATCTTTCAGGCCAGGAATGTCAAAACAAATGAAGTCGTGGCAATCAAGAAGATGTCCTACAGTGGCAAGCAGTCTAGTGAGGTCAGATTACTAGTCAAACTTCTCCTTATACAGTACATGTATCATCAATATAATATTACCTCGCTGATGGCATTGAGGGTAAAAAAATGCTATTAATTAGTGCTTACAGCTGACTCAGTGTTACATGTACATGCAGCTCTTAATAATAATAATAATATTAATAATAATAACTAGTAATAACCAAAGATTACGGAGTGCGGGCGACAACGATCAAAGGTCAAAATGCTTTTGCTTCAGGGCTGTGCGTTGCGTAAGTTTCACGCAACAGATGGTCAAAACACGCGTGATCAGATTGTGAGTGGTAGAAGGTCCAAACTGATCAAATTGTGTTCTGTGCATTCCATGCATTCTTAGTGGAAGTCCAAACGAATGCTGGCTACATACATGTGATGGATGTGTCATAACAACCTGAAGATTAGGATGGCAGGCTCCTCTTGTCGCCTGTGATAATAATAATGATGATGATGATGACGATGATAACCATGACAATAACAATGATACAGTAGAACTTTGAATTCCTATCAGTGAAGGAGTGAAATTAAAGTATATTTAGGTGGCTCTATCACAGCAATGTTACCTGTAACTTGCAATTTTTCTTGCATATAAGATTTAAAGAGAACGTGAAGTAAAAATTGACCACCATATGAGTTGAAGTGAAATAAGTAGGCTGCTGCTTTCAATTACATTTCTGATAGACTCTGTGAAGGCTTAGGCAGGGGTTTCAATAAAAATTGAAGTAGCCAACAGGTTTGAATAGATTAACCGACTGTGTGGAAAGGAGGCCGTTAGTCCCCTTTTACGAAGGAAGAGTGGGGGGGGAGGGGGTGTCTGGGGACATGGGAGGTAGCCGACTTTTATGAGCAAAGTATTGAAACCCCTGCTTAGGGATTAGAGCTTTACATAAAGTAAGTGCAACGATGATATTTGACTGTTTGACTGCCATGGATGTTTGTAGTACATTGTGTAAATGTTTGATTGTTGATACTTTTGAGTGCTTGTTTTCATTATTGTTAATATTTATGAGCTTAGTCTCCTAGTTTAGAGTTTTAATCCTTTTCTGTTGATAATATTTCTTTTTGACTTGTAGAAATGGCAGGATATTGTGAAGGAAGTTAAATTTCTCAAGCTTTGTAATCACAAGAATACTATCAGCTATAAAGGATGTCATGTAAAAGAGCATACAGCATGGGTAGGAGTGATAAAGTTGTCAATGTGGCCAAAGTGGAAAATCCCGTAATATTCTTTAAATTTCCATTTTGGTGTCGCTTCATGTAAACCTATCTTTTGCAATATCTTTTGTTGTCTGCATGATTTGCACGTGCACCTCGTTCGTTTGCATACACTGCACAAGCAGTTCATGCAAAAAACAAAAAAAAGATTGCAAAAGTAAGTTTTATATGAAGAGCCACCCAAACAACAGTTTTAAGAATATTATGGTCTTTTCCGGTCTGTCCACTACTTAATCATTCTGGGGAGAGAGGGTTGGGGTAATGTTTACATGCACTGTAATTAGTTGTTCAAGAACAAAAATATACCTAGACTTATATTTTATATCTACTAATTTGATGTATACATCTAATATTGTGGAAGAAGGATGACGATACATGGATACAAGTATGTGATCTTTGCAATAAAATAGTCATCCCAAGTTAGAAAAGGACCTGAATAGGTTCATCCACTTGGGTTGATGATTTAGCTGCAAAGCTACAGCTGTAGCAGTAACGTATGTTTGTATACTTTTCCCCCTTGTTTCTTCCACAGTTCTTTGATTCATGTCGTGAATTCAGTTTGTGGAAGAAACTGCAAATTCAGATGCTTTACCAGAAGATGTATTTTAATGTGACACTGTGCCTTCAACATTTGACTTAATATTTTTTTCCTTTATTTTGTCCTCATTAAGAACAGAAAAACAGTGAGAGTTTTCAGTGTGGTTGGTTTGGAACAAAATCAATAATTTGATATCTTTGATAAGTTACATTGAAACAGTATCCTTTGCTTGCAGCTGGTAATGGAATATTGTGTAGGATCAGCATCAGATATTTTAGAAGGTGATTATTTTAGCCATGGAAAGATTTTTGTTTGTGGCATAGAATACACATAGTAATTCTTTCTTACTCAATTGTTTCTGAGATAGAATTGTCATACAGTTCTCAGGTATGCAAAGGAAATAGCTTAAAAATAAAAAAGATATACAAACACCTTTAGTCAAATAAACCCCCCAAAACATGTATTAATAAGGATCTTTGAAACTTATTGCCTGTGCTTAGATTAAAATTATGTCCTTGGTTTTACAGCAACCATTGTTTTTAAGGTGCAAAAATTTGTTCAGTCTGTGAAAGGGGTTTTATGTATGTAATTTCTAGGCTTATGATTTCAGTTTCTGATTACTTCAGCTATAGTCTGGAAATATTGATAAGTGTATCCAAACGAAACATTGACGTAGTCACTTGCCAGTGCAGTTGCAATATTATTGCAATAATGCACAAAGGTAGGGGAAATGGGCAACAAAAAACATGCAATTTGTTGTAAAACATTTCTGCAAATTGAGTTGAAGGGTTGTTGTGTGTTTTACCACCTACATCAAACTTGTGTTGCCACAAATCAGGTTGTTAACAGTTTTGAATGTGGCTGGTAAAATACTCAACAGTGCTTTTCAACTTGTTTTGCAGCAATGTTGCAAAACAAGTTGCACATTGTTGTTACCTGTTTTACCAAAGCTTATGTTACTTCTTTTTGCAGTTCACAAAAAGCCCCTTAGAGAAGTTGAAATTGCTGCAATATGTCATGATGCTTTACAGGTAATAAAAAAATCGATTTTTTCATGTTTTTAAGCTGGAAAATGATAGAATGCCAATTTTTGAAGCAACAGTGGTTCCTTCCTCTACCCTTCAGTCTTCCCATATTTTGTGAACAAACGTGTGCCATGATTATTGATGCTTTTGGGAGTGACGACTCTCTTGCAAATACCAAAACGTTAATGACAGCTTTTTCTTCTGTCATGTATCAAAATTTAATGGTTCCTGAAGTTTCTGATGCGTTTAAAGTGTATTAAATTCATAAAATGGGATAACAAATAACAGTTCAGAAACACAACTGCAGATGCAACCTTTATCTTCGGAATCAAAATACAGCTGTTCATCTATAAACAGTCCTTGTGATTGTGGTTTTGTTGTGTTGCCATCATCGTTATTAGAAGACTATGTGGAAGATGGTCTTACATTAATGTCATTTTACAACTCTTTTTCTGTTTACTTAGGGACTAAGATATCTGCATAGAAATGGCAGAATTCACAGAGATGTGAAAGGTAAGCTCACCAGAGAGATATTTACTTCTCTGCTTTTATGTGCTGTATTACCATAGTGTACTTCTGTTAATATGCATTACCAGCCTCAAAAATGACTGTTAAGTTCATTTAGCTTGTCCTTTGTGTTATTGTTTGAAAGTTCATTTTCATTCCAAAAGTCAAGAGCTCATCAACCAAATCCTTAAGGTGTGAAAAATTTTTACTTTTTAAAAAGTGGGTGCCTAGTTTTTCTTTTCTTATTTTCTTTTAATTTATACAAGGTTTATTGTAAATTTTCAGTATGGAGGCATTATGTTGTGTAAATAAAATTAATTGTCTACACTTGTAAATTTTTCCTTTTATTTCAGCTGGAAATGTTCTTTTGACTGAAGATGGGACAGTCAAACTAGGTAAGCTCGTTAAATTTTTTCTCATGCACAGTACAATCCTGCAAAAAGTACCTTGCATTTTTATCAACACTTGTTAGTCCCCAGTTGTTCGCAAGGTGGATAACACTATCCACTGAATTAATCTCTACCCAGTGCATATGATGATAGTTTTCCCTAATACTTATCTGACTTATACATGTACTTATCGTATACATATCGTTTATCTTGTACTTGTAGTTTAAACTTTACTTCCCTTTGTTTTAAACTCATTATTATACATTACCATGCCCCAAAACAAAGGGAAATAAAATGTAAACCAAGGATAAAATTGAACCACAACTTATTTATCCAGGAGCAGGTCCCCATTGAACATTTTTTTATGTGACTGCAATTTAATAAAGCTATGCTAGTTAAAGAAATGATAGCACAATGCATAGTTAGGCTGCTATCAAAGAGGCATATTTTGTTTTGTTCATGTATATGGGATTTCTCTTCCTTTAAGTACAGCTGTAGCATTACAGATGTCTTTTTTTTTTTCATTTAGCGGACTTTGGTTCAGCAGCTCTCTTGGCTCCTGCCAATTCATTTGTGGGAACACCATACTGGTAAGATAAAGATCAAATCATAGTTCATGAGATACATACAATACATATGTGCCAAGACTTTTTGTGTGTGTTGAGTAGTTGTAGTACTTCAGTACCTTGTAGCCAATTACATGTAACAGTTATCACTTAAGGGAGTGCAGGGGAGGGAAGGGTCTGGTGAAGAGCGTTTGTTTGTGTCTGACATGATGATGATGGCGGCATTTTTTCTTGGTGTGGCCTTTTTCGTTGTCATTTTGCAAAGGACAATCAAAAACTTACAAAGCTGACTTCACAGACCCCATTTTGCCCCTAAAAATTAATATCAAGATCCAATTCTTTATGTGCAGTTTCCATGGCCACATGGGATGTTTGAGCATGAACAGGTTTTTTAGGGGAATTTTAATCATTAGTTTGGTTTTTGTTTCTCAGGATGGCCCCAGAAGTGATCTTAGCCATGGATGAGGGACAGTATGATGGGAAGGTGTGAAAAGAAGTCTTAATGAAAACATTTCTAAATTTTAAACATTTACATAATAATTAAGAAATAGCTAACTAATTAATTTTGACTTTGCTTTTGTAGGTGGATGTGTGGTCCTTAGGAATTACATGTGTTGAATTAGGTAAGGTTTTCCAAACTGGAGGCAACCTTTTTACGCTTGTAGTGTTTGTCTTGTTAAAGGGCAGGTTGGTCAGAAATTACGAAATGCTGAAACAGTTCACCCTTACTCAATACAGCAGTCCAATAAAGTACATGTAAATAAAAATTACCATGATGTTCTTTAGTCCCTCAAGTGCATATTGAGCTCAAATCTAGAAAGTTTCTCTTCTTGAGTTTTGAGTTAGAAATGTAGCTGAAGGACGTTTCTCCTGATATTGATTTTGTCCCTACTATGACATTTTGCATTGTTCACATTTCCTGTTTTGTCTCTTGGCCATTAATTTTATAATACTGACCACCATGATGTCCTACAAAAATAGTTTGCAGGCTTGATGTATAAGAAAAACCTGCATGCAGTAAAATGTTCCACTTAATCCCACCTTAACTGTCTCTCTTTTAAAAAGAGACCCTCCAAGATCTGCAACTGTCCCAGAATGGCTTAGTAGCAAAATGTGATACACTTTTCTAAGTTTGTGTTTAGTTTATGACTTGTGTGGGAATTCAGCTGCATGATGTTAATGTTGCCCTTTCTTTTTCAGCTGAAAGAAAACCACCATTGTTTAACATGAATGCAATGAGTGCTCTTTACCATATTGCCCAGAATGATCCCCCAATGCTCTCTACTCCAGAGAACTGGTTAGTCATAATTCCAAACTATTCTGCTTTTGTGGGTGACAAAGGAAATGATTAATAAACATACAGTGCAGTGTATCATAATAATAGATCTACTCTTACAAATGACATCCACTCATGGGAAAAATATCCAACTTACATGTAAATTTGGCTATGTCCTATGAAACCCTGCTGTGGTTGGACATGATGACCAGGCAGATCAAACACTTAAGACTACAACTGTGAAAGGTTTGAACCCAGGAGTCGTTTCATAAGTAGGTTGAGTATGATCGTCCGGGTCAACATAGTCCTGAATAGGACTGTTGTTGTTTACAGTGACTGACATTTCTACAACCTTTGCAGTAGTCATCTTCAGAGTCAAAGTGAGTTGCATCACGTCAGTTGATGGTATTAAACCAAAGACTACAATTTTAATTTGGAATACTGTAGTAATTGAAGAAATTCAAGTCAACATACAGGCTGCAATGTACATATATGTCCAACAAAATATTCTGTTTTGACTGACTAAAATAATGTTGACCTTGTTGGACATATATGTATATATATATATATATCCTTTTAATTTGTGCAGCCCTGTAATATCAGGCCAGGAAATTAAAATTGTCTTTTTTATGTGTGAATTTAAGGTCTTCTTGTTTTGTGGAATTTGTGCAGCTGTGCTTGAAAAAGCAGCCTTCTGTGAGACCAACAGCAGAAGATCTACTGGAGGTATATAACAACAAAACATTTATGATGATCAAATTTTAATATTGTTTGTGAGCGATGAATTAGTCAGTTCTTTATTTGTGGAATGAAACGCTTTGGAATCATGCTGTCTAGGCCTGTCAATAAACAAATCCTTGCATAGTAAACTCAAGGGCCAAGTATACCGATGGCATTGCAAACATCTTTAAACTTCATGTATAGCCTTGATACCCTTAAAGATTCGTTATCCTACAGTATAGATTCAATTCTAGCAATTAAACATTTGCATCATGCATCACTAACAAACTATCTGTTCACCATTTATTTTAAAGGTTTTTTCTAGCTGCACTTTTCTGAAGGGGGTTTTTGTTGTTGTGTTTTATAGCATACTTTCGTATCTCAACCAAGACCTGAAGGAATTCTTTGCGAACTGATTGAGAGAACAAAACAGTCAGTCAGAGCTCTTGACAATATGAATTACCGCAAAATGAAAAAGATGATTATGAGCGATCCATCAGGGGAAGGAGAGGAGGGAGATAGCTCAGTTGCTGAAACAGAAGATGATGATGATAAGTCGGAAGCAGTAAGTTTTTTCTATAACATGACTACAAGTATTTACTTGTAGTAAGCATATTTTCCATGAATAGAAATTCTACAATTTTTCCCTGAGATGAAAGGTTCACCTAGTTTGGTGTGTTTGTGTTTGTTTGTTTGCTTGTTTTCTTTTTTCATTCCTTTGGAAGTCATCTTGGGGACTTTATGTGCTTCTACATCGTACGTGTAGCTGGCATAGGCCTCTACATGTATTTACACCCTGGTGCTTAATATGCCATTGGTTGTCAAACTAAAGGCAGTTTACAAAATAAAACGTCTTTAAACTCCATTTTTAAAGGGTTTTTTTTTTGATAAAGGATTTGGACCAATCTTAAGAGTTGCAAATAATTGCCAAGAAAAGTTTACAGTTTTACATGTTCCTGACATAGGACTTCTGTGTTACTTAGACTCAGATGAAATTTTGTTATAAGGATGTTGGTTAGAAAACAAAGATGAAAATAATAAACATGCTGCTTTGCAGTGTTCATTGCATTTGGTTATTTCCTTCTTATCTGGACCAATACTTAAATAAATTCACTCTGTAACTTACCCTGATTAGGCAGACTCTGCTGTCCTTACATATGATTGCAGTGAATTCTAGTGCACTTTGATAGCATGCAGAACCAGTTAGAAATATTTTCAGAAGATACCTTCAACCTACTAAAGGTGCACTCTCTTTCTCTCCTCTCTCTGTACTCCAGTCATTATTCCTTGTTCCCAAGTCAGCATGCCATGTAAACTTTGATGGGGTGTTGGACGAAGGGGATGGGCCATCTGCATCAGAGGACAGCTTAGGATTCTCTGAGGACTCCTTATCTTCGTCTCAGTCATCATTTCTTCGATACAGAACACCAAAGGTTCTGTTTGTTCATCTGTTGCATGTTCATCCAATGCATGTTCATACAGTCATGCGCTCTGGACTCATACTTCTATTAAGTCATTATTTTTCTTTACGTACTTGCTTCTTTATGTGACAGTAGTTGTGACAGCTGCAAAGAGAAGTGACAAAAACAATTTTAAATTAAATCTGTCGTGGTAGATGGAATTACTTCTATTTCAGCTTACTTGTTATTGGTTCTGTGGATAGAACTATATGTGTGTGCTTTATCCTGTGTGTAAAAAGGGTGTTTACTTGCAATGTAATTTCTGTATTTTTCTTTTATGTGGACATTTCAGTATACCACTAGCATACATACTGTTTTGACAATGTCATGCTGTTTTCACTCATTCACAAAATCACCAAGGGCACCAGAAATGAAACAAGTGAAGTCCCAACAAAGACTTAAATCAAGCAAGTGGTGCCTGCAAATTTCTGCCATACATCTAGTGTTTTTTTTTTTCAGTGATTTTCCAGAGACTGTAAATTTAGTAGCTTATTGGATAATATTCCTTTGACTCTACCTCTCTGAGAGTCAGTGATGTCAGTCATGGATAGATAGATCACACTAACATCGAAATGGTGTACAAAATCCTATGATGTGACCATTCAAATTAAGAAATCTTTTTTATTATACTTTCACCCAGCAGTTATGATCTTTAACAAACTGAATTTTTGGACTTGGTTTTTGTCTCGTTTAAGGGTATCATAGTGGAAGGTAACCTAAACTTTTCACAATTTAATATGAAAAGGTTAAATGAATAATTACACAGAGGTTACCTTTACGTTTGGTAATTCAAATCTATAATGTTTTTGTGTCATATTGTTTTCCATTAGAGTGCAGAGCTTCCTAATAATGCCAAGAAGGCAAGTGTTAGTAGCGTGGCTAGTGTTGCAAGCAGTACAGACAGCATGCAAGGTGTGGATCATGACAGTGAGACAGGACCAGCAGATACTCCATCCTTTGTGGTGCCTTCCATAAGTGTAAGCATTAGAATAATGTTTGGGGATCTTAAGTTGCTGGACTCAAAGTCAGACCTGCAAATAACAGATGGTCATCGGAAGATGTCTGACTGAAATTTGCCGATGTCTCACAAAATCTAGTGTGTTACAGGCACCTCCCCTTTTTTTTCCATAAGATCATCCATCGAGAATGGGCCAATACCCGCCCCCCCATCAGTACATTCGAATCTAATTACAAAATGGTTGCCAGTGATGGTGAGCCCTGGGGGTTTCCTGGTAGGGGTGTGCCGCCTGGTTCTCCAAATCTTGACCCTATTACAGACCAAAAATAGTCGTTTTCCAAACCCATTTTCAGACCTGACCTCCAAAATCCACACTTGTTTTCAGACCCGGCCTTTAGGCAGAAATTATGTCATAATTACTTAGATAAGAGCGCAAAAAAAAACTGGCTTATAAAAGGGTGTACCCCCCCCCCCCCCCCCAGGTGGCTAGCGTTTGTTGATTGTGCTGAAAAATAGGAAACTGTGAACAGTCTACATCAAATTTAATATTCTGGTCGCTGAGTATATGTATTTGGTAGGTGGGGAATTGAATAGTCATGAAGTACTTTCGGTTCTATTTTTCTTATATTATTTCCTGTGAAAAAAGCTGGGAGATATCCCTAGGCCATGGCCATTAGTGGCAGCCCTGACAGTGTTAGTGGTTTTAGTGCACCCAATTTGTAGTATTTCTTTCAGTAAATGACAGCTAAATTTTCAAGTAAAAAGTGCCTCAAACTAATTTATTTTTCAATCTATAGTTAGCACAGGGCCGTGAAGAAGACGACAGATTTGCAACCATCCGTCCTCAGAACATTATTGCAAGACAGCACCAGGAGCACATCAACAGGCAAAATGATGAGATGAGAGATCAGCTGGAGGTTTACAAGAAACTTAGACAGCATCACCAGAGGGAAGTACAAATACTGGAGAGCAAATTACAGGCGGAGATGAATGAGCATAGGAGAACACTCGACAAGGAATATGATACACAGGTGTGTAATATTTAGTTTTAAATTCCTCTTAAATTGATTACACCAGTCAATGTCAGCAGTTATTTCGTAATGTATAGGTAAGGTTGCTGGTGCTTAAAACAGATCTTGCTGAGCAATAGAAACTGTTTGAGATTATCTTTAGAAGTCATTTTACATCTGAGTAGGTTACGACCAAGTTCCAGGCCCTGGAATCCTGGAAATGTACCCTGGGCATCTTCTGGAATCTCTCTCTGTTTCAGTTGTTGTACCAACCCTGATTTGATATTGTAATGTCGTGTGGCTTATGTTGAGCAGTAGAGGCTGTTGGACGATTTCTTTAGAATTTCCTTTAAAATGTGATTGGGTTATTTCATTTACGGCAAAAGATTTGAGTTCCGAGGTAGGGTTGCAAGAAAACATCTTAAGATTAAGGGAACTCGTAAATATTATTTCAAGGCAATAGGTTGTTGCTCCAGAACAAACGTTAAGAGCCCTCATATCTTAAGAAGGTTTTATGGAACCTAGCCTGGTCCAGAAATTCGTATTATTGTACCCTGAGCAACATTTTCTGTTTTTTAGTAGTAGTGCTGACCCTGAAGTGACATTGTAATGTATCGTGTGAATGCCCTTTGTTTTTAGGTGCATCAGTTCGAAAGAGACCTGGACAGATTAAGAGCAAGACAAAAGACGGAAATGGAGCAAAAATTAAAGCAGATGACTGCTGATGAGAAGAGACTGCTTAAACACATTAAGGACAAGCATGATAATGATCTGAAAACTTTTGTTTCTGATCAAAAGGCTGCCTACAAGGCTGCAAAGAACCAGTTCAAAAAGGTTAGTTTAGTTGACTCTCGCTGAATTATTTATTTGGCGTTGTCGGATTGCCTCACTACGTTGATAGAGGCACGCAGATGAGGCGTTCATAATAACTGATGTCTTGGCTCATTTGAAATAGGCAATATATTTGCGCTTATAATTTTCCGAAAAAGTTTATTCAGATGACAAGTGTATTAGAACGAAGCACCGTCTTCCGGGTCCGGTGGATCTACACCCCAACCTCTAGCCTGTGTACAGACGCCCCCATCCCCTCAGAAAAAAATTGGGGAGAGAGAGGTCTGTGAACTCTGTCACCGATTTCTTCTGAGGGGAGGGGGGGCATCTGTACACAGGCTACGCAGCCGCCCGCTTAACCCTTCATGCCGCAATATCCACATACAAATTCTCCAGACATTTCCTTAAAGAGTTTATTGAGAGAATCTGATAAAATATCTTCGTACTTTCCCTTTGATAATCATTTTATTGAATTCTCATAACCTTTTCCTATGACGATGTGAGACTATTTTCGGGAGAAAATTGATGTTAGCAACTCTCGGGAATAAACGTCTAGCTTTCAAGTAACCTATCCAACCCTGACGCCCTTCTAATGAAGCCTTTCTCATCGACTGTGACCTTTTTGACACACCACTTTTATCCTTGTAGGACCAGAGTCAGCGTATGTCTTATCAGGGAAGGAAAACTTCATTTCAAGCTGCTCAAGAAACTGCACTGCAGGAAAAGATTCATGAGCATAACATTGTGCGCAATGCTGAACTCAGAAAGTTTCGCAGAGAGCAGCTCTTGCAAAGGCAAAACTTGGAAAAAGTACTTCTTACTGAGGTGAGAAGGACCAGTGTTATTATATAGTTTGCACCGTATTATTTCTGTTTACCCTTTAAGTCCCAAGATCCACATACAAATTCTCCTGACTGATCTCCATACATTTCTTTTAAGAACAGTTGAGAGAATTTGGTTTAAATTCAACGCGTTCTTCCTTTGGTAATCAGTTTACTAATTCTCATAACCTTTACTCTTGATGATCTGCTAATGTTGTAAGGAGAAAATTGATGTTGGTCACTCTTGGGACCTAAGGGTTAAGGTAATAGGATAGGTTTAGTCTCATGGTATTTCTTAACGATATTAGAGCCAGCTCAGTACCCTGAGTGACGTGCATTCAGTCGCAAAGAAATCTAATAGGCCATTCGTTTGAGGTAGTCTAGTAAGGCCATAAAATTTAACTAGTTGGAGGTCTATCGTAATCGAAGGGACTTTTATAACGAATCAATGATCATTGAACAAGGCTTCTTCTGGAGAAAAGAAATGATATAAAATAGGTGTTGCAGCCAAAAAAAATTGGCGCTCAAAACATCCGTTTGCCTGCCAGGTCTTTGTTGGCATTCACAGAACTGGAATTTCAAATTTCTTCTTTTTGTTTCATAGGAGATGAACATGTTAGAGAGTCAAAAGGAGCTGTCACATCAGATGCTTATCAGACATCATGATTGTACCCAAGACATGGAGTTTAGACATCTGAATGCCGTGCATAGACTGAGAAGAGACCAACAGTACAAACAGCATCAAACTGAACGGACATCTCAAGAGGAATATAACAAACGAGTAGAGATGGAGCTTAGAAAAAAGCACTTGTTTGAGCTCAAGATGCAGCCCAAGACACTCAAGGTAATGAAAGAGTGAAACGTTGTGAGGAAAGTCGCGTTTATGAGCTGAGGTTTCCCCTCACACTAACACTGCGTCCGAGTTTTGGTGGCTGATAGCTAGAGCCCGTTTTGCTGGTCTCTGCGGTCTGGCTCGCTTTGCGGAGTTGACTTTTACCCTGTTGTTACATGCACTTGAAGCGAGCCAGCCGCAACAGTGAGATTGAAAGCAGTGCGCATGAGCAGTGTGTTACCCGCTGTTCTGATGCTTGTTTAGTTCGCCGGGATGGCCCGGTGAGCGTGATGACAGGGAAAATTTCCATTCCGCTTGGTTGTCATGTAATCACAAAGTTGATTTTTTTGCATTTAATTGATGTCTCGAGAAAGCGACAAATCGAGCCAACCCAGTTCGTGGAATGAGCCCCTAGTTCTCCAGCAACTTTCAAAAGTCAGCAGCTTTTTGGACTTCAGTTGTATTTTTTATAAAGTGATAAATTAGTTTATAGAGTTCCCCACCAACCGCGGCTCGAGCAGCGAACAATGGCCTATTATATTTGTTTTCTTTGAAATTGGTTTCTTATTACGTGGGAAGTCATTGCCAGACTGTTTTGGTTTTCCTTTTCAGATTTTTTGTGTTAAAAGATAAAGATATCTCACACCAGTTTCTTAACGACGTCAAGGTCTGCTGCAAGTTCTTATCTTTTTGTTTGTTTTATATCAGGCGCGGGAAATGCATATAAAGAAGCAATATAGAAACGCTATCAAGACCCAGACGCTACAGTACAAAGCTCTTCAAAAGCAGATCCTGGAAAAAGCGCCTAAAGAGAAACATAAGGAGCTTACTAAGCAGCTACGAGAGGAAAAAATGAGAAAAATGGCGGATCTGTCAGTGCAATACGATCAAAGTATCTCTGAAATGCTGCAGAGACAAACGGTAAGCGACAAATGAGGGTTTTAGTACCGTGCAAAATGTTTTAATTTCTTAAACTTGAGGAAGCTACGGGAGAGAAATTTGGTATTAGCTCTAAGTATGGCAGAGGCTTGCAAGAAGTATAAGTGGTTCACAGATGACAGATGAATTGGGAGTGTTTGTTAGTTTTGACAACAGCTGAGTTCTCATTTTGGTTCCATCCGTTAATAACCGATGGGCAAATAAGGAAATGTGTGGTAGCACAAGAGTAGCCTGGGTGGGTACCTTAGTCTCCTTAAAACTCTCCCTGGTGTGTTTTCAGAAATCTGTTAAGCTTTGAACAATTGAGCACGAACCAAGACGTTGCTGTTACATAAGCAATTGGAGCAAACACGCCGCTCTTTTCAACCACTCAGAACGACTTCTCCGCGCTCGGTACCGGTCGCATCTTTCCCGCCATTCACATTGCATTTCATTGGTCTCTTGCGGTTCTCCTGAATTTACCATTTGCACTTTTTATGTTCTTGCTTATGACATTTACTGTTGCCATGACTTCTAACACTGCACCAGTCAGACCTAACATGTAATCAACCCATTTTTCTTTCGTAACTAATTCATCCTGCTTTTCCTTCGGTCCTTAGCTGAAGCTCGATGAAAATCAAGTCAGTGAACAGGAGTCCTTACGAATAAAACTCAAGCAGGAGCAGGAAATGCTGAGTGCTTACCAGAGTAAACAGGCCAATCAACTGAGGGCTCAGCACGAACGCGAGGAAAAGGACCTTCAGGATAAGGTCTCCGTTAGAAGGGCCCTCTTGGAAGAAAAGGTGAAAGCTTAGTATTTGATGATAACGCAAAAGTGATATGTCTAATTTCTGTCATATTGTGGCGTTAAAACCCCACAGTGATTAAGGAATCTTGGAACATTTGCAGTTTACGGCGGAATATAGTATTTGAAAGCAAACGGCACCGTCGGGTTTTCACTGGCATGTCTTCTGTTGGATAGGTATTCTTAAAGATTCATATTTGTAATAACGGATTGGAAAAAGAGCGCCAGAACCACAGACACCAGAAAGGAGCCTATTGACCTTGTACATGATGACTTAGTTTTAGTTTAGGAGGTGAAACTCAAAGTGCTTAAAGTTCTTGAGTTGCTTGACGAGATGTACGTTTTTATATAATAACCAGTTCTTAGTAAAGCGGTATTTTCTATTACCTCGTTTTCAGCTCCTTTCTGAAAACGAGGTATATTGTTTCAGTTGAGCTCTCTTGACTTCGCCCTTTGACGAGATAATCTTAGTGTTTTCTTTAGGGCGGTACGTACATGTAACTTTTGTGAACCTGTTGTTTGTTTGTTCGTTAGATGTTTCAAGAGACCACCAGGCTACAGGACTTTAGTACTCAAAAACAAGAAGAGCTAGAACTGAAGCACTCTAGAGAGATAGAGAACTTCGACACCAACTCACACGCAGGAGATACTTACTCACTGAAACACCGCTCCGTTAGTACCATCAGTAATTCGAGCACAGGCAGCACAAGAAGCGCAGAAAATAATGGTACAGTAGTTCAACAACAACAGACCGCTGACGAACGATTGCGCGTCAGCGCAGGACCCATGCGAGTTTAAGGAGTGACCTGGCTGGAAACGAGCCAGTTACAATTTATAATATAAAGTACACGGTGGTTCGCTCGCTCGCTGGCTCGCTTGCTCGTCATTGAAACGGATTTATCATGAATCAGAGTAATATTATCTTTTTTTCAAAGTCTACGAGGAATTTATTCTGCGTTGTTCGTCATCGTCTGGTCCACGGAGCAGGCACGTGATTTTTCTTGCGCGGTATCCGCGCGTGGAGTCGCCTTTGGTCAAGAACATTGCGTGACCATGACTGTCTCTCTCGTGATTAAACAGCGGAGTTCTTGTCACGGGTTTAGTTTGATAGGGCAGTTGCATTCCAGAACGTCAAATGCTCTGCCACATGTGGATGGTCTATATTGTGTTACAAGCATACGTTGTTGTATTCCGTTATTGGACTGGACAGTTACTTTACGATCATATTTTCGTCCATCTCAAACCCGAAGTTAGAGCAAGGAAAGGAGCACTAAATCATCAAACAAGAAGTTGTATGGAACGATCGGTGCTTCAAAGTTTGAAATAACAAGAGGTAGCTGTTTTCAAGAGCTTACTTGTGTAGTTTTGGCCGATGTGTTTGGAGTAAACCTTGTACAAGTGGCTCCTAAATGAAATAATTGCGTTTTTTAAACAGAATAAGCTGAGATGACCAGTATCAGATGTTGTATGTTGTCTATTTTTGTATAGTCCTAACGAAAATAATATTCTTTATTCCTAAGCTCTAAATCTTTAGATCTGCTTGGTTTTTAACGTGTCTTCCTGCTTCTTGAGTTTGTTGTCATGTAGCAGAAATATCCGAAGATTGACTAAATTTTGAAAGGAAATTCCAAGGTGAAATTTTGAATTGATCATGCTTCAGTTAAAAAGCGACCAACCTATTATATTCTATAATATATAATAATCTAATTTTCCCAGTTTTATGTTTTAACTGTATGATCTTATTAAGTCATTCCCCCCAAAACTCTCCCCCTCCCCCTCCTCCACCCCTTATTCCCAAAACAGTAAATAATAGTTATTGAAATTTCATAATTTTAATTTTCGTTTGAACGCTAAATTTTCTTCGGTACTTGTCGAGCGGAACTGCCTGTGCTTATTAAAGTTTGTTTTTAAGCACTTCAGGTCATGTAGATCTTGCGGCATATGTATTTATGTTTACCAAAGGACTGGATTACGCGCTCTCAGACGATTTTCGCAAACACTAGAACTAAACCGTAGCCATAAAGATATCGTGGACGTAAAAGTCCTGTCCTAGGTGTATTCATACACTGTAGCACATCTCTGTGGTGCCATAGTACCGCTCAGTAGCTTTCATCAGATGGCAACTTTTCTGTCACGGTTTGCCACTTCCTACTCCACAGACTTTGACTTCACGTTTCCACTAGCTTCCCCGAAAAGGGGCTTAAGAATCTCTGAAGAACGCGCGACCCAGTCCTTTCATGACTCGTCCCATGTAAGTGAAACCAAGATAGTGTTGGATTCTGGATTCTGGGCACTGGATTCCATATTGTTTATCAGTGGAACTTGGATTCTGGTTTCCGCAGCAAACATTTGCCAGATTCCGGATTCCAAACTTTCACGGATTCCGGAATCGGGATTCCGGATTCCCTTACAAGGGGCGTCAAGTTAAAAAAGCAGAGAAAAAATGTGGAAACGCAAGTTCTTTTCTGATGTTCATACTACAGCATTGGATCGTCTTCTATAGACCTGTTAGAGATCGTGTCTGGTAGTATCGTTATTAAGAAAGTATTACCTTTTCTCCCCAAAACCTGAAATTGTTTACCTTGATTTGTACATAGTCAAATGCCCGGCGCTCTACAAACCCAAATCGATTCCTATATTTGAATGCGGAGCCACTTCATTGAGTATGGGAGGGTGTCGCATTTGGTGACCAATTCTCAAAAGTAACAGCTCATGATGCTGTTGTCTGCATGTAAATATTTTAAGCCAATGAATTTGAATTATAAAAGTAGGCAATAAAGATTTTATTTCATCCGTTTGTGTCGTTTTTTTTTTTTTTCCAAATATAGCCTGCGTAGCAGGCGCTTGGAAGTAGTGGGCACACAAGAAAAAACGCGCGCGCGAGAAGGACACACGCGAGGGGAGAGGGAGCGCCTGCCCGGAAGGTCCCCGAAAATCGTTTCCCCCCCAACGTAATTACCTGGCAGCCGTTGCATGATCTGTCAAAAATTTTGACAGAAAACGATTGACCTCGCAGAAACAAAGCATGTCTCCCTCGTGCGCGCCCGTTCTCTCTTTCGCCCACTACTTCCAAGCGCCTGCTACGCAGGCTATTCCAAATGTGGAAAAGAAGTATACAGGAGATATTGAAAGGCGGTGAAGTCATTGAATACTGTGTTAAATTTTGCTCCTGAGGTCTATATATTTCCGTACCTTCAATCGTGAACAGAATTAAAGATCATAAAATGAAAAGGAACGTGAGGATAAAAACACGCAAAGGCCACAATTGATTATTTTCTCATCGTTGATTGCGGGGTAGGAGGCGAGAGGAGGGTTTTAATTTTTCCGCCTACTTTGTCCAAGACATCCTCGGAGACTTAGGGGCAATCAGTCGGGCTGGGAGAAAAAGCGCGACGAAAGTTTTCAAGCACGATCGGATGAGCCCCTGGGTACCAACTCTCACCGGAACCATTTCCAAACGGTTAGGCAAATGCTGGCCCCTGATTGGGCAGAAAAAATGCTTTGTATTATCGTACCCAATCGGCGAACAGCATCTCCTGAGATCTTACAGGACGGCTATTGTTTCGCCAAACGTGTCCGTCTTTCTTGGTTTGGATCGGTTCTCGTATCTCGAAATCAAATCTGTTCTCAATTGATTTAACAGTCTATCTTGCACAGAAGGAAGTTATCTCAACGTCTGAAGTAGAGAGTATGGCCATTTACCACAAAACCAAATCCTTGAGCCGATTATTAGATAAACAGTGTCTAGCCAGTGTTAAGCAGAACCGGCTTTTATTGAGTTAATCCCAACCATTTTCAGTAACCCACCATAACTCGTAATGTGTACTAAGCACTGCGAAGAGAAAACCCATAAGACCTTTCATCGACGAATACAAAAGCTACTTACAAGCAAATCGTGAGCCCACTAATTTCTAACAGAAAACTCTTTTCGGCTGTCTTTTCATAGCATAACTTTATTTATTTCATCCTTTTTTTATTTATATAATTCGTATACATGCACTTCCTTTGATAGATTTTTATTGGTCAAATTTACGAGACTAATCCACTCTGCATGCTATTGTCTAACTAAATATAAATATTGCCCAAATGAGACCTGACTGATTGGAATTTTTCATGGTGAAATTTTCCCAGTTCACTGCATTGACGTAAATCTCTGTATGTTATTTCAGTACGTGTAAGCAATAAACAAAGAAACAAAAACTTCGTGGAATTTCGGAAGTTTTTAAATGTAATTCAGCAATACGAAAGTGTCGTTAATTATTTTTTCCAGATGAGAAATCACAAGGGACAAGACGCACGTGTAAGCACAGTTGTATGATCAGAATGTTAGGAATTTTCACTTTCTTAATCAATATCAGTGTAAAGCTTAATCGTCCTGAAATGACTATTTAGTGAAACTGATTGTACATGTGCTTCGTAACGCAACAATAACTAACAAAGGAGAAGTTTAAGCTCACAGGAAGCAAATAAAAACTGTATGAAAACAAATTTAACATTACTTTTCATTGTCATGGTCACTCCATTACTAATTTCTTTTCTCCAGTTGTTAGGCCAATGCATAATTTTCATGGCCTTGGAATTGTTGGGACTTTGTGTTTAGTTCTTTGCACCGGATTCACGCAATCGTTGACCCATAGTTCGGTTTTCCGTTCACAGGAAACTGGAAAGACGTGACGACGAAGATTACGTCACGCGTGCTCGTGACTGCCTTCGGCAAATTTCGTGGAAGCTCGTACACGTCGGTGCGCTCAAGACAGAGTAAAAGTAACAACACTTGGGTATTTAACCCTAATTTGAGGGAAAATACTAGTTTTTTTATGTGAAGAGAAAGCCATGGACCACAGAGAAGCATTTATAGCTGCGTGGATAAACATTTTTCCAAATATCAAGCCTCCCAGTACAGAATTCTTACAATTTTGTGGTTGCGGTGGTGAAAATCGCTCCCAAGAACAAATCTTCGAACGGATCAATTTATGTAAAGAGAGACTTGATAGTGCTTTAAACGTGTTAAAAAGTGAAGGATTCATTCTAAAATGGCTCACAGGGATACTACATACAAAAGACGTTTATCAAAGTGATTCCGAGCTCGTCAAAGTTCTGAATATGTTCTTCCCAAGTTCATTTGAACCTTGGACAATGCTTATGGACACTGCCCCCAAATCGGTTACCACAGAAGTTGCTACAGGCACGGAAAGTGCAAGCGTTTCTAACGAGCCTAACGGCAACAACAGCAATTTATTGGACAACTGCGATTTGAATGAAGGGAGGAACAAAGCTATTAGCGAAGTAGTTGAGGCGGGTTTTGTTCATGGGTCGGAGCAAGCGCTCGGCGGAAGTGAGGATGAGAAATCATTAGAGTTAGATTTCAATAACAAACGGGGGATGACTGGGGTTCCTGGTAAATTATTTAGCAGTGAGAATAATGAATTCGACGAGGAAGAATGTTCGTTGTATGATGATCAGAATACAACAGAGGGTAATAAACTCTTATCCAATAACAATACGGAAGAGAGAGTTGAACACGACGTAAGGAAAACAATTTCACGTGAGGAAGAAAACCCTACGGGTTCAAACCCTCAAGACGAACAAACCGTGGAGGAAATGTCTCACGAGTCAAATTCTCCTGACACGGAAAAGCCAGCTGGTCGTAAAGATCGAACACTTGCGACTGTGTTTTCTCCACTGTCAAAGGGAATCAGTAAGGCAATACCAAAAGGGAAGTGGCAATTGCCGCGTTCCCCATTGAGCAGTTCTAAACATCGAAGGAGTGACTCGAAGGGTAGCGCGGCAAGTTCTGAAGGAGATGATTTTTCCTCACATCATACGGAAAGTGAAACGCCAGAAAATCTCGATAGCGAAGTATTGTCAGACGATAGTGAAGTTCGTATAAAGTTAAACGATATTTATTTGACAAATCAGGCGGATATTATGGCAGGTGAAGGCGGAGGTGTTTGTTCGGGCGAGACTTCCCCGAGCGAGCGACACGGTGATGTTGTCGATTTCAGGGGACAAGGAAACTCAGAGGACATCAAGGAAAACAAAAGCATCGAATCCGAGGGTAATGCACGTGGTGAAACAGCTGATGATTCATCCGATGTTATTCTCGAAGTTGTGGATGAACTGATATCTTACTTGGAAGGAATTGAAGTCGTAAGCAGTGATGAATTTGAAGCAGAAGGGGAATCTCCTCATGAGGAGGAAGAAGAGCCGGAATTTATGTTATTTGGTGGCGCTATCAGACCACGGAAGCCTCATCGACCCAGAAAACAACTAGGCTCTGTGATGTCTATAGGAAATGTGAGTTTAATGAGTACAGACTCTTGTGTGGCTCCTTGGTCAATAGATGTTGCTGCTTCTGAAATGCAATCAGCTGATTCATCTGGGGAAGAAGACAACGTGTCGAGTGAGACAAGACCCAGTCCAGGTACCTCTCCTGGCTGTGGTCTCCCTAATATGGAGTCAAAAGAGAAACTGGAAGCACCTAGCACCCCTCCACCCAAAAGGCCACCTCGTCGTAGTAAAACTGAGAGACTTTCCCGCACACTAGAAACACCAAAGAAGCTTATCAAGGCCAGTGTAAGTGGAGATGATGATGATGACGTGTTTGGTAAAGGTATGTCAATTTCCTATTATTTTTGTCGTAAATTAGTTTGTCATGTGGTACTTTTTTGCCATGCAACAAACTCAACCTGGTCACCAATACTTCCAAATTTTCTTTGTTGTTTTGATTGACCAATGACCAGGTGAATTTCCTTTGTTGTGAGTGTGTGTGGCCCGTGAATTCTTGGCCAATAATAATTAATGTTTGGATGACCCTGATTGTGTGCATAATTATGCCGTAATATCTATGGTATTTATTTGGCATATTTTCCCTAGTTCACCAAGCTTAGGTATCAGGTTTCTGAACAGGGAAGTCAGCATGTCATAGACTGCAGATTCATAGCAATTATGTGGACAAGTGAGTACCTCACCAAAGAGTGAGTTGAGTATTATAGAAACCATTGTCCAAGTCAAAGTATGCTTAAAAAAAGTCCTGGCCAGTAGTCGGGCCACGATTTGAGTCTGTACCCAGCAGGCAGATGAATGAACTGGAATGACACATGTAGTTTCTTGCTTTGGCAAGAACAGCGTACATGATATTATGATCTCAACTTGCATCTAATGCTTTATAATATTATTTTAGAAAAAAAATGAAGCACAATTTTTTTAGTATTTTGTTGTGAAAGCAATATTATTTGTTGTTTGCAGTGAAATTTAAGATATTATTATCTTGCCGTCATAAGAGGGATAACTGTGATTAGCCCAGAGATGTTTTTACTAATACTAATAGTTGCCAAAGGCCTGATGATATAAATTACTTGCAAAAAATAAGATCAAATTCAAAAGAGCTGTACTTGTTTTTACACTGATAACAATGCACTATGTTATACAGTCTGAAAGCATATTTAGTTTCTTAGTTTTTTTTTCAAGAACTA